GGATCGTCAAGTGTCATGGTAGAATCAATGGGATCAAGTGATGAACTGATAGGCGATAAAGTGGTAGGCGATTGGTAATGTTGATGATGTTGTTGTCGTTTATTCTCGTTGGTAGTGATCCAAGGTATTACACGACTAAAAGCGGCCCCACTGGATCTGGATACACCTTTAATCATGCCGATTAATTCATGTTGATCTCCATTGCTACTAAGTGTGCTTGAATTAGATAATGCAGTTGATCCTCTTAATCGAGGACGCCAAATTGCTCGTAAACTTGCAATGGTGGCATGATGTCGAAATACCTCGGGATCTGAAGTTTCACTAAATAAAGGAGAATTTGTGATACCTGAAATATCGTCTAATTTGGATTTGATGACTTTTCGAACTTTGAGTTGACTGTAAGCATGTTCGTTTAATTTTGAAAGGGTTTCGAGATCAATGAATTTAGTGGGGCGAATATTCTTGTAACGTTGGTAATCGCCAATGTCTGCTCGAAAATGATCAAAATCGGCAAAAGGGTCTTTTAGAGTCTATATTACACATGTGTTAGTTCTGCTGTGTATGATATAAAAAAAAAAGGGGTATTCTTACAGTGAAGTTGTAGTCTTGTAATTTATTTCGACACATCATGAGTTTAGATATAATGGCAGCGAGTAAATGAGGTTCCATCCATGGTTCTTTTAAAGAAAACTATTAACATTTGTTTTGTTTTTTAGTGAATCCCCATTACATCCCCTCTCTCTCTTTCTCGTCTTTAATTTTACTTCTGTGGTCTTGATTGGATCGTATTTGGTATAAAAAGTCCATAGAGCTGCATTGGTTTGGTTACAGATTAATCCATCAATGTAATCCTTATCCAATAGCTTGAACAAGTAAAGAGCGATTTGAACAAGCGTCACCAATCTTAATACGGCATCATCAAAGGGGACTGAATCTGCTATTTTGTACAACGACCGAAACTTTTCTTCCGACGCAGGACTACAATTAGAAATTGTAAAGATCATGATTGTGTATGATTATTACATAAATAAAGGGGGGGGGGGAAGCTTACTTTGGTGGACGGAGATTAAGCGAGCTTCGACCTGTGCAGTTGGTTCGTCTTAAGTTGATATTCACATGAGCTTGACGAATCCAATGATCATAGTCTCCGTCGGGTATCAAGACCATATCCATATCAAACGGTAATTCGCTTGGATCTGTTAGTTGAATCTCTCCCAACGGTGTCTAACGAGAGAAAAAAAGGAACGAATAAGAAATGAGGAATGGATAAGAGTAAACGGAAATTCATTTACTGGTTTTAACTTTAGGTCGGCATTTGTGTTGAGTAAAGACTGGATTTGGGGTCGAGGGTGTTGTAATTCAGCTGTAGAAATAGCAATTACAGCTACATGAATCTATAAGGAAAACTCTTGTTACTCGTTTGCACATGTGTATAAATGTGTGTGTGTGTAGTAGAACTCTAATTTACTTTACAGTATGGTTTTCATCGCCAGTAAATACACTAACAACATTGGAACCAATGTTGCGATCGCAAACCCTATATTATAAAAAAAAAATGAGATGCTTTTGAACCTCCCCTTTTTTATATGTATGTTTATTCTACCATTGTTCTACAATATAAATTTGATATCCCGTCAAGACTTGTTGCTCAGAAATCACACTGAGTCCACAGGTAGCTGCAATATGTAATGATTTTGATCTTTCAGCAAACACAAATCGTTTTTTATCTGCCATTTTTTTTATTGATATGTAGGGGAAAGAAAAAGCAAAAAGGGAAAATATAAATAAATAAATAAAAAAAATAAAAAAAAGTTGTGACTTTATTAAAGCATGTGATATTAAGAAGTGACTCGAACAATAAACCTACTGAATCCAGCAGCAATTAAAGCCATCAACCCACCAAAAATCAAGACAGGTGTGACACTGGATAATGCCTTGTCGGGTCCATCCTTAATAGCATCAGAAGCAGCAAAAATAAATGAAGAAACAATGGCCACTGCAAATTGAGGGAAAACAATATACATATTATGCACACCCAAAATCATACCGGCATCGAACTCATCATTCATCTCTTGTCTTTCTTCTTCACTTGTTGTACTGGGTCCTGCTGCTACCACAGAGGCATAACTGGGTGCTTCCACTGGTCCTGAATGTAAAAACGTCTGTCTCTTTTCGTCTTCATAACTCACATATTCTCCAACCAATGAGAAGGGAACCCAAAGAACAATGGCCCAGGGGATACCCATGATGGCCAAAATCACAGTGGCTTGCGTGACAGTGCTGACGAAATAAGAAGAAATCAAGGCGATTGCAACGGTGAAATGAGACAGAGTGTAAATGTTTAAGAGAGATAACCAGCGTACGTTTTTAAAGGCATTGGATAAGGCAGGAATGATGAGACCGGCCAAGACGGAAACAATGGAGTAACACAATAAAGCAAATGATCCAGCTCGTGTACCTTCAGCCCAATCGATCGGCATTTCCGGCGCACTGGGTAAATGGGTAGCGAAATAGATATCTGAGACCCATTGTGTACTGTAAAATAAGAAGGGGAACCAACCCATCCAAGCAAAAAATTGAGTGTTGCATAATGTTTGAATAGGTCTGGGTAAATATCTGAATGCTCTGACAATGTAAAAGAACGTGCTGTACCAAGGTCTATTATTAAACAAAAAAAATCAGTTTCGATGCGTGGTATAACCCTCGGTATGATTTATCACACTTACTGGTTATTATCCAAATCCTCCTTCTTATCATTGACTTTCTCTTTGGTGGTGATACAGGTAATAGCTAAAGTGAACAAAAAGACTACGATGGAAACAATACAGAATACCTTGACTTGAGAATCACCCAACCAAGGTAAATACTTTACTAAATCCACAAATCCGACGAAATATCCAATCACCATGGCGGAATTACTCATACGTGCACTCCAAGCATTAGCGTCATCTTGTTGCCAAAGTGGTGGCACGTCTAAAATCAAGGCACGACAAATCGCTTGAACTGCATTCAAAGTGAAATCTAAAAAGTAGAATGAAGCCACAGCCACAATGATAGCATTTCCATGAGCCTGTTTTGAAAACAATAATTTTTTTTTTAGTACGTGTTTACTGTCGCTTTGTGTACACATGTGTAACTTACGACGTCTTTAATGACATCAGGTTCGTCATGAAAGAAAGTAGCAAAGGAATGTCCGATTTCTTTAGCATAAGCAACACCGACCATGGAAAGACAGGTCAGTATACCCGACACGATAATAAAAGGTCTTCTCTTTCCTAAACGAGAAGTACATTTATCACTGAAAGCACCGATCAACTGATAATAAAAAGAAGGACGGTGTTAAAAAAAATGCTAATGACGATCATGACGCAACTTACGGGTTGGACCAATAATCCAGATAAAGGACCTGCTAACCAGACTAACGCTGTCATCTCCTTGGATAGGTCGAGCGATAACAGATAAGGAGTACCGTATCTATCCAGAGTGTTATTGCATATTTCACATTTTAAGAATCAAAAAAAAAAATCACTTACGATAATTCAACAGTCCCTACAAAACATGAAATAAGAATGATGTCAGGGACACCAAACCAAGAAAAAAAAATATCCCCCTTCCCTCTCAAAGAAACTTACATGTGAATTGTACACCTGCCATACAAATAGTCAAGGTCAAGATTTGTAATAAAGTTAAACCTGGGATACTTGCATCTTCATCTAACAATTGCTTCTTTTTGGAATAACTCAAAGATCTGCCTGCACTATTATATGTGGAAGCTTCAAAGGAGGATCTTCGTCTTTGATTCTTGGGACGACTTGTCGGTGGTTTTTTACCAAGCAAAGGTGTCTTTGTATCTGGCATATTTTTTTTTTTTTGGTATGTGTGTATAGTTTAGAAGAAAAAGAAGAGTGAATTTTTTTTTTTTGAGCCCGCTATATAAATTTCAACAGTGTTTGTGTAACCATGGTTCATGACATCAGCCAATGATGATGGTTTCAATTCAATCTCGCATAAATAAATAAAAAATGACGTATGAGATAAACAACAAAAAGGTAATATGTATTAAAAAAGGGTAAATAAGAAGAAAAAGGGATTAGAATGATTTTGGATTAACAGATAAGGTAGTAGTAGATCTTTGCAAGATAGCTGGTGGTGTTGGTGGTGGTGCTGATGTAAATGTAGGTGGTGTATTATATGGCTTTTGAGCAGTATAAAAGTAGTAATTACTGAAACTCTTATATTGCTCCATTTCCTTCAAGATGGTAGCAATTTCCATCTCAAAGGCTTTTTGGGTACTTTCGTCGTCTTGATGCTTTGTCTTGTCAAAATACGCATCCACCGCTGGCTGAAATTTAGTCAGCATATTAATCATGTCGTCGCGACATAAAACTCCAATACGTCCTCCCCATGTACCAATCGGTATTGAACGGTATTTCACTTGACGATTGATCGCTTCCGCTGGGATCAACGTGCTTAGTTCATTCGCTTGTTCTTTAGGCGATAATCCCCTACTCACTGCCACTTCAATCACTGTACAAAATATTATTAATACTCATCATCGTGCAACATGTAAACATAGAATACTCACTCTGACTGTTTAGCCTGTGTGTGACTGGACCAGGTGAATACACTGTTAGGTCGGTTTCAAGCATTTCGATATAACCGCCTGGTTTTAATAGCCGCCAGCAATCTTTGACGACTTGAGGATATTCTTGTGCATTGAGAGAAAGGACCATGAAACGAATATGAATCACGTCAAAACTAGCGTCTGGAAACTCTTTGAGACCGTTCAAGACGTTGCAGACAAGTAATTGACAATTGTTGGGTAAATTACGAGGTGCGGGAAACATATCATCGCTGTCTACGCCAATCACCTCAATTCTGGGGTATTTTTGGGAAAGGTCAATGCACCAAGAACCCGGTCCACAGCCTACATCCAATATTCTTCCTGATTGAAGGTCCTTGTAATCAAACGGTAATGAAAATTCACTGCGTGTATGTGGTTATTACCTCATGTTTTTCTTAATTTTTAAAGTTTTTCTTACCCTTCAAAGGCTAGTTTTACTAAATCGTTCTTCAATTGAATGCGGTCGGCTTCCTCCTCATCGGATTTCAATATCTGTCTCTGCTGTGTTTTCTGAAAATAAGAAGGCTCGTTTCGGTAGTCCATGTCAGAAACAGTGGTGGCATCGCTCTTGCTACTACTTCGTCGCATGGACGAGTCATAATCAAAAATAGACGATTGCGAATCTTGTGTGAGGTTAGAGGATTCGGTACGCTTGTGATGTTTTTTGGTGGCTTTGGAAATCATGGTGGAGAAAGCTGATTTGTATTTGGGGCGTTCAATCGGTGTCAATGAAGCGGATCGTTGCCTTGACAAGAGAGAGCTGGGGTCTTCTAAAGAAGTAGGCGTTTTATGGTCGGGTGAAGCGGGAGCAGAAGAAAACATGGTAAATATATTATTGCCGTTAAACCAAGACCGCCTACGACTACTCTTTCTTTCGTGTCCCTGTTTACTGCGTCGCATCTTTTTTTTGGAGGTAATAAAAAAAAAAGAAAGAAATAGTGTAAGAAATGAAATGAGAAAAAAAGATTTTCTTTACAGTAAACTGGGGTTTAAAAAATATATATCGGTAGCAGACTTAAGAGGTCAAGACAAGGATTGAATGGGGTGGTAATTGCCCTTGTCAGTTTCCTTAATTAGATCTAAACCTTGTTTTGAGTACACGATGACAATAAAAAGGATAAATAAATATAGATTGCTCATTCATTACGCTCTCTTTTTCATTGACCTTTATTTTTTTTAAACTTTTTTTACAGCTCCGTTATGAAACCCATTTTGTCCTAATTATAACATACAAGTAGGAAAATAAATAATTCTCCTAAGTTTAGCTTCCTTCAATTTTCGCCTATTACCTAGAGAATCATACGTACTGTTCATAAATCAAAAAATATCGCTTAACTTCCTATCAACTATCTCTTCATTTCGCTGGTCCGAAAACACGGAACACGCTTTTTGTCAGTGTGTATCCATAAACAAGTTCGTTTTTTTACCTTGTTCGCTATACAAAAACACCTCAAAATATCTCTAAAGCGGGGTCAACCTTTTTTAATGATTATTATGTTGATCCTTCTCACAAATTACTCTTCTTTCTTACTAGTAATCCATCATTCTTGACATGAACAACCAAGTGGATGGTTGCTCCTTGTACTCCAATACAGAGTGTGACAAATTGATTTTGCATCAAAAAAGATGAAAGTTCAGTGTTACAATAAAAAAAAAATTAATTTTATTTATTTTTGTGTCTTCAACAAGGGGCTTCCAATAATAAAGAAATACGATTCTCATAATTGAATCGCATCTCCCCTCTTTCTTTTCGAGAATTCTAAAAAGAACGCTTTCATTCAATAAAAACCATAATAAACGGAGTCGAATTTTTTTAGTTTATTTCAATCATGGTATCGATGGTCAGTGCTTAAAATAGTAATAAATTATTTAGCGGAGAGAGAGTCCCTGATTCCATTTTTACTGCTTGGTTTGTGTAACTTCCCTTTATGGAATCTGCCAAAAATTTGAATCAAAATGCTAATTTCTTCTTTTCCCTCCTCTTTTTTATATCTATAAAAATATCTCTTTTTCTCTCTTCTTTTTTTCTTTCTTTGTAAAATGACTGCTACCATCAAATTCGCTTCTTATTTTTGGGACCGTAAAAGAATGAGCCAAGATAGCACATCGTTACAAGCATTGTTAACAGAATCATCCGAAGACGATCAGAAATTACAGGACGATTTAGATATCATGCTATCTTCTTTAAACATCCATGAAATGACTAAAGAAACAGACGCTTTTACATTACAAGAAGCATTGCACGGACTGATTGAGAAAATACAACAAGCGACAAGACAAACATTTGATAATCAAATTGTAGATCCCAGTTCTCGATTACAGCGACAATTAGACGTTGCTTCTTTAGGAGGACTTGTAGACAGAATGAATAAGAGAAGGCTTGTGGATCAGGTAAAAATAGATCTCTTTTTTCTTTATATTATGCACATGATGGGTTGACGCTATATTCAGGAGTGGGTGTCCAATTCAGAACAATTAAAAAGGGATATCAATGAACTTGTAGCAAAATCATCATGCTTCTTTACCGTGCATGATGATTATGAAGAGCAAAGATTCGAATTATCACCCATCAAAGAACGTGATTTATATTTATTTCAAATATTCTCTAAAATAGATCGTCAAACCAGTAGAAGAATGACCAATCAAGATGCTAAACCTAAGCGTAACTTTGAAGAAGATGAATTATTTTCCATCATTCATAAAATGCAGCAATCCAATCGCTTTACAGATCAAAGAGCGGCTCCCCGACGAAAATTATAGCATCTCCCCGCCCACCCCACCCCCCTTTCTTCCCCCTACATCTCGGCATGCAGTCTTTTCTTTATGTTTATTCTTTTTCATTGTTACATTTATTTATTCTAATCATCCTGATGAGAATTCACCTTTTTATCTTTTTTTTTAATTCATGCACTTCTTTTCTATATCACTCATCATCATTATCACCATAATAAAAAACGTGGCTTCATTTAAATATGCAAGCAAGCACATCATATACCTTACCATCATTATTGTATTATAGACTGGCTAGTTTAATTATTCATCATAAAAAGGATATAATTGGAAAGAGATCTATTCATAAAAAACAAAAAAATTTACAATAGAATTTATTCTTTTTGTATTTCTACATAGAGTCATAAACCCTTAAATGAGCCACCTTTTTGTTCATAATTTCGCTGAAAATTTTAAAAGCTAGAGAAAGTGACTGATCGTTGTTGATAATAACATCCTTTGCTTCTTCTCCATAAGAATATGTTATATTTCTTGATAGAGACAAGGTTCCCAATTCTACAAGTTGTTCTAACAGTTGTTTGTATGTCATATTTCCAGAAGCTTCGATAGCAAATTGTTTTTCTCTGTCTTCTCCGTTCCAAAAAAAATGGAAAATCAAAATCACATCTTTGGTATCTGCCATTTGTAGTTACTTGTTATCAATATGAGAAAGAAAGAGGGATTTTTTACTTTATCATTTTTATTCTCATTTTATAACTTCTACAAATATTTATCAGTAAAACTGTGAGACTGGACCGGTATATTTACACGTTATATACCAGTGTAATAGGGCCGTGGTCACTGCTGTCGTCATTCCTAAAGCCCTAAAACCGGATTTTCTTACTGCTGTTTAAATTAGAGACATTTGTGAACCGTACTTTTTGCTTTGGTGACTTGCTAGTAAGTGCTCCTGGGAGTAATTTCACATTTATCACATGCTATCTATGGTAAATTGGTTCATATCAGCTATCATTCTGTGGCTTGGTTTTCAATAACGTATTGGCAACATTTACGCTCTTCCCCGAGCGGTACTATCTATCTCACAAAAAATTGGGTTTAATAAATATAAAAATGTAATTTAGTCGTGTGTAAAATTTGATAGAATCTTTATTGAATATTTAACCATGACGCAGCGTATACTTTAAATGAATTCCTTCGGTATAAGCAACATTTCCAAAATATTCTTTCGCTAAAGCCAATGACAAGCCACCCTTGATTATAGTATGTGGTGCTTTCTTCCCTCGAGAGTAGCTTATAATTCCATGCACACTGGCCACGTGACAACCAATTGTATCAAAAAGATTTCCGTAACTCACATCTGAAATGGTGGTAAATGCATACTGCATTACTCCATAATTTTCGGGCTTGTAATGGAGAATCCAGAGTATCTTTTTGTCCTCAGTCATTTCCGATATTTATAAAAGAGAAAAGGCCATCTTATCTTTAAATGTTGCGCTGTTCCCTTTTATATGCACAACACCCACAGTGATTCTTGGATTTAAAATGTACATGGCATCATTGTGCAAAAAAAAGCTTGTTCAATGCCAGTAATTTTTTATAATTGCGAGTTCATAATCATATCTCGTAAAATTTGTATAACTATAGGAGACATTAATGTGAAGATAAATCTACTTGTCCATGTACAAAATAACGTAATACTTATTACCTTTGTTAGTAGATAATTCTGGTAAACCAATTAGCTGCCATAGGTTATGATATATCAATGTGTTGTCAGGCTGAATCTGTATGCTTTAAGGTTTAGCATCTGACAATAATTCCTTGTTCTCTTCTCAACGCGATACATTGTTTATTTGGCGAAGAGGGGGTGGGGCGGGCAGGCAGATACAAGCTAAATGATAAGAACTAGATGCAACAAATGTAATTCTGTTTTGGACAGTGGTCGCGTTTTTTTGAGTGTATTCACGTCATAACATTCGTCGATACTTTTATTTAAAGAAGCATAGTATGACATAACAAGTAAAAGTGCAGATTTTGGCACAAATTGTAGTTTTAGTTGCGTTATTTTATTTTAATGCACAGTCATTTAAATTTATCTTTTACAAAATAAAGGGGAGCTCCTATGGGAAGTATTTATTTGATAAAAAAAAATTGCTAGTAAACTAGAATATCATCGATGTTTTTGTCAGTTATTGATGTGCAAATAGGTGAATCTCATCGCTAGGTGTTAATTTTTTAAAATAGCGCACGGCTAAATTTAATGATTCATCATTATTGATTATGACTAAAGGTGCTTTCTCTCCACGAGAATATGTTAAAGTTTTATAGCTTCTTTTCGATTCATCCAATTTTTTTCTGACTTGATCGTATGTAATGTCATCGGAAGCTTCTGCGGCATATTGCCATTGCCTCTCTTGGCCGAAGTCGTCCGAGAAATGACAGATTAAGATCGGTGATTGCGGGGTGGATGCGGAAAAAGTACGGTGTGTCTTGCCAGAAAATGTCATCTGTAAGTTTACTATAGAAACATAAAAGAAAATTAGCGGGAGTTTTGTATTTATACGCTCCCACACAGGATTATAACTAAAACTTTGTAACACTGCGGAATTATTCCGATGCATATATACGTATATCTTGCGTGTTAAAAGGTATTTCAGTATGATGAACACCTATACAAATTCCGTTGTTGTTACACTGATCGTTTTGACCCACGGATCTGGTTTTTTTACTACCACGTACTTGCTCTTCAAATGAAACATTATACATTGTCTAACTATGACACAACAGTAATTTAGTTTTTAGTAGCATCTTTTTAAATTTCTCAAGTTACACTGTGTGATCAACAATTTATGAAATGATACTTTTTGCGTTTTAAACTTATTAATGTAAGCACTATCTACAAATCCATGAACATAATTCAACTCTGAGCTTCGTCGTAGAAGTAGGTATATGAATTATATGCTAATTCATTTGAAAAAAAATTAACACGCATCACCAACCCCCTCAATTTAATGGATTAAAACTGTATTGATAAAAGGTACATCAAACCGAATGTTTGATTCTTTATTTTATTTATTATATTTGGTATACTTTATATGAATGTCTTCTGCAAAATCATCATCACTATAGTATTCAATAGCTGAAGCCAAAGCTGAATCATCGCAAATGACCACATTTGGTGCCTTCTCCCCATGAGCATAGCTTAAATATCCACGTTCAGTACTAACAAATGTATGAATAATTTTCAAAAATTCTTTAAACTTTATGTTTGTTGGGGTTTTGAAAATGTTTTGGATATCTCCAAGTTCTCTAAAGTTGTGGTGGACAATCCAAGTTATGTTTTTGTCAACAGTCATCTCGTGTTTACGAAAATAAAGAAAGAAAAGGTCTAGCTTTTTGAATGTAATGTTGTTCTCTCCTTTATATAAACACTACGCCCACAGATATTTCTAAATTTAAATTTCGTTGTACAGGATACCTTATGAAGATCTCTCTTCGTCTTTTATTTGTTAGACATCAATTCAAAAACAAGTGACTTCTTTTAAGACAGGATAGCTTTCAACTTCATGGCTGCCTTTTGTTTATGCCAACTTCGGGGTATATATATATATATATGGGTATCAATTTAATGTTATCAAAATATTTTGCGATCTACATGTTTTTTTTGTTTTTTTGTTTTTTTTGAAATCACATATGTTTCGTAAACATCAGTGGAAACCAATGACGAAATAAGCGCTCCTACTCAATTTTGATATGACCAGCGCAAGTAAGAAACTTATTCTCGCGATTTCAAGTGTTCTATTTTACTCAAGTGCATTTGCAATGAGTTCTATGTCCAACTTGTAAACTTTCTTAAAAAGACAAATTTGGAGGGATGTTTATTATAAAAAAAATATTTAATAAGATATAAATGTGTCTAGTTCGACTAACATCCTAGTGTTCAGCATTTACGAATGCATAATGAAATGTGTTTCCTTTGTATAAGCATCATCACCAAAATGTTGTATAGCCAAAGACAACGAAGATTGGTCGTTGATCACAACATGAGGAGCTGTTGCGCCGCGAGAATAAGTTACGCATTTAGATCCTGGGCAGTCTATTCGGTCTAAATATAATTTAAAATGGTTGTATGTTATATCACGGAAAATTTCAAAAGCGGATTGCAACCTATTCTGATGGCTGTTAGTATAATGGATGATCCAAATCATTCTCTTCTCGTCAGATGTCATTTGTGGTTTCTGAAAAAAAATTGAAAGAAAAAAACTGTTTTTTTTGCGCTGCTTCAAGAGTTTATATATACAACTTTGCATTACTATAAAACTTTTCCGATTTGAAAGTTTGATGCACATAAGCTTTGTTTAGTCTTAAAGGGGATAATAGATTGTCTTGCTGAAACATAATAGGTTTTTTATTTAAAAAGGTGTTTTATTAAACCTGATAGTAATAGTCATTGAAAGCGCTATCAAAACGTATTATGTTATTACAACGCCGCGTCCAATAATCATCACATGGATATTATTAGACTATGACATGATGATACTTTTTATTTGTGTTTTAAATCTGTCTATCAAGTAAGCAAGTTGGCATTATTAAAACAAAACGCCATTTATTTGCTTAAACAAATAAACCCCCCATAACACTTAGTCCATAAACTTTTAGATGGAAACAAATTTATATAAAATAAAAGTATATTATGATATATACACACAATGTATCCAGCCTATAATCTACTTGACACTTAATAGTAACCCAGCACTGAAACACAAGTCATTAATGTCTACTTCTAATCCACGCTCCTATCTGATCTTCCCAGATAACAATCTATTTCAATCCTTTCTTATAAAAAGGATCCCTTTTCCATATAATAAAAAGATATCTAGATTGAGTCTCAAATAATTTAACCGTTTATTTCTTGGAAAATTTTATATTGTATACATGTGTGCAATCTGAAGCCTTTTTCTCGATTATTTTTCTTTTGGTGTGTGAACAATCAAATGAATTCCTTCCTTAGATGCCCTCTCGCCATAATACCTGATAGCGAAATCCAGTACCACCTGACCATCGAGTACAACGTTTGGTGCTTCTTCTCCGAGAGCAATGGTTACAGTAGATGGGTAATGGCGAGCTGCATAACGTGTAATTGTTTGTTCAAGACTACTGTATGATAAATTTGGAGGAGACTGAAAGACGTATTGCAATTCTCCATACATTCCGCTCTTGGTATGAATAATCCAGATTATATTCTTGGCCATAGTCATTTAAATATTAACAAAAGATAAAGATAGAAAAGTTTAGATCTTTTTTTAATCCGCTTCTCCTCTTTAAATAAGCATCACTTACTTGATACTAAAATTATGTAATCAGAGATCATGCTCGCTTTTAGTATAACTTATGGTGTGTCAAAAAAAAAACCAGAATATTATGTAAACTGTAAGACAAATGATTTGATTTTTCAATTTATGAAGGATGATTTATTCAGACAAAACAACTTTACTTCCTGATACGTAAGAATATTGATTTCATTTACCCATCATACCATACCCAAAGTTATACGTCTATTTTACAACTGATAACGAGTTTAATTTCACAATATAAAAAAAGAAAAATATATAATCTATTGTAAAATGTGATGAAGTTTTATTTGGTTTCTCCATAATACACATGGATTCCCTCTGTATGAGCTTTATCACCATAATAGCTGATAGCCATGGTCAATGCACTATCGCTATTGATTACAACGTTTGGTGCTGAAGGTCCACGAGAATATGTCATTAACTCGTTTGAGTAAGTGCCAGTTTGCTTATTAATTATATCTACAAGTTCTCGGTATGTTGTGTTTGGATAAGCGTAAAAGACGTACTGCCTTTCTTGTGTATTATATGAGGGTTTGTGGTGAGCTATCCAAAGTATATTTTTGCTAGCTGACATTTGGGAAAAAATAATTAAGGAAAAAAGTCTAGATTTTCATACATGGCATTATTTTTTTTCCTTTTATAAATAAGCCGTTTATTGGATCGGCCGAGCTGCACTATTTATAGCAAAAGAACCCCAATATTTTTTGTTTATTGCTAGTGAGTATTCATCTATCCTAGTATGCTAGCCAGAGATTAATCTGCATCACGTTATTTTATGATTTTAAGAACACGATTAAAAATAAATAATGTGGTATTGTCAAGCTGACTGTTTATTTTCCTAGAAAACGGGTTTCAATTTCCAATAAAATTTTACTTTGGCTATAATCTAGTAACGTTTCTTGTCTTATATGAACTCCTTTCGTATAAGCTTCGTTACCATAGTGCTTGAGGGCTATAGACAATGCCTCATTACCATTTATTACAACATTCGGCGCTTCTTTTCCTAGGTTACATGTTAACGTAGGCGCGACCATTGCAGTATTTACTCTAATTCTATTTAAAAGTGCATCGTAGGATATGTCTGGAATTGTTTTAAAAACGTACTGCCTTGTTTTCTTAGTGAACGACTCTTCGACATGAATAAACCAAATTATTTCTCTGCTCGTTGACATTTGAAGTGTCTATTTTTAACAGTAAAATACGTAAGGTTGAATCGATCTCCTTTTATATACGCCAGTGATGTAAGGTCAAACAAATACGGGTGATAGGCCAATTAAGTTTGTTGTAATACCTAGCTAGTATAGTAGACACTTTGGTACAAATGATCTGTGTCGAGACTTTTTTTAATTGCACAAGATATTCCTTGTTGTTTATTTGTGAGTTATGTAAACTGCCAAACGAAATCACCACATATGGCGTTTTACGAAACCTTCTTTTCATGTTTCAAATACATACTAATAAGACGCTGTTTGATGATTTGTAAGCATCGCACCCCATACCAAAAAAAAATAAACTCTTGCCTCCTAGTATACAATAATAAAATAATAACCGAGATACGTTTTATTATTTAAAGTACGAAACAAAAATAAGGGTCCTTTCCAACACCCAGGATACTACTATGAGCAATATAGATTGATTCCATCTCTGTAGGCATCCTGACCGTGATACTTGATAGCTAAAGCCATTGACTGATAATCGTTAATGATAACGTTTGGCGCCCGATGTCCACGAAAGTACGTTACGTTGGGTGATTTTTGACCAGTAATTTGCTTTATGACTTCCATCACCTGATAAAATGATGCATTTGAAGAAGTTTCAAAGGCGTATTGATTGTCTTTTAAATTGCCCATGAGTCTGTAATGGGCAATCCAAACGATAGATTTGGTATCGTACATTTTTTAAGAAAAAAAGTAGTTACCAGAAAGGTTGAGAAAAAAAAGGGGGTACTGGGTCTGTTTTTGTGATTTATATACAGTGAGGGATTGTCTAATTACATTGTATACAAATATAAGCACAAAATTGTTTACCATTTCGATAGTATTTGATTGTAATCTACATTTATCACGACTTTTAAAATAGAAGGGCATGAAAATATCGAATTTTTTTTTAATAGTGTAACTATGGCGACAGCACTTGACTTTTTGCTCTAAGCTATTGTAAATGCTACATCTTGGTACGCTCCAATAGTATTAGGGAAAGAAAAGGATGACAAAGAAAGGTTTAAGTGTTTGTTGGGAGTAAGGAGCATTTCGTTGTAATGATTCCCTGAACGCCCGCAGTTTAATTGAAAAGAGGGGTGAACCACGTTTTCGCTAGTCACACAGCCTCACCTTTTTTTTATATTTAAGCGATGGAGAGCATCAAGCTCCTAAGTTTATTGGGTTTATTAAAATAAGGTACATTTTTTTTTTAAAGTTTATTTAGAAAACGGTAGAAAGTTAGCATGAATGACCGCCACATAGTCATTGGTAGTACACCCGTCATTATAGTTTTGCTTTCGTGTGGAAGACAGACACCTTGACAGCAAGAACAGTTGGTGTGTCTCCGTGGTTACTGTACAGGCAAAAAGAAGACTGTACATGGAATTCTATTTACAAATGAACTGATAACATCACATTATTACATTGCACGTTTACTCTGTGCTCTTGACGGGATCTCTTCAATGTGTAAGGTCTTGAAGAGAAAGAGAGAGAGCGGAAGATAAAATGATAACTGCGTTTCAAAAATACAAATAAAACAATTGTGAAATAAAAAAAATATTTTTTTTTTTTCTTTTTGTGAAAATACATTGTACATGCCCATCCAGAGTGAATGCTTAAAATAATCGGGGTAGGTCTAGCGTTTGGGTTGGGTTATATGACTGCCTACAATGACCTGTTTACATACGTGTTGCAAGAGGTAAAGGAAGGGATGAGGTTATTTTTTGGGGGGGGGGGTAGTATGCATATATATATAACTTTTTTTTTTTTTTTGTTAGAATATGGTTTTACATGCGTTTTTAGGGTTAACTGGTTGTTTCTTATTTATATTTGTTCCACTAGAGAGATTAGCAGAAAAGGAATCGATTCAGGTATGTTGTAGAGGAATACATAGATGAAAGACAGATAAATGAATAAAAACATATTTTAGCATCCTATATCACCAATGCGAACCTCAGCTAGAGAACATTTACAACGAAGAGGTAGTTTTTAAAAATAAAATTTCTTTTGAAAAGGAGAAAAAAAGGGAATGATTTACACAAAAAAATATAATAAATGGGGGGTTAAGAGAGTGAGAGAGTGAGATAGAGTGAAGCTATGGACAACAAAGAAGAAAGATAAAAAGGGGATAATGAATATAGAGAATGAAAGGGTTAATTTGCCAAGACGAGACCTTTTTGCTTCTCTGGACTATGATGATTTTTAGCCAAAGGAGAAGATGTATGATGTTGATTTTTAAGCAAAGTGGCTTCAGGACTGTTAGGAGGTGAAATGCGAATGGGAGTGGATGTTCTTGGCGTAATGTATTGCATCAAGGGTGAACTGTTGGGACTGGCTGGTGCAATAATAGTCGTTGGTTGAGAGTCAAGCTTAAGACTAATTCGACCACGAGAGCGATCTTCAAACAATGTCATGATGTTGCCGTGATCCCCTACTCTGTACGATACTGAAAAGGGGTCAATCCACAAGACAAAATCACGAGGTAAATGAAGATGAATAGTCGTAGGTTGAACAGATGCTTGAATAGAAGCTAATAAAGAATAAAGAGATGAGTACTAACTAATTTACACCTCACTAAAAAACCAACATACCTTGCGTCAAGAGAGGGTCCAACTGACCATTAAAGTTAGAGAGAGCACGATACCCGTTACCACGGTAAGGTTGTTGTGGATCCCAATGGTCTTTGAAGCGCACCTTGAGTAACTCCACTAGTCTTTCTTTAAAGAGAGACACAATCTCTTGATCAACTTTACTTTGTAAAAGTCTACCAAGAAACTCTACGGCTTGGGCTATTTCAATATGCATAATGTTATTTTAGAAAATAAAAGAGGAGGCTATGTATTTTTTTTTTTTTTTTTTTTATTTTTTTTTTTTTTTTGTATGGAAAAAAAGGAAAAAAAAAGACCGTTTGGATTTTTTTATTTTTATTTGCTAAGGTTTTTCGCTTGTTTAAAAAAAAAAAAAAAAAAAAAAAAAGTAAACAATACATTGTAATTACTATTTAAAGGATGTTGTAATCACTTAAAAAAAAAAGTTATAGATTCTCCTTCTATTAACCCTTTTTTTTTGTTGTTGTTGTTGTTTCCTTTCTTTTTTTACCCTTTTAAAACAATCAAAAGAACTAAAACTGGATCTTGGATCAGACTTTGATTGGACCGTGCGTTGTGTCCAATGGAAAATGACAATTAAAAAAAAAAGCCCGTCACCTCTTTACGCTAAACTCTCACCCCCCAAAAGCATGTGTCTCATTTCACAACACTTCATTGTCCTATAATTAGAAGTCAGCAAGAAAGGAAGGGTTCCCACACTAAAAAATCAACAGAATGGAATCGCTAGCAAATCATACCTTTTTTTTTTTTTTTTTTTTTTTTTTTTTAAAAAAAATGAGGTGGTGACACACCTAAATATAAATAGTCTGACTTTAAAATGTACACTAACCCTAAAAAAAAAAAAGTAAAGGAAAAACTTTTTATTTTATTTTTTTATACACATGTCAGAAAAGAGCTACTTGACAAACAGCGACCCAATAAAGTCCCATGTTGATTTAAATTATGTCGATCTCAATACCCATGCTTCTATTTGGAGAAGCATAATTGACACTCACCCATTCAATCAAGCTGTAAGCATTTTACTCTCATGTTTAATACATTTTGACTGATTTATAAACAATGCCCATGCTGTCAGCTTTCCGTGTTTTTACCCACTTGTTCCATTAACTTGGCATCAGACCACTTAAACACTTCTCTCGGTTCATATTATCAAGTAGAAGCACCACTTCGCGTCTTATTAGAGACCTCCTTTTTCCAACAATACATCAAGAACGGTAGGTTCATTCTAGTATTTAATAAATGTATACTCATCCACCCTTCCCTTAGACAATTGTCAGCTCATGATGCACAGTTTAGACGCCAATTTGAATTCAGATAACGTGGTCGTTCTCAACCCCAACGGTAAATTATACCTCAGTCTACTCAAGAACACCTACGAAACCTTTGGTATGGAAGGCATCAAACGCACAAAAGCAGATATCAAGCACGATAAACACATCATCATGATTGATCTCAAAAGCCCTCATTTTAAACCTGATAGTAAGGCATTCAATCGTTTAAAGTGGTGTTTAGAAAATACCTTGACAACCACTTTTAGTATGGTTGCTTGTGCTACAGACAAAGTGACAGGAACAACAATAGATATACAATGGCCTTCCATGACACAACGGATAATGAAATTGGACATGGAACCCGAATTAGAGACATTGACGGATATTCATATACCTACATTCGACTCTATCAAACACGACATACACGCACAACCTACAGAGGATTGGGATACAGAGGCCATGGACGCTATTGAATGGTTAGGGTTGGCTCATGTCAAAGCAAGTCGTATCAAGAATTCCGATAGACCCAACCCTTTTATATCTGTCTACCAAGCACCGGGTACTTTATTAGAGAGTCAAAGAGGAACACTTGTCAAATGGAAGGGATTTATTCCTGCATCCATCATTCAAAACATCTTGACCAATCTTCGGTACGTATGGAAATATGTACATATATGACAAACCTATTAAAAAAAATATATATATAGCAAAATGATGGCATCTGGTGTCACGTCGGAATGGACTTCACTTAGTGTGTGGGGATACAAGGATTCGCCATTTACATGGAAAGAAGTACAACATTATCACGCTTTAAACGGAGAGAATGATTACACATTTTTACTATTACCCAAATTACAGTCCGCCTATACATATCAACTCTACGGTTCTCATCATGTCAAATAGTCAAATAAATTAGATTTTTTATTCTGCCTACAGCAATGTCCTTTAATCTGTCTGTAAGACTTCTTCATATGTATTGAAATATCATTGGTCTTTTTCGTTGATGTCTGGTATCTAAGGATCGTTGATCGTTAGTCACAATGACTAGTGACAGCATATAAACAAAGGAACGGTGTACATAGATGTCTTTCAATCGTATATTACAGGTACACTCTGCCAAATGGGATACAGACCTTACGTAAGACTGTACCTGTAAACAAATTTTTTTGACAGAAAAAAACAGATCTTTTTATAGTAAAAATGATTGCATCTGGTGTCACCTCGGGAAGTGAACCATCTCCAAGTGTGTAGAGAGACATTGTAAACATCAACAGTTAACAGAGAAAGTCCTTTCACAGTTCTTAAAAGTCACATAGATTGTGGTTTATATCATTTATTTCTTACAGAAAAGTGTATGGTATTTGGTAGCTACACCGGCAACGAGTAAAAGGGCTGATAATCCTGCAACGACATTGGCCATCTTTTGCTTGCGTTGAGCTTGAGCCAATTGAATGGCAAGATCAGTTTGGATTTGCTCTTTTTCCATCTTGAGTTGATGATTGGCTTTTAATAAGAATTCGTTGTATTTCTTGATACCTGCTTCTTTACGATGTGTGCCATCACAGAAGCCTTGAGCATTGCCTGTTAATTTACAACCACATAAAAAGTAGCTCTTGGCTTCATCCACTGTAATCTTGGTAGGCTTAAATTCACCAGCAGCTCTATGCTGTGATTTTTAATGTATGTAGGGGTTTAATATTGATAGATAAAAATCAACAGATTTATACATTTGCACTTACAGATCCATCACAGAAAGGTTGGTTCTTGGACTCTCCACAGGTACAGCTATAAAAAAAAAATAAAGGAAGGGTTAACTACCAAGTTGTGTTCATATACATATATATATAGTGATTGTTTATTTACTAATAGTAATCCTATTCCAATTATGATCCAAATGATTAGCTATCAAACTCCCAACATATAGTTAAATCGTATCCTTACTTTTCCGGGTTCGAGGTCAACTTTATAAGGTTTAGGTTGAACAAATGTAGCAACAGGGGCTTTGATTTCGGCAGTAGAGCTAGACATTTTTCTATTACTTTTTTTAATGTAAGAGGGGTTTTTTTTAATAAAAGAAAAATGGGTAAGTGCAAAAAAGAAAAAATAAAAACAATAGGCCTTGCTAAAGACTTTTTACCCCCACCGTTACACCATCGTGGTTGTAATTCGGGTTTAATCTATTCAGGTTCAGCTGTGCGCGATAACGTTTATTTTCGTAATGGAATGTCGATAGATGAGGGGGCAGTTGCAATTGATATACAATAGACTAAATTTTTTTTTAATTTTATTTTTTATATCTAGAGCTCATCACGGGGTACTTCCTCAGTATCCTCATATTTTGACAAGCTATCTAAATCAATATGCAATGTCTGTGTTGATGAATGTTCATTTAAAAACTCTACAAGATCGTACAAGGTGCGTCCTCCCTTGTAACTTATCATGGTATTATCTTGTGCCTTAAAAAACTTGATGGTAGGATAACCCGTTACTTGAAATCCAGCAGAGAGAGGTACATCATTCACGGTACCATCCATTTTTGCCACTACCAAATCATGTTTTTCCGCTTCATTATCTTGCATGACTTTTCCCAATTGTTTCCAGATGGGTTCCAAAGCACGACAATGACCACACCAAGGAGCATAAATCTCAATAAAGACGTCCTTGGATTTATCTAGTACCACCTTTTCAAAATCATCACCTACTACGATTTTAACTGGATCTTCTTTTGTTACTTCTTTAGAGGGAGTTTGTGATTTATAGACGGGTTTCACCTTGTTTTCATGTACTTTGTCTAAAAAGGCCTGGATCGAATCCACGTCTTGTAAAGCAAGGTCGCCTTGTTGATCAAAAGGGAATCGAGCTCCCGTTTTAAAGTTATGAATACCCATAGCAGGCCACTCATTTGGTCTCAAGGATAAGAATTCAGCATGTGAGATATATTCAGTAGCATCAATATGAGCAAATGAGAATTTCCCCTTGTACGCTTTGACCAAGGGTAATAATCGATTGTGTAATTCTTGTTGCATTTCATCCGAGTTTGAAAACAGGAATACCAGTGGTCGTCCTGCATCGACGTAATCCATAAATGTCTCGGGTCGGATGGTGTCCAATAAAGGCACCGCATTTAATTTGATGAAATCTTCTGCCTCTGAAACGGAACCAGTAAAAGTGTCTTGAAGATCGTCAAAGTGTTTATAAAGGCGAATGGTAGGGAATTCAGTCACCTTTTGGGATTTCGCAAAAGAAGGGTCTGTCACGTAACCAAAAGCATAATCTGCATGAAGTCGATCGGATAATTCACGCCATTGTTCCAAGGTGGTGGTATCCTTAGGATCGACATATGCCACCGCTAAAATAGATTCATCCTTTTTCAATGTGTCTAAATCTTGCGTATTTTCCAATAAACTCAATGTAGGTGTCAAGTGTCTATTATTTTCAAAAAGAAGAAGAAAAAAGATAGTAAGTAAAATATGAGAATGTGCGCGTGTTGTATCCTACTTTTTCATGAATTTCACAATGCCGTCAGTTGTACGTTCATGTGGATAAACATCACTGGCACGTCCCTTTCGAAAGATTTGCATGGTAGGATAGGCCAAAAGTCCATAACGATCACAAACCACATTATTCACTGTACAATCAATTTCTGCTAGTGTGATATTATCTTCCTTTAATAAAGTGGCGGCCGTTGCATATTCAGGAATAAGTTCTTTGGATCGGGCACACCAGGGAGCAAAAAATTTCATCAAGAGTAATTCGTGAGTGTTGATGGCAGCATCGAATTCTTCCCGTGTGTTTAACGTAAGTACGTCCTGTGTAGCCACAGTACAAGACGTGAGTAAACAGGCAATCGCAGACAAGAGAACAGTCTTTTTTAACATGGCAATGATGATGGAGAAAGAGTAATGTTACAATAGAAATGAGTCTAAAAAAAATAATTTATGAAAAATGACAGGTTCCTCGCTGTGTTGTAGCTGTTTGATTGGCAAATCCCCGGAATTCAAAAAAAAAATAAGCAATTTTTTTTTTGTTTAAACTAAATACGTGGTGTTGTTTCTCGCATAGATTAAAATACAAATAACAAAAATGTAAACATGGGAAATCGGATGTCGATACCACAGCTAAGAGTAAAACATGTAAGGGCTTGAGAAAGCTTATTTCAAAAAAAAAACAGATGACTTTTTTAAACAGAATACCTTCTTATTTATTGTACTGTCATGTCAGATAAAAAAAAAAGATACCCGGTTACTTGGGTAACCTTTGGTATATCTGTTTGTCAAAGGTTCCACCACGTTTAAATAAAGACCATACAGCCGAGGTAGAGCTTGTGCTAATATGTGTTCACAGTAATAACATGAGAGAAAGGGGGAAAAAAAGCTAAATTAACAAAAGAAAAGCTTTTTATTAAACCGGTACTTTCAAAGCGAAGGTCATTATATTTCTACATCTTTAATAAAATGAGGCGTAAAATATTTACGTTGATGTATAAATTAGTTAATAGGGTAAAGGGATTGCGTTATTGCTTCTTCCCGCTTCCATCACCTCTGGGTCTGAACTTGGAATCACTATTGTGTCATTCGTGAAGCCATATTCATGTTGCACAAATATATCACCTCCCTCAAAAAAAAAAAAGAGTCGCTTGAATTCATCTTGATACCCGCAACCCCCGATCATGCACTTATGCGCACTTGTTTAGACCCAGCTAGACAAATATGGGTTTCAGTATGCGTAATACCTTGTCCTAAAAAAGATGATGCTAAAATAATAAATACATATATAATAACCTATTTTTTCTGAAATAAAAGCTTTCTTTATCAATACCTTCAATACCCATATCAATATGTCTACAGAAACACCCAAGATGCAATACGTTCGATTCGGAAATACCGGTTTAAGGGTAAAAAAAAAAAAAAAATTCGCGATTCTTGTAAGGACAAAGTACTAATATCACCTTGTATCTGACAGGTATCTAAAATCTGCCTTGGTTGCATGTCATTCGGAAGCTCTAAATGGAGCCCCTGGGTTAAAGAAGAAGAAGAGTCCATCCAGATCATTCGAGACGCTTATGACGCTGGTATCAACTTCTTTGATACAGCTGATACCTATTCCAACGGCCAAAGTGAAGTCATTCTTGGTAAGGCCCTCAGAGAAATTGGTGCCCCTCGAGGTCGTATTGTTGTTGCTACCAAAGTCTTTGCTCCCGTACACAAGGATGTTGGACGTCATGGAAGAGAAGGCATTATGGAAGATCCCGAATTAGTCAATGGTTTTGGACTTTCTCGTAAACATATCTTGGATGGTGCTGAGGACTCTTTGAAGAGACTTGGTTTAGATTATATCGATCTTTATCAAATTCATCGTCTTGACCTTGTAAGTTTTTTTTTTCTTTTTCTTTTATAGTGTGATATATAAACAACATGGGCTTACAAAAGATAAACAATTAGGAAACTCCCGCTGAAGAAATCATGGAAGCATTAAATGACTTGGTTCGATCCGGTAAAGTACGTTACATTGGTGCCAGTTCCATGCCAGCATGGCAATTCCAAAAACTAAATGCGATTGCTGAACGTAAAGGCTGGACCAAATTCGTCTCGATGCAAAACGTTTATAATTTACTTTACCGTGAAGAAGAACGTGAGATGATTCCTTATTGTCTTGATGCAGGTATTGCAGGTATTCCATGGTCTCCCTTGGCGATGGGAGCTTTAGCAGGAAAGAACCGAAAGACAACACGTGCAACAAGTAGCTTTCAAATTACTTCTCTCGCTGCCGATAATCAAAAGGCTAGTAATGATCAAATGGTGGACCGTGTAGCTGAAATTGCAGAAAAGCGAAACAAAACCAGTGCTCAGATTGCTTTGGCTTGGCTTTATACCAAGAAATATGTCACTTCACCCATTGTAGGCGTCAGCAAAAAGGAGCATTTGATCGATTTGTTGGGGGCAATGGATATTAAACTTTCGGAGGAGGAAGTGCAATACCTTGAGGAACCTTATACACCCAGACCTATTTACGGTTATTAAATCTTCATGAATAATTTTAAACAATAAAAAAATTTAACTTGTAATATGATTTTGTGCACTAATCATCAAAACGCTGGGGATGCTCTTAGTGTTATGCATCATGTTACGAGCAATACTGTTTCTTTTCTTTTATTGTATTTAAGTGAAGACTCATCAAACTTTAATAATAACAAGGTGTTTTCAAACTGAACCTACGTTGCAGTAATAAAATTAGCACCTACGCTGCGCTCTGGTTTCATTTTCTTGACCTTCACTACGGTACAGTACATTATGCTTTGAAATCACCTTGTGCTGCCGCAGGCTGTATGACTGATGTATGACTATTTTCTACGACCTAATTTTACAAATCCTAAATAAATCAGTCTTTCATCGTATCATTTTTGTCAGAATTGTCTGATGGCAAATGTTTTGTATTAAGCAAACTTTGGGATATCAATACATGGCTCAGTGGCTAATGTTAATAGGAAAAAACGTGTCGGAGAACACGGCTGAGGGGACCTTTGTGTATGAATTTAGTATATTGATGTGTATCTTCTGATATAGCAGACAACTTTGGACCGCAGAGTGTTAGAAAGGTCTGTTGAATTGAATTTAGGAATGGAGATATTGAAGCTTTTGAGTTGGGCATGGACATATATACTATAATTCTCATGTTAAACATAGTTGTATCAAGAATATAACTGTAGTTCTACTGCCCAGCAAATCCAGAGAATTTGTGTCGAGAGACCTACCTATTCCTTTCATGAAAGCGGGATCTTATAAAAGGTTGAATAATCTCAGTAGATACTACAATTAAAGTCCTTAAACATTTAATTTTTTAACCAGTTCTAGCAAATGTTTCCAGCCAAGACAAAAAGAATTGAGCATTTTGGCCAGTTATATTGCCTTTCGGTCAATCATTTTTATGAAAATGACAATTGTTTTTGTGAAAAAGCCAATTTCCATAGATTTCACTGTACTCTCTACTTGTTTATATGTATATATGAGGCGCCTTCATTTTTTTATTCGAAACATTAAATTTTCACAAATACTTTTTCCATGCTGACAGCTTTTTGCCCATGTGAGTGTATATGAATATGTACTAAAAATCCTATTTATGAAATTTATTGTTGGGACCCAAACTCCGTTAGAAAAATTCTTTTTCTTTCCTCATTTACTTTTTTTTTTTTTTTTTTTATTCTAAATGACAACAATGTCAACAGGACATGGTAAAGGCATGGAGAGTTCTACAAGTTTTTCCAACAAGAGCTCACCGTATGGATCCAGTGGTAGTTTAAGTTCAGCTAGTGCACCTGTGCCACCACCACACAGAGTTCCTTTAAAAAGCTCACCTAGTTTGTTGTCACCGGCTGTTGCCCATAACGGACCAGAGGATGTACAATATTTTCAACAAAACTATCCACGAGCATCAGCAGTATCAGGGCCCAAACAAGCATATTATTCAATAGGAGAAACAGCCGAAGATGGCAATTATTTACCTGATAGTTCGTTACAGATGGCCATCTTGGCTGGTAAAAGAAGATATGATCGACTGAATGCTCCTGTCGACCCTGAATTCCCGCCCATCACAGTCGAGAATATCAATACATTACGACAAGAGGCGAAGGCAAGTCAGGATCCGAGTGTGAAGTTTTTTTTTGCAAGGTTCTTATTAGATGCAGTCAAACATCTAAGAGAAAATACACAGGATCCAATTAGAGTGAAGCAATTAAAAGATAATCTTACAGCTGAAGCAATCAAGATCATAAAGAAATTAACTGCACATAAAATTAGTTATGCAGATGCCCAATTCTTTTTAGCTAATTGTTACGGTGGTGGTTTGCATGATTTGAAAGCAGATCCTGATAAAGCTTTCTCATTATATTTACAAGGATCCAAACAAAACCATCCTGAATCCTGTTATAGAGCTGCTGTATGTTATGAACTGGGCATGGGGACCAAAAGGGATTATCGTTATGCTATGCAATATTATAGAAAGGCTGCTAACTTAACTGACCCCTCTGGCATGTATAAATTGGGCCTGATTTTATTGAACGGCTTAATAGGACAATCTAAAAATCCTCGTGAAGCCATCTCATGGTTCCTGAGAGCTGCTCAAAATGCAGATCAGGATCATCCACAACCGTTACACGAACTTGCCTTAGCGTATGAACAAGAAGAAGATCCAATCTCTTCAGTCATTCCAGATATAAACTATGCCAGAGAACTATACACCCAAGCTGCGCAGTTAGGTTATGCTCCATCACAATATAAACTGGGTTTAGCGTACGAAAATGGTCTGCTAAACTGTCCAATTGACCCAAGGAGATCCATCGCTTGGTACTCAAGAGCTGCCGAGCAAAATGATTCAAACGCTGAAATTGCTTTATCTGGTTGGTATCTTACGGGCGCTGACAATGTCCTGATCCAGAATGATAAAGAAGCCTATCTATGGGCCAGAAAGGCTGCAGATAGAGGACTTGCTAAAGCCGAATATGCTGTAGGCTATTATAACGAAACAGGTGTGGGTGTGGTTCATAATTTAGACGAAGCCAAGCTATGGTATCAAAGGGCCTCCAAACATGGTGATGAGAAAGCAACACAAAGATTACAGACGTTGGCTCAAGTTCATCAAGTCACTGTCAAAAGAAGACCCACCAGAGACAAAAATAATGGCTCCAGTGGAAAAGATTCTGACTGTACTATCATGTAGTTGGTGATTGAATAGACTTTTACATAAATAAAAAAAAAAAAAAAACTTTGACTTACACATACCGATCGCTCATCCGTTACTTTTGTTCGAGTACGCTATATACACCACACCGGATTTCTCAAGAGAAGGTTTGGGGGGAGGAAAAATTCTTTTTTTTTTTCTTGCCTTACCTTTCAACAACAATATCAACAAGAGAGAAATGCCACGTCGAAATTACAATGAGGACGAAGTTGAAGAGTCGACATTTACAGAAGATTATCGCTCAGTATTGAAAGAGAAGCACATGACAGCAGGCACAGCTCGATTAGCAGCACATAATAAAACGAGAGTAGCTTACTTTCATGACGAAGGAGCAGGCAATTATCACTACGGAGTAAAAAAAAAAAAAGAAGCGTACAAATATATACATGAAACGCATTTATTCACCTTTCCTTCCCCCCCTTACTCTAGGAAAGACACCCAATGAAACCTCATCGTTTAACATTAACAAACCACTTGGTGTTAAACTATGGATTACACAATAAAATGGAGATATTTCAACCTAGAAGAGCGACAGACGACGAGATATTAAACTTTCATTCATCTGATTATGTGGACTTTTTAAAAAGGTCAGTTTTATTCATATAAATAAAAAACAATGTGCAATGAAAAAACTTAACAGGTTCCCCGCATAGCGTCACACCGGACAATGTCGATAAATATGAGAAACTCTTTCAACAATTCAACGTGGGCGATGACTGTCCCATATTCGACGGTATATACGATTTTTGTCAACGATATGCAGGTGCAACTATCGAGGCTTCACGTAAGCTTATTGCCAATGGCGCCGATATATGTATTAATTGGTCTGGTGGACTTCATCACGCTAAAAAAAGTGAGGCCAGTGGATTTTGTTATGTCAATGATATCGTACTTGGTACATTAGAACTTTTGAGGTATTTTAGAGAGAAGAAAACGCAGATAATGTTAGGGTATTTAAATAAATTTGGTTTCAATAGATACTTTCCTCGCGTACTTTATGTAGATATCGATATTCATCATGGGGATGGTGTTCAGGAAGCATTTTATTCGACTGACCGCGTCATGACTGTATCCTTTCACAAGTATAATGGAGATTTTTTTCCAGGCACCGGTCATATTGACGAAGTAGGATCTTCACTGGGAAAATACTATTCAGTAAACGTGCCATTACGAGACGGTATTGACGATGATGCCTACGTTTGGTTATTTAAAGAAGTAATTGATGCAGTGATTGGAACATTTCAACCTTCGGCTATTGTTTTACAATGTGGTGCAGATTCATTAGGATGTGATCGACTTGGTTGTTTCAATTTGAGTATCCGTGCTCACGGTAGATGTGTGCAGATTATTAAGAATTTCAACATTCCTTTATTAGTGGTGGGTGGTGGTGGTTATACAGTTCGAAATGTCGCCCGATGCTGGACATACGAGACATCAGTGCTTGTAGATACCGAATTAAGTCCAAATTTGCCTCCTAACGAATACCGTGAATTTTTCAAACCAGACTATAAATTACATCCAGATTTAAAGGGACGTGTGGAAAACCAAAATGACAGAACCTATCTTTTAAAAGTAAGAGAACGTGTGATGGAACAATTAAGATATTTAGATGCTGCTCCCAGTATTCAAATGCAAGAGATACCACCAGATATACAAGGATTCTTGGATGGAGAACAGGAACAAAGAGAGGCAGAAGAGGATTCAGAAAGAGGAAAAGACAGAAGAAACACAAATGGGAGAGTCGCTTCAGAAGCAGAATGGTTTGACAATGATCAAGACAATGAAGGTGAAGCCCACGATTCTTCTTGGAATAGCCGTCAAATGGATTTAGATGATTAAAAACAATTTTATGAATAACCGTTTTTTATCACCCTGCTTTTAATTATTCGCTTGTATTATATTATCCCCCCACACACACAATCTTTTTTTTGTACCCTTATAAAATTACTTCACTATTGACATCTATAATTCATATCTCCGGGTCTGCAACACTTAATTTTTATTGCCTTTGTCCGTCAATTTAAGAAGATAAGTCATGCTTTTTTATTGATACAATTCAGAATGTCACTCATAGGCATAAAACACGAGCCATATTCAAGGTAAAGCTGCTCACATTGTTGGTACATATGCTAATTCTATTATAAAACACATTTTAAGAGTAGCTTGGTAATTGAATTATATCTGGCTATCAAAATTGCGTGTGGAATTGGTTGGTCCTGAATGAGACAGAATCCTAGCAGTTTGATGTTTATAAAGAGAGATTATACACAAGTTCAGGTTGCTTAGAGCAAAAATAAAGCATTTAATTCTTTGGAGAAAATCGCTAGAATTTCAATAACGTAAACCTAAGAAACACCGGGTGGAGATGTACTTTTTGTAATTAACTAACTTGTATACCTTGGTAATATTGGGCGAGCTGATTACGACTCTGTTTTAGTTGTAGGTTGCTTGAAGGATATTTCTAAAGATGAAAAGTTAAAAAAGATGTATTGTCGAAACAAATACGCAGGTGTAAACATTTTCAAGTATACTATTAAAAGTTACTATGGCAGTTTACATATATTACTTAAACTTAAAAAGTTTAGTTTGTAGTTGATAACTGGGCGGGTAGCTACAATCCCCCCTTTTAAAGCTTAAAAAACAGGTTCAAGATGATAAAGTATTATAAAAAACTGGCCGGCACGAGCTTTTGTACAAAACGGTGCTAGTTGGAAACCGTGCAAATATAATATCCTGGGAAGCAGTTATTTAAAGTAGAGTCACTTCACAGATAAACATGATCGCATTTGACTAATACCCGAAAGAGGCAACAAAATATTCTCACACTTGGAATATGTAATTTGATCCCCCAACTGCTCGCAATAAATATTTGCACAGTAAATTCGTGAATGTTGTAAAGGAGATGTCAGGTGAACTAATAGGAGATAGATACAATTTAATATTGTGGTCATCATTACATAAATAAATCTAAAAATTTACAGGAAGGGCACTACTTGGTTTTTGCACGAGATCTTTAAACTAATCCCTGCCATTAGCTTGTTTTGAGAGTGTAGATTTCAAGATAACCTTCTGAAAACAGCAGGCTTGAAAACTATCTACGTTGATGGGTTTTTTGCTCTAGTCTTGCTTTATACGGATTCAATTGTAAGCTAAAATCACTTTATAAACGCCCGTTTTTTTTTTTTTTTTTCAGGAACTGATTTTCAAATGTTAGGAAACACGGAAACATGACAACGTTCTGTTTTCGGAATAAAAAGATTATACTACGTCAGATGAATTACGCCAATGAGCAAACAGCTATTCTTATGCACGGATGTCCGTAATTTAAATAAAGAGAAATCTAAAAGAAGAAGAAATAAGTAATATTACACTGTATATGCTTATGGAATTGTATATTTTAAGTTGGTCATACAATAAAAAGCAAAGATCGGCTCTCCGTCAATCTTTTTTACAGCCAATCTGGATCAACTCAAGTCGTGTGAGTGCTCGTCTATAAAGCTATATTTAAGATGTATGTGGCACTTTAGCTATGCAACAAGTAAAAATTTAGCTTACCAGGCATTCTAATTATGTAGTTCTCCTATCTAAATGCTATTCTTGGATCTTATCTGTCAACTGAAAACGAAATGAGCCTCAGTCTTAGTTACAAAAAAAAAAAGAGTTAAGGTGATACAAAGATGGCTTAAAACAATAAATCAAGAAATCAGGCCAATTAGAAAAAAGTCGCAGCTTTGCAAAAAAGCAAGATCGGGAACTAGGTTTTTATGGTTGCAGTAGCTCTTTTCAATTCAAATGAAGAAAAGAATAGATATATTAACATCAGCCGATTTTTGAATTGATAAAATGATTGTGGCAAGTAAATGAATTGCTCGTGACCCATGGATGCCTATATCGATCAATTCTTTTTTTGTGTGTAGTACAGCATAAAATGTCCTGTGAGAATCATTCACACGCGAATAACCGAGTAACTAGGTAATCCTTTCGAAAACAAAAACAGGGAAGTTCTGGGACTGAATAAGATGAGGCTTTATGCACAATCATATCATTCTACATGATGATTGTAATTTTGCCACTTTTAGGCATAACTTTTGTGACTTTAGGATAAACAGGGTGGTGATGAAATCATTTTACAAAGATGAGGGATACCTCTTTTTTTTTTTCTTCATGAGTAAAACCTGACAACTGGTAAAATGCGGTTTTTAAATGTTTTTTTAGACCGTTATCTTTTTTTTTTTTTTATAAAGTAATCAATTTACATGGCGACTAGACCTTATTTTACTTTTTATTAAAAACCATTATATCGAAAATAAAAGAGTAGCACAACACTACAAACAAGACTGAAACTTATCTTAGTCCTTAAATAACTTTCTGACTACAAAAGCCATACCGAGTTTGAACATTACCACCTTTCACTTCTTTTCTGTTCATTTCGACAAAGAAAAAAAAAAAACCTTATTTTGTATATATCATCAATGAACTCGACTTTAAATTATACCAATGCTACTGAGCTTCTCGAACAAGGAAAAGATAAGGTTAGTAGATAATACCCTTTGCATCGACAACGAGAAATAATTCTTTGTTGTGTTTTAGGATGCATATGCGGCCTTTCTTTCTGTCGTTGAACTTTCGACTCAACAACTTCACGGGGTCAAGTTTGTACATCAAAGTAAGTCTAAAAGGCGAGATATATATAATAAATTATTTGATTCAGTTACTTACAATACTTATAGCCATTATATCTAAACCAAGTCAATATGAGGATTCCATGGCGTTACTTCGTTCTTGCCTTGATCAATTAGAAAAAATAGCTATCCAAAAATTGCCTGGCGCAATTCAGTCTACTACGAAAACCAAATCTCCGCCTCCTGTTCCACCAAAACCTTCTCTTATTCACCAAAAGCCGACAATTCCACCTAGGCCGAAAAAGGTCATTACACCAAATGATATCAATGTGAGTAAAAGATCAAGAGGAAACTCTGTTAGTTTTGCTGGTGTACAACAAAACACAATTATTGAGAATGATGAATTGCCAGAAACTATAAATAAAACAGATGAAACAGGAACAGTCATGATAGAAGAAGATGATGACGATGATGACGATGTAGTAATAGAATTTGAAAACAGTAAGCCCTAATTTACGAATAATTTATTATAGTTTGATTAAACAGAAAAAACAATGTAGCTAAATCACCAAAGAGACCATCTACCATAAATAACACGGTTCCGCCGGCATTACCAGCGAGAACAACGAGAGGAAGAAGTAAATCCTGGGTAGTCTCCAGTAACTCGACATCTAAAAGAAATTCAATCGATGTCTTGTTGGAAACTGTTGTTGACCCATCAAATCTTGTGCCTGCGCAAACAAACACAGGAGACAGTTTAGCGATACCAAACACATCTCAAACAACAGATTATGTTCCAAATATTCCTGCACCACCGCTATTGGCTACTCATCGTAGACTACATCAACGTTTAAATGAACTTGAAACGGATTTGGAGAACTGCAAAGAAGCTGAAGGGTTTCTAAGATCAGAAAGAAATCATAAAGTAGTATGTGCAAGACAGACTTTGGAAAAAGTGCGTACGTTATATATGAGTGCAATGACTATCCCGGATATATTACAATTCCCACCACATTTAACTGCTTATCAGTTAACTATCATCGAATCTTCGATTTTTCGGGTTATACCTCGCCAAGCATTATTGTCTCACTCTGGTCGCACTCCTCACCGAAAAATAGTTGCGTCAACTGATTTTTTTAATTTCATGACAAGATCCATTGAACATTCGATTTTATTACCCCAAGAAGCATCAAAGAGAGCCGAAATTATTCACAGGTGGATCAAAATCGCAACCAAATTATTATCTCTTAACAATTACCAAACTTTAAAGGCCGTTATTTCAGCTTTAGGTACTCCTCCTGTACAAAGACTAAAAAGGACTTGGGAATGTATACCCAAGAAGAGAATGGCAAGCCTCGAGCTGCTTTCGACCTTGATGTCGGAAACAGACAACTACCAAAGATATCGCGAACATGTTGGTTTAGAAAAGAACAGGCTTTGGTCTAAACCTGTCGTGCCATTTCTTGGTGTATTTATTCATGATATAACCTATATTCATGCTGCTTGTAAAGGAAATATTGATGATTCACGTATACAAGATGTCTTGAACAATGTCCAGCTCTTCCAAAAAGCACCAGAATATCCCCATATACCTCCAGCTTCTTTCAATACCACAAAAAAGCATTTATTCCGTTCCTCATTACATTTTGGTTCATCTTCCACCAAAAATACAAATCGGGTCACAACAGCTGCTCTTATGGGTGAAGATCAGAGGCAAGAAACTGAAACTGAATTAGAGCAACAGTTGATTGTGCAGTATATTCTCATGAGATCTTGGGTCAGCGAAAAAACTATCGACGCTCTCAGTAATTTACGTGAACCATCAAAACCAAGACCTACATCTCCTCCTATAACAACGTCAGGCAGTTTTACCAGCCCAACCCGACCAAGTAGTAACGTATTTAGCATCAGTCCAAGTGTCAGTACATCCACCAATGCACCCCTGTCTCTCATGACAAACTCATCTATCTTATCAAATAACGGACCTGCACTGAGTAGCACTAGTTCATTTATGAGATTCAATTCACTTACCAGCACCTCAATCGATGCACATACAGAACCTCATATCACATCCGAAGAAACCAAGAAGTCCCTGACTGGTTTCTGGCCATTCAGAAAGAGCACCGACATCAGTCGTAACATAACGGATTCATCATTGTTTGTACCTCAAGAGCAAAACTGGAGTGAGGATGAAGACGATGAAGATGATGAGAGCGATATTTCTAATAAGCACGGGCATGTTGTGTTTAGAGAAAAATCAACTATCGGAGCAACAAGAGGCCATAACAGGTCCATTTCACTGCCTGTTAAATCCATTTTGGTATCAGACACGTATAAATAGGCGTTGTTTGTCTTTTGGTAAACTACAGTAAAGTTCTTATAAAGATTTACAATAAACTTTAGCCTTAACTAGTTAAATTTTTATGCCTGCAAAAAAAAAAAAAAAAAAAAAAAAAAAAAAATATATATATATATTTATATATATATAAAAGTGAGGGAGTTTTAAAAAGTTTGCTCTTTTCTTTCTTATAAAACATTTGCAAATGATACCCAATAATACAAGCAAGAGAAAGTCTAGCTTTAACGCTTCCAGCCCGCCACCCTCTAGAAAACCATCTTTACACGCGGCATTTTCGCCACCTCATAATAGTATGGCGACAAGCCCTCCCGCACCACCTCAATTTGGCCGACCAATGACTTCAGCGGCAGCAGCAGCTGCTGCTATCAAACGTAGCAACAGTAATACTAATTTCACAACCCCACCACCACAACCTATACAAACACCACAATATAGAAGACAAAGTGGGAGTACGGCACCACCTTCACGTCAAGGATCGATTGAAACTGATCGAGAAGGAAGTGTAAACACAACAGCCGCAGACGATGAAGAGAATGCTGTTAATTCATCGCAACAAATATCAGACGGGAAGGAAAAAGAAAAGGAGGCTGCGGAAGGCGAAGTTGAAGACGATGAAAAGGAAGATATAGTGGTCGACATGGATGCTCACATGCAAGCTCAAATGGAAAAAGCTAAAGAGGACATGATGACGCTGCTGGAAAATTTTTCACCAGATCAATTACAACGTTACGAAGCCTATCGTCGATCAGCATTAAACAGAACCAATGTGAAAAGAGTAAAGTTGTCAATTAGAATTAGAAAAGAGAAAAAGAAACGCATTGTACTAAAAAATTAGGGTGTTGTTGTTGTTTTATTAGTTGGTAAGTCAAGTGCTCAATCAGCAGATTTCTCAAACAATGGCGTTTGTTGTTGCGGGTTTTTCCAAAGTCTATGTAGGTGAAATTGTGGAAAAAGGTAATTTCAAGCTGAAGGTGGTAAAATTTGATTAAAAACAAACTTTATTTCTCCTCAAACATTAGCTAGAGAAATCATGGAAGAATGGGGTCATAGTGGAGCTATCCGCCCCGAACATTTACGTGAAGCCCACCGAAGATATAAAAAGCATGAAGTAACCAGTTCTTCTTTGGGCAGAAAATTATAAAAATAAATAAAAAATGATGTGTGTGTGTGTGTGTGCCACACATATGCTATAAAAGGACATGTGCAAACAACAAACTTACAAAAATAACCTGATGGCAAATTTCGTTGTTATTGTTGTTGGCTATTTTAGCCATTTTCTTGTTTCTTTATCTTGCCTTCTCTTCTTTTTTTTCAATAATCGTTATTCAAATACTATTTCTTTCTTCCCCTTCTACTTGCTTCTTGTAAATGTATAACATCCCAATGATGTCTCCGCCACACGAGCCAAAAGCCTGTGGGTGTTTGTCTCTTAGAGCCGGATGCGTTGTCATTTGCTTTATTTGGGCGGTAAAGAAAATATTTCTACAATAAAATACATTTTCCATTGTACCAACATATTCTTTATATTTTAGGCATTCTCAATGTATTTGGCAGTACTATCATTCCAAAATCAGAGTTGTAAGTATTCTAATTGAGCTCTTATTGTTTGATTCTGACATTTTCTTGACTGTAGTATTTTATTCTTATTTGGCACAAGCTCCCATCATGGTATATGGCGTATGCAATCTTATTTTGTCCATAGTATCTATGGGCGGCATTGCCGTGCTGGCTATTGTATGTACACACGTTTTTTAAGGAATATTAGCCATGTTACTCATTTAATACATAGAATGTTAGTGCATATGTCCAGACCCTTTCCCATTCAATCTTCGTCTGCGTATTTCTCGTTCTGGTTGATGGATTCGTTAATGTCATCCTGTTCATCACAAGTCAATCTGCCTTTTATAACTGGTGTGTAGACTCTTCATCACAAACAATCACAGAAACAGTTAACGCCACTCTTATTGAAACCAACAATACTCTCAACTTTGATTTCTCAAACTCTGACTATTACAATTGCCATAATCTTTGGCAGGATGAATTGAAATTTGGTATCATTTTTTACATCTTAATGTTTGCTTTCTACGTAGGTTTTTTTTTTAAAGAAATCAATAGACTTTCCCTAGGTACTAAATTACTCATTTTTATGATTATTTAGATTTATTGGGCGTTATGCATTTATAGATGTTCTCTTTATAGAAGAGAGTATCAAACCTCTGCTGACTTTGCTCATTATCGCGAAGGCATGCCCATGATGACCGGTGCCAATGTAAATATACCACAAGCTGCCATAATCAACGGAAACCCAAATCTCCCTCCTGGTGCGACTTTCCCCAATGACCGAAGCATCATTGTTTTAAACAACCAAAAGCCACGATCAAAATCTAACAAAAAGAAGGAAGCCTTCTCATTTAGAAACATTAAAAAATCTATTGTCACCCCTTCAACAGTTTCGCCCATGCATGATCAGTTACATGTGCCCTTTAGTGACACCTCAAGACGGGACTCACAATTCACCATTGGCTTCCGGTTAGGCCCTGATGGTAACATCATCGATATTGAGAATGCTCCTTCTCCAACTCCAACATATATAAACGGAGCGGCGATAATTGATAACCAACAACAACAGTTAAAACGTAAACCAATAACTAAAGAAGATCATCATAACCAGTATCACGATGGCAATGACGAAGGATATTACTAAATTAACATTCAAATATTCCCAAACAATTCCCTCTTCCCCTTCATCATATATACATATATATTTAAAATAAATAAATGCATTGTAACTACGTAATAAAAAAGGAAACATTGATGTAAATTTTTTAATTGATGTACTGATTACAAAGGCGCTCCATTGGCTTGGTTCTCCATGATTATCGGGGATCACAAAAACCCTTTTACGTGGGCTTAACATGACTTTTTCGTATTTTAGTTGGCTACTAGCACGTAATAGTCAATCAACTTCCGAACCTTAAAGTTGACGTCGTGAGAATGTCAATTAATGATGCACAATGATACGTTTTCAAGGTATATATAATCGCTAGTAATTCCAATATTTATAGAATAACTTAATTATTTTTCGTTGTGTATCAACCCAAATAGGTCACCTACAAAAATATTACCTTTTATAATCTGGATACTGTCACCCAACCCGGCTCTGTTTTTATTATGGGTGTAACATACTACGTAGCGACAATAGTAACCTAACCTTTCAACATCATAAATGAACACAAAAAAACGGAGGTTCAAACATCATACATATTAAGTGTACCAAGTGCAAGCAAGTCTTTTTTTTATTTTTGATTATGCCGCTTGTAATACTTCGAAAGTGCCGCTACTTATGAAGTGAAACTTAGATTTGACAGCTTATTTTTAAAGCAAATGTGCTTAATCCGCCTTAAAAATGTAATATCGGCTGTCCATTTCAAAACTTGATATTTGGGATGTGACACCCGGACATGACATGTAAATAAGCAGGTTCGGGGTTTCATGAAATAAATAAAAACTACACTGTAACATATGTACCAAAACAAAGGCGGGGCGTGTTGTCTCGAGTAGAATAATGCACGCACAAAAATATAAGCATAAATGCCTTTCAAGGCACTTTACTGAGTTTGCTCTATTATTTCTACATATTGCTACAAAGCTACTAGCACAATATACAGCTATATACCCATATAAATACATATGTCCAACTTTGAAAACTTCTCGAAATAACTAGGACCATAGCAGACCTTCTTTATATATGAAATACTGATCTTTAGAATAATTGATTTTTGTCTAAACTGTGATGTCAAATTCTGGTTTCTACCAAGATGTTTTTATAGATTGAAGTAACTGTGGGGAACATCATTTCCTGATAAAAAAAAGAAAGAAAGGTGTATAACGACATGAATTGGGAATGGATTTCTTCAATGGATTTGGGCTACACTTGTCACCGAGGCTTTATATTATGCTGTTTAGACGGATATGCACTCTCTTAACCTTTGGATAGATTCCAGCGTATAAGCCATAGATTCTTTGGACAAAAGCCGAGGTGTTGGTATATGTTGAATCACAGGTAAATACGTCTATAACTTATTTTTTAATGGCCCAAACGATGGCAGTAGCCTGATTCTAATTTTTTTTTTTAGGGATTTCGATTCGTATTTGATAGACTACATAAACATTTATTTCCACGTGCACTTTAAGAAACAAAAATTTAAAAACCGGAACTAGGGAGAGCTTTAGTAGAAAGGTCTTCATAAAGTATTTCAGCATTTTGTTGAGATTTTTAAAACGTTTTGGTAAATAACACCTTCAAAGTTCATATAGCAAATGTATCTTCTAAGAATGCCAAAATCGACGTGAAACCATCCTTTCTAGACAAACAACTTTGCTGTGCTAGGTATACTTATCTCCTTATTGGCGGAGATACGCTTAGTATGTGACGTTTACTGTACTGATGGTGTAACAAGCATGGCAACAATAGAAATTCCTTTTAACGCGACAAAATCAAGGAACACGGAAGAGTGTAACATATCAAAATGAAATGATTTAAGAGAATTCTGCTCTTGTGTTTGCATTATACTTTAATGGGGTTGTAATGTTGAGAAAAGCAACAATGACCTATTCAGGCGAAAATTGTAAACAAGAACGGATCTGCTTATCGAATTAAATTTCGAAGATGCAAATATTTACATTGAATCGAAATAGTAATTTTTAGAAATTCACTTATTCCTGATTTTAAAAGCATTGCAATCAACTTAAAGGAAGAAAGGATCTCCGGTAGACAAAATTTATGCGGTCTGTGGCTATTGGGCCTGACCAGACCTGTATACATTAAAATTTAAGCGATCTTACTGGTTGAACTGCATATGAATCATTCATTATCAGAATTCTTATTGTGAGTCTTACTTTCATGTAAGTAACATGACTTTTTTCTTTTTCTTTTTTTTCAATGGCTTGATGTATGAAAATAAGACAAACGAATGTATGACCCGGTCAAGCTTAAAACCTTAAAAGGCCGTGGGAAGTTTACTCGTAATGACACACTCACAAATATAAGAGCTTAATTTAACAGCTCCGAGTGAATCGTCGTGACTATTAATCTTGATGTTTTATTTAAATGGACCTTCAATCTTGAAGTAAGTTACTTTTTCCCTCGTTTCTTCCTTTTATCTATAAACATGTTCTCAGCAAGAATCTTACCCTCTTTCAAGCGTACTGCTTTTGCACAATCCAAGAGACTCAGTTCTCAATTAAGTGTAAAATATTGTGTATGAAATAAGCTAATCATGATACTAATATCTTCTTTAAGGCAAGCAAACTCAAAGTAAAAAAGGCTGATGCACTTAAACCTTTAGTTGCTAACAACGAGCTTATCTTTGGCCACACTTTCACTGATCATATGTAAGTTAAGATTGTTTTTTTCTCTTTGTGATATCTGACAAGATATGATAGGATTACTGCCAACTGGGATGAAAAGAATGGTTGGGCTGCTCCAGAAATCCGTCCCTACGAAAATTTGAGTTTGGCCCCTAGTGCTGTCGTTTTCCACTATGCCTCAGAGGTAAGACAATGAAATTCACAAAAGCTAAGCGACAAAATTTTAACTGGTGTTGTTAGTGTTTTGAAGGTATGAAGGCATACAAGGATGAGCACGGTAAGATCCGTCTTTTCAGACCTGACATGAACATGGCTCGTATGAACAGATCTACTTCGCGTATCGCACTTCCCGTAAGTAGAAAGCATATGGATTGTTATTTAATGTGACATGACGTGACATTTAACTTTATCTCGTTTAGAATTTTGATGGCGATGAGTTAATCAAGATTATCGGAGAATATTTGAAGACAGATGAGAGATGGATTCCTGAAGGAAAGGGATACTCACTTTATTTGCGTCCTACCATGATCGGTACACAAGAAATTTTGGGTGTTAATGCCCCTACTAAGGCTCTCTTGTTCGTCATTGGTTGTCCCGTTGGTCCTTATTACAAGACTGGATTCAATGCTGTTCGTTTGTTAGCCACTACAGAGTATGTTCGTGCATGGCCTCGCGGAACTGGTGAAGCCAAGATTGGTGGAAATTATGCTCCTGGTAATACATTATTAAAACACCGCACAAGATTTACCCCACTAATTCTTTAAAAACGAATTATTAGGTTTGTTACCTCAACGTTTGGCTGCTGAAAAAGGTTATCAACAGAACTTGTGGTTGTTTGGTGAAGAGCACTCTTTAACTGAAGTTGGTACCATGAACTTGTTTATCTTGATGAAGAATGACAATGGTGAGTTAGAACTTGTTACACCTCCTTTGGATGGATCTATCCTTCCAGGTGTCACCCGTGATTCCATCATTAGTTTGGCTAAGGAATGGAAAGAGTTTGAGGTCAAGGAACGTCCCATGACTATGCCTCAACTTCGTGACCTCATTAAGGAAGGTCGTGTTGTCGAGATGTTTGGCTGTGGTACTGCTTGTGTTGTCAGCCCTATCAAGGAAATTGGTTATTTGGGTGAAGATATTAAGGTTCCCCTTGATCCTAAAGATCCTAACTCTCAAGCCGGCCCCTATACCAGACGTTTCAATGACGCTATCAACGCCATTCAATATGGTGAGGTTGAACATCCTTGGTCTGTTGTCGTAGAGTAAATACTGTAGAATATAATTATCCCCTCTAGTGTCTTTTTAATGTCACCATTATTAAAATATCCTGTTTTTTCACGCTATACAATGATGTAACACCTCCTTTTTATAAAGAATCAATGCCATTATGTAACCCCTTTATATCTTATTATTTTTGTATATATGAAGTAAAAAATTGTATTTCTTACGAAAGACAAATACCATGAAATCTGCAAAATACCAAGAGTTTAGTCTTTCAAATTTTTGGAAGAACAAGAGTAACAGCGCTACAATGAAGAAGCCTGAAGAAGCCGATACACTAATGCAATGCCCAACCAGTATGGTTCTACTTTTTATTCTATCTTTGGAGGCCGTTTTGGTATCCATTATCGAAGGGTTTATTATATACTTTCACAGTATGGTGTTTGCACAATGCAAATTTACATTGGATACACTGGGGTTTGGACAGGCCGATTTGATTTACCATGGCATATTTATCATGGCCCCCATCTACCAGCTATTTTTGTACTTGGATGCGTTACGGCAACGAAATATAATTCAGTTATTTGCGCTCATAATATTTAGTAAGTTCATTATAATCCAACATTATATCTGGTATTAAAGATTGTGATTTTCACAGGTTTTCTCATGGTGTGCTTTTCAGCTATCCAAACAGTCCAGCACATGACATATGAGCAAGCAGGTTGCAATCTGGATTACCGAAACGCAACCCAAGTAAACTCAACGGATATAGCATCGTCAGCGTATGATTTTCAAGACGACATTGATGCTGGTGTATCAAATATTAGACCCTTTGAATACGCAGTTGCTAGTGTCATAGGTATCTGTTTCATTATTATGCTTGCCTGTTCCTTCAAATTGTACAAGTTGTTTCACTGGAATAATTACTTGTCACATACGTTTACTGACTTGCGTCTACGTAACGCACTTATTGCTTGGTCTGTTGTTACAGGCTTACTCAAAATTGATTTCTTCTTTATATTTGCGTATGCCATACAGCTAGTACCGGCAGCAGTAATTGGATATACTGATATACTTGCGTTTGAATGTATTATAGTCTATGGTATTAGTTTAGTTGGATTCTTGCTTGGGATACATTCTATCAGAAACGAAAACATGAAGGCTTTAACTGCGCTCAGTACCATCATCACATTTTCAATTGGATATTTTGTTTACCGACTTTATACATTTATAATTCCAAGAGAAACAACAGCAGATCCATTTTGGGTAAGTACCTTTAAGTGCCCTTAAAGCGACAATTTAAACTTACGACTAACTCTAGTTTCTTAATTTAAATAGCTGACAAGATATGAACTGATCTTTACAGCAATGACAATGACTTTACTATCGATTACAACACTCGGTGCATGCTTAATTTGTATCAGAAATGTTTGCTTGAAAAAGGTTAGAATACTAGAGAGCTTCCAGTGTGTTTGCACCACATGTTACATGCATACGGCAACCATGGAATCCGCCTCAAGTATCAAAAAGCAATCGCTCGATTTGGAGCCAATGGTTACTGCACAAAGTTTTAGAGGTCAAATATATTAAACTTAAGAAACATTTATAATTTTTTTTTTTTTTGAAATTTTTTATTCAATTAATAAATTTTTTAAAAACTAACACAAAGCGCGTTCAAGATCCTAAAAGAAACTGAAGAGATATATTAATAAGTTATTCATAAAATGGTTTTTATAAAAAATGGGGAGATAGAAGAGTGTTTGTCTCGTAACTAAGAAGACAACCAAATAAGTGCAATAAAAAGATAAAGCAGGTTGGCTTCAACTCTATCGAGACGGAATCGTCTAACTCGGACCACACCTAGAACAGGTGGATCACACTTAAGACGATATAATTGATCTTCCACGAGTGTAACAGAGAACCATCATTGTTATTTGAGCGCAAGGCTCGTCGGTTCACCTGACATGACTTGTGGGATTTGTTCAAAAGAACAATAGAAAAAAATAGAAAAAAAAACTGTCTTTGATAATTACCTTTTACTTTACTAAGTGTTAAAAAAAATACAAGAAAAAAGTTTTTCTCAGAATGTTACAAGGCTTTTTATATAAAAACTGGTTTAACAGGTCACAAACAAGATAAGCCACAAATTTTCTATTGTCGTCCTGGCTTATTTTCTTTTAAACTACAGCTTTTCTATTTTCTTGACAATGACTACCATTAAAGAATATGCGCAAAAATATAATGAGCTTTCGAATAGTAACGAATTCACACAAATACCTTTAATAAAAAATGAATGGAATATTTTAAGGGACAGGTGTGTGAGCATGTGTGTTTAATTGAGAAGGATATGGTTTTAACTGTTTCTTATCTATTAGCGCAGAGATAAACACGTATATGCCCTCAGAGAACTGTGTCAATATCACAACCGGAATTACGAATTTTAAGACAGAGGCAGTAAAAAACTTCAACTCGGTTGATTTAAGCCAAAGTATCACCAATAAACGTGGTCATGTATTAAACACAGGTGGATCAGTATGGGCTCTTGAGTTTGTTCCTAAAAAGGCTTGCTTAGATCATGATCATACACAATATTTAGCTGTAGGTGGTTACAACTCAGTAACTGAGCATCACACCTTCGCAGAGAGCCCGCATTGTCGTAACGCTATTCAAATATGGCAATGTACATCCGACACAAATTCTTCTTTAAAACCGCAGTTAGATATGTGCATTTTACACGATTTCGGAGTAGTTGTAGATTTTAAATGGTGCCCTTCAAGTGTCTATGACGAAGCGGATAAACTTGGAATTATGACGGTTCTATTCGGAGATGGTCAAGTTCGAGTGTTTGTTGTGCCGCATCCCAATCTAGTACGCGAACAAAACAATATACCATTAGAAGAGACCGTATACAGTAAGCTCTACAAAAGGTTGCTCTTACTGTTCCACTAATTATAATCGTAGTCCTAGCAAAATCCCCGAGGCTTTTACTGAAATTACCAAGGGCTTACAACATGTGCATAGCTTGGGGAGGATACGACAGGTTGGCATGTGGTACGAAACTAGGGGGTATAATTGTATGGGACATACTGAAGTCTCTCAAATCCCAAGTACCTATTGTCAGTGTTAATATCTGCAATGCTAGTTTACTGGCAATAAAATGTCTTTCGTGGATATCTTTGCTTAACCGAGATATCCTCATTTCTTCAGATTCAGACGGCAATATTAACCTACATGATATGAACGATCCATTCATAGTATCAAAAATCTTTAGAGTGCGATGTAATTATGGTCTAGGACAATAAATTTGGCCTTAATCTAATGAATTAAATAGGTACGTATATCTGTATAGCAGGTACAGGGCACGGATCAAGGTTCTGTTTTGGTGATACGGACGGCATATCTAGAATAAACTTAACTTTTCAACAAAAGAAATCGGTCACATTAACTGCGCACAATTGTCTGATTTGGTCTATTGCAACAAGTCCATTTCATGGTATTGCTGCTACAGCAGCATCAGATGGCACTCTTATGGTCAAACCTTACTCGAGTGAGAAAATTAAATTCAATCCGAAACACAAGGTAACAAATTTATCCACATAGACACGATCGTTTACACAAAATCATAGTTGAATATTCTAGAATATACATTATATAAACTAATATTTGATAACGACACTCAAACATTTCGATATGTCGATGGATTGCTACCCAAGGTATGACTACGTGATATTGTTCTTCTCCTTTTATTACTTTCCGTTGGCACTAACACACACATATCAGACAAAATTACCTGAGCAATTGTATCATAATATACTCACAGACCCCATCGTTTCGATCCATAAGGTAATATTTATGCACAATGATGATACCAAATATTAAGACTACAACATAGGTTGCGTGGAACAACAATAATAATGCCAGTGGGTGGGTTGCGTCTGGTGGAAAAGCCGGGCTCTGCAGATTAGAATTCACAGGATGTTAAAACTTTAAAAACTTTAATAAAAGAAATTCGCACGATACAAATAGTTCTTTCGCTTAACTTTTTTCTTTCACAACATGTCGACACAAATAGCTCAGATGAGTAGCCATTCTGGGGTTATTAAAAAGGTCAAGATTACAGAAGAGCATGCTGTATTGAGTATTGAAGAGCAAGAAATAAAGAAACAAGAAGAACAGTTGGCAATTGTTAAGGAACTTAGAAGCTCAGAAGTCTGGCATGAAGCCATTCCCTACAGCTACATGACACCTTCAGCAATCAGACATTCACTTACGGCAACAACACTTCGTGGGACACACAAAATTTTGCGTCGACCACTCAAATTCTTAAAGGATAATCCAAGCGAGTGTATCGTTATTGTTTACCTTGGTGATCATTTGTAAGTGTGTTACCGTTTGGCAGTTATTGGGGATAGAAAGCATATGATGAAAAACTCGAAGTTCCCTTTTAAACCGTGCATTTATGATGTTTTTTTGGGTTATGGGCATGTTGGGGTTGTATGCGATTGGGTTAATATCCTTATTTGGAAACGGATGTTACCTAAAAAGTCAGGTATAATATTAATAAGGATCAATAGGTGCGGAAACAATGGGATTCACAATGGATTATTGGCCACCTTACTTGATGAACAGCTAGCTTATGTGGTATTGTACAACTTGGGCGAAAGAAGTCTTGCTTTTAAATATTGACTAATTCGTATAGTCTCTCCCTAATTTACCTAATTTCACTGGTTTTACTGCGAATCTGGATATAAATTACTTTGAAACAGTTGGACCAAATCAATGGATTGTAATTCGTGGTATTTTAGACAAAGTTGAAGGCCGCAAGGCATTTGCGAATGCGTGGATAGAAAATCTAGAGGGTGTACGAATGACAGAAGCCAGATCCTTATACATTAGTCCTAAAACCCAATAATTTTTGCCCCACACCTGCAAAGATTGGAAAAAAAAATATCTTCTTTTTGCAGCACCCAAATCCTGGGGAACTGAGTTTTTTTTTATTTATTTTTTTGCCAATTAAATTTTTGATGCCTGTCTTGATCTCCACTGCCATTTAAAGGTACTGTTTGTATAAAAGCTAATCATCGGCAGAGATTAAATCCTTTTTTCTTCACCCTTTTTTCACTTTTTTCTAAAAATTATTATGGACGTGGATAAGCTTACTGCCATTCCTGGAATTCCCTATCCCCAATTTTATGAATTCTTCATGGATTGGAAGACACCTGTAGCCATTGCTGCATCATACGCTGTCCTCGTTCATATCTTCAATCCTTCTGCTGAGTCTGCCAAGCTCTCCCGTGTTGAAGCCAAGAACCGTGGTATCAACAATGCCTCAAAGTCTAGCAAGTTCATGACTGCATTTGTCTTTTTGCACAACTTGTTCCTCTCCCTTTATTCCGCCATCACTTTCATCAACATGGCTCAATCCATGCACAAGACCTTCAACCGTGGTTCATCAATTCACGATGCTGTAAGTATATAAGAGAGTGAAAGAGTATTGGATCATGTTATTAATAACGTTTACATAGTATTGTGATATGGATAGTTTCTTATGGAACGATGGACTTGGTTACTGGGGTTATCTTTTCTATCTCTCCAAGTTTTACGAAGTTATTGATACCGCTATTATTATCATTAAGGGTCGTCGTTCATCTCTTTTACAAACCTATCATCATTCTGGAGCCATGATCACTATGTGGTCTGGCATGCGTTATCAAGCACAACCTATTTGGATCTTCGTTGTATTCAACTCATTCATTCACTCCATCATGTACATGTATTATGCTTTAACCTCAATTGGTCTTCACCCTCCCGGAAAGCGTTATTTGACTACTTTGCAAATCTCCCAATTCTTGGTTGGTGTCTCCACTGCCATCAGTTACACAATTGTTCCCAACTGTCTTAAATCTCCCGGTCAACAATTCGCTGTCGCTGTCAACGTTGCCTATCTCTTACCTCTTACATATCTCTTTGTTGACTTTGCTCGCAAGACTTATGGTAAGCGTAAGGCTGTCAATACCAAGAAGTCCGAGTAAAAAATCCCTTTTATCATCCTTTTCCAAATATATACAGGGGGAGTGGAGAATCAATATAATAAGAAAACAAAAAGCAAGCCAAAAAAAAAAAAGATAGAAAGGGACACGTTTGTTAACCTTAATCATAATATCTATCACCCTTATACACAAACAAATCCCTATTTATTTAGACATCCTTACTTTATTTTCTATTTATTTTAATTCTTTCGTTCTTGGATATATTTCATCCCAACATTTGTAATATAAACCACTTTTTTCATTTAAGAATAAAAAAATTCAATGAACTCATTTAATTACTGGTTTCTATCAAGTTTCAATTAGACCATCCAATAGCGACACACCTTATTTTGAAACAGGTTTCATTCCGTGACTGACATCGTAGCCAATTCAGGGCTTGTTTTTTCTTTAGCTTTTATAAAATGTTGCGATCTTGTGCTGTGGCATTCCAATCAACCCGTAAATCCCTCGTTGAAGAAACACGTTTAAAGGTAGACATTTCATAAGCTTCGGCTAAAACTTGCTAACCACCTTCCCTTCCTAGACTTTAAATCTGTACAGATCGCTGCTGCGATCGAGCGAAAAATATCAACATGCGTCCGTATTACAAGACTTGATCCGCGACAGATTTAAAAAGAACAAGCACAATACCTCCAGGCCAAAAGTGTTTGAGCTGCTGGTTGAAGGGGACCAGGTTAGTTTTATATGGATATTCTCGCCTATACTAGCTAAAGGTTAGCTTAGACACGGCTGCTTTTGGAAAATAGAAGTTTGGATAGCCAATGCATGGTGCAGAACAAAATAAACATCTATATTGAACAACACCGAGTATGTTGATCCCGATGCTCTTGTTTAATAGTGAGTCTAATTTTTTTTTTTTTTTTTTTTTTTTTTCAGAAATCAAAGATCAGACCACAGCATCAACCTCATCAAAAACGAGAGAAGAAAGAAACAAAACGGAAACCATATCAGGTTGCAATCACGACACAAAATTCTAGTGGTTATAGCTTTAAACGTGTAAGAGGCTGGGTGCAGCCTGTTCGGACAGCCATGATGTTGAAGAATAGAGTCAAAACTAATCAAATCAGGTTGGATAAGCTTTCCGAATACAAATCATGGCTAGAAATGGTTAGATCTGAGCGGCTATTCTTAAGCAATTTGGGCTGCTTACCAAGTGATAAATTATATGAAATGGGTATGTCGACTGAAATGGGAATTGACTTGTATATTAAAAAAAAAACTCAAATCATTTAGAAAGTACAATCAAAGCAGCAATTAAAGAAAACAACGAATATCACTACCATGCCAAATCATTGATGGAGGGCGGTGATGACAAGTAGAATAAAATATTTCGAATTTACTGAGTAAGAATATACATTTGTTTCATTTTTTATTCATATTATGTCACTGATCGACATAAAAAGGAAATCCTGGATATTATATATCCTGTTACTGCAATGCGTAGTAGCTAAGTAATATATGGCTACCGACTTTCAGCTGGCTGAAATGGGAATTTCAGCAGACAAGCATTTGTGATAGTGATAAAAATAGCTCATAAAGCCATGCTAATTATCTTGTCTCAGTATGCATGGTATATCGAGATGGCAGCAATAATATTGACAGATAGCTTATGCGTATGAAGTTTTTTACCATTAAAACCTCTCAATTAGCTACAATGTAACTCATCCGGCGATAACGACTTCTGCCATTAATTATCACAATGCTTTTTGTCGATACATACTGGGCTCATCGATTATCCTTTAAATATACATATTTCCTATTTGCATCATGGCCATTACCTTTTATAAACCAGCCAGTTTTTGTTTATTATTATTATGCTAGTGTATATTTAAAAACGGTCGCCTCTTCTTCCTTGAGGTCTTCCTCCACCACTGCCAAATCTGGAATTACTATCTCTGCTGTCTCTTTTGTCTCTGTTGTCTCTATTGTCTCTGTTGTAAGGTGCTCCCCCGAAATTTCTTCTTACACCTCTATCATTTCCTCCTAAACGTCCGCCTCCAAATCTACCACCGTCACGAGATCCCCTTCCGCTGTCTCTGCCACCAAATTGACGGTTTCCTCTCAATTGATTTACAGGAGGTCCAATGAATACAGCGACATCTAAATAATCTCCAATGTAGAATTGACATTCTTCTAAAGTCTTTTTCTGATCTTCAGTTGGTTTTGCAGGTACAACACGTCCAATGTCTCGACTTTGGTATCTGGCACGTTCGGTATCAAGATAAACTAGTCTAAAAGCGATTCTGGCATCGGGATCCCGTGCTTCAGGAATTACTTGTTCAATGAGTTGAGCAAGTTCTTCAAGTGTTGCATTTTTCCTAAATTTTATGTCCCTAACGTTAATCAAGTATAAAGGACATTGACAATTCGCTTTAATTACCAGGTATAAAGACTTAATTCTTCTGATGGAACTGAATCGACAGTAAATTGGGCGATACTAAATGGCTGCAGTATTAACAAACTTGTTTAAACTGAAAGTGTTTTGACTTACTGGTTATGACCACCGTTATGGGTGAATACTCTTAATAAGAAGGGGCATTCCTATAATATGAATAAGTTAAACATTTATTTGAAAGAATTCAGAGTATTGAGTACCTTTTCACGGTCAACGGTTGAGGCCATTCTGAGTATATTGTTCTGTTTTAGAATAAAAAAGAAAAAGTCTAAGGCGCGTTGGAACAAAAGCATCCAACTGTGACTTCGATAATTGAAAGATGAACCTATTTATCATTTTAAAGCACAAACAGATCAAGACTTTCAAGCTTTCTACAGCGTACAGAGTAAAATAGTAATGTTTAGGAGAAAGTTCATCGTCAATGAATAAACAAATAAAAATATGCTGTCCTTTTCCGTCGATACAAGGAAGGGATGGTAATGCTCCCCATAACTGCTGGACTTTTAAAGTATGTCATGAGCCAGAATTCGCAACACTTGAGAGAACAGGTAGCTAATGTCATAGTTAGTATACTTTAATCTATAAATATCATACAGGCAGCTGTTAATAGGCATCAATAAATACAATTGTAATAATAGTAGTTCCATGAAAGAAAATATGTGTCTAAATTTAATATTTAGCAGTGCTGCTTATCACACATTATAGGTTATACAGAATGGCTTTGCTTCACAAAGTTAATTTTAATAATTTGGAATAAAATTTATTAGAAAGTATCATTTTTAAGATTATTATATATATACAGTAGATAAGAGGAAATGAATAATAGGATGGTAGTATGATGTATGCTCGTTAGTCTTTTAAATAACTCTTAGACGCTGGATGATCCATTGTCTTTATAGGGAAGTGAGTCGGTTTTGCTGCTGCTTTCATCCTTTCCGTCCATTAAAATTCGGGCAGCTCCGCTGGCAGTTTTCTTATTTTTGGCAATCTCTTCTGCAGATTCTTCATTATCATAAGGTAAAACCAGGTTCAAGAAAATAGACATAATACCAGCAATAATATAACCTGTGCTGATAACTGTTTCAACGGCATCCATAAGGCCTTGAAGTGCCTCATTCTCAAAAGTAGGTAATACGTGCTCAAACCAGGTAGGTACTAAAGATACACCTAAAGCGATAGCTAAAGAGCCAGCAACAATGACACGATCACGACGAGTCCAATCAAGATAACCGAGGATACGAATACCAGAAGTGGCGACCGATGCAAACAAAAATACAGTCATACCACCAATCAAAGGACTGGGGATGGCCAAAAAAGCAGCTGAAATTTTACTGAAGATACCACATAATATTAACAGGGCAGCACACACAACACCTGCACGACGGTTAGCACAGCGAGTGACAGCAATAACACCATTATTTTGACTAAAGGTAACAACACCCATACTTGTACCAAGGGCGGAGAAGATACCAGAAATACCATCAGCTAAAAGACCACCTTGGCATCTTTCTTCGTAGGCTTTACCTTCAATCTCCAAGCCAGAAACGTCACTAGCAGCTGTCAAATCACCGAGACATTCAATGATCATATCGAGTTGAACAAACAAAAAAGGAATAATACCAGGGCCATAAACAGATAATTTAAAGTGTTTCACCCAAAGGAAAGTACCAACAGGAGCAGCAGCAATACCGGAATTATCGAACATACCAACAGCAGCAGCGATAATGCAACCAACCATAAGACCAATCACAACAGAAATATTTTTAAGGAACACTGAACCAACCAATTCAATAACAATAATCATAAAAAATACTGACGCACCCAAAGCAAAATTAACGGGTCCGCCCCATGGTTGAGCATTAGGAGCAGAGACGCTAGGACAAAGCATAAAAGGGCCGGATGTAGGTCGGCTCATACATGGGCCTGCACCACCAGCCCAATTTTTCATTGCGGATGAGATCAAAGAGGTACCGATGACAGTCAGTACAATACCCATAACAAGCTTAGGAAACAGCTTGCGAATAATACGGGGAGGCAAGAAACTGATACCAACTGATAATAAAGCGCAAATCATCTAAGCTTTTGTTAATTAAACAATTTCAATGATGTAATTATAGCCATGTGTATTTACCTGTGTACCAAGAACTGCACCAAAGGCATCAGGGCAAGCCAAATAATTTACTGTTCCATCGGCTAATGTCTCCATAGGACATGCTCCGCTCTTGTACATATTTCCGATAATAGCTTGTGCGGCAGGTACATTAGGGAAGGCAACACCCATAATTTGAAGAAGACCAGCTCCAATAAAATACCGAGTTCTGGGAATCCGGATACGAACAATTTGAACCAGACTATATGAAAATACATGTTATTAAATATTGCATAATATTAATGATATAACTATAATACCTCATCAAACCGGAGACAATTAATGAGGCCGAAACCATGTAACGACGAGTATCCTCGTCTAGATTTAAGAACGTCGATCCTTGTCCTGAAATCATGATGGTAGGAGCAATGATTGCACCGATTACAGCCAAAAAATCTAATGATTCAAAAATTAGAAACTGCCGTGAGATCAAACATTATGCTAAATTTCTTACGTTGAAGACCCATCAGAAGTGTAACTAAAATTGGAATATCATCATTAGGTCCATAGAAAGGTGAGCTATTAGCTTTTTTGGTAAGGAATGGAATATTGGGTATGCTATTTAATCAAGGCAGATTTTAGTAAATGGTGCGAACATTAGCTTTTGTATGTTCTTTACCAAAGTGCAGCATAATCATAGTCACCAATCCAGCCGTCTCTGGTTGTTACTTTATGTTTGATTTGAGCCCATCTAGAATTAGGAGCTTCAATAGGTGTGTAGAGATCCTGAACTTCCTGAACGTTTTCAATGTTGATATCAGTGACATTATATTTCTTTTCCTCTGTGGTATATGAAGACATAGTAGACTATGTAATTTGTATTATGAAGTGAATTATATAATTAAAAGTGATAGGGAGAAAAGAAAAGAAAATAGATAAAATGTTTATCTAGTTTATATATTTTTTTATTACTTATGTCTTTATCATATTACTTATTCGTTTATCAATGGTTGCCCCGCATTATAATCTTTATAGTTTTTATTGTTAAAAACTGATAAAGGACAATTATTTTCTTAATCTCGGGCTATACAAGAAGAACCCTTATTAGGGTAGATAAATCGGACATTGCAAAAAAAATTACGACATTGGGATAAAAAAAAAGATAGACTAGGAATTTACACCTCTCATTTGTCTTGATTTTCACAGGGAATATATGTTATCTATAATCTTTCTTATCACGGCTTTTGCTTCAGATTTCCTTACAGTCCCTATCTTGTTATTTCGTGAATGGCACCATAAAGTTCGTCTAGAGTACGGTTCATATTGACTCTCTGTGCAATCTTATTGGCTTATCCCTTGTAGGTCGAGTCATGATCCTCTTTAACAAAAGAAGTTTTGATAGCATCGAATTATTTATATAGCAATAATGGAGATTGTATATTAGAATTTCAAACTTCCAGACTGGATTTTTGTCTTTGATATTTGCCCTCTACCCTTTTAGGGGAAATTATACCGACTATAATCTGCCTTTTTTAGTATCTTATCTGGGTTACCAACACAAGGTTTTTTTCACGAATACATGTCAGCTGAAATCAGTTTCGTTTTTTATGTCTTTTTTTTTTATAGTCCCAAATTTGGGTATGGGTTCGGCATAGAAATAAATGATGTGATTTATGGTTTTCTTCTATGTATCTAACGTATCTGATGCAATCTGATGTATAGTAATAATGTGGATAATAAGGTATATATGCGTACACGTGTTATTTCTATATCTCAGTATTAATTATTTGGTATTCTTATATTAAATATTGATAGAAAAAAACACTGAAAAGTAAACAGTGTCTTAAGGGTATAACTAGAAATGCTATAATTTAATTAAAAATGCAAAGTCTATTTTTATTTAATTAGTCAATTTTTTGCAACAATATAATGGACAAAAACATTTCAGCGAAAAACAGTTTCTCCCGCCTCCCGTTGTATGAGAAAATCTCAAATCATGTTTGAATTTAGAATTCTGGGCTGTCAAGGATCGGAGAAAAGATCTCAAGCACATACTAATAATAAGCCATGACAAGAAAATCTATCGTGTGACGATCCTACAATCATGATGATTAATTACATAATTACATATGGTAGAATAATTCTGAACTATGGCATTCGACTATTATTAAAACAGAATATGTTTTTATAATCAAACTAGATGGTTTTGGTGAATTAACAAGCGACCGAAAAAAAAAAAAAAAAAAAAAAAAAAATTACATGTGAGTAATACCAGATGTTAAAAATTAGAGGTACACAATAGGTGTATATTTTGTTCTTATCAGTAAAATATACTCTTTTTTAATACTGTTTGTTTTAATCAATTATATAAACTCTCTGTCCCCCCAGGTACCCCCACATACCCTTCGCCTTTTCTGTCTCTCTCTTTCATTCCTACACGCACTTTATACTACTTTACCTTGTTTTTTTTAATCTTATCATGAATCGATTTCCAAGAATAGATCTTTTTGACTTTAGTAATCATAAAGAGGAGATTGCGGAAAATATGATGAAAGCTGCCTCGGAGCATGGTTTTTTTTATGGTAACTTTTGGGTAGTAAATTCTTTCTTGCAGTTTTGCCAAACTAACTAGATTAAGTTACTTTTATTGCATTTAGTTGTAAATCATGATATCCCGGTGAAATATATTCGCCATATGTTCGATACAAGCCATTCTTTTTTTGATCTACCTGAAAGTACTAAAGAAAAATACCTTATGGATTACCCCCGCAATGCAGGATGGGAGAATCAATCGCAGGTAAATAATAAGAAATAACGAAGATAACTTAACCTATGTATTAAAATTATTACATTTTAAAGGGCTATTCTTCTGGCTCCAGAGAATCTTTGCAATTTTCGTTTCACAACACATCTGATTTAAGGCCTTCAGAAAAAGATATACCAGGCCTCGATTATACAGTAGAAACATTTATGATGCAATGCGACAGTTTGTCTCAGCAGCTTTTGGTTTGCTTCGCCATTGGCTTAGGTTTTCCCCAGGATTTCTTTAAAAGATGCCACGATATAAGCCAACCTGACTGTCTAAACTCACTTCGTTGTATACGCTACGCACAAGATATAAATCAAACATCGCACAAAGGACTGCCAAACATTGAGGCGTATCGTACTGAGGCCCATACCAATATCAATACTTTTTCTTTACTTTTTCAACAGCCGGGACAGGATGGGCTCGAAATTTACTATGATAATGAATGGACTTCGGTTACATTGAATGATAACGAAATCATATGCAACATCGGTGACATGATTGTTCGTTGGTCGGACGATCGTTTCCAGAGTAGATCACATCGTATCCGAAACCAAGGATCTAACAAATATCATGGCTCACAATCTTTTATAGAATACGTTAATGAAGCAAATAGATCCGTTATCATCCAAGGTCGTACCAAATATACCAAACCTATTACTGCTGGTGAATTTTTGATGACAACAATAGAAAAAAATTATATTGCCTTAAAAGCAGCCCACACTAGCTCTTCTAAACCAAATCTAAACTCTCCTGCTGTGGTTATTGTTTAAACTTTACATGCTATATATGTTGAATGCTTTTATATCCATCTTTAATATAGTACTTCTTACACAGACTGTCGTTTCTCATACATTTTACGGGTATTTCCAAATTATTGTGCCCCATTCAGTAAAAATTCTATGTGGTAATAGCGTCTCTTCTGCTGTTGTAGACATGTCAGTATAATTGTCCAATAAAATAAAAACTTGGTTTTGGAAAAAAATATCAGAACACAATATTGATCTTAATATCATACTATAATTATGCAGGCTAATTTTGAAAGGGTAATAATTCTGGTAATTTAATCTCGTTGTTCTAAATGGGGTCCTATGAGTGTAGTTTCGTTGAAAAAATTGATATACAACAAGAGCATACCTGTGATGAGATTTATTAAATTGATAGATCACCACACATAAAGTTAAAACAAGGAATACTTCTATCATTTTAGAAATTATGCTGTTGTCAAAATTATTTAAGGGGTTTACGAGCAAGTACTCTGATTATTGTTATATGGCCATGATATTTTTCCATATCTTTCAGGTGATCAGCAACAAAATCATGCCAATCTTCTGCTTTGACTTTTAAAAATGGGGCGAGCATTGGTCCTATGTAAGTGCAACATTCACCCCAAAACCATCTCACGGTTTTTGCCTTTCCCGTGTCAGGTCCTATGAAAAAACTGATAAATTAATACATTTGCTACTCAAATTTGACTTGAATAAATAATACCACAATCAACATTAGTTTCTTCTGTTAAAATATGTTCTAATCCTGTATTAACCACCCAATCTTTTAGAAAACGGCCAGCGCAAGGTTCTTGATTAAGACTCTCCATCAGATTTCTCACTAAAAAAAAATCAATTTTGGCGTTCGAAGTTATTGTGAATTTTACAACTTACAAGCAATAAAAACCTTTGCACAGTCTTCGTTTCCTGTTTCCTATAAAAGTCACATGTGTTATTTTAACAGTATAATTGTAAGCGTTAATATTTACCCTGCTTTCATATTCCAAAAAGCCAACACATCCACCTGGTTTTAACAGTCGATAAACCTCCTTGAGTACAATGGGCCATTCGTTCCTGGTCAAAGTATTGGCATATGTGCGTACTTGAATATAATCGAAACTACTGTCGGGGAGGCTTAGTCCGTCTACGACATTTTCAAGTTTAAATGTCACATTTGGCAATGCGGTTATTACTTCGGATATTGGCACTGGATCAACACCTGTAAACTTTGTATTTGGATATTCAAGAGCGTAATCCATTAAAAAGGCTCCAGAATTACATCCTATATTGAGACAATGCATCCCCTTTTCGAGTGATATATAATCATGAACTTCAGACATGATATATCTATGTATTTACACATCATATTAAATAAAAAATAATCAATGGAGCTTATTTCTTTTTTTTTTCTTTACCCGTTATATAACTCTTTTAAGGCAACATAGGCCTATAAGATGGTTTTAGTCAATTTACATTAAAAACATTCATTACACTTACACCTGTGCCACTGAAATTCTCTTCCTCCTCACTTAGCGTAAAATTTTGCTTGTCAACAGCTGAGGGTGCCTGCTTGACTGTAGATTCTCTGAGTGGCTTTGTGCTGCCAGCCCTGCTTCTACTATTACTGCCCATGAGATAAATAAACAAAAAAGGGGGTATATAAAATGGGTATAAAAATGGTTTTTGTCGAGAACAAAAGGGGAATTATGATTACCAAGATCGCTCTATTTATGTAAAATACGTACACGCACTGGCAATATCTTTCTAATTTAAGTTTAGGTTTGGAAAGTACAAATTTATTGTTTCCCAGCTGGTGATAAAGAACAATCTGAGTATTGTCTCCGTACCTTACACTCCGTTTTCAGAAAATGATATCTATGAATAACCAGCTTTTATACAAAGCCTTATTTTTTATTCAAATAGCAATAATATATGTTAAAATTTGTTTTTTGAAGTCGCCGTAAACAAATACTTGATGTAAAGTACATGTGTAACAATAGGGGTCAACGTAAACAATTGTGTAAGGATTGATCACAAGCAAATGTTTGGATTATCTTGCCTGAAGCCTTGTGAGAACAGCAATGTGTTGCTTATTTTTAAATAGGGCTATTTAAAACAACACACTAGGATATAACGGTTTGCAATAGAAAAATGTACAATAGCTTTACATATTGTAGTGGAACGTTTGACAAAAAGCCTAGACATTTGGGCATTATTCTGGCTGGTATCAAATTGAGTAAGCGATCTATAAGATAAACTTTATGTTCGGTTCTTATATCTTGACCCCAATTCTAGCAAACATTCTTTAAACTTGTGAAGTATAGTGTCTTGAGATTACATTACAATAAGACGTTTTATGTAGTAGTTACACGAGCCATATTTCACTTCACATGGACGATCATTGAGCAACGGTCAAACAAAGTGTAAAACTCAGAGCTTCCATTTACTACCTTGTTTCGTTTTAATGATTTTTATAGCTTACCACATAAAACAGATTTCACATAAAAGTTTTGTAATTAAGTGCATTGAGGTCTCATTTTATTTATTTTTTTAATCTAACATATGTTAGTTAGCAGAATATGTGTAAATACAAAGTCTTATTTATATCCTGTGTCACCTACTTTCACCTTCCATCTCCGGAAGATCTAAGTACCCAGATCAAAATGGGCACACTTCCGGATCATGGGTGTACTGGAGATAGAAATAAATATGCGGCGCTGTACAAGTTAATCATGTTTAACTTCTGTGATACTAAGCGGAACCATACGCCGTCGAAGATAAACAGGTAGCTGTGTATGTAATATGTTAAAAAAATTATTACACATTTTTACTTTAGTAAAAATTGACCAAATAAAGAAAACCCACTTTATTCCATTATACTTTCTTAAATTTAACGTCTCTCTAAATCTTGATGCGACCCTTGGTATTTAGTTTATATTGTGTGTAACTTCGCTTGACAATTCAATAAACACCCTATATCGACATGATTTACAAATTTACAACTTGAGGTTTTGACATATAATCTTATGACTTTATTTGTGATTGGTATAATGTTTTTTTTTCTAAAAAACAAATTTAAGACACCCATTTAAAAATTTACATCGTCTCGCTTCAGGATATTTTGCAGTCGTAGATTTACAACGGTAATGTAGAGGACCACCTTGTACCACCCTTCGATCTCTAATTGACAGTTGAAAATGGATGAAAAAAGAAAGTATCATTGTTGGAATAATAAAGGTCTAGTTAATATCTATCATTGGATCATGTCTAAATAGTGTTTATTAAAGATCGATAAGCACCACAATAAAGAGCTCTAAGTACAATCCCGGGCACAAACTTTTAGACGATAAGTCTTTCTTGAGCTTTGAGTTTTTTGAAATAGAAAAATAGTTTTATTGTTATTCGAACACCAGTCTTTTATTATATGACCTGGTACCTTTTAAATTCCATTTTATTGGTTTTACTATTTAATAAATTGTTCTTCGATTTAAATTAGATGACAGGAAAACTTAAAATTATACAGCAAAGACTGTGTGTGGTGAACGCCAATGGCATGTTATTTAAAGTCTAATGGACTGCTAGTTCTATTAATTCATTTGTGAATAAACAAAATCAAAGTTTGATATACACAATGAAATACAAAATATGTTATGACTATCAAAGGTAGTTGTAAACGCTTTTACAATGCAAAATGATTGTTTTGGCAACAATTCGCTGTCGTCATTTCGTGACTGTCATAAGCACTGATTGCTGGATTTTTTTCCATTTTTTACAAAAATAACTTTTTCACTTTTAAATATAAATTACAATGAGTCATTTATCAGACGAAGATGACGAGTTTCTTTACGGTATTTCCGAAACAGATAAAACCACAAACCCACATTTAGACACAAAGAATGGTAAATAATCGTTAGCTTTGAATTTGGAAATCCTGATAGAACGATTACGCGACACAAGTAATATTATGCTAATTCCATTCTTTTCCGCATGAAAATAGATGTTGATGATTTATATGAATTGTATGACGAGAATGATACCAAAGAGTATGTGTCTAATACATAACAAATATTTCTACTTTGACGTATTAACTCTGTTTTTAAAAAATTAGTACCGAACAGTAAGCACAACAGCATAAAAAATTTGCTTGACACGTAGTTAAATTATTACGCATTTCTAGAAAGGAAGAAGACAGTACTGAGGATCAGGGAGCAGAAAAAATTGTGGAAGAAAACACTAATCCCGACATTGCAATCCCTGAAGTTGAAGGCACAATGGAAGTAGAAAATGAAGATATTGAAGAAGACGAGGACGAAGACGAAGACAGTGACGACGTAAGATACTTCAATCTACTTTTCCGTACTTAAAATGTGTAACGGCTATCATGTTTTAGGATCTTGAAATTATTTTAGAGCCTGAAGAGGAGGAACAAAAAGAACCTGAGGCTGAACATAAGGAGGGGTAATACAGTACCACGCGATGGAACATACATCCTGTATTTATTATAGTTTTAACTTTTTTTCTTACCCAGTGAAGCAGTGGCAACAACTGAAGAAAAGGATACACCTGTAAATATTAAACCCGGGCAACAAGGAAAACCATCATCTACACCTGCCGATAGTGCATCATCTAAAACAAATGTAGCAGGCGCAAAATCATCACAAGGTGGAATTAACCTTGAACTTGTAGGCGAGTATAATGGTCAGCCTATTACTGACGTCGACCTTGATAATGTGGAAGACAAGCCCTGGAGAAAGCCAGGCGCTGATATTACGGATTATTTCAATTATGGTTTCAACGAAATTTCATGGCGATCGTATTGTGCTAAACAAAAAATGTTAAGGGAGAATAAAAAGGTATATGGGATAAATGATAACAGCACTAGTTCAATTCTACTCACAATACGAATTAGATGATGGGGGATTTGGACATGAATGATTTTATGTCAATGGGAATGATGATGCCACCAAATATGATGGATGGTGGTATGCCTATGGCTATGGCTGGTATGCCAAACCCAATGATGGGGATGCCTATGGGAATGCCTCCTCCGCAATCCGGTGGCAATCCCGCTATGAGGAACAGGAATGGTAACTTTAATGCTAGAGGCTCAGGAAGAAATATGCCAATGGGCAGATCCAAAAATCCTGATGGCAAAGAAGGTGGCAGTGAAATGTAAGTCTCGGGCGAAATGTATTTACGTTTTGGTATTGATGCATATTTAAACCCAGGATGAATCCGATGGATAGTAATATGCAAATGGATGAAGGTGGTATGTTTGCAATGGAATTTCCCGGAGGACCTGGCGGTATGCCAATGAACATGTTTCCTCCTGATATGCCAGGTGGACCTATGGGCATGCCTTTTTTCAATCCAAATATGCCTGGTGTTCCAATGGGATTTGATGGGGGTGATTTTAGAGGCAATAATAGTCCTGGTAGGCCACCAATGAGAGGCACTGGTCATTTAAGTAGCAGATCCCAAATACCCCGTAGCAGCCACAGTAGTAGCCACGGTGGTAGCGGTGGACATAGCAGCAGCCACGGTGGAAGTGGCGGACATAGTAGCAGTCATGGTGGAAGTGGCGGACATAGTAGTAGCCATGGTGGTGGTAGCAGTAGCAGGGAACAATCTTCTAGTTGGAGAGGAAGAGATGATTCCAGTGAGCATCGCTCAGACTCGTAAGTAGTAATTAAATTGTAAATTAAGTCGATTGTTTATATCCAACCATTTTATTATAGACGGAAAAGACAAATGAATAGTAGCAGTAGTAATGATAGAGAGTCATCATCAAACCAAGATGATCACTACAACAAAAGATCTCGCAACCGTTAATTTTTTTGTTATTTATTCGTTCGTTAATAAAATCTGTCTGTATATCTTTTTCTTTATAAATCTCTTAACAGTTCTAATTCTGCATTAATTTCTTCCTGGGCTCTTTGCTGACCAATATTATTTTCACCAACTTCGCGAATGTCAATAAGAAAATCTCGAATGTCATTTTGGAATCTCTGTAAATCACCACTGTACTCAAACATACCCATAACCAAAACCTCGATTTGATCCCTATGATAATGTTAATATAAGTTATTAATCAAAAAGATATTAAATTGTCGTGCTCACTTTTGAAGTAAAGGGAATGCGGTACATAAAAGTTCCAAAGTATATTGTTGAAGGAACTCAGTATTCGACATGAGTGGATTGGAGACTTCGTTCGGATTGAATAACCTAGTATAGATTTCTCCTTCTTGTACAAGTTCGAATAATCTGGATAGTACTTGGCTTTGGTAATTGAATCCATTTCTACAATCAGGATCCACCAGGACTTCTAGGATGTCTCTAAGAATTCGCACATAATATGTTTCAAAGAACTGACATGAAATGTCTTCATCCTCAAGCTGTGCAACTGCATTGATCATATCCAAACATGTTTGTAATGCGATTTGTGAGATTTCTCGGATTGTATGCTTGGTTCCCCACATGATGCTATCAATGACAAGCTGAAATAATTCGGATGACTGGAATAACTCTAATACAAATGTTTAACATCAATACATAAATCATATAAAGACTGCATAAAATAGTACTTGCCTACGAAGCATCGTCTATTTAATACACGTAATAATCTATAAAATTCATGACGGAATTCAGGATAATCCACAAAATTGGATGTAATCATGGGTAGTGTATATTCAAATTCAATGCCAATAGTTTCTTTCAGTAAATCTGGCCAGATTGGATCCTATTTCGTCTAAATTAACCCACGAGGTTGAAATTTCCTGCTGCCAAATTATATTTACCTGCATTTTTTCGAACATACTCGTCAATAAACTCAAAACACGGGGGTCTCTATTTTCATTAATTGTGCTCTTATAATCGATCAGAATTACTTGAATCAATTCAGATAGCATAGTTTGGTCTTGTAGCTCAAGACATTCGTTGGAAATTACAAATGTTTCCAGCAACTCCAAAATCAATTGTCTAATTCGTTTGTGAAGTTGCTCCTTTGGTTGTCGACTGGAAATTCTATAGCATTGAATTAAAATTGGTGTAGCTATCTGTAGTTGGGTGCGAAAAATCGGACCGATAGATTCACATGTTACGACGTTGACTTTAAGCACATTAATAATGATTTTTAGTGCGGAAGGAGTGGTAGGATTACGAAGGGCTTGTGCAATCTTTTATCCAAATAATATAATTAGACCCAACGACTTTTTTTTTTGATTTCATATACGTACGGTTTCATTTGGTATAGCCATTAGTAGACTTACTGATCGATGTTGTGTACCGGTAGGTGACTCAGAAATAATGCTACCAATTGCCTTGTAAAAGGTGCAAAGTTGGCTAGAATCAAGTCGCGCAGTCATACTTCCTAGGTCTATCAATAAAGATTCCAAGACAGATGGCCTATCTCCTCGCGGAATAGATAAATCCTGTCTGCAACCCTGACATATTTTTAAGAAGGAGTCACATGCCATGTCTCTGACGCTGACTTGATCATGCTGCATATAGATAAATATTTTTTGTAATAGAAATGAAAGGAGATCCCAGTGAGACTTGAGGAACCGTACATATTGACCAGCTATATATAATAAACAAGAAGCGACCACCCATTCCTGGTCACTGTTAGGGTTGATACGTTCCTCCTTTTGTAATAATTGAACCAAATCTTTGGCGAGTATAGATTCCAAAAATTGATTTTCTTTTTGCTCAGAGATTGCGCCAGAGATTGATCCAATGGTCCAGCAAACACGAAATAGCTCATCCCAAGACCAAACTTTTGACGTAAACACATGAGCAAGCTTTTCCTGAATAAGGTTTTGGATATAGGCAGGATATATATTAGTAAGTGAGCTGAACACATCCCGCATAGATTTGGAAAGCACGGTAGTATCGCTTTGCTTCACAAAACCTCTTGTGATTTCTCCGTCATCATTTTCAATTACAAACACATCATCTGGCTTAACCATGTTTTCGATTAAAACAATTCCTAATTGCTTCAGTATGTCTTCGTATGGCGTCACTTGGTTATGGTTCATATCTTGAACAACATCGTATGTTAGTTTCCCCCAACACTCTAAACAAATTTTCCATATCTCGCGTTCGTGTACCCGAGATAATTTTAGCAAATATTGTAAAGTCTTGTGTACACTTTCTTGACCCCAATGTGTTTTTTCGACAAGGAGCCTATATTTTGCTAAAAACGTTGATAGAAATATGGCTAATGCCTCAATAAAGTGTTGATCTTCGTTACTGGATATTTCATAGAGCTGGGCTATATCTACATTGCTTGGTATGATACGAGTCATCTCTCTAATTACAATAGTATATATATTTAGAATGACATCGTTATACTGCTGATCTACAATTTCTAATTGAATCATTTCCGTAAAACACTGCAGTGATAAATTTCGTTGCATGGGTAATCCTGCCAACTACATATCAACGTGATAAGTAATAGATATAGTATAAAAAAGGAAATATACATTTACATTTGATTCAAGTATTTGCACCAAATCTTGCTGGTAAACAAATTGGATCGGTATCCAGCTGATAAACTTCAGTAATGTTTCTAATGTTGCCTGGACCAAATGTGTCGCTGCCGCTGTATGGGTTAATAGAACTTTTTTACAGAGGTCAAAGATAGATCCAAATTCATTGACCATTTGGTTCTTTAATTTTTGCATTTTAGCCATCGTCATGTGATCCACCGAAAAGTCGAAAACTTCTTCACTGATAAGTTGGGATATTTAGTGAATTTTGACTGATTTTTAAGAACGAAGTTTTACCTTAGCAATTTTAAGATCTTCATATTGTTTTCGCATAAACTAGAATTCACCAAACTAGAGTCTACTATTTCTTGAATGAATGATGGCCAATATTGGGGCCAATCCTTCTTTAATATTTGAACCAGAACGAGATCCAGTTTATTGATGTATGTCTTCTCGGACCGGAGTGTTAATTCGTTCGATGAAAGGTCGATAATACTCTTGACAATATAATTTCGCATAGCTAAATACACATTAATAACAGACCTAAACTCACACTTACTTAACGTGTATACCTAAGCGTTGCTCCATCGGCAATGTATTCCAGCGTACAATGACAAAATCTTCCAATATACCTAATGCAATAAACTGCGGGAACGTGTGTTAGATTTACTTAGAATCAAGGGAATGTGTCATTACCTTGGCTTGTGGGCTTGTAGATTGTTCTAATATTTGGTCAACCAATTGCCATGAATCAGGGTTTCTCTGAAATTCTGTCAAGACAGTCTGAGCTTTTTGTCTCTAAAAAACCCTCGCTATAAGCAATTTGTTTTGAAAACTAATAATAATTACTTCAAGTTTACCGTTACGTTGTCTCCTTCGTAAAAAGACTGAACCGTTTTGTCAAAGGTTTTTATATCAAAGGGACTGCTAATAAGCGACTAACATGACCGAGTTAGCAGTAATGACTTAGGTTATATATATAATGCACATACATTCATGACAAAAGTTGAATGAAAGGTTAAAGAATTGCGCTTCAAGTTTAACGATTTTTTAAAACCCCGTTAATAAATTTCACAAAATCCAGGTAATTGTGTATCCCATCTGCTTGAAATGGTGATCCTAGCTTTTTATAAAGGTGGCATTAATTGAAAGGCCAGGACCATATATAAAAAATCTGCCAGGTAGACTATTAATGCAGAGATGTCCTTAAGAGAATTGTTTGTTCCTGCTTGAGCTATATAAATAATCTGATTTTGTATACTATGGTTTGGTTTCACGGACATAACTGAATCCATTTTTTCACATGAATCAGTTATACTATCGCGTTTTGTATAACTACAGCCTGCTTTTATGAGTACGCAGGTTATGTCGAAATTGAAGAATGTAATGGTTTATGTCAAAAGCAACCACGCTATTTGAAAGTCAGTGAGTACGAAAAACTTTGACTTTGAAAACAAGGATCGGGAACGAAACTTGTCAGGTTTTTGACGCCTTTGCTTTCATGGTGAAAGCTATACCATATTTCGCTTCGCTATGCTTCTGTTGCTCTCTCATGACTATTACATAGATTTGATGTCATAGTGGCTTTGAAAGCAGTCAAAAAAATTTTTTGTAAACAAAGCCCTTTTTTTTTATCCCTTCTTTTTTTCTCTTTTCTCATTAACTTCTTTGGCTTCCTACCCTATGTATGCTTTCTAGGTGATCGGACTGGGGGATAGTCTGTAGCTACGACCTACTTGTATGGGTAACCTAACTCAAACGCGGCCTACGGGTTCAGGAACTCGTCGAAACTCTAGTGCACTTTTCTGAATAAGCAGCTGATTCATCGTATAGTCGGGGACGGGGCCTTTGCCGCACCTCTGGTAACACTCAGTCACTTCTTACCTTGAGACGAGTTTAGTTTGGGTGATTTACGCCGTTTCCCGTTGATTACTTCCCTTTGCTAGGGGGTCGTGGTTAACTTTGGGTAACAAAAGAGTAAAGTACATTTTGGGTGTCTGAACTACCATCTATCAGGTCTGTGATCACACGTAGTATGTGACTAAAAGAACGGTGCGGTCTCTTTAAGTCAAACCACTTTCCTAACTGCTGTTGCATTCTTTTTGAAGAAGAACAGTATAGTGGGCATACTCCTCTCCTCAAAGAGGTTAATCAGTATTACCAACGTAATACTCAAGAAAGATTAATCCCACATTATCAAGCATGTGTTCTCAATAAAATGGTTCCGCATTACCAACGTAGTGCACCACAAGTCATAACTGGTCTGCATTACCAACGTAATGTACAAGATAGACTAGTTCCCACGTCGTCCTTAACGTGGTAGCTCTCATAACAAATTTATCAACCCTCCCTCATCCAAGATAAATTTGTCCCACTTTACCTACTTTAGCAAAATATACTGGTCCACACTACCAACGTAGTGCTTGCAAGATTCATTGGCCTACATTACCAACGTAGTGTACAAGAGAGGCCCATTTTCCATTACCAATGTAATGAAGGCAAGAAAAACCGGCTTCCCCACATTACCAACGTAGTGTCTAGGGACTGGTTAATGGGTACTGATCCAGGGCCACAAAGTGGTAAGACATCAATACCGAAGGGGAGAGTCCTTGCGGATGGCATCATGTGTCACAAGTTAGGCCTGGCACTTGGTGTTTGAAGCACGTTTGTCTAGGAAGTATATGGTGGGAATGTCATTGAAGTGGACAAATAGAGTTTTTTATTTAAAGAGTATATGGTTTAAATGTTATTGAAAAAAGGTTAAAACTTTATGTTGTCTACTAGTTTTTGGGACCTGTTGTGTTTCCACCTTCTCGTGGTAGTTGTCCTGTAAGTACCAAAGTCTATTTTGACTATGGGAAACTAAGAGAAACACTTATATATATATATATAAATCTTGTTACATAAATAAGATATAAAACTTGCTTTATAGGCTTTTTAAAAATTTGATAGTTTTAGAAGTATAAATGTTGGTCTATCATTATCAGTGAGTGTTACTTGATGAGAAAAGTGTGTATTTGTATTTTGGTAAATCATTTAAACATAACATACTAGCAAAAATATCTGGATGTACATGCTTTACGCAAATACGTATCAATAAATAGGAAAGTTTTTTTGCTCAAGAGAGTATATTACTACATGCACCACACAAACATAAAATTTGTAAAATTGAATTCCCTGACGGGGAATTGAACCCCGGCCGCGTCGGTGAGAGCGACGAATCCTAGCCACTAGACCATCAAGGATGTTATATTTGATGCGTGCGCAGTTTGGTAATGATATCGCTTTCGTTCACTTTAAAAGTGGCTTGGTAATATTATTTTGGTTATTCTTCTTGGTTCCTTGGTTCTGGTTCCCTCATTTGTGGAATGGCGCGTTAATCTTGTCTGAGAAATGGAGATCTAGTTGGTACTGAGTTTGGCGGTGAGAAAAGAGTTTCTAAAAATACGTGATAAAGACCCGACAAATAATATTGCGGTGAAACTATTTTTGGTGTTCTAGAAGTTTTTCTGGTATTCTTTCTCCGAAGGTTCAGTTCGCGTCTTTTTGCTGCTTTTCTAAAATTGGCAGGTTGTTAATTATCTTAGTCGGTTACTCGTGAAATTCTCTTCTTTCTCAGTTACAATTATTTTTATTGTTATTTCGTCGCTCTCTCTCGTATCTCACTTATTTTATTATTACCTTCCTGTTTTGTTTAGTTCTTTATTTTTCTTATTATTCATATTATTTCCATCATAGTTTTCCCGTACCCTTATTTGATTTACTCTATTTTTGTATTGTTCTCATCATAGTTTTTCCGTACCCTGTTATTATTTTATTCCATTTTCGTATTAGTTATTTTTGTACCATAGTTGACAGCTGTCAAAACGTCTATATAAGATTGTCTGATTTATAATAATAAACGTCATCGAATTCTTTCTTTCTGATAAACTTTACTTGTTTTTAAACACTTGTGATTTATCTTTACTTCTTTGCAGATTTCAAAGCTTATTAGTGCAAATCTATATCTTTTTGTCTGTATTCTTTAACAATTAGTCTTACAGTCTCCTTCTTGTTATTCTATACATTTGTTTATTCTTATTACTCTATACAAGGTAAACATAAAGACAATCAGATTCATTTCAAGTGGTCCGATCTACCAGAGAAAGTTTATTAAATACAAGTAATTAGGTGCTCTCTACAATGGCTCAAAAATCTGGTTCTGATACTTTAACTACGAAAAAGGGCTTTAACTGGCGTGTTAGTGAACCGCGTAGCTTTTCTGGCGTTTCTGTTTCTGGTGAAGACTTGGGAAATGTGGCTTATACTTGGCTCAAGAAAATGGAGCGTTTGAAGGTTTCTGCTAAGCTTACGGATGATGAAGTTCTTTTCCTCGTCAGTGATCATTTGGTTCAAAAGGCTGAAACTTGGTTTAATGTCATTGGTGTCAAGGCAAATTCTTGGGATGAATTTACTACCTTATTCAAGAAACAATATTTGGCTGACCAAGAAGATAAATGGTGGAGTCAACTCCAGAACATGAAGCAAGGCGAAGGCGACAGTATTGATGATGTTGCCTTGAAGATGGAAGAACTTTTTGAACTTTTGGAGAATAAAAGTGATGCCTTCCAGATTCGTACGTTCTTGTCGGCTATTCGTTCTGATATCGGTTTTGAGGTAGAAAAGGACGGTACTCCTAGTTCTTTTGAGGGTGCTAAAATCAAGGCCAAGCAAGTTGAGAAGAGTCTCTTGAAATATAATTTTTCTGGTCGTACTGCTGTTTCTGAGAAAGGTCTTTATAAACCTGAGCCTTCGATTAGGTCAAGTTTTTCCGATGTCTCTTCTGTGGCTAGTTCCGACGTCCATTCTTTGGTGGCTAAACTTGAACAGCTCAGTATTAATTTGGTGCGTTTGAATGAAGGTGCTGCACAAGGTCAACCTAAACCTTTCGTCTCCTACAATAGCAACAATGGTAATAATGGTTCTCGTCCTGTCTTCACTTGTTTTTATTGTCGTGAAGTTGGTCATAAGAAGTATGATTGCCCCAAGTTTTTGCGTGATCAAGGTCAAGCTCCTGCCTCTAATCCTGCTACTGGTAGTAATAGTATTCCTTTGGGTAATACTGCTGATTCTTCTGCCGAGTCGGGAAAAGAGAACGAGCATCAGTAAATAATGAGGTTACTGATGTTCCCAAAATAAATAAAAATCCTCTAAATTCTCAAGAAGTCCAACTGGTTGATACGGTGGTCGATGGTGCTAAGGAAATTTTGGCGAATGAAATTTTGACCAATGGTGTCAAACGAAGGGCTATGGCGCCTCCATCTGTTGAAGCTATGGCTGGATCCTCAAATCGTAAGGTCGTTAGTTCTGGGTTTCAAAAGCAAGTCAAGCGCAAGACTAGGAATAAGGCTAGGCGGTACCCTGTTAAATTAAAAAGGTCAAAAATTTGGTCTAAGCTTTTAGGAACCGAAGCGGGAATATCTATGGCGGAGTGGTTATCTTTGGACAAGGAGGCTGCTGCTGAAATTATTGATGGTATTAGGTATCTTCGCGAATCTAAGGTTGTTGCTAGGAATAAGTCTGTTGGTGTAACAGATAAGGTCATTGCTGGTTTGAAGGATTTACCTGGTACTAGTGCTCCCATGGAAGTCAACGAAGTTGATATCGATGATGATTTTTCATCTATTGCTTCTGATGAAGACTATGGTGTTGTTTCAAGTCGTTCTACCAGCTCTGATGTCATGCAGTTATCTGAAGATGAAGGTGATTTGGAGTTTAGTGATGCTGAATCTGTCTATCGTTACCCGTATGATTTACAGAAGATGAAATCTAGTTCTCCTCTTCGTGCCATGATTTCCATTAATGGCAAATTCATCGAGGCGGTGTTCGATACTGGTGCGTCTGTTTCGATTCTGGGATCGAAGGTTTGTGCTGCTGCTGGTCTTGTACCAAATGGTGATAGTCTACATCTTATTGGATTCAACCAAGATCAGGTTCCTAAACCTTCAAATGTTGTTATGGATGTACCGGTTGAAATAGGTGGTAAAATCAGGCCTGAGCACATGGCGGTGCAAGATGGTTCTGAAATTTGCTTGTTGGGTGTCCCATGGTTTCAAGCGTATGGTGTTTCTTTGGATTTGGTTCACTCCCAAATAAGGGTGCCAACCTCGTCTGGTATCATCAAGGTTCAAGGTCGTACTTCTCATGTAAATCGTATGCCCTTCAAGTCCAAACAGGAGCAAGAAATCTATGTTGTCGCGGCTAGCCAAAAGTATTGTAGTACTTTGGAGGATGACTTGATCCCTGGTGATGAGAACAACAGTACTGATGACAAGAAGGTTCTGGAGTATAACGCCGACAATATCACCGAAGGTGTTGATGAAGAGCTACGCGAGGTGATCGAAAAATATAAATCTTGCTTTTCTGAGGTCTCAGGTCTTACATGCATCAAGGGCTACTCAGCAAGTATTAGGCTTAAGGATAACGCTGTACCCGTAAGGAATCGTCCTTTTCGTCTTGGTTGGTCGGATCAAGAGCTAGTGGATCAACATGTGCAAGAAATGTTGGATCTTGATATAATCGAGCCCTCTCAAGGTGAATGGTCAAGCTGTCTCTTTTTGGTGAATAAAAAGGAAACTTCGGTTAAGCGTCCTGTGGTTGACTTTCGTTCTGTGAATAAGCAAATCATAAAGGAGAATTATCCTACGGCTACTGTTTCGCAGTTGATTGAAGATGTGGGTTCAGCTAAGGTGTTTTCCACTTTCGATTGTACGTCTGGGTATCATCAATTATCGTTGAAGGAAGGTGCTGAAGTTACTGGGTTCATTACTAGCAAGGGTACTTTTCAGTACAAAAGATTAGCTCAAGGTCTCACAAATGGTTGCGCACAATTCCAAAGAGTAATGTCCTCTATATTTAAGGAGTTTATTGGTGATTTCTGTTCGGTCTTTTTGGACGATATACTCATTTTTTCCAATACCATGGAAGAACACAAGGTCCATCTAGAGTTGCTATTCGAAGCTTGCGTCGCCTCCAATTTGAAACTTAAGCGTGCGGAAGGAAACACTCCTGGTGAACGTAACATTACGAAGGTCAAGAATTTTCCTGTGCCAGCAAATGCAACCGACATAAGGAGCTTTTTGGGTCTTAGTGGCTATTACCGCAAGTATGTTCACCGGTATGGAGAAATCGCTGAACCCTTAATCCGGTTAACTAAGAAGAACTGTGCTTTCGAGTGGGGTGAAGAACAACAAGTTTCCTTCGATTTATTAAAGAACTCTTTGATAACGGCTCCGGTTTTGGCTGCGCCTTTGCGCGAACGTGTTCAATGTGTTTCGTGTGACGCTTCGAACAAGGGAATATCATTCATCGCAAGTCAAGTGGACTCTTGGGATGGTTTCGAGAATGAACAAGTATTATCGTATGGGTCTAAGGTCTTAAGTTCTAGTATGTCGACTTGGTCTATTCACCATTTGGAAGCTTTGGCGGTGGTAACTGGCGTTAAGTACTTCAAACATTGGTTGAAGGGCAAGAAATTTGTGTTGATCACGGATCACAGCTCATTGGTATACGTCTTTGCAAATCCGAAGGGTACCCCGAAATTGTCAAGGTGGGCGGCGTCTTTAATGGACTATGATTTCGAGATTAGGTATAGACCAGGAAAATCGAATCCAGCAGATCCCTTGTCCAGAAAGATCGTGGATCTTGAAGTCGGTAACCTCGATGAGATCATTAGGATCGTTTAATATTAGTAATATTGTTAGAAAAAAAAAAAAAAATGTGCAGATGAATCTATTCGTAGATTGTATAAATAACTTAGTTTATTTTAAATAAAAACATAATCTTTAATCTCTTCTTTAACTTTGGTCTAAAACTTTTATTTCTTGTATCCCTTCTCTCTAATACTTGTTTAAAATATTCTGTTTACCTTTGAATTGGTTGATTTTCCCTTTAAATAATTGGAGTTGTTATTTAACTGTATTTTTCATAATGGGTCTTATGTCTTTTCCGTGGTTTATATCCATTTATAACTACTTAACTGATGGGTTTTATCCTAAGGATGTTACTGATGGTGTTTCTCGACAAATCCGCTACAGGGCTAATTTGTTAATGATTGATGATGATGGTGTGCTGATTGAGAAGAAAACTGGTAGGATGCTATTACACGAAGGTAATGCTCTTCAGAAAATAATTGAAGTACACAAGGAAGGTCATCTGGGAATCTCTAAGACACTGGATAAGGTCTCTCGTAATTATTTGGTACACGATGGAAGGAAGTTGGTTACTGCCGTTGTCAAGTCGTGTGACACATGTCAGTTCCGTGCTCGTATACAAAATATCCGTTCCAACCCGGGTGTTGTTTTCAAAACTACTAAGGATCCTTTCATAATGATCGGTGTTGATGCTATAGGTCCCTTGCAATCTACTGAACGCGGAAATAAATATATCCTAACGGGTATTGATTATTTGACTAGGTGGCCTGTTGCTATGGCGGTTCCTGATATTAATGAGGTGACGACTGGAGAATTCTTGTATAGTATTGTCAAGGACTGGGGTGTTCCTCGTTATTGTTTAAGCGATCGCGGTTCAAATTTTATTTCTACGTATGTGCATGAGTTCTTGAAGCAAATCGGGTGTAAAAATATCATGACCACTAGTTATCGTCCTCAGTGTAACGGCATGTGCGAAAGGTTGAACTACAGCTTGGTGTCAGTGTTAGCTAAGATTGCTCGAGATGAAGAAAACATTGCAAATTGGGATAAGTATGTCGATACAGCGTTGATGGTCATTCGGACGACTAAGAATTCAAGCACTGGATATACCCCAAGTTATCTCTTATTTGGTTATGAAATGAGAACTCCTGCTGTCTGGGTAGCTCCCCGTCTCGATTTTGTTATCGGCGAAGAAGAAGAAGAGGTCCGCGATCGGGTCCTTTTGATCGAAAGAAAAATGTCCAAGGTTCGTGAGGTGGCTAGGCTCAAGTCTGATGAAAGAAAACTGAAGGCCAAAGAGCGTTACGATGGACGAGTTGTGTTTCGAAAGAAGTTCGAAATAGGTGACAAGGTGTTGCTTAAGGATGTCGTCCCCAAAACTAAGTTTTCGGATAAATGGTTAGGTCCCTTTACGGTGTTGCAAGTCAATAAGAATGGCACTTACCATTTGACTGGGTCTAATAGTCTTAGGTTGAAACACGCGGTAAACGGTGACTTATTGAAAATGTATAATAAGGAGGTTGAACACATGGTGCCCGTTGTTGGTGTGTCTGATGCTCAAGAACAATTTCAAAGTTGGTTGAATTCGAAGGTGAATGTCTACAGTTTTGTGGATACGCTCTTTTGAAAGTGGAACTTCAAGCTAGGTGGGCGGTACTTGATGCGTGCGCAGTTTGGTAATGATATCGCTTTCGTTCACTTTAAAAGTGGCTTGGTAATATTATTTTGGTTATTCTTCTTTGTTCCTTGGTTCTGGTTCCCTCATTTGTGGAATGGCGCGTTAATCTTGTCTGAGAAATGGAGATCTAGTTGGTACTGAGTTTGGCGGTGAGAAAAGAGTTTCTAAAAATACGTGATAAAGACCCGACAAATAATATTGCGGTGAAACTATTTTTGGTGTTCTAGAAGTTTTTCTGGTATTCTTTCTCCGAAGGTTCAGTTCGCGTCTTTTTGCTGCTTTTCTAAAATTGGCAGGTTGTTAATTATCTTAGTCGGTTACTCGTGAAATTCTCTTCTTTCTCAGTTACAATTATTTTTATTGTTATTTCGTCGCTCTCTCTCGTATCTCACTTATTTTATTATTACCTTCCTGTTTTGTTTAGTTCTTTATTTTTCTTATTATTCATATTATTTCCATCATAGTTTTCCCGTACCCTTATTTGATTTACTCTATTTTTGTATTGTTCTCATCATAGTTTTTCCGTACCCTGTTATTATTTTATTCCATTTTCGTATTAGTTATTTTTGTACCATAGTTGACAGCTGTCAAAACGTCTATATAAGATTGTCTGATTTATAATAATAAACGTCATCGAATTCTTTCTTTCTGATAAACTTTACTTGTTTTTAAACACTTGTGATTTATCTTTACTTCTTTGCAGATTTCAAAGCTTATTAGTGCAAATCTATATCTTTTTGTCTGTATTCTTTAACAATTAGTCTTACAGTCTCCTTCTTGTTATTCTATACATTTGTTTATTCTTATTACTCTATACAAGGTAAACATAAAGACAATCAGATTCATTTCATATCTATTTTAAAGCGCGGTTTTTATTATAGCCGTTGTAAAAAGACAAATCACGTGATTTACACGTGTTGGATCACGTGAAATGATTTTGATTGGTCAACAGTCTGTCTAGAAGAAGACAGCCAATGTTTCTTTTCAAATACTTTGACAGATGCCAAAGGGTCAGCCTAACATATTACCTTGAATCAAATGTAAAATAATTACAATATACATATAGACCGTATGCGTACTACTTTTAGACTACTTTTAACGTCTTGCTTTAGACTTTTTATTATTATTTCTGCCTAGGTTCAAGATCGAGCGAGCGCGAGTGTAAAAGAGGAACGATTGCACTATTAAAAGTAATAAATAAAAAGCGTTCACTATATATTTTTTACAGTCATAAATTTTATTTTTTGGTTGTTTGGATATCGTGATATACAAAGAGAAAAAACATGTGAAATGACGAGGGAAGGAAAAGAAACGCAATTTTTTTTATTTATTTAATTATTAGATAGGGTGGAGTGAGATTTTCGTTTTTTAATACAATGGGGGGATGAGGGTGGGAGAAAAAAAAATAAAGGAGGGGGAGGGGGGTTTATTTCTAGTTGTCATGGGAAAAGGGACAATTCGTACCATTGCGACAACCTTCAGGCGACGCATAATAGTTACATGTACGAGCACCGACACGCATAGGACCACCACCACCACCACCACCACCGGCGCGGTGAGTCGAATTACCACCGCCTCGACCTCTTCCTTGTGCTCCTCTACCTCGATTCTTTTGTGACGATGGACGATTTTTATGATGAGTTTCACGAGCATATCCCTACAAATTGATGACCCCAAAAAAAAAGAAGAGAGAGAGAGAGAGGAAAAGAAGCATAAATTAGATTTTTTTTGTTTTAACATTAGAAAATTAAAAAAGTTTATCTCTTTTTATTTTTTTTTTTACTTCGTTTGAATAGTTTTGAGGTTGATGAATGGGTTGATACGTGTTGGGTTGATAGGTGGGTGTTGGCATAGATGTAGTATTACCTGCTGCTAAAAATGACAGTTGCTTTAAAGATTGCATAATGCTACACAAAAAACAGATGAGTTTTCGATTTTTTTTTTTTTTTTTTTGACAACTTTTTGTTACCCTGGATTATTCTTTAACATGGCTTCTACTGTATGACTTGATATTTCCGGTAAAGATGTGTTTGTAGCAACACGTTGTACGGGATTCATGGGTGGTGGAGGAGGAGGTGGGGATTGATACTGTTGTGGTAAAGGATCCTTCATGGCAGCCGCAATGGCAGCAGCGGCATTTAAATTCTCCGGTGTCATCATATCAGGATGAATTGTATTATGGTGAACATGTTGATTAACATCGACCAAAGGAATGAGTTTTGTATCGTTGTTTGGATCGGGCACTTCATCGGGCTCACCAGGAGAAGATGGAATATGTTGAGCACTGGTATAAATCGCTGCAAGAGCCACTTTCTCTCGACTGTCTTGAGAGGCGGTTTCAGGTGTACGCACTTGTTTATGAATCACCAGATTAGGGTTCTCATCCGTGTTGAAACTAAGTTCCAAAGGTTGGTACCAAGTCACGGTAGGAATATTGTAATAAGGCTCTTCCTTTGGTGCGGTATCCTACAATCATTTTTTTAATTTAACCATGGATAGAAACAATTAAAAAAAGTTACTTACAAAACTCGTCCATTCTTCTGGGTTTTTCTCATATTCTCTAATCTCAAACAAATTCTCAGCAAAAGTAACTGATTTCTTTGCAGGTCGCTTAGTTGTGGTTGTTGTAGCAGCAGCAGCAGCAGTAGAAGTAGAAGTAGTAGCAGCCACAGTCTCTTCTTTATTGGGGCCAACGCTGTAGACAGGACGGACAGTACGATACTTTACATCCGACGCAAGCGAAGAAGTAAAAAAATTCGGATCCGTCATGGCTTTGGGTCTTGCAGCCGGAGGATCTTTTTGGATAGCCAATCTTATTTTCTTTTGTTCCGTTGCTGGAGGAGAATCCGAAGAGGCTTTTTTGATTTTTTTAATGCTTTTATTTAGTACTCCTATTACATGGTTATTTGATTTATTCATACATCTTTCAGGACTGTCTCTTTTTCCGCCGAGTTGCTTAGATTGCATATCTTTCCAAGTTTTAATCAAATTGGTGGTTTCGTGCACTAATTGTTCATCATTGAATGTCATGGCAGTCTTTTTTATATCCTTGACAGCGTGACCTAATTCGTTCTCAATCAAATTGGATAATTCGAAAGGAATATAATTCAACACCTATTCAATTTTTCTTTTAGTATGATTTTTTCCCCCTGATGATGTATCTATATATATATCATTTCGTTACCATGAGGATGCGCTTGATGATCTCGGGTTGCCATGGATCTTTGCATCGAACAATAGTTTTTTGCAGTCTCTTTGCAACAAATCGTGATTTGCCGATACTAGATAGATGAGGTTAAAAAAAAAATCAGGGTAGACTCCCCCTCCAAACAAAGAAAAAAGATATAGTTACTGGATCAATAAATCCTGATTTGTCGTGTTGATTAATTTGTTGAGGCGATCCAAAGTAAATTGAGGTTCGGCATTGGCAAGAAACCGATTGAATTCAGCAATAGATTTTAATCCTGCTGTCAAATAGAAAAAAGTAAGTAACACACGAATAAGTTTCCCTTTATTGTTTACCTCCTTCACCATCAGATAAATAACCTCCAGCTAATTGATGAAGAAGGAAAAAATAAAAAAAAGAAGGTATTAGAGCACAGTAAGAAAATAAAGAGTAAAAAAAAAAAAGAGTCCTCTCTCTTTCTCTCTCGCTACTTTTTTTTTTTTTTTTTTTTTTTTTGCTGATTTAGAATTCACACGGCACACGGACGCATACATATACACAATGACGCTCAAGAACCCTTATATTAAAGTAAGTTTTTTTTTCTGTTACATCAATTAATGCAATGTCTTATGTTGGACAAAAATAGAGGTAGATATATATATACATATATATATATAAAAAAAATAGGGCCCAATAAAAAAAAGAGAAAAAAAAAAACTTGGTTATATCTTGTTATTAAATCAACCGTTTCCCTTTTTTTTTCATGATATCTCAATTTAAATAGAAAACAATGGGTTGCGTGTGAGTGAGTGAGAGAGAGAGAAAGAGAGTATCGTTTGAAGTGTGGTTTTTGGGTTGCAATGTAAAAGAGCTGTGCTGGCTTGTTTACGAGATTAATAAAAATAAACGAAATTAGCTTACCATCAGACATTGTCTATAATATATCTTTTTTCTAAAGAAGAGGGTGTAAAGTGTTGAAAAAGATAGAAAAAAAAAGGAAGAGGTGTAGAAAGAGAAAGAGAAGAGAGAAGAGAGAAGAAAACCTTTTTGTTTTCAAATGGCGTTTGGATTATCCTTTCAAATGAGAAAAAAAAGAATAAATTTTTTTTTAACGCTGTTATTTTATTTTTATTTATCTTTTTTTTTTATACAAGGCGCAGTCACCCACTATTAAATACGTCACCCTCCCACCACTCTTCTTTTTCACCTTTTTTTCTCTCTCTCTCTCAAAACGATGTCAACAGAACAAGACCTAGATAAATACTTTTCCACCACAGAAAAGCACGTAGAAATCGAGCGTGTTCTTCAATGCTTCAAACTGGACCCTTTTGCCGTCCTAGAGCTTCCTTACACAAAGCCAGACCCCAAGGCCATTAAAATGGCCTATCGTAAAAAGAGTCTCATGATCCACCCCGATAAAGTCAAGCATGAAGGAGCTCAAGACGCCTTTGGACTTTTAAAGAAAGCTGAATCAGAACTGACAGACGAGACACGTCTCAAGTTTCTTTTGACGGTCATTGAAGAAGCACGCGTGGAAGTCTTGCGTGACAATGGACATAAAGTTAAAACCGAAGTCATTATTAATGCACCCACCATGACACAAGAAGCGGATGGACCACGCTTAAAGGCTTCATTGGACTCATACACGGTGGTAGACGAAAAGGAATATCCTTATTTGCAAACACCCATTGGTCAAACACAGGTCAAGGAAAAGATGAAGGAAATCCTAATTGAAATGGAATTACGTAAGCGTCGACAAATGAAAAAGGAGATGGAAGCAGAGGGAGCCGAAAAGCGAAAAGCAGAGCAAGTGGTGACTGATCGAAAGAGAAAGGCAGAAGATGCTAAACAATGGGAAGCCTCTCGTGATACACGCGTGAATAGTTGGCGTGACTTTCAAAAAAAGGGTGGTAAAAAAGTGAAAAAGATTCGCAAGTCTGGATTATGAAATGAATAACACACATTTCATTTTTATTTTAATGTGTTTCTAAAAAATAAGAGTAGTGAAAGAAGAGGTGGAAATAAAAAAAAAGAAGAGATAATTTACAATCTGGAGACAATGGCATCAGTGTATTCAGTGAGAGAAGCCTTTCCACCTAAATCACCAGTCAAGTGCTTACCCTCAGCAAGGGTATCAAAGACGGCCTTCTCAATGTTATCGGCTTGAGTGTAGAGTCTCATGTGTCTCAACATCATGATACCACTATATAAAAAGAAAAAAAAAAGTGTTAGTTTCTCCTCCACTCTCTTTTATATGTATATACGTACGATAAGAGCAAGGCAGTGCTGTTAGCCTTATCTTGACCAGCTATTGTAAACACATTAGTATGTATCCTACTCAAACACGAAATCTCTTAACTTACCGATATCGGGAGCAGTACCATGGACAGCTTCAAAGATGGAAGCATCCTTACCAATGTTACCGGAGGGAGTCAAACCAAGACCACCGATCAAACCAGCACTCATATCGGACAAGATATCACCATACAAGTTGGGCATAACCATGACGGTGTCAGAGTAGATGGAGGGGTCAGCAGTGATCTAAAATGGTGTATTTAGTCTACACATTCTCTTTTCTCTCTTTAAAAAATATTACTTACGTGGAGACAAGCACGATCGAGGAGGACATCGTTGAACTTGATGTTGGGGAAATCCTTGGAGACTTCCTTACAAACTTGCAAGAAGAGACCATCAGCCAATTTCCTATTAATCGACAACTACCTCTTTAGCAACCAAAAAAAAAAAAAAAAAAAAAAAACTGCTTGGAAACCTACATGATGTTGGCCTTGTGGACAGCAGTAACACGATCACGACCAATGGTTTCGGCATAGGTGAAAGCATAACGAGCAACACGCTCAGAAGCTTCACGAGTGATCAATTTGATGGATTGGACAACACCATCAACAACCTTGTAATAACAATTTTTTTTAAAAGTCAATTTTAAACAGTCTCACTTTTTTTTTTTCTTTTTTTTTTCTATTGCTTACCTCGTGTTCAATACCAGAGTATTCACCTTCGGTGTTTTCACGGATAAGAACGGTATCAACGTTCTCATAAGGGGTCTCATAACCATTGATGGAACGACAGGGACGGACGTTAGCATAAAGGTTGAAAGTACGACGAAGAGTCAAGTTAAGAGAGACATGACCCTTACCAATGGGGGTAGCAAGAGGACCCTTTAAGGCAACGGTACTCTTACGGACACTTTGGATGGCAACATCAGGAATGGCAGTCTTACCATCCTTAATAATAGGTGTGACATCAACTTCCTCCCACTCAATAGGGGTCTTGGCAGCAGCAAAGATCTTCTTGACTGAACGAGAAATCTCGGGACCAATACCGTCACCAGGAATCAAGGTGACAAGGTAGTTACCCTGAATATATAAGAAGGACCAATAGATTAATATCTCATCTTTTCGCTCTCTCTCTTTCTCTCTCTGTCTCTTTTTTTTTTGCATTCAATGCACTGTACTTACGTTGTCATTCTTGGGAGCGTTAAAGGCTTGTGTGATGCTGGGAGTAGCAGTAGTGATAGCACGAGAGTTAGCCTACAAAAAAAAAAAAAAAGTTTAATAACTTATATAACTGCAAAAAAAAAAAAAAAAAAAAAGAAAGTATCCAATGATGTTTTACCTTGACGGAAGACATGGCAGAGGCTTTGAGTGCAGCAGAAGTACGGGCCAACATTTTATTTATATATGTTTTTTTTTACAAGATAAATGGGAAGAAGAGGGACAATAATGGGAGTTTTAAAAAACTAATTCAGATATAGTAAATTATAATAAACAAGTCCCACCCTTCCTAACCCGAGCAGCGGGGGGGTGGGTGGTCGTCCAGGGCCTTTTTTTTTATATACCCTATAAAAAAATGTGACACACACACAAATTGATCGGTTTCCATTCTTTTTTCTTTATTTTAAGCCTTCCCTTCCCACCTCTTTTTTTTTTACCAGCCTTAATAGTAACCCTGTTATGTACATCTTTAAATATTTTAGCCATTTATACCGTTCTTTTCCATATTCATGAGTGGTGCCGTCACCTGTAAACTCCGATAAGCGGCTAATCCTTTTATCTGTTCACTCTCTATCTCTCTCTGGGGTATTCCCTTGTAGAATTAAAAAAAAAAATGCATTAAAAAAAAAAAGTAAATTGAAAAGCCGACTCTATGTACAAAAAAAATTTTTGTTTTATTTTATGTAAGCTGGGAGGGGGAAATATTTAACAAGAGGGAAAGAAAAGAGAAAAAGAGAATTTATTGCTTGGCAGTCCATTTCTTGAGACGGATGGAGTGAACCTTGATGAAACCATCAGCATCAACTGGGTTATAACCACCTTGTTCATCCATAGAGGATTCTTGCATATCATAGAGCTTGGCACCAGCACCGACAGCAACACGACCTTCAACAATGGTGTTACCCTTGTAGAGCTTCAACTTGACATCACCAGAGACGTTACGTTGAGTGAACTCAATGGATTGAGTCAAGTACTCACACTCAGGAGAGAAGTATTGACCATTGTAAAGAGCCTTACCGTAAGGAACAGTAATGTTTTGATCACGAAGAGCACGTAATTGACCATCCATAGTCAAACCTTCAAGATCCATATGAGCAGTACGCAAAATGGTTCCACCAGGAGTCTCATAACAACCACGAGACTTGACACCAATGAAACGAGATTCAACAATATCAATACGACCAACACCGTTACGACGGGCAACAGCGTTCAAGTAAGTGAAAAGCTTGACATCATCCTTCTCAACAACTTGTCCGTCATTGTGGTTAACAACCTTAACGGGAATACCGTGCTCGAAAGTAATGGTAATACGTTCAGGAGTGTTGGGTGCATCCTCAGGATCAACAGTGAGCTTCCACATCTCCTTGGGAGGTGTAACATTGGGATCTTCGAGAATACCAGCTTCATAAGAAATATGGAACAAGTTCTCATCAGTAGACCAGGGCTTGGCCTTGGTTTGGGCAACGTGAATGTTCTTTTCAGCAGCAAAGTCCAAAAGAGCACTACGACCAGCGAAACGCTCGAAGAAGACTAATTTTTTAAATTAGTTACATATCCTTACTCAGCTAAATATATATATAAAAAAAACTTACTAGGTAATCTCCAGGGAGCAATGACTTCAATGTCAGACTTCAAGGCATAGTAGGCAAGTTCGAAACGGACTTGATCGTTACCCTTACCGGTACAACCGTGAGAAACGTATTGACAACCTTCTTGAGCAGCAATCTCGATTTGTCTACGGGCAATGACGGGACGAGCCAAAGAAGTACCTAAAAGGTAGACAGACTCATAGATGGCGTTAGCTTGAATAGCAGGGTAGATTTGCTCCTTGACAAATTCAGCTTTAAGATCCTATACATATAAAATGAACTTAGTATGATAGAACGCGTTTCCCAGACTCATATATATATATCACAACTTACCTCAACAAAGACCTTGGCGGCACCAACAGATAAAGCCTTAGCCTTGATGGCTTCAAAGTCTTCCTCTTGACCAACATCGGCAATATAAGCTAAGGTTTCATAACCTTGCTCAATCAACCAAGCCAAAATGACAGAGGTGTCTAATCCACCAGAGTATGCAAGAAGAACCTTTCCTTTGTTACCAGCCATTGTTATTATTAAAAAATGTGTGTAAAGAAAGAAGAAGAAAAAAAAAAATGTCAAAATCTTTTTTAAATAAAGAAAAAAAAAATTCTTCTAGGAGGGTGTCATCCACTATTCAAACCCCGGATTGTCTATTTTTTTTTTTTTATAACTGTTATTATACGCGCGGCATATTTTTCCAAGCAGATTCATATAGACATCACACCCATTGTAAATAAAATAAAATAATGATAGGTATTCCTATACATGTCAAGTCACGTACAAAGCACACACATACATAAAGTATCTTGATCTCGTGAGGAAACGGGTGCGATAGAGTTTAGCGGACTCTGGAAGTAATAGTTTTAAAAGTGATAAACGATGAGTCAGAGTTCCATAAAAGTCGATTTTTTTTTTTATTATCCCTCAACCCCACTAAAAGTCGATCCCATTTTTAAAACAAATCTCCGCCTCCTCCCCCCGCTTCTCCCTCCACTATGTATCACACGTGACCCCAACTCAAAAAAAAAAAGTATATAAAGCAGAAAAAAAATAAGATAGTATATCCATTACTCTCAGTTTTTTTTTAATTTATTAAAAATATCAATATGGAATAACGCACACGAATCATCTAGTAAAAACACACACTTTTTTAAAAGTTTCAATTCGACTTTTTCTAGAATTTTCTACGTAGAAAATCATCTATATATTAAACAGCGATCATACAAAGCAACAAGTAAAACACACCGAGAAAGAGAGAGAGTTTTTATTTTTCGCAAAATATATTCATTTTTTGTTTAAGCGAGTTGTTTTTCATTGGCAGCAGCTTTATCCGCATATGAGGAAGCCAAAATCTCCTTTAATAATTCATTCACCTGAGGCAACTTGGACAAATCATTCTTAGCCACTGCAATCTCTTGCTCGTTCAATCCGGACTTGGATGAAATTGCATGTTGCAATTGCTCTCGCTTGTTATCCACCGCCTCCACACGTTGTTTAAACTGATAGAATAGAATTTCCGCACGTTGTAAAGTTTCTTGCAAATTAATCGTCATGGATAAATCATTTGTGTATTTCAATATCTCGTCAAAGTTTTTCAAGTACTCTATAATCACATCACGATGCTATCAACATTGCTCTGTTAGTTTTCAATTAAAAAAGTATCTCGCTACTCTTTTTAATTACCTGGTCTAGGATGGACAACGCAACAAAGATATGGAACTGATCCGTCAAGTAATCCGTCCAGAGTACCTCCCACAATGTTAGCATATCTTTCCATGGAAACTCACGCTTAAACCAAACCAACAACCATCGAAAGCAAAAGAAAAAATTACAACTGTCTGTGCGTTGGAAGTGTTTGTACAGGGATGGATCCATAAATTGTAATAACAAATCCATCGTCAGTAATTGTTTATGCATACCCGATTGATCTGTATAGAAATTAGACTTCTTTTTTTTGTCCAGAGTTAGTTTCAATCATAATAATAATAAGTTTTTGTTTACCATTCGGTCCATGAACCCAGAAAAGGCCCAGAAGGCTAAAGGTTCTTCACCAATCACGGCAAAGAGAGGTGACAAGAGATCAGACATGCCTTGAACATACCCAAGTTCCGTATTAAACTCGTTATAAGTTACCAATATACATTTGAGAATCTCGAGGTTTTCATTCGTGCCGACGTTCATGATCGGATCAGGATTAGGCATACTTTCATCTACGTAAATATCCACGGTTCGATCCGTACGATGCACGTCCTTGTCTATAATATATATATATATATATATGGAAAAAAGCTATAAGAATGATTTGTAAACTATAAAAGCCTCTCTCTCTCTCTTACCAATGCGGTGCTTTTGGTCTTGGAAATGACTAGAGTTTCGACGCGATTCATCTTGACTCCATCTGTTCTTCAAGGATTGATATGCCTCTCTGCAGGTACACAATATATAAGCATCACTCATTATCTCTCTCTTTGTATATATATATATAAAATTACCTTCGATCCACATCAATTAAATGTCGTTCCACCGCAGTTGAATTCCAAGGATAAACACCCGTTAAAAACAACCAAGCTTCTTTTCTGACGGCAGGATCCAATCCACCTCGAAAGATATGTTTCCTTACTGTGGGTTCACCTACACTTAATTTCCCATCTTCATCAAAATAAGATCTCCAGGCAGCCTCTGTTACTGGCTTTGTTCTTGTATGGGTTGGGATCGAGAAATCATTCTCAGAGTTCAAGACTTCAAACACACCTAAGGCTGTATCTTCCTCCCATCCATGACCCCATACGCCTACATTACGATACTTGCGTTCACGCGGTGCTGAGATCTCTGATTGTGCTGCTAATCCCGCTGCCCATTTAGCTAAAAAGATACGTGCAGAATCATAGTCATCGACCGTCTGTCGCACTGTTTCGTTACGACAAAGGTCTTGTACATCGCGTGGGACAAAAGGTCGTGTAGCCGGACTATTCAGTATGCTGACAGCTGCATCACGAGAAAACTTGGTGACGCGTGATAACTTTTCCAGGATATTCCAACGTGCCTCTTTCAATGTCTACAATAGAGTGTATGTGAGTTGGGATAGGTTTAGGTGGTCTAATAATAAAAAGTATAACTTACAGCAACAAAGGGGTCCATTTGTGCGGATTCAAAGACGTTTTCTTGCTTAGGAGTAGGAGGATACACTGCCTTTTTTTGACGACTAGCCGCCATTGTTTGACGAATTTCTTCTTGATCCGCTTCTGTACCTACCAAATACAAATTCTCCACCTCACTTGATCTATATTATATATCAGGTTAATCTTTTGTTTCTTTTTTTTTTTAAAAAAAAAAAAAAATAGAAAAAATAAAAAAACGTACTTGATCACCTTGACAAGTTGACCCAATCTTTCAACAAATTCATCACCGCCCCAGCGAACTTGACCGTCATCATTGGCGGTGAATTTACCTCCTTGGGTCTTTTTCTGTAACATGGTACTTTTGCTCTCATCATCGTGGAACCAATAGGGACCCGAGGATTGACCTGATTTAAAGTTCAGGATAAGACTACCGTACCATTTAGAGAATGAAGGTGGTTTAATCACCAGAGAATGAAGCGTGTCCAATGCCACTGAAATCGCATACAGTGTATGTTCTTCGGGTACGGAAGGAATCATGATCGAAGCTTTTTATTTCTTCAAAAGTTAGTTCCCATACGTGATACACACGTTTTCTCTTTAATTTCTTACATTCCACTTCTTCTTGAGGATTGATATCTACTTGTACAAAGGCCTCTAAATCCTTGGAAGGGATCAAAGCTTCGGGTGTCCAAGCCACGAGATAATCATGAGACGCCTTTTTTTTAAGTGTATGTGTTAAAAAGAAAGTGTGTTGTCTCTCTCTTTTCTGATATGTATATACCTTTTCAACAATAGATAAAAAGCCAGGGATAAACTCACTGGTATTGGTAGAAGGATGTATATACACTTTGGATTTAGAGTATAATAACTTTACAGGTATCTCTTCCGTCTGTTCATGTTGATTCATACTACTAGCTGATTCCGTTTCCATGCGAGGATCGTTTATAATCTAAATGTAAATAGTTTCAGTCAAGTAGTCTTTAAGTATAAAAAAGAACATACTGCAAAGCTGTCATCCATGGCTGCGCGTAATTACAAAAGAAAATAAAATAAAAATAGTTTAGTGTGTGAGAGCAAAAAGGTAAAAAAAAAGGTCATGATGAGATATTTTTATAACCCCCAATCAGTTACCTTATTTGGGTCAGTACAGATGCAGCGGACGTTTGAAAAAAATGCATGAATCATATTAGTGTAGCCAAAAAAAAGAAGGTTTACTTTTTTTGTGCCGGCTTAACTATCGGATTCCATCTTTTTATACCTGTCATGACATGGATGATCATTTCATCTAGTTAAATAACAACCTCATCTCACTTAAATGTATGTATACATGTTTATAAAATAAGGAACGTCATTCTGACGTAAACGTAACAGCCTTTAAACGTTTAGTAGGAGTATTCTTGCTAACCCCAAGATACACATTGATCAAATTGATATAATAGGTATCAGTGTTTTTTTTGGTTGCACATTTACACAAAAAAAACAGGGTTCAAAGGAGGAGTTACACCAAACGAAGATCAACAAAAGACAAGAGCAGGATTGCCTAATTCTTTGATAAGAGGCTGTATCCATATCTAACTGTATTTTAGAATAAGTTAGATAAGGCAACGCTTCAAATATTGAGGGAGGTTTTGCCTTGTATACTAAAATAGAAGAGGATTAAATTGAATAAATGATACGTATTGATGTATTTTAGAGGTGCTTCTTTTGTGGAAGATTCAGTATCTTTCAATATTATCCGAAAATTTGCCTCATACAATGCGTATTCGAGATTAACTGATCCTGTATTGCCAGACTATTCATACAATATCACAGCAAAAGTGTGAGCACTCATCTAGAACTCAAGTAAATCTCTCAATTAATCATTATATTTTCTATGTAGATGCGCAGCAGAACACAACACAGTAAAGCTCACAGCTGGCGTCGTACACCATGGACATCACTGGAAATCAACATGTTACGTGTAAATCCTGGCCAAGATCCCATATATATATATAGCGATACTTTTTCATACACACAGTCAAACAAGAGAGACTTTTTGAGATCTTCAAACTCCCTTTAGAACGAAAAAGGAAGCTGCAGGATTTTTCTACGAATAGCATTCCTACAACTGTAATTTCAATCAGGCAAAGAATTATTGATACATGTCTTGATTTAGTGGCAAAGCTTCCTTATAAAGTATTTACGCCAAGTAGTTTTTTTTATCAGTTTCTTGCATACGGTCAAGGTACCTCTTTTGCTGTCAGACGGCTGTCCATACAAAGTAAGAAACGGATCTTTTTGATACTTTTATGATTAATCAACGCGATCTCCTTCTTTCAGAAAACAATACTCAAATTATGTTTGACGTTTTTGCAGCAAAACTTTGGTCATTATATCAGCTCGGCTATTAGCTTTGTTTGTTCGAAAGTTCTTTATGTTACAAACCTCCAGTTTATGCCGAATAAAAGTTTTGTCTTAAAGGGTTTACAATTTATTTATGTGTTGCATAAATCAAGTCGGACTAAGAGTGTTTTAACATTGGGGGTTTTAAACGAGAAAACAATGGAAGACATGCTGTTTGTTGCCTGAATGATGATTGTCTTTTTTAATACGCTTTCCATGTCCTTGTACTATCTTAATAGAACTTTGTTAATTAGAGCAATAATATTCAAACACAGGGTTCTTAACAGAATTGTAAAGTTGATTTGGACCTGTTGTTCCAACACTTTAATTTTTAGAGCTGGTGAATGTCACTCTTCTCACAGGGTGGGGAGGGGGGAAGTTTCTTTACTACAACAAATTGAACGATTTAAACATGAGTGTTCGTTCCACTGTAACCCTTCCATTGGGGAACGTCACAAGCGGAGATGATTCTTACTAATTTATATTCTTTCTCTCTCTCAAATAAAAAAAAGCTATTGTAGTGCTTCATCATGGCATTGAAAAAGGTCTTGACATTGGTTGGTGTGCCAACATTGTTGGTCACACTAGCTCATATGAACTCTTTACCGTTTGCATATACTATAAGATCATGGTGGTTATTACGTACCTTGGTAGAACGAGCCAAGAAGGTGAATTTGGAGCCTGAAGGTGAGCCCTGAAAAGAGACCGCTTGTAAAAAAAAATAAGAGGAGCGAGGGGGGTATTAATTATCGCACAATAAAAAAAAAAAAAGATTTGTTTACAACAGTGTCTCAAGAATTGAGATGTATGTGGGATGATATTGATTATAATCAACACATGGTAAAAATGCACATAATACAAATATTTGTGTAATACGTGTGTTTAAATTAATATAAAACTTGATAGAACAATAGCACGTACAATAAGAAACTGGATTTCTGTCGAATTCATCTCTTGTATGTGATTGTGCCTCGTATCATGATGGAAGCCAATCATCATATCTTTGCTCATAACGCTGGTGTTTTCACCTTATTTAAAAAGGAGATACCCCCATTACAGCCCTATACGATCGAAAGCCGTGTCTGGACATGGAACGAAAAATGGTTGTTTTTACAGCATCGATTTATCATTGAAGATGAAAAGGAAGGGCCATTTGTATGCTGTTTAGCCACAAGCAAGATTGTGTTCAAACACACATGGGGTAAAACAGTCTCCCCTAAAGAAGTCTTTGCTCTTTGTGGCCATGCAATGGATGATACCCTGGTTGAGAAAAGAAGAAGCAAAAATTGGAATAAAGCAAAGAATTTATTATCCATGCAACATGATTGGGATTCCAAATTATAATAAATCGGGTTGAATTAATTGCATAAATTTTGGTGTACAAAAGTCCATGTATCTCGCTATAAATAATTCATGAATAAAACATTTTTTTAATACTCGATACAAACTGCTCTATTATTATGCCATAAATACCTGCTACACTGAATGGATCACACGTGCATTTTAATTGTACATATTGATCAATGTCTATTGGACAGACTGCACCTTCATCATAATGATAACCAGCAATATCATCAAAGCTAATCTGTTGACGTGTCAAAAAGAGAGCAGCAGCCATGGTTTGAGGAAATGCATCGCCCCATTTTTCATAAAAGAACCCACCAGATGAGTCCAACGCATCGAAAAACATATTGTATTCCTTGGATCGGAGAAAATCCAAGGAAATAATCATGAAATTGTTATAAATCATGCAATTACTGTAATGTCCACCATAATCACCTAATTCGTTCGGCTCAAACTCTTCTCCGTCCAGGAGAGCATTATACACGCTGTTTTGAACGGGTTGGATAAGACGTTTGTTTCTACGAATAAAGGCCTTGACAACGGGCTCAAAACTTTGAATGTATTCATGGTTTTCTGTCTTTGTTAGTGCAAATGCTGTTCAGAATGACAATAATGTTTTAGCAGTGATGTCCATCACACAATGTATAAAAAGAAAGATGAGACCTTACATAGCTTCTTTTTTTCATCCTTCATTCGTTGGAATGGATCATTGGGTATATCACAGTGATAACGAGCTCCTGGTTGTACTTTCCAATAGAACTCCAAATCTTTCAACAATGGGTGAAACGCAACAAAACCAGCATTGTATCTTTTTAAACAAAGAGGGGTTAGTTTAGACATCGTGAAACCTGAAACACCAAAGTTACCTTGTCATTCTTCGCCAATGCATACTTTCACCTTTAGGTAAACCCAGCTTGGTCATTTGTTTCACCCCTTGCTCTGCTCTTCTGATGTTAATCCAATATGGCTCCTGCCACTCAATTGTGGGAGCCAGCCCAAATGAGACGGGTGATGTGGCGATACGAGTAATCCAGTTTCTGAAATGAGTAGAAAAGACTTTATGTCCAATAATGATCCAAGGGTAATCATGGTTAAAATGTCTTTGGATATCCATAATGGTTGTATGAAGCTTGTAGAGTTCTTCTTCACGTGCAATGACCACAAAGGCAGCCTTGACCTTGGTGGATGTATTGGAGATGTGATCCCAGGATAAAAAGTTATCAGGGTAGAGGTAATCGACAGAGGGAGCAGCTCTTAGTTTATCTTGATGGGCTGGGTGGAATAGAGAGGGATTAAAATAGGCAGGATCAAATTTCTGGGAAGGTCGAGAGGAAAGATAGAGAGAAAAGGTGAGGATAGAAGCAACGATCAAGGTGAATGAAAAGACCGTGTGTTTCTTTAACCAGTAAATGATACGTGTTCGATAAGAAGTGATGGTTGGATCTGTCTTGATATGAATCGTAGGTGCTCTTTCGCCATCTAATAGAGATTCACTGGCCATTTGTAAATATAAAGAGGAAAGAGAAAAGAACGCGTGTGTTGTGTTTACAAGGTTTAATATATGCAATCTTTCAAAAAGTACAAATTAACATTGTGACCGCCCTACACAACGCTTGAAAGTGACACTTTTTTTATTTATTTATTTATTTTTTTTGCTCTTTTTTCTCTCTTTGTTGTGTATATATATATTTAGTAATGGAGGACTTTCGAAGCAGAAGTTTAGCGATAAAAGAGCTAGTTGCGAATTTAAGGGATTGTGGGTTCTCTGTTTCCGAATTGGATTTTCATAAACCTACTTCCTCACGTACATTGGACCTTTACACTTTTTTTTTCAAGTTACTGGATCCTTGGATGATTCCAGCCTATCGTAGTCTATTAGACAATGCCAAGGATCGTTTACAACTTGCATATATAGACCAAACCGTTGTAAGGACACCCTTGATTTTTTTTCCTTGTGTTTTTACATTAGTGATGCGAATAAATTCTACCCTTCCCCTCCCCCCCTTTCATTAGGTGTTCAATGCAATGGAAGACATTACCATACATGGTTTCCTTAAAGACTTTCTCTCCATGATTTCCGTTCCTGATTTTGATTTGACTGATATTCTGACACCCACACCTCAACGACAAACGTTTATTGTTCTGGCATTGAATAATTTTACTGTAGAAGCGCTTCGTTGTAAGCGACACATATTACCACTTCTCGAACCCTTGGTAAATAAAAGGACGTTTCTATCTCTTTATCCGCTGACCAAGAAAAAAAAAAAAATTCATCATAGAAAGAACAAGCAGAGACATTTAATAGATTATTAGCAGAAAAGGACTCTCTTGATAAACTTCTCAAGGAAAAACAGTAAGTATATCCTTTTTTAAAAAAAAGAATGGGACTTGATCATGTAACAGTATATTAGAAAAAGGAAAGAAGAAGATAATCGTTTAGCGGATCTGAAAGTAACCGAAAATGAAAAGATTCGGGAAGTCTTGTTTGAATATCGAAAGGAATCCGAAGTCAATGGAACTTCATTAAAATTAGATCGTGAAAAACGACAGCGTTTAAAAGACACTGTGGTAAAGTAGTATATATATATATATGCATGCACTGGCAATACTCACAAAATAATAATAATAGAGTGGTGTTCATTTTGCGCTGATGGATTGTAAGAGCAAGTACACAGTGTTCAAGGATAACATTGATATCGATATAGAAAAAGCGGAAGCAGAAATGAAGGAACTGGCTCATAAGACGGACATGGTCAAACAAGAGCAACTGAAAAAACAACAAGAGTTGGCGCAACATAGAGTAGAACGTGCCTTGGCAAAGTCAAGATCAGAAGTAAGAAAGATATATATATAAATTGTAATTTTGTTTTTCTGATGGGGGCTTATCTAGCTATTAGACCAACTGAAGCAATCTGCAGCAGAGAACAAGCGATTAGAAGCTGAATTAAAACGACTATGGCAAAGTGTGGAAACCATGCAAAAGGAAAAAGAAGCGGCGTTGGACGAAGAACGGGAGTTGAAACAAATCATCAATGTAAGTTTCCCCTTATATCATTTTTTTTTGTTCATATAGGCCTTATTAATCATATACTATGTAGCAAATCGAAATAAACCTAAGAACAACAGAACTCGAAATGGAGAAATGTGACGAACAAGATGCTAAACTGGACGAAACTAAAAAAATCTATTGGGAAAAAAGCATCAAGCAAGACGACGAATTGAGAGAAACCTTGAAAGAGTTACGTCGTGCCGAAGATGCATTGAACGAAGAAACGAAGGGCTATCAAAAGCAAATCAATGAAGTTTTAAGTGCTCATATGGAAGTAATGGAATTATTAGCGCCTAAAATACAATTATTGGATGCTCAAATGGAAAGACTATTACTAGAAACTGAAGATTGAAACAAATAAAACTAGAGAAGAATAAAAGAGATCACTCTCTCTTCCTCTTTCCCTTTTTTTTTATTATTATTGATAATTAAAATAAATCATTTTTTTTTAAAAAAAAAAAGATTGCCTTTTGTTTAATATTCCTCAGCATCTTCAATTTCAGAATCGCCCAAGGAGTCGGAACCAACCTCCTCGTAATCCTTTTCAAGAGCAGCCAAATCTTCACGAGCTTCAGAGAATTCACCTTCTTCCATACCTTCACCAACGTACCAATGGACGAAAGCACGCTTGGCATACATAAGATCGAACTTGTGATCAAGACGAGCCCAAGCTTCAGCAATGGCAGTGGTGTTAGACAACATACAGAGAGCACGTTGAACAGTGGCCAAATCACCACCGGGGACGGCAGCAGGAGCACGACAGTTGATACCGACCTTGAAACCGGTAGGACACCAATCAACGAATTGAATGGTACGCTTGGTCTTGATGGAAGAGATAGCGGCGTTGGTGTCCTTGGGGACAACATCACCACGATACAACAAACAACAAGACATGTATTTACCGTGACGAGGATCACACTTGACCATTTGGTTATTGGGCTCGAAACAAGCGTTAGTGATCTCTTGAACAGATAATTGTTCATGGTAAGCCTTAGCAGAGGAGATGATGGGAGCATAGGTAACCAAGGGGAAATGAATACGAGGATAAGGAACCAAGTTAGTTTGGAACTCGTTCAAATCAACGTTAAGAGAACCATCGAAACGAAGAGAGGCAGTGATGGAAGAAACGACTTGAGCAATCAAACGATTCAAGTTGGTATAAGAAGGACGCTCGATATCCAAGTTACGACGACAGATATCATAGATAGCTTCGTTATCGACCATAAAGGAGACATCAGAGTGTTCAAGGGTGGTATGAGTGGTCAAGATGGAGTTGTAAGGTTCAACAACGGAGGTAGCAACTTGAGGGGCAGGGTAGACAGAGAACTCAAGCTTGGACTTCTTACCGTAATCAACAGAAAGACGTTCCATCAAGAGAGCACCGAAACCAGAACCAGTACCACCACCGAAGGAGTGGAAAACAAGGAAACCTTGAAGACCAGTACAGTTATCGGCCAACTTGCGGATACGATCAAGAACAGAGTCAACTAACTCCTTACCCACGGTGTAATGACCACGAGCATAGTTGTTAGCAGCATCTTCCTTACCAGTAATCAATTGTTCTGCACGAGGAAAAAGGAGATAAATAAAATGTACATATTAAAAAAACAAAACAAATAGTGTATTTTTCTTTTACCAGGGTGGAATAATTGACGGTAGGCACCAGTACGAACTTCATCGACAACAGTAGGTTCCAAATCGACCATGACGGTACGAGGAACGTGCTTACCAGAGCTAGTCTCACTGAAGAAAGTATCAAAGGAGTTGTCACCAGTGTTGTTTTCCTCAGGAATATGACCATCGGGTTGAATACCATGTTCAAGACAGTAAAGTTCCCAACAGGCGTTACCAATTTGGACACCAGCTTGACCAACGTGAATAGAAATAACTTCTCTCATTTTTTATAAAGGGTGTTTATATAGTTGATTTATTCAAAAAGTTAAGGGAGAATAAGCAACAAATAATGTATAAAGAAGAAGAAAAAAAAAAACGAAAAAAGGAGATATATAGGGTATTTATAAAAAGCATGCGGCGTAGTTTGAATATTTAAATTAGTTTTATTGCTTTCAGCCAATGAGTGCGTGCATAAGTGTAACATAAAAGGGCGTATACATACATATAAGAAGTGTTTCTTTTTATCTTAGTTCATGATGGAAGCCAGGTATCCATTCTCCTTTTTCAGAGACTCTAGTTCTGCTTTTAAAGCCAAAGCAGGACCATCCAAATGATGTAAAGTGATGATGGAAGCCTGTTTATCTTCTGTGTAATCTCTACATTGCACCCACTCCGGCGCTACTTCCATATAAAACGAAATCTCGTTGGAAGTCACCGAGATCTCTAAACGTGCCCAACCTGCTCTTCCTTCTAGTGGTAATAACTGCATCTTTTGAACTGAAGATTGATTAAATTCCATCTTGAATCGACTCGGTCCATCTTGAATACACCAACTAAAGCTCTTCTTGTTCTTGTCAAATTGGCATACAAGATCGCTGGGTTCAAAACCCATTCTTTTCCAGGTTCCGATTTGAAGTGCTTCAGCGGATATCTTTTGATGAGGGTCAAAGTAAGGTTGCAGTAATGTGGTAGGTGTAAACATGGAAGGTGTAGTCGGTGTCATCATCATGGTAGGGTCTTGATCTTAATTTGAGTGTTAGTCTATTATTCATATTTATATGTGTTATCGTATACGTACAAAAGGGTAAATCAGTCCATGTTAAAGACGACGGCTGTGGTTGGCTGACGTCTGTATCAAAAAAGGACGTGGGTGTTTGATAAGGTAAAAGAGTATCACCCACAGAAAGATTAGAAAAGTTGGGTGGAGAACAAGAGGCAAGATTTGTTGTTGTATTTAACATGTGTGTATAATTAGTGGCATAGTTTGGTATCATTTCTACAGAGTTGCCTCTGTCGAATAGTCTAGGACGTTGTTGTATCATGGAAGGTCCGATGGTATGTGCTCTGGTGCGTGGTTTCTTTGAGGAAGACCATAATGAATGGTCTGAAGAAGAAGGACTGATAGAACCATTCTCATTTGAGGTAGGTGGTGGAGGAGGAGGAGGAGGCATAGATTTTAAAGAGATGGGTGGTGGAGGAACAGAGCTAGCAGTAGTGTGATATTGACCATAAGGATGATACATGTGTTGTTTTTGTCTTTGCTGTAATTGTTGTTGTTGATTGAAATAATAATAATAGTAATAATAGTAAAGATCTGGATTTGTTTTGATGGGATCGCCAATTTCCATTTCTGAAGGTTTATCACCGTTCTGCTGATGTTGTTGATAAATAGCTGCCTGACAAGCAGCAGCAGCAGCAGAGGAAGCATAGTACTGCATACGAAGTGTTTCATCGTGCAAGATGGATGATTTCTTTGCAATGTTCTTTACTTTGGCTCTTCTATTTTGGAACCAAATTTGGATAGACCTCTCCGACATGCCTAATTCACGAGATAATTGTTCTCGAACACGATTATTTGGACTGGGATTGACATGGAATGTTTTCTCAAGAACAGATAATTGTTCAGGTGTAGCTCTTGTTCGTTTACGAGGTGCTGACTGGTCTTTTTCATCGCTAGTAGAATTGGACATGTAATTATTCATAAGGGAAAGTAGTAAATATATATATATATATTTTTTTATAGGTAATAACAGAAAAAAAAAAAAGAGTAAAGGAAAGAAAGAAAAATTAGAAAATGTAAAAAAAAAAAAAACTTAATTGACAGGTTACCGAATTTATTCCGCACGACTATTTAATATACTGGGTCTCGTTTTTTTTTTTTTTTTTTGTACACACAATGAAGATCTTTTTTAATATGGGGGGAGACTGAACGCACGCACGCACACACACACGCACACACGCATAGAATACAACACAGGGCACACATTAGAAAACGCACACACATGTAATGGCGGCATTTTAAACAGGTTCTATCTGGCGAAAGAGCCCTTGATTTTTGTTACACGTACCATGACACGTGCTTACCAGTTATATACAAGACTTGTTTTTTAATATATTGACCCAAAGAATGGCCTGACATTTGTCTCGACCTCTCATAAAATGAGATTATCCCATAAGCCAGAAAAAAAAAACAAAATTAAAAATCGTACACAATTTTTTTTTTTTTTAATCGAGTACAAACAATTGATTAATTGATAAAACAAGGAGTGATAATAAAATAAAAAAAAAAAAAAACGTGGATATATTTCAATATAATTTCCAAACATTAATGATTATTCGTGTTACTAAAATATGTAAAAGAAAGAAAGGAGTGGGTATAGAATTAAGCCGTGTTCATTATATGATTCTTGGTATACGATCCAATTTACTACCTTTTTTTTTTTAATAAAAAAAAAAAAAAAAAAAAACCTCGTTATGCCCTTCCAATCATTGTTTCTATATCGTGGATTTCACCATTGATAGAAAATGGTAACTGAACCCTTCCCAATAAGCTACATTCCGAAGCCTCGGTAAAACTCCACTTGGCATAAAGAGAAGAACAAAGGGCGACCGCATAAGGAAATCCTATGTAGTCATTCTATCTGCGTACAAAGTTTTTTTGTTTTTGTTTTACTATGACAACGCCTTCATTCTAGGAACCCCCATATTTATCTTGTGTTTGGCGAGGTTAACATGACGTTTTGAATCGTCTAAAGCCCGCAAACTATTACTTTTTGACTAAAGACACATCCCGAAGGTCCGCTACCTTGCCCGGCTTAATTGGTTTCTCTTTTTTTTTTTTGGGGGGGGGGAGGGAGGGGGTATGTGTACAAGGGGGAGCAAAAGATCGATACATTTGAGAAAAGAAAAGACACACAAATTAATCTGTATTTGTACTCTTTACTTATCTGATCTGTTTAATCACTTATTTATCCATTACATACAAAAAAGGGTTATTTCTATTTCTATTTCTTCTTTCTTTTTACCTCTTTTTTTTTTCTTTTCCTTTTTACCATTGGAATTGAAAAAGAAAAGAGGTCCGTGTAGAATCCAGCTGTGGTTCAGAGATTTCCTCTTTCAGCCTAATTGAAATTCGACTTTGATGTTGCAACCAAAAAAAAAAAAAAAAGTTGTAGCCTAAACTTTATATGCAACTTTCTTGTGTCAAAAATACCCTTTTTGCAAACCAGAGAGAAAATGTCAGTGAGCGGTTTTTTCTACCTCTTTGTAGACTCCGATAACCCCAAAGAGGTTCCAATCATGAAAGTCTGGATCGACCTCCAAAAACAAGTCTAAAATAAAAAAAGTTATAAACATGTAAGTTTGTATGATTTATAAGGACACATGTTTAATTAACTTTTTTTGGGTACGCAAAGTGGTTTCACTTGCATCGATTACCCATTATTAGGGCCATACAAGGCACTTTGAATCAAATGCATATGAATTAGACGCGTTATGAACAGTCCCCTCCCTCCCCCCAATGATCAATGCATAACAAGGGGAATCCTGTTTTTTTTTCTTGCCCAACTGGTCTAATCGTTTTATTAAAGTGGAGCTAAAAGGGAGGTTTTTTTTTTTTTGATAATCAGCCGGGGATTTTCTATAAAAAAGGCCACAGTAAAAGATGGCGCGCTTTACTTTATGCCAGTCTATTAAATTGTACAGCATCAAATGATTGTTTGTTGATGAAGGCTCGTTGACAAGAGATAGACGGTGACACCAAAAGAGAACTTGAGAATATTATGATGCATTATGCTGCACGTTGGAGATAGTGGGCAGAAAACCCCCGGACCGTCGATCTCTGAAAAACGGTGTTCTAAATGATTGGTAATAATTATTGAATAACGTGTCTTTTCGAGCAAATAAAAAATAAACTTTTTTTTAATCAAGTACAAGAAATATTAAACAAGGGGTAGAAAGAGAAAACGTGGATATATTAAATCATAATCTAAATTTTATTTTCCCCAAACATGGAATTAGATAGTAATGGGGGGAGAGAGAGAGAGAGAGACGAGAAAGGGTATAGAGATTATTAGGCTGAGTACTCTGGTGGGGGAATGGATGGTATACGATCCAATAAAGGCATTGCAGGTAGTTTATCGGTGGCAGGTAAGAACATTTCTTGTGACGCCAAATCCATTTCATATGAGAAATGTTCATAGCATGGACATAAGTAGGGTCTAGGCTGATTCTTGGGTGTGTCCATTTTAGTTAACTTGATCTTATCTTGCTTCTTTTCTTTCACAATAGATGGCTTCACTCCTAATTCAGAGTAAGATGGAAGTCGACCATAATCTTCTTTAAGCCTACAATCAAATACAATCACACTAGAATCTAAACTAATCGTATCTTTCTTTCGATTATGTACGTCTTCCGCTTTGGCCTTGTTTAATCGTTGTAGTACATTTTGCCAAGTTACCGGAGTTGAGTTCCCGTTAGCACGCGGATGAAGATACGCTGCGGGAGGTGGTGTTAGGGTACCGGGAGATTCTGCCTCTCCAATACTCCCTCTACGACTCAGGTGTTGTCGATGACCCTGTATGTCTAAATAAGACATGGTTACATTAATTTCAATATGGTGTTTGATCAATATCTCCTTGATATAAGTCGTATGTCGAATATTTTGTTGACAGGTTGGTGCATAAAAAGCCAAACGATGAGCAAAATCATGCACGAGTTCAATACCATTTTGACTCTTATCAAAAATTGGTAATAACTGGTTGGTCGTAACATCTACCTCTCCAAATTCAGCTAATCGAACAGAACCTGCAAATGGTAATGGATAGACAGACTTGTCTGTTCTCCAGGCTCTCATCTCTGGTACACAATATTTTCTTGATTCAGTGACATTGACTTCTATATGTTCAATTCGTGTATGCTTTAATTGAGGTTCAACAATCATGCGAATATAGAATAAATCACCCGATGAAAAGGCTGCTGCTTCAATCACAACTTCAATATCACCATACACCATGTGTTTTTCAAATGTTCTTGATAAATTATTTAATGAATTATTCACCAAAAGCGAGTTAGACATATAAGTTCGTAATATCATAACAGGCTTAGTGATGTTCCAACTAGAGACCATCATTCCAGGCCTTTGTACTTCAGCGTCCACAACATGACGCACCCTTCCAAAGGTATCTTCAATCGTGGCCACAGTAGACTAATTTATATCAAATCAAGGTTTAGCATCAAAATCATCTTTTTTTTTTTTTCTGTATTTACATTAGGTATCACAAACGCAAATGAGAAACGATGAATTCCCGCAGGTAAAACTAATACGGGTGCCTTTTTATCAATATTAGGTGCCAAGATTTCCACGCTTTGTTCTCCCAACGGCTTTTCTGCTGTTAATCGTGTACCACGTGCTCCAATACCTATTTTTTTTTTTTTTTTTTTTTTGGTCAGGGCCCTGCTTTTTTTCTTTTCTTCTTTGGCTTGCCTATTTTATACCTTCGGGCCAATAGGTAACCGCATGGCTTTTTAAGGTTACGGAAACGTTCGAGATCTTTGTGGGTTTTGACAGATTCAAAACCACATTGCCCGCAAATAATGTCGAAGCATCTTCAGTAGGTAAACCTCGTAGTATAATCGGCTTAAAAGGATCAAAGCTCAATTGACCATGAGAAAGTAATCCCAAGTGCATCTCTGTCTAAAAAAAAAAAAAAAACTTTTCTGTCGAAAACCCAAAGAAAAAAAAAAGATTGTATTTAAAGAAGACTCTGTATGTTCAAAAAGAGAGAATCGATTCGTCCATCTTTTGCTGTAAACTCCGCATAATAAATAGTCCGAAAGCTCTTGTTCATTTGGTATTAGACCTTCAACAAAGCTCTAATTATAGAGGTTATTTTTAACTTATTTTTGAAAAGGGGATTGTTCGTATGCATTATAAAATCTGACATATTTATTTAGAAAAACATGCACCGTACACCTGTCTTACAACATGTCAAGATCGTTGTCAGATTAAAAAACGGTATACAGACAGATTGATCTAAATTCATCTCAGCTACAGGATTTTTTTTTTTCCATATCAAAGAATAAAGCCTTGGTCACAAACACTGCATATGGACATTACAATAATCCTACTAGTCATATTCCATATGATCCTTGATACGATTACTATTCTTTTTTTTGCACTAGATGTGCCAATTCGTTTAGACTATGGAATCAAACGGGTGGGTCGGAGCTACAGCGGTGAATGTATATCGGTATTAAACCCTCTTCAGCATTTCGAAGTAACTGATCATGTAATTCAACTAAATGGGCACATTCCCCCGCCTGTTGAAATTACTACGAGACATCTTGATCAATAATGTGTTCTTCGTATGCACCTATTTTGGGGTGTATAATGATGTAACCATATATCATAATACTCCTTAGACATATGGTGTACACTAACAAAGAGCGCAGAAAGAACTTTCATGTATTGAGATGATAAATCGGTTGCATTTATATCTTAAAGTATAACCATACTAAAAAGACTTGCGCTCATACAATAGCTAAATTAAATAATTCATTTATTATTAAACCACATATTGCTCAAAGAAACTCTTGAGTTCTTTCTCTTTCATGTTCAATGTTGTCTTATATTAATTACGCCAGCTTTTTTTTATGTATCTGATTTCTGTATGCATATTTTCACTTTTTGCTAAAGGATCAAACTTAATGTAGTGTCAAATCTTTCCCACTATATGAAATAAGGAGTGTGTTCCCATATATTTTGTTCAAAATACCAAGTTATTGAGATCATAAGAGAGACCTTTTTTGATGTTGTTTTCAAGATAAAAAAAAAAGATTACGTAACGCTTCCCACTGTATAATAATACCTAAATCAAACTAAGTTGAGCTTACTGTAATTCACAGGCTTGAGGGTGTTTCAGACCTTCCACTTTTGTGATTTTTTAAAAAAAATAGGTCGTAAGCGGTTTTAAAGCCATTTATATATTTTTCATTCTCCGATCTCTACTGCTTGTGCTGGCAGAAAAAAAATAGAAGCGTTTTTTCGAAAAAATGAGATTTTATAATTTACGTGTCAAAGTAAAGTCCATGGATATTAAACTTTTACTAAGGTAATCTTATGCCTAAAATGCGTAGAAACTTTGGGCGCATCTTTTGGTTAACTTTTAAAAAGCTGTTATCTATGCAAAAAATAAACTTTATCTAACAAAAACCGGTTTTTTAATAATGCATCAGAAATAATTATTCTTCTAGTAAAACTGCTCCAAAATTGTTACTGATAAAAAAAGCGTTAAAATTTGGCTATAGTTACCTAAGAACACTTTTTATTAACCCTACAGGAAGGGTATGTAAAAGGTGCATTTGTAAATTTTGAGATTTTCCTCGAGGTATACTCTTTGTATTTTGGCCACTTTTAGGCCTTTTGAAAAAAAAAAATTGGAAAAAAAAATAATGACTTGATATGATATTTTAAATAATTCTGAGCATTTTTTTGGCTTGAAAGGGTGTACGGAAACGATGGTTTACTATGTAGAAAATTCAATTGAAATATCTGTGTCAAGCGCAAAAAAAGGGACAGAGCAAAGAGAAAGACAGATATTTGGTATAGCATGTGTAGTTTTTTTAATGATGGGAGCATGAAATCATTTTTAGCGCATCTTTTCCATTATAAAATAGCATAATGAAAGTCTAATATCTGAGGATAAACAGACTCTCAAACCTCTACTTTGGGAAGGCAATTATGCGTGTTATGCATGATTTCAGCCAATAAACAGACAGGAAAATAGCGCAGCAGGAATATTAAAAAATGTGATCTTTTTTTTAAAAGCTTCCTTCTGGTTTCTTAACCTTTTGGCAGCATTCATTTCCTCCAGGAGATCTCTTACCCTATCTATTTTAAAACTTTTCATCTGGTAGCTTTAAAACTGGGTGAATAGTTAACTTTAATATTATTGTAGTTCTAGTATTACTTCTAAGATTCAAGTAAAGAGAATTTTGGATTGGATTATTTTTTCTGATGATAAATCTTTTGGATGCTTTCATTCAGCAAAAGGGAATTTATTCGGGGGATGGCAGTTTCTTTTTTGGTGCTGAGCCTATTTAACGCGTTCATTCTCTTTTGGTAAATGGCTGTTGGTGTTGCAGTCCTCCGGTGTATGTGTCCTTCTATAGCAATAGCAGCCCAGCTATTAGTTTGATTATTTGACTCTTTACAAACCTCCAATTTATTTATGTGTTGCATAAATCAAGTCGGACCAAGGGGTGTTACAACATTGGGGGTTTAAAATGAGAAAATAGTTGAGGCATGCAGTCTGTCCTTCGACTACTGGACACCTTTTCATTACTCTTTTGAATTGTTGTAATCTCCAAATAAAGTTGAATAGAAACGTGCAAAGAGGAATGTGCCTTATAAAACGACTCATATTGAGTTTGAGTCACACTGAGCTTTTCCCTCTGTTATACGATTGCTTACAAAGCAAAAATCTTGCCCAAGGGGTCGTAAACTTTTTATTGATCCTTCGTCTTGATCCACAACACTTGACTAAGCTACCAGAAAAGGAACAAGTGTATCAATAGGGAGTCTACTTTGAATAGTTACGGCTCACGTTATTCTATTGATCTGGTATGCTTATCTCATAACCATGTATAACCGACCGATGATCATTATGTACATTAGAGAAAATGGTCTCTAAACAGACGCTTACTTTAAAACAAAGAATAGGCTGAATGATTTCCTTTTATAAATGGATCTTGCTTTCATTATATAAAAATCTCGCACGGTTTTTTCTTCAACAAAAAGAGCTTGTGATACCCAAGTGCTGGTATCACCTGAGGTTTAAAATCATCCATTTTATTATTTCCCCTCCCTTTCTTTCTCATGAAGTGAAAAAAAAAAAAAGAATCTCTTTTTATTCATTTACATTTAAAATAAAAATAAAATATATATATATATATAAAAAAAAACCATGTCTGACATGCCAAACATGTTTAGCGATAATAATAACTTTCAAATGACACTTTGGTAATTGCCCTTCATTTTCTGGCCCTTTTCTTCTTTTTTTTTTGTTTTCTCGCATAATTTTTAACTGAGTTTTTATTTTTATTTTTTATTTTTATTTTTTGTCATGAAAGGATGGGAGATCTAGATCCTTGGATGGACGAACTGTTTATAAAAAATGTTTGGTTATTACTTGGAGAGAGTGTAGTGGTCAAATTGATTCGAGATAAAAGAACAAGGTAAGTTGTAAAAAAAAAAAAAGGCTTCTTACTAAGCGCAGTAAACACAGAAAATAATCTTGTTTCTTTATAGTTTAAGCTCTGGTTATGCATTTATCGGATTCTCCTCTAGTCAATCAGCCCAAACTGCTTTAACAAAAATTCATGGCACTAGAATACCAAATTCGAATAAAACATTCAAGTTAAATTGGGCATCGGGTGGTGGAATTTGTGATAGAAAGTAAGATCCACTTTAATTTTTTTCTGTAGAAAACAAGTTCAAATCTTACCTCCCCAATTTTTATATATATATATATATTAGAGAGGATCGTGCTCCCGAGTACAGCTTATTTGTTGGTGATCTAAGCAGTGATGTGGATGAAACATTTCTTTTGGTACCAAAATAAGATGATGTGGGATAAAAATAATAAAATTAACACATGTTTTTATTTTTCATTAGTCTGTCTTTCGTTTGAAATATCCATCATGTCATTCAGCAAAGATTATGACAGATCCATTAACTGGAATCTCTCGTGGATATGGATTTGTACGATTCTTAAACCAAAACGAGCAGCAAGAAGCAGTTGTCGAAATGAATGGTGTCATCTGTAGTGATCGACCTATGCGAGTCTCCTTTGCCACACCAAAGAATAACCAAACACGCTATTTACAACTAGCATTACAAGCACCTGCTTTAGTACAACAGCCTACAGATCCAACTAATACAACTGTGTTTGTAGGTGGATTATCTTCTCCTGTAACTGAAGAAGAATTGCAGTATATTTTCTCTCCATTTGGCGAAATAAGCTATGTCAAGATTCCGCCAGGTAAAGGATGTGGATTTATTCAATACGTACACAGATCATCCGCAGAGAGGGCGATTGAAAGAATGAACGGATTTGCCATTGGTACTTCACGTATTAGATTATCTTGGGGAAGATCTCAATCAGATAGAATTCCTACTTCGCCTATTTCATTCTTATTTGACCATCATCCCAGAATGAGTCCTGCAACAACCACAACCACATTATCAACAATTAACAATCATCATTTATTAGGCTCTTTTAAACCTTTATCTCCTCCTCAACAACAGTACAATCCACATCAATTATTATTCAAATCACAAGAGGATTGGTTGAACGGTCCCTTACCAAACGACGAAGAAGACTGGCACTTGAATTGAACCTATGCTTAACATTTATTATCTCTTTTTTTTTTCTTTTACTATCTACTCGCTTCTTATTTATTAATATCTTTTTTTTCTATGTAATCCCTTGTTCATTTCATGCAAAAAAAAACACACACGCTTTGACTGTAATTTATCCCGTCCATATTCATTATCTTTTTTTTTTAGTAAATAACTTGTTTTATTATCCTTTGCCCCTAAAACAGTAATAGGTATACGACAGCTTATCTGTCTAAATGATCCTATACGTTATTGTGATAAATGTAGAATTACGATAAGCGGCTGAAGATCATCTAAGAATGGGACAATGTTTCTTTTTGTAGCAGTTAATATGTATTAGATTTCAATATATTAGTGAAATGATTAAGTGGTGTTAATAAAAGCTTTTACTGTAAAAAGTAAAACGAACTACACTGCTGATTTCGGAGTTATTTTACTGATTGGTGCGTTTACTATACTCCCATCACTCATTTTACACTTTCCATAATGATCATTTACTGTCCCAAAGATAGCAAGACCTCCAGCAGTTTCACATTCTGTATACTTCCACTCGGTATCGTCCCAATCCTGTCCATCAAACTTGATCCTTATCTTTTAAGACAAAAAAAAAAAAAAGGTAATGAATATACTAGTTTTAATTTAAAGGGAGGAAATAAAATGCTTACATTAAAATGCTTTGCTACTCCTGGAATACGAGATCTATTACTGCAATCAGCATTCGAGTAAGGACAACACTCGCTACTTCCAGGATTGACGGTCTTTTTAAACGATCTAAATAGTCGAATTGTTGTTTAGTAAATGTATACTTTGTGTTCCATAGATAGCTCTTTACCTTTCTGAAGCGTTTACATCATTAATTTCTATATATGCATTGGGATCTTCTAAATAATTATAAATACAAAACGATTCAACCAGCTGTAGCCAAAGTAATGATACCATGATAGTCATCAAATAAACTCTTGTGCTCCAGATCAACATGTCAAATAGTTAGAAAATAAAATATGGTAATTATAAAGGAACGCTTTATTTATAAACAATGTGAGTGTCAATGTATTTCCACCACATGAATTCCTCATTTCGTTGTTGACAATAAAAAGTGCTTCTTTTATTGTGTCTTGTTGATTTAGTCTTGGAGGGCAATCACCTAATTTACATTAGCTCTATCCTATCGATATATCATTATCTTTAAATTAATTGCATAGTTTGTCTTTTCCAAGAAAGGGAGCATTTTGTTTATTACATAATCCGAAAAATCTTGTGTACACCCTTCGCATTAATGATCTCCCAATTGCCGAAATAAGATCCCTGACAATTTTTTTTTGTAGAGTCTATTGACAGCTCACCTCTAATTTATATTTACTGCTTCCTTTATTTTGTTTCTAGCAATCATATTTTATTTGCAGCAACAAGGAGGGGGCAGGGCGGGGGGGGGGAATGATAGCATTATACGTTGCTTGCCGTTTTTGACTGTAGTCACATGGCTTATATAATATGAACGATGCTACGCAATTATCTGTGAAAAAAGAAATCAATTGAATAACAACAAAAGTGACAGATATTAAAGTTTCAATAACTCATCTTTGTAAGAAGGGGTTTTCTTCTACCCAGTGCGCTTCTCAGTAATAATTTGGTGGGAGAAGCTTGCCCTGAGATTTAAAAAAAAAATAAAAAGCTTGCGTATTTCTTTTCCAAATAAAGTAATCCTTTAAAGCGCGCGCAGGAACGTAAAGGTTACGTGGTTGCCCTTTTTAAGTTTTCTTTTTTTTTTTTTTTTTTTTAATATAAGCCGGAGAAACCTTATCTTTTTTTTTGTTGTTCTTCTAACTAAAAAACACTTACACACTTTTTACATAAAGTAAATATATTATAAATGACTGAAATTGCAGACAAAAGAAACAATCTCTCGATTATTAATTCCTTACCGGCAGTGATTCCACCCACAACACGATTTAATTTCATAAAGAACTGGTGGCACCGGTCGGAAAAGACGTCCAGCATTGCTCAAGCACGCATCATTCAACGTATTTACGGCGCTTTACCCGATAGCACCATTGGTATTCCTACCTTTGCCAGAGTGGGTCGTATACCGATCGATAAAGAACAAGTTGTTTCCAGTCGCCTTGCAAGAGAGGTCAACACTTTATATATTTCTCAACAGCCGAAACAAGACACGGCCTTCAAGTTTGAATCGGAACCGGGTAATTTAGAGACAGTGATCCAACATGATTTGAAACAAGATCCTTCAGCACATAACTTGGTCATGTGTCATGGCTACGGTGCAGGTCTTGGCTTCTTTTTTCGCAACTATCAAAGCTTATCTCAACAACCTGGCTGGAGACTCTTCTCGATTGATTGGTTAGGTATGGGTAACAGCTCAAGACCCAAATGGACCTTGAACAAAAAATCCAACCAAACATGGGATGAAATTGTGGAGCATGTAGAGGAACATTTTGTGGAATCTTTAGAGGATTGGCGTGCTAAAGTGGGTTTAGAAAAGATGACTTTATTTGGCCATTCTTTAGGTGGTTACTTTGCTACCTGTTATGCTCTTAAATACCCTGATCGTGTAGAGAAACTCATCTTGGTCTCACCTGCTGGTATCCCTGAAGATACCGCCAAAATACCTGTCGATAAAAGTCCTCAAGAAACCCTTGTGCAAGAGGCAAATGAGATCAATGCGTCCTACCAAGCCGATGCTGCCGCAGTGGAAAATATCGCCAAACAAATCGATCCTCCTCGTAGAAAAATGCCTTCTTGGGCCACTTATCTTTGGGACAGTAATATTACACCCATGAGTATCGTGAGAATGATTGGCCCCTTTGGTCCCAACTTGGTTCACACTTATACATCCCGAAGATTTGCTCATCTCAAAGAATCAGAACAACATGATCTTTATGATTATTTGTAAGTCATTTTTTTAACTTTTTTAGGTTGTTTTATCATACTAAGATGACTTTTTTTTTTTAGATACCAAATTACCTCTTCTACTGGTTCAGGTGAGTTTGCTTTAGCTGCCATTTTGGCACCGGGTGCATTTGCGAGAAAACCGTTATTCCATCGTTTGGCGGACTTGAAAGTACCCACTGTATTTATCTATGGTGAGCAAGATTGGATGGATTATAGAGCAGCCGAAAAGGCCAAGAAATTCATGAAGGTCCCTGTGAAAGTTATTCGTATCCCTGAAGGTGGACATCACATGTATTTAGACAACCCAGAAGTGTTTAATGAAGCTGTCAGAGCTGAAATGAATTAATAAAACCGTCACTTTTATGGAAATTTAAATATTTTTTCTTTCTTTTTTTTTTTTTAACTCCTGTTCTTTCTCCCCCCCAAAAAAAACAACACCATGGCCACTCCATTAGATCAAGTGAGACAAGCATTATTGGATTCTCGGTTAAGCAAAGATACCCAAGTTTCATTTGGCAACAGTTTAAGCATTATCCGTATTTTACTTGACAATGGTTGTTGCGCTCGTTGTTGTCTTCGTTACTTGGGCTGCACCGATTTCCGACTTTACGCACTGGACGAAACCGACTTGTTCAACTACTTTGATACTTTATATACAGAAAAAGGCAATATGGAATCCTTGACACCACCCAACGGTATCTGTACCGCTTGTCTTGGTGCCATTCAACATGCCGATTCCTTTGTCGACGACGTATGTGAGCGCTTGGCTAAAGAGGATTATAAAGCTGACAGCGTTTGTTTGACATGTACTTTACCTGTCAGTATCTTATCCCGAGATCATCTCATGAAGGTCCATGTACTCAACACTTTAGCTGCTCAAAATGAAGTGGATTTGGTGCGTATCTGGGGTGGAGATAAAGATGTGCGTGATCCCAAGGATTTTTTCAAGTACTTGTTTGGTTTGGGACTTACAAAAAAGACTCACTTGATGTTGGATAGCGATGCCCCATTGCGTATGAATGTTGTGGTCGGTCATGAACCTACTTCCAAAGAGCATTTGTTCTTGACCGAATTAAAAGAACCTTTATTAAATGTCAGAACCATGCGTCAAAAGGTAAAAAAGAGAGCCCCCTTTTTTTTAAATCAGTTCTTCAAATACTCATGTCTCCCATTTCATCTCTGCAGAAAATTAGAGTGACAGTAGGTGATTCAAGATCCTGCATTGTTGAAGCTCTCAAGAAATTAGACAGCAATGAAGCCAAAGAGTAGGATATATATATATAAATCCTCACCTTCCTCCCCACCCATCTTTTTTTAACCAACAATTTTTTATGTATAGAGTGACAGCAATTCCACCCGTTCGACCTACAGAAAAAGCAAAATTCCACACGGTAGACTTACTTCATGTATCATCGCATGTGGGCGGTAGATACCTCAAATTCTCTCGAGAATACAGTCAGACTCCTTGGGCTATCAAGGGACAAAAGTTGGCAGAACATTCAGTCTCGGACTGTTTTGAGGATTTGATCCGTAAATACCATCGTGCTGACAGTACCAAGTTTGTCACGGCAGGTCGTGAAGATGCTAACGTACGCATGTTGGGTACAGGCAGACCCTTTTATTTAGAAATCATCAACCCAAGAACACCTCGATTAACCGATGCAGAATACAAAGCCATGGAAGATGAGATTAATAGTAATCCCATTCATAAAGACAACGTCCAAGTGAGACATTTAGGATTTATCAACCCGTAAGCCTCCTTTTTTTTTGTCAAGGGAAACAATCATCCTATAGATACTGAATGGTCATCTTTTTTTTTTTTTAAAAATTTTGTAGTGCGGATACAAGCATTATCAAGGAAGGAGAAGAGACCAAGACAAAGCGATACAGAGCCCTTGTTTGGCTTTCAGAACCTTTAACGGATGACTTGATTGAACGTATCAACCGTATTGGATCACAAGAATTCACCATTCAACAAAAGACACCTGTCCGTGTTTTCCAAAGAAGATCAGCTGCCATTCGACCTAAAATTATTCATACCTCCACCATTGCACGACTGAATCCCAATGTGGATTTATCCAGCCCTGAAGCGTGTTACGGTGTATTGAAATTACATACACAGGCAGGTACCTATATCAAGGAATACGTTCATGGTGATCTCGGTCGAACCTTGCCTAATTTAGCTTCGGTCGGAGAGATTCATTCGGCTGATCTGTTGGAATTAGACGTGATGGATGTGGATTTGGTTTGGCCTCCTGTGGCTGTTGAAACTGAAGCTGTTCCCATGGTCATTGATGAATCCAACGAAAATAATAAGCGTGCTCATACCAATGTTTTATAGAATAAGAATAATAATAATAAAAAAGTAATAGTAAAACAGTAAAAAAAAAAAAAAAAAGTGACTTTGTTACAAGAATTTAAAAGAGATAAGAAAATAAAATAATAGTTGCTTCCTTTTACAATAACATTTCCCATGGAAGACCTTTATAGCGGTAACTCATAAAAAAAAAAAAAGTTGTGAAAAGCCCCCCTTTTTTTTTGCTAACGACTTTTTTGTAAAAGAAAAAGAACCTGAATACCGTGCAACTCGTGTTAAGTCAGGCATCCCTCCTCCTTCGTCTCGCGATCAACGTCGTATGCCACCACGTCAAGGAGGCGATCTCTCACGATTCAACCCAGCCATTCAACGTGCTCAACCACAACGTTATGCTCCCTATGACACTCATGGAAGGCAACATCAACGACCCGATGAAAATAGATATAACCGTCAAGACGGTCGATACCCAGAACAACAGCGTCATGACGGAAGATATCCTGACCAACGCTACCCTGACGGAAGACCATCCGATCCACGTTATCCTGACGGAAGACACTACGATCATCGTCAAGCGGATGGAAGACAACCACAACAAGAGCATCGTCAAGCGGACGGAAGACAACAGCAAGAGCATCGTCAAGTTGAACAGAGACGTCCTGTTGTGGCTCCCAAACCCAAGCCATTAGACTTGCGTACCAGCACCGATTTTTTAAAGTGTGAGCATCGACTTTCGGTCGATGAGATTATGCAAACCATGGCTATTTCGGATGCCATGACCGATCTTGATTTCCTCAGTTCCAAGGGTCTTGTTGAGAAAGTTAACACGTTGAGAGTAAGAAAAAAAAAAAAGATAACACGCCATGGTTGTTTGAATATTAACATTGGTTATGAATTAACAGGAAAAGATTCGTCATGTTCCCAATGAACAACGATCTCAAGCAAGATCTAGGAGCAACCCGTTTGAACGTATCAGTAATGGTATCTTTATGAACAGAGCCGCAACTAAATTAGCTGCCTTGGATGCTACTTTTGGTTTAACTGTCACTCAAAACAACAAGGAATTCACATTTGCCGATATCTGTGGTGGTCCCGGTGGATTTTCCGGTAAAAAAAAAAAAAAAAAAAAAATTGACAAATGAATACTAAAAAAAAAATGGGTGATCTATAGAGTATTTATTGTGGAGGGTGCATAGTTGGGGTGGATCAGCTCATGGATTCGGTGTGACATTAAAATCAAGCACCCACGACGAAGTCAACTGGCATACGGAAAAGTTTCGTCCTGATATTCCTCGTCATAGCTTGACGGAATTAGAGGGTGATGGTGATTTATACAAGGACGAAACCATCCGTCAATTTGAAGCCTTGATTGTCAAGGAAACAAAGGGACAAGGTGTGGATCTTGCTGTAGCGGATGGAGGGTTTGATTTCTCGGGAAACGAGGAACAACAGGAAGTGTTGGCTCAACGCTTACTCTTACGTGAGATCATCAGTATGCTGACAAGTTTAAAAAGAGGAGGTCATTTTGTTTGCAAGTTTTTTGATATTGTAGACGAGTTTACGGGAGATTTGGTCTGGTTATTGTACCAATTGTTTGAAGAGATTTGTATCACAAAACCTCTCAGTAGTCGACCTGCCAATTCAGAGCGATATATTGTCTGTAAAGGTTTATTGGTGAGAGATCCCAGACTGGTAGATAAATTGTTGGAGATCTCGAAATCCATGGAAGAGGCGGCAGGTAAACGTTTTATTCCTAAACAGGTTTTGGAGAAGGATGAGGATTTTGTTGATTATGTAAAGATGCGTAATATGAAATTTGTTATGAAACAAACAGAAGCGCTTGAACAATTGGATCAATTTATCAAGAATCCGTATGTATCTTTTTTTTTATTTTATTTTTTTTGGGTGGAGTGATGAGACTTAATATGGGATCATTCCTTTTTTTATTTTATTTCCATAGTGATCTCGCACCTCTTTATGATCAAGAACAAATCAAGAAGCATTGTTTAAGTGAATGGAGAATTCCCCTTTAACTCTTTTTCATTTGTTGATAATAAATGGATCCTCCTACCATAGCCATCACTGTAAACCCTTGTGCAGCCACTAGAGTTTATATGGTTAGTAGTGGACACGACGCGTATCATTTTTTTATTTTTATTTTTTCGGTACCTCTTAATCGAAACATGTTGTTTGCGTAAGCTCGATTTCCAGTTTTAATACCTACAGTAGCTGCAACCAGTGCAAAACAAGTCAAGGCAACACCTATCCATCATTGTTCAATTATGCTTATTTTTTAAATAGGAGTTTTTATTTTTTATTTTTATTTTTTTACCTGCTGGTACAAAAGGTTCATCTTTTGCCTTGCGCTTAATTTTTTCAAGTGGTGTCTCACCGTTTAAAACCATTCTCATGCGTTGCATCTCATCTTCTGTATATTCTCTCATTTAAAAGAAGAAGGTGTGTGTGAAAAAAGAGAGGAGTGAAAATTAAAATTTTAATTAGTTTTTTTCGTGTGTGTGTGTGCGCACCCCCCATAAAAAAAAAAAAAAAAAAGCTCCACACTTGTATATTTCATGCTGCTGTGATAAATGGGGGGATGAGGTAATGTTTTTGTTTCACAGACAATTCATGGGCACCTTTTTGTTTGTAAATTAAAAATCCGATGAGAAAAAGCGTTTATATAAAGGTCGTGTTTTTCGTCATCTGCAGTTTTTTTTTTCTTTTCTGTATATACACACATATATATTCAAAATGTCTAACCCTAAAGTAAGTGCATAAAAGTGGTAAAAGATTAGTATATTTATTGTAATATGATAGACCTACTTTGATATTACTATTGATGGCAAGCCTGCTGGTGTAAGTTTTTTTTTTTTTTTTTTTTTTTTTTTAAAATTATTTTAGACAAGCAAATTTAACACGTTTTATATACATTAGCGTATTGTCTTTGAATTGAACAAGGATGTCACACCCAAGACAGCTGAAAACTTCCGTGCACTCTGTACTGGTGAGAAGGGCTTTGGTTATAAGGACTCTGGATTCCATCGTATTATCCCCAACTTTATGCTTCAAGGTGGTGATTTCACCAAGCACAATGGTACAGGTGGTAAATCTATCTATGGTGAGAAGTTTGCTGATGAAAACTTCAAGCTCAAGCACACTGTTCCTGGTTTGTTATCAATGGCTAATGCTGGTCCTGGTACCAATGGTTCTCAGTTCTTCATTACTACCGTCCCATGTTCTTGGTTAGATGGTAAGCACGTCGTCTTTGGTAAAGTGGTTGAAGGGTAAAGTATAAATTATTATATTTCTCCGAGTAACGTCATTTTGATTGATTTTCTTTTTATATTTTATAGTTTGGATCTTGTCAAGAAGATTGAAAGTTACGGTACTGATTCCGGTAAGCCCAAGGCAAAGGTCGTCATCGCTGATTGTGGTGAATTGTAAATACACCTCTTTGTTCAATAAGAATAATAATAATAATAAAAAACTTTGTTTTTGTCATAATTTGATTACGCGTTGCTTTTTTTTAATTTATACATTCCGACGCATGATCATCTTTTTTATTTTTTCGTAAAGAAACTGGTGAGAGGTTTCATGCCGCGCGTATTTACCTTGGCCAAACTTCTGGGAACGGCAGGCTTCATTTTCTTTTGAAAGAGGGATTAGTCACAATAGTATATAAAAAAAGAAGTTTATTTGTTTATGTACAAACCTTGGCTGGTGCATCCATAAAGTTCTCCTCAGGATGTACACGTTTAAAATAACCGGAGGGAGATACGTCAGTGACATAATTAGTAATGTCGCCGAGTTCTTCCTTTTTCTCAACAAGCCTAAAAAGAAAATGTTAGTAATTAAAGACTCCGTTTCCCTTTTGTCAGACACTGTACTCTAATTTGACCAAAAGTTTACTAAACCAGTTTTTACTTAAATAATTGGATAATGTATACACAGCCTCTATTTTCTCAAGTCCTTCTTCTTTTGTCGTTGTTTCAAATACTTTTTTAAAGTGTTCATTTGACAGGATAGCTTCCACTTTTTTAACTAGCCAATTTAAGGTGTTTTCCTCATTTAACTTGTAAACAAACAATCCACTCGCAATTTCTATATTATATGTCAGCTTTCCCTAAATAACATCACCCATTCTAAATTTTACCTTGGATATCACATAAGTGGCCTAATTGCTCTTTTAATCCTGGAACATTGGTTAAACGATGTACATCAATAGGTTGATCATATTCCTCTTCTCCAAAGAAGTCTCCCTCTGATGCTTCTTCATCCACTACCACACAAATCTTTACATTCTCTCTGGTAAAGATATCGTCCAATTCTCTAAACTTGTCATTCTTTCCTGCTTCTTCAAGAATAGGCAAGGCTATAAAAAGAGGATCTAGAGGTGATATAAATCGAATAGCACCATCTAGTTTAAATACATATCAGTGCAAATCCCCCCACTCTATCTCACAGCAGATATATTACCTTTGTAAAGTGTATCGTCCATTAACCAACAACTTTTACGGCCTGGTCCTGTCACTCTTTGAATCTCGTACAATTGTCCCTTTTCATTATGAAAGTAAATAGAGCGTCGATCTGTCAATGTCATTTTTTTTTTTTTAGTAAGCAATAATGTTGCAAGTCATGTGTTTTTTTTTTTACTTGATCGTGGGCAGGGTAAATACAGTTCTTTTAAATGGTTGACATCTAGAGAATTTCTTTCTTTTTTTTAGCTGCATGGGTCTTTACATTTTCATCCCATGCTGACTCTGTACCTTGATCTAATCTATTTGTAAATGCCAAAATCTTCATTTTTAAAAGCTCTATACACACGAAACCCACACGTTAAAAAAAAAAAAAAAAGGGAAAATTTAAATATTTTCTTTTATTATTATTCGCGCGTTTCTTTGAAACACAGCCTTCTATTTATGTAGCGTTGGTTTACCAATAGCATCGGGATTCTTCACATCGAATTCTCTTCGAAGGGCAGCATAGACAAGATCCACCAATAGCAGAACCTGACCCAAATTATACACAAGTGTGATTGCGTAAAAGAAATTAGCGTTACCACTACCTGCATAAATCCATAAATGCCAAAAAATAGGTGCTAATCCAGACGCATATAAAAACAGATTGGAAATCAAAAAGCCATAACGGCAATCTAAAAAAAAAGAATGATTAGGTACCCATTTTCCCTTCTTTTGTTCTCTTTCCCTTACATTTAAAGAGTTCGTCGCCAATAGGAACAAGTGCCAAGTAGAGCGAAGCATCACTGGCAGAAGGATAGCTTTTGAATATAGCCATGACACCGCAGAGCACGGTCATAGCAAACACAGGCTGATGACTACGAGCCGCACACCCTTTTTTTATTAGCAAAATGCAATCCCATCTCCATGCCAACCGTATGTATCCTACTTACCGTAACTTGATACAGATGGGTGCTGTAAATATAAATGTATGGAATTGAAATACGACCATAAAGAACGATCTGAATTGATCAAAGATCTCGATGAAAAAGTACCAAAACATGCCAACATTGGGTGTTAAATCCGTAACAAAGATACTAGTTTGTTTATGAGTTTTCTTTTTTTTTGCTTAAGCATCACACTTTCTTTTACATACATGGTGCCATAGGTAGAATTGACAAAGTCCCAAGATCCAACAAAAACTCTTGATAATCCAAACAAGATGGATAAACACCCCACAAACAATCCAACCGAATATACAATCTAAACCAATCGGTGAGAATTTTCAGCCCTCCTTCTCTCTCTCTCTCTCTCTTGTTCTTTTTTTTTTTTACCTTTTGATTATCCAATACCAAAAGTAAAGCAGGTGTCAACATGACAGGATAGAAACTGAGATAAGACGCCAATGCAATCCAAAATAATGTAGGCTTGGTCTTACCTAATCATCATACGTTTCAATATATTCCATTTCTCAATCAACCCTCTTTTTCTTACCTTTTAATGCACTTAATAAGGACAAAATAATGCTGAGGTTGGTGAATAAAAGTGTCGACTTGGAAACGCACGATAAGATGGTCAATGGATTTAACAGATATAATGCAGCCACCGTCTCGGGTAAAATAGGTTGGATATCACGTTCTACTTCTAAACGAGTGGTAAGCGTATCGCGTTGCTGCTTTAAACGGGTAATGTTTGACAGGGAATGAGCAATGATGATATCCATGAGACTGTATACAAGAGGAATGGTGAAGGATGGTAAGGTCATGAAGAATGAGAATAAGCATAATAATAACGGTGACTTTGAATAAAGAAGGTGTTTAACAAGTGAATTGGAGAAAGACAATCGTCATGGTATACCTGATGAAATACACCTCCATCATAGGGAGGCACATTGTTATTGTACAGGTAGACACCTTCTGTAACTACATTTTTTTTTTTTTTTTAACAGAATTAGGTTAATTTTCTTAATGAAAGCATGCCATGTGGGTTTGTTTTTACGTCTTTTAAAGCTGGTGACGGGTGTAGATAGTTCCACACGTTCAACAAGTGTATTAGCCACCGAAGGAAAACTAAATAAGGCTAATCGTAAAGCCAATGCAGTTGCATATATTAACTTTTTTTTCGAATCAGTCTTCATCAAGAAAAAAAAAAAAAGAGAAGCTTTAAAAAAAAAAGTGTACTTCCCCCACATGAAAGTATTTCCCCTTTATTTAAGCGCACTGTTGCACATCAACCAGTCACACGAGCGAAAAAAAAAATAATAATAATAGTTTGCAGTCAAATACATTGTTTATTCTTTGGGAAACAAAAAAAATTGAAAGATCAAAGAATATATCACAGTATATAGAAAAAAGGGTTGTAGTTACAGAGAAATTTTTTTTTAAAGAGCCTTCGAAATAACGAAATTTAGTTGGCCTTTCTACGGAAAGAACAGCCTAAAAGAAAAAAAAAAAAACCAAATGTTAATAAACTCCATTCACTTAATTCAACAACAATAAAAAGACTTACCCTCAGTCAAGCGAGCACGACCACCAGTAGGTTGGCACAAAACGGTACCACAAGAATTACACAAGACAACAGTTTGGGCGTGACTGAAAACAGTGCTGATGTTCAAACAACCTATGATTGTGCTTAAGGGTTAATCTATGCAGACAAAAAAGATAAACCATCTTTCGAATCCTTACCAGGGCACTTAACATCCATGAAGAAGGAGTTAGGAGATTGCACGAGTCTCTTAAGCTTGTGAGAGCGCTTCTCGTGCTCAACAGAGGGGTTAAGAAGATCGATGGCCAACTACCAGCAAAAAATAAATAAATGGGGTTAGACATTAACTCTTTTTGTAGTGGGAGAGAAAGGACTCAAAATCAATGAAGGGGAAATGAGTGACTTTAGTTGAATCGACATTGTGTAGGGTGGCATATAAAAAGTTAAGTCTAATATAATAGAACAAAAAATGCATCCATCCATCGAGTTCTTTTTTTGTTGATTTTTTTTCCATCCGTTTATCAATTTCGATATCACTTCATCTCCCCTTTCCATTGATTTCTTGCCTTGGATACTTACGGTCATATTGCTGTGTCGAAGGCTTGTGAAAAGGGAAGAGTTACTCTGGCCCTCTCACTCATGTTCTTTTGTAATAATATTTTTTTGGTCCGGCAAGGAAAAAAAAAAACATTTTTTTTTAAATCACCGCCTTGTGGGATCATTTTCAACTTCAGATAAAGTCTCTTTGAGTAAACCATGCACACACATTGATACGTTGGATCCTATTTATTATGTCTCCAATTCGAGTTTAAAGAGATTAAATTTCTAAAGTGTATATTTAAATCTAGGTTATTCAGTCTTTTTATTTTACCTTTTTAATTGTACAATTAGAACAAAATTTATTCCAGTTCTATCTGAACAAAGGTTATCATATTAACTACAGCACTCCCTTAAAACCCAAGTGCTTCTTTTTGCACCCCCCCCCCCTAGTAACGCTACAAAGTTTAATTTTTTTTTTATCTCCGTAGCAACAGTAGTATTATGTATATATATCTTTTATGATGTACATGGAACTAAAATGTAATGTCTGCGCATGGATAACTGCTTGGGAATTTATATATTCATTGTAAAAAAGTGAACAATCAAAATTCTACTTTTGAATTTGCTCTTTAGCATTACATGATAACAGAGAGCAAAGACCACACATTTGTTTTTATGGCAAACGAGAGTTTTTACAGTGCTTGATATAACTGGAAGTTTGCTGTTTCAATCATACTGTGGTCTTTGATTGAGATACTTTTTATAATTATAGTTTTTGTATCAACATATGCTTTTAGTGGAAATAAATGTCAACAATAAAGAAAAGAACGAGAATGAAAGATAGCTTGCAAGCAATTTCATCAATATAAAAATAATGAATTACAGATGCAAATAAATCTTATGTTGTATCCACGGGTTTAGCTCAGTTGCCAAACACGATTGCGCACAATAAATGAACAGAAAACAATTTTTAATTTTGTCATTGATACCTTCAGGTAGATAATTTTTTTTAGGTCAGAAACTACGTTAACATAAATTCCCTTTTGATGTTTAACCTCAATACCATCATTAATGTATTTATAGTCCAGTGAAAAAAAAAAAGTGATCTTACACCGAGAAATCTGATAGTTACTTCAGAAGTTTCCAAACAATTGTTTATGTACATGGACGTTAAAAAATATATTTTTACAATTTACGTTATTAGATTTCCAGCAAATGATCACTTAGAAAAAAATCAAACAAGCCTCATTCTTTGAGTTATCCTCAAACACAAAGTATTCATCTTAATTTTGAAAAAGGTATTGCGTAATATTTCATGTTTCAGTTTGGATGGTGTAACTTTTTTTAAAAAAGACTAAAAATTTCGCGTCTGGGGTAGTACGAGTTAACTCAGCCTTTTATAAATTCAATCAATCTTTTTTCTTTGCCTTTTTTAGTGTTTACTTTTTTAAATCATGTCTGCACGTACTTTCTTGACCACCGGTAAAAAAATTGTCGCTATCGGTCGTAACTTCAGGTAACCTCCCCACCCCCCTTTTTTCTTCCTATACTTGTTTCACTTATCATTGCAAATAGTGAACATGCCAAAGAATTGGGTAACGCTGTTCCCAAATCCCCCTTCTTTTTTTTGAAGCCCACGAGTTCTTACTTAGCCAACGGTGGCACCATCGAGATTCCCAGTGGTTGCGATGTTCACCACGAAAGTAAGTGCTCTATCTAAACTCTACGAGGTCCCCCTAGTCTAAAACGTTCCAACCCTTTTTTTTTTCTTTCATTCAGTCGAATTAGCCGTTGTCATGGGCAAAGAAACGCGTGACTGTCCTGCTTCTGAAGCCATGGATAGCGTTGCTGGTAAGTCAATGTGTATTGAGTCACCCTTTTTTTTATATGTATTGATCGAGAAAAATTTCTAGGTTATGCTTTGGCTATTGATTGTACTGCTAGAAACCTTCAAAATGATGCTAAAAAGAAGGGATTACCTTGGAGCACTGCCAAGGGTTTTGATACATTTACACCCATCAGGTACTGAAAAGCAGAAGTGTGTGTGTGTGTGTGGGGGGGGGGGTATCAGGGAGAAGTGAAAAGAGTGACTAACACATAATGTTAGTGAATTTATTCCTAAAGATAGTTTCACCAAGACCGATGATATTGATCTTTGGCTCAAGGTGAATGACAAGTTCCGTCAACAAGGCAACACCAAGGATATGATCTTCAAGTAAGTTAGTTTTTTTTTGGGGGGGTCATTCGTGTACATGAAAAAATACTGAACACATATAATCAGTGTGCCTTCTTTGATTGAATATGTCTCATCCATCATGAAATTGGAAGCGGGTGATGTTTTACTCACAGGAACCCCCGCTGGTGTCATGTCCATCAAGGATGGTGATGTGGTGACTGGTGGTATGAAGCCCGGAAAGGCCGAAAAGGATATCATTACCATCAAGTTTAATGTTGCTGATAGAAAGGGATTGTTCAAACTCTCTGAATAAATACAAATGCCCCTCCCCCCCTTTTTTTTGACTAAATGTTTGTTATATATTGCAAAAGTTTACCTTTGCTTGGTCGGTTTGTATTCTCACGCTGTATTCTCAAAGTAAATAGGATGAAATGTGAGTATACTACTTGACAACGCAGCTGCGCTTTAATCGATAAGGCCAGCTAATCAACCCAAGGTATTCCTTCAGGAACAGTAGTGTTGTATTGAAAGGAAGTTCTCTGTTAATGTTACGTCTCTTAGTCATTCTGATGTCGTTGTTGTCAGCAAAGCTTACACGTTTTCTCAATAGATGGAGTCAAATCATAAAAAAAACTGTCACCATGCGTCACAAGTTGAGAGTTATGTCGTCTTATTCTAGAATTCAAGAGAAGGGCAAGTTATTATTCAAGCCATTGTTCACGTCACGCCCATAAGTTAGTTCAGTTTTACGCGTTTTCGCAACGAAAAAAAAAAAAAAAACATTTGGCTTGTCTTCTAAAAACTGTAGATTAGAAGAGAGACGAAATCAACCACTCGATTATTATACTGAATGAAGACCATTGTGTACAATATGTCTTGGAGGAAATACGATATATATCAAAGCGCTGATAAGCTTAAAGACTATACGCCAAGTTATATACATTCCCTAAAGTATAGGTTTGACTCTAAAACTACCAGCATTCCAATTAATGAATGGAAGTTCGGTTACAATCTTGAAAAGCATTTAAACCATTTTGAAAAAAAACAAAAAATGAAATAAAGCTTCTCATGCATCGACCCAAAGCAATATTCAACAAATAGAATATACCTACACCTATATTCATTTTGATTTAGATAAAACATAATCAAAGACTGCTCGCTTAGTGGAGTCAAAGCACCCGGACGCGTACTGAACGCGTACCGGACGCAGTATCGTCAAACTCGTAACAAAAAAATCCTAGGATTAGGAAGTGAAAACACCCGCATGAACCCCGCCTGCCTATGGGGTAACGGAAAAAAAGAAACAAAAAAATCATTAACAATTTTTTTCTTTTTATACTTTTTGAGATCCAAAAAAAAAAAAAAAGTGACTGTGCTTTTAGGGTTTTTTTTTGCATCTGTTTCAACAGCTGCATTTTCGACCCGTGTGAGATATTGGTCACACAGACCTATCTTCTGCCAACTGAAATCAGTCTGTTCATAACGTCTAATAGCACGATTTTCTTGTGACTCATGTGCGCGTTTAAACGTTTTCGTTGTTCTTCTGTGAAAAAGGTTCAATGGTTTTCGAAAATTGTTTTTTCTATAAAACCCATCCAATATAAACATGACGTTTATACCTTGGTTTTATCTCTTTTAAACAAGACGACCTTGTTTGTATGACGATTAAATCGAAGTTACAGAGTATCAAACAAGTATCTACTACGGATTGTGAGCCCAACCAATAAGAAAACAACGAAGTCAGGGTGCCGTCACAAAGAAAATCGAAACAGATTTTTTTTTTTCTTCTTCTTTCCTTGCCGTTAACTTTTTATTTTAAAATAAAAAGTAATTATACCCCTTAAAGACCGTAACACACTTCACACAGAATGGCTGATAATAATGAGGCTGTTCTGTTCTGGTTAGAACAAGAACCAGTGGACGGGTAAAAAAAAAAATACCAACACGAAAAACCATCCAGAGTGAGAAAACATTCCCACCCACTGATACGTGTTTTTTTTATATATCAACTAGTGTTGACTTTGTGTATCTCCCTGCTGACACACCCATGAGTCGACCTTCGCCCAAAGTGAGTTACCAGATGCACAAGATTAAGGAACTCAGAAAGCAAAGAGCGGTTGAACGTTTAAAAGCGTATCATTTCGAACAGTGTGCTGATCGCAGACAACAGTTGGCGCAATGCGTTGTGCGAGAGGAATTACCGAACCAACACCAGGAGGTTTATGAAAAGGTAGACTCAGCTTCCCATTTAAAAGAGGTTATACCCGACATTTTACAGTTATTGGACGATATTCAACGTTTGAAAGAAGGATCCCTCACGGTCGATGCGTTTCGTCAACCGGAACCTACGGAGGAGGATCTACAGGCAAAACAGAAGAGGGCCATCAGGGAAAAGGTGAAGCAATCTTATTCTGACTGTATAGATGTAAGTCGTTATCTTTGGAGCAATATAGACACATTTATATTTAAACTTAAACAATTCATAAAGGAGAAGGTGAATGAACAGCAACACAATCTCAAACAACTGTATAACCATAGGCTCAGTCTAATCGCACCTCAACTACTACAACAACATCACCAGCACCACCACCAGCAGCAACAGCCACAACAACAACAGCCACAGCAACAACAGCCACAGCAACATCATCATCATCAGCAGCAACAACCCATCGATGTTGCACCTACGCCGCCACTACCACCACGCGTATCTCAAAGAGATCCTCGCGAACGAATCGCAGAGGAATACCCATCTCGAACCCAATCATAATAATTCTATGTTTTTTCTTTTCTTTTTATGCTTTTTTATTATTTCTTGTATAAAACATGATTATAACATTGCAATTTTATTTTTTAATGTTTCAATCATGTCTTTACGATGAACCGTGGTTCCTCCACCTTGTGTTGCATCCTTGATTCTCATATCTTTGATACGCACTTGGGACTGATCCAGTTCATCTTTACCCACAATGACAGCAAAAGGAATTTGATCCTTTTCGCAAGCAGCCCATTGTTTCTCAAGCTTTGGTTTATTCTTTTGCATAAACGAAGCTTTAATTCCTGCTTTCCATAATTCATTCACAAGTGCCATTCGCTCCTGTAATAAGCCGTCTCCTACGGAAACAATATACACTTGCGTAGCATTGCTCTTGATCTTTTCCATGTTTTGTCGTGCCATCAAAATCGAAAAGACACGTTCTACACCAATGGAGACACCAACACATGGGATCGTCTTGGGTTGCCCCTTTTTGTTGGTACCCGAGAACATGCCAACTAAATCATCATAGCGACCTCCAGCAGCTATGGATCCTACTCCCTGTGATTCTGTTTGTACGGCTTCGTAAATAATACCTGTATAATAATCCAATCCACGCGCTAAACTTAAATCTAAATGAACACGATCCTTGACCTGAAAAATGTCAAGGAACTCCAACAGTAATTTCACATCGTTCACACCTTTTACTGCTGATGGATTCGCCATGAAGGCTTGATCCTTTTGTAAATAATCTAATAAACTGTTGGTATCCTTTCCTTTCAATCCCTCCACATAGACACCAATCTTATCGGCTGTGGATTCATCCAAGCCCTTTTCCACCATCATCTCCTTCTTGACCTCCGACCAAGATATCTTATCCAGCTTGTCTACTGCTGATGAAATACTCCGAATGTTCTCTGGTGATACACCGGATACTTGAAAGATAGCATCCAAGATTTGACGATGATTGAGCTTAATTTTGAAATCAATGTGGACGGCATCCAAAGCATCACATAAAATCTTGAGGACTTCAGCGTCAGGGATCATGGGATCATAGACACCGGCAATATCGAAATCACATTGAAAGAATTCTCGTAATCGTCCCTTGGTCATGATGGGTTGGTCACGTCGATACACTTTGGCTACTTGATATCGCTTCATTTGTTGTGCATCTTTTTTACCTTGCATGGCTAGGTATCTGGCAAAGGGTACCGTCAAATCATAACGTAAAGAACAAGCTTCACCTCCTTGATCCGCCAAATCGTAAATCAGTTTGCTGTCCTCGCCATATTTACCCGATAAAATATCTCGCATCTCGAAAACGGGGGTGTCGATCGTCACTGCCCCATGGCGTTCAAAGATATTTGTAATGGTGCTGAATAAAGAGTTGCGAACAGTCATTTCTTTTTCATTGTAGTCACGGGTACCCTTCGGTGTCTTCAATTGAAACTTCAATGAGGCCTGTCAGTATCTTTTTTCTTTCTTTCTTTCTACTTTTTAAACGCTGGTAAAAGGCTTACTTGTTTTTTATCTATGGACGTGTTAATGACAGTGCGGCAGAGAAGACGTTGACATTACCTTGCACTGTGGACATCCATCGACAAGTATTTGTCCTGAGAAAAGGACGTAATTTCAGCATTGTTTATAATAAAGGAAAAAAACAAAATGAAAGGGGGGTGGTGTTTTAACTTTGAATTCAGACGATGCTTTTGGGACACTTTCAGTGGATGAATTTATCCAACTGTCCGGTATATCTTTAAACGTGAACCAGGACAGTGAATTTTGATTAGCTTTTATCAGTCAACCATAGCATCACACTCAATAGCTATCACCAACAACAAATTATGTTGTTTTATCATTTACAGTTATAAAGACGATAAATCGCCCAAAAGTCTCTTGTAATAGGTTTATTTAAAAAGGATACTACTCCCAACCTAACAAGATAAGAATGCCCTTTACCTTTGTACATAAGAAAGCCTATTCACAAAGTAAAAAGAATGGAAACACCTGGCCAAGATAACACCAGCCCCACTTGCTTCTACAAAGGGAGAAGGTATAAACGCACTAAAAGCTAGAAGAAGTGATTTAGGCTTCAACAAAACCTCAGGTCCCTAAACTTGTGGTGTTGAAAGACAGCGCAGAGTTCCACACTGTCTCCACATATGGTGAGGGCACTGATGCATCAAAGGCTGGCTAGAGTGCTTTAATCTTCAGCCCTAACTTGTGGTATTGCGCCTCCAGACATGTTACCACTAAAAGAAGAATAAGAAAAAGAGAAAAGAAAAAAAAAGATTTTTTTTCTCCTTTATATATACGTAGGAACCATGACATAATAATGCTTTAAACAAACAAATATAAACAAACCCAGCCAATTAGTTTATTTCTTTTATACGCGTGATTTCGTGACTTTCCATAAAAGAGAGTGTCTCCAAGAAAGAGCGCGTTTCTTTTATGATTTTCACGCCAAAAGGGAAGACTCAAGAGGACGAAGTTTGATTATCTAGTATAAAAAGGAAAATTCATGCAAGACATGGATACGTGCGTACTTGGGTGATTCCACCAAATACAAAGTACCTAAACAAGAGTTTACGATGACTTGCTGCTCTTGGATGAAAGAGACGATTTATTACGAAAAAAAAAAAAGGAGGGGGGGGGGGGAGTTTGATATTAGACAGAGCCTACAATTTCATCAGCTTTTTGTAATGCTTCAATCATCTTTTTACAATCCTTTCTTCTTTGTCTAGTAAAGTCAGATTCTTGTAAAAGATCATCAAGCACGTCATGTTTATAAAGTTCGGTTAATAATTCACGTTGAAGTTCTTCTTTAGAATGATTCACTAAGTTTAACATGATGGCTTTGGGGACCATATCCACCATGGTACGCTTGACGATATTATAATATGATTGAATCAAGAGTTCTGTACATTATAATTAGTCTTCTTTATAGTAACCGGATAGAAAGAAAAAAAAAGGGCTACTTACTGATAACTTCGGTCTCCATAAATTCACGATCAGAAAGTGCACCTGTGGCCTTTAATGTGGTAGGAGGTGCATCCATCATGGCAGAAGCAGACTTCTTTTGAGCAGGTGTCTTTTTACCCGAAAAGAAACTTCCAAACAGCCCATTGCTTTCTGTATTCGACTCATTTTGATTGGTTTGCAACACGTTGGATTTCGATTTAGTACTGTGTTGTTGTTCCAGTTGTTGTTGCTGATTCTTTTGAAGAATACGCTCGTTTACCATGGCAATCGCTTGATGTCCATTCAAAAAGTCAGGATGTGCCGTGTTAATATAACATGCTTCCATAGCTACCAGATCCGTCACCAATTTAGAGGTGGGTTGGATGGCCTTCTTAAAGAAGGATAAGACCACCTGATAGAATTTCTCTTTGAGGGTAGGGAATCGTTTAAAGAATTGCTTGGTTAATAATTGACTGAGGATACGCACCAATTCATCATACACCATATTGATACACTTGACACTGGGTTCTTCCAAACGCTTGATTTGTTGCTTGATAATCACTTCAAAGGCAGTAGTTGCAACAAATAAAGCAGGCGATGAACCAGATGAGTTGTACAAAATGGTACGGATATCAATGTCCTTTGTTTGTTCTAAAGGATCAATACTTTTCACGCCATTGGCGTACAATTCATGGAATACAAAACTAATACGAGCACCACCGGACAATTCAAAGCTGGAGAGATCATTGGAGTTACCATCAATGATTGTACGGAACTCTGTACAGAATTCGGTAATGATATTTAAAACCAGATTAGCACGACTGGCGGAAGACCCATCATCTAAAGGATCCCCCAAAGTTAATAACTCTTGTTGGTATTTTTGTAAAGCAGCTTGTATTTTGGCCTTGATTTCGGGTAAAGTGTTTCGGATATGATGCATCAAGATCATATTTAGCTTGCGTGCTAAAAAGGGAGTACCACAGTATTGAGCTTTGGACTTGTAAGCAGCGTGATTTTCAAAGTACTCTGATTCATATTCTAATGCACGCTTGATGGATTTTTTACTCTCGATATCACGCTGACCACGATTGACTACGGGGACATAACCTAAACGAAGAGGCACAACACGTCCGGCCAAGATATCAATGACATCGGTACCTTGATCCATTAAATCGACCTTGGTCAAGACACCGATTGTACGCAAACCCTCAGGATCCACATCTCTTGCTAATTTCAAACCATCTGAATTGGCCAAATCTGTGTTCGCTGCGGTTACTGCCAAAATGATACTGTTGGGTTTTGTAATGTACTTGAGGATCATGTCTCGAATTTGTTTCTCGATATCTTTGGGTTGATCTCCCACGGGGACCTTGGTTAAACCCGGTAAATCGACCAAGGTTAAAGTCAAGACATTGGGTGAAAAGATACGTAGATTAATGGGTTGAGGAGAGATACCCAAATTCTTACCAGTCTTTAACTCGGTGTCCTTTACAATCTCTTCTCGAATCTTGTTGAAATCAAAAAACTTTTGACCTGGTAAATGAAGGAATTCTCCCCATTCGTTTTGGTTGTTGTGTCCGGCATCTTCTTTAGCACTCTCTTCCTTGTTGTCTTCCGAAGCAGGTCGATTGATTAATTGTAGAATCTATAAACGTTTCCCCCCAACTTTTTTTTCAGTACAAAAATAAAAAGTTACCAATGTTCCCATTGGCCATGTATTTTCTTACCAAGGGTCGACGAGTGACAATACCAGTACCACGAGGAAGAAAATCACGGCCCACAATGTTTTCCAAGACGGAACTCTTGCCACTGGATTGAGACCCAATCACTGCAATTTGAGGTAAATCCACTGGATTGTGAACACCGACTGTTGCAAACGCATCTTGCAGTTTATTCACTATTCTTTTCTTGTTGAGTGCTTTGTTCTTTTTTTATATATACTATCTTTTATATTACCTGTCTTAATAAGCTGCGAATCCATACTCATCTTTTTTGTCTAAACTATAATGTAAATGGTTGAAATAAAAGAAAAATTAAAAGAAAGGGGCATGACGTGCCAAGTTTTTTATTATTAAGGTAAGGAAAAAAAAAGGGGTTTATAAGCGGCGCTTTAATTAAGGAATTTTCTTTATTTGAGGTCCTTGACTGAACTGTAATGTCGACCTCTTGATGGGTAGTTGGAATACTCTTGCACTGGATAATACATGTCTCCATACTGTTGATATTGATTCATACGGTTTCCATAGTAAGGTTGTGTATATTGTTGTTGTCGTGGATAATATGGTTGCTGTTGATATGCTCCGCGTTGTTGTTGTTGTTGTTGTTGTTGTTGCGACAGTGCTTGAAACAGCGCCATCTGTTGCTGTAATTGCTGCTCTTGTCGTGTTCGATGCAATTGTTGTTGCTGTAATAATTGTTGTTGTAATAATTGTTGCTGTAATTGCTGTTGTTGTAATTGTTGCTGCTGTAACTGATGCTGTTGTAACTGATGATGCTGTAATTGTTGTTGCTGTAACAACTGTTGTTGCTGCATATATGGGTTTTGTTGCTGTTGTTGTTGTTGCTGTTGTCCGTTCAGCATCATCATCATCAATAGCCATTGTGCTTGCTGCTGATGCATGGGGTTTACTTGCTGTGCCAACATCATTTGTTGTTGTTGTTGTTGCTGCTGCTGCTGTTGTTGTTGCTGCTGTTGTTGCTGTTCTACCACGGGTGGAACAATAGTCGGTTGTGGAACAGCTTGTTGTGGCATGTTTCGATAAGGTTGTTGTTGATAGTAAGTGCCTTGGGGTGCTGTAAAGTTCCATTTGAATTTATTCCAGAAATCATTCATTAAATTGCCTCGAACTACTGGTTCAGGATTGATGACAGGCTGGTAGTTTGGTTGTCCGTGCAGCGGCATGCTATTACGCATTGTATTGATCACGGGAACAGTTCCTGCTAAAGGCACATTGTTTGATAACAAAGGAATAGTTTGGGGTCCATTGTTGGGCATATTGTTGCCAGCGGGCGTCACATTGGGTGCCGCGTTGACAATGGGAACGACAGGAGTAGTAGTAGTAGCAGCAGCAGCAGGAGGAGGAGCAACAGGCACAGTAGTGACAGGAACAGCGGGAGGGGCAACTGCTGGTGCTGGTGCTGCTGGAGCTGGAGCTGGAGCTGCTACTGCTGGTGCAACAGCCACGGGAACGGCTGCAGCGGGAGTTGTAACAGGAACAGCGGAAGGTGCAACAACAGGCGGTTCTGACATATAATTTTTTTTAGAGTGTGTAAAAAAAAAAAAGAAAAGAAAGAAGAGGTTAAAAAAAAGAAAAAAGAGGGAAAAAAAGAAAAAATAAACAAAAAAATGGATGATCGAATGACGGGGTAACTTGTTCGAAAAAACTGCTTTATTGGGAAAAGGATAAAAACAAGCCAAAAAAAGGTTTTTGGTAATTCATAATTTTTTTAGTGTGATACGACAAAAAACATAAAATACATGCCCTGATTCCAATTTTGTTTGAGTTTTAAAAAAAATAAAATATTAATTTCCCCAACAATTCCCAAGTTTTAATTTTATTCCTTTCTCTTTTTTTTTTCCTTTTATATTTTTTTAACAATGCCGTTTGGAAATTCTCATGAATTGGTATGCTTAATATCAAGAAGTGCCTTGTGGTCATTCTTCTCTGATATAAAGCTCGAAAATACGGAAAACATTCCACCAGAAAGTCAACCGTTCATCATGTAAGTTTAATACAATGATGAAGACATGCCACTTACATATATTTCCTCTTTTGAACAAACAGTGCAGCGACTCACCACAATATGATTATCGACCCTGCTGTTCTCTCAGTTACATTTCCCAATAAGAGACGACTTCATTATTGGGCCAAGGATAGCATGTTTAAATCACCTTATGCAGCTTCCTTTTTACATGATTCCGGTGTAGTACCGGTCGATAGAACCACCAAAAATAACTCGCAACTCTACGCTGCCACTTTCGAAGTCTTGAAGCTGGGAGAAGCTGTTGCTGTATTTCCTGAAGGCACTTCACATACTTTACCAAGATTGGCCGCTTTCAAAGACGGCACGAGTTTCGTAAGTTCTGATTATAATGTCAATTCTCTCCTTGTTTTAACATAGCAACCTAATTTTTTCTTATAAAAAAAGGCTGCTTTAGAATACGCAAAGATCAATCATGATTTAGGTGGACATAAACCTGCTCCTATCGTGCCAGTGGGCATTGTTTACCCGGATAAGTCAAAATATCGAAGTGTAGTGATTGTAAAGTAAGTAATAAAAAAAAACATGTAGCACATGGTTAGATGACAAATGGAGTAACGGAGAGCATAGATTCGGAAAGCCAATTGAGATCGAGCCTTTACTTCCATTGTACTTGGAGGACCCCAAAAAAGCGGCTAAACAATTAACAAGAATGACGGAAGAAGCCATGGAAAGATTAACAGTGAACGCACCTGACTGGGATAGTAAATATGCAGCTGATATGGCCAGATGGTTGTTATTCCCTGGTGAAAATGGGCTCATGAAAGATTACATACCCGTCACACAAAGTTTAATCAATGCCATGCATACATTGGCAGAAAAGGATGTCGAAATAGCTAAACTCGCCAAGAGTTTAGTAGTGTATAAATTAGAATTGGACGCTCTCTTATTGAAGGATTCACAAATCGCTAAATACAACGAGAAAAATATTACTGCCTTATCCACTACAGTGGAATTACTACATCGTACTCTATCTTCACTCATTGATCTTCCTTTATTCTTACCGGGTCTTGTGGCCCATTTACCTCTCTATGTGGCTGGCTACTTTGCAGGTAGGTTTGAAATCTATGAAGAAGTGAGAGCACAGAACAAGATATTCTTTGGTATGGTACTTGTACCTGTCATTTATCTCATTTCATTCATTTGGGCTTGGTTTGCCTTGTTCGGTGGCACTTTCTTTGGTTTTTTTATCGCCTTAGCCACTTTGGGTGTATTTGTTTGGTATCATGTTGTCTCTATTGATCAACGCTATGAAAACTTTAAAGATTTACAGGGTCGTTGGCGATTATTTGATGCTGTCGTACTGGGTCGAGGTATGTGGCGTCGAAAGGAACGTATCTTGGAACTCAAGAAATTACGAAATGAGAATTTGGCTCGAATTCGAAAAATGGTGACGACCTATAAATCCAGTAACGACGATGTTCATGTCATATGGTTGGCTTTACGTCAACGTGTCAGACAATTCTCTCAAATATCCAAGTTACGATCCAAAAAGAAGGCCTTGGCGAAACAATACGAATGGTGCTTTGAAGGATAAAATGTTTTATTTAATAAGTTTACTTAGTCTTGTTTGCTCATCATGAGAACATTGTAATAAAGTCGATAAAATTGGAACCAATTGGGCTCTTGTATTTCGTCTCTCCAGGAATTTAATAATCACATTTCGAAGATATTCAATATTAATGATTTCTTCTTGTACTTTATTCACACGCCGAATTTCCTCTCTTAGTGTCTTGTTGGCCGTTCTTAAATGCTGTTCACGGATCTTGATTGTTTCCAATTCCGTGCATTGTTTATTTTTCATTTGTGTCTAGTTTTCATATATATCTTTTTTTTAAAAAAAAAGAAAAGCCCCATTTTATAAACAATTACTAAAACACTTACATATTGTTCAAACAAAAGCCCATGTTTTTCTTGCCATCCTAGCAACTCGGCGGTTGTTTCTTTTAAATTCACATTAGCTAAAATCAATTGTTCTCCGACTTCGCGGTGCTTGTTTTCAAGCGTGCATAAAATGTCGGATAAACTAGAATCCATCGGCTTATGGCTGTTGCATTCCTGCTGTTGTTGCTGCTGTTGTCTGAAATAGTCTAAATCACGATGGAGTGCTTGGATGGTAGATTCTGCTTGTTCAAGTGCGCTCTCTGATTCCTTCCATCGTTTCTCAATGATTTCCGCTCGTTCATTCTCTACTTTAAGCGTGCTTTTGGTGACCTGATATTCTACCCTTAATTGATCCAGTTCCTCTGCCATTTGTATATTTTGTTCTTTGGTGGCTTCTAGTTGCGCCATAGTTTCATCTAGCGGCACGTCTAGCCACTGGAAGAGCCGGTCGATACTTGTTTCATCCAACACGCTTAGCCTAGATAGCAACAGGGACAATTTAGGGCGTTCTGGTAGGTGGTCGCCATCTTCGGATGGAGGTGGAGAAGAGGGACATGTCGAAAACTCATCAATGAGCTGCTGTGCTTTCTTTAGTTCTTGTCGTGTAGAGTCAGCTTCTTGCATAAAGTGAAGTACGTTCTTTTTAGACTCTTCTCGTTCCAACCTCAGTTCTTCGATTTCATTATTTAGACGACTGACTTGTGCTTGCAAGATTTTTTTATTATTAGATAATTGTGATTTAACCATTATTAGTATTTAAGTAATAAAAAGAGAGAGAGAAAAGGGGTGAGGTGGGGGTATCATTGAATTTAATAATAAATAGTAAACAAAATAGGAGTGGGAGTGAGATGACATCAGCCTCCAATCGGTTGCAGCTCAAATATATGCTGATAAGTTGGATTGGTTTTATCCAACATGGTGCCTAAAATAACAAACTCTCTGGATTTGTGACCATTTTGTAAACAACAAACGTTTTTCTCTTGAATCACTTGTTGTAAATGTCCCTACAGAACGTGGTGTGTCAATAGCTTCCCTTTTTTTTTCATGTTGCACACACACTAAATAACACTTACATCCAAAGCACATCGAATCTCTATAAATTGCTGTTCAAATGCGATCACATGTGGATGATAATAAGCAAAAGATGTGGGTTGTCCTTCCCATTCAATCTTGAATGATCGCTGTGCTCTTCGACCCTTCTTGTCAATATAAAAAGCGTATTCTAAAAAAAAGCTTCATTTTTTAGAAATTAATTTAGTTTTTAAATTTTCCTTCAAATCCCACTTACTGTCGTAACACACGAGATAATTGCCGTTGGGCGCTTGAAATACAGAGATGTGCTTGATCACCTGGTTTATCTTCATTTGGGCATTCGTCCTTTCATGTCGGGTGATAAAAGCCAAGTGTCTATCATGGGGATCCAACAGTGCTTCACAAACAAAAACCAAAAGAAATTTAACATACATTGTGTAGTGTACTCACAAACTCACTCTCGTACATTTCCATGTCCACACACACACACACACACACACACACTCTCTCTCTCTCTCTCTCTCTCTCTCTCTCTCTCTCTATAAATAAAGAAGGTCTTACCATCTGGCTTCTTTGTCTTCATATCAACAGCAATGATGCCCATCGGCGTTGTTAATAACATGAGCGATTTGGTTGTATCAATAGCCCACACATCATACGGGCTATAGATCGGCTTGGAATGGGTAACCTGAGTATTGGTCAAAGACAAGGTGCTGGATCGAATGGACAGTCTACCTAACAGGGACTTCTTCTTTACCTCAGTTTTTGGCATGGTTGGTTCATACACATCGATATCTGTGCCAATCACCGTAGAGGGTTTCGGCACACAGATCAAGGTGCGATCTAAACAATTGCCTACATGAAAGAATGGGACATTGGTTCGAATCTTTCGACCAAAATTCTGAATGCTTTTCGTGTCATGACCGTTCAGGGTAATGTCTAGCGGGTATTGCCAAAGTACTTGATCTGAGAGCACGAGCAGTAACTGGTATTCTTCCAAGATATGCACTTTGTATACTTTCTCCAGTGGAAGAATCTTGCGTGGGATACCGCTAATCGAGTTATAAGGACCGACGTACACACCAGCGTCTGTTGCCAACATGTAATACTTGCCTTCATCTAGTTTTTTTTTTCTTTTTTTAAAACGTGTTTGACGCTTTCATTAAACGAACTTACCAAAGGTAATCATTTGATGAACAGCAATTTCAGCAAAAAACTCGTATCGTTTCACCGTATCCACTACATCAAAGACTGGTTTTCTCTTAAACTTGATATCACGTTGATTTTGAATGGCTGTGTGCCAGGATTTTCTTCCTTGTTCGGTAGGTGCGTACAGGGTCAAAGTGTCATTCACATTGCTTCCTTGATGATAAAAAGTGAAAGGGAAACCGACACGTGTTATTTGAGCTAAAGGTTGGTCAGGGCTTATTTTTGTAGGCGATAAAGATCGTTCTGAAAAGGAAGAAGCAGAAAATAATAAAGTACTAGATGATCGCTTTCGTTGTAACGGTGCATTATTCTCAATCGATGTGCCCAGCAGTTCGATTGGGATCGGCTACAAAAAAAAAGGGCAAAAAAAAAAAAAGAAAAAAATGAATTTTTTTTTACATAGAAACATTATCAGTGATTTTTTCTTTTTACCCGCTTTTGAATGGTGTAGTGTTCTACTGCATTGATGATCTTGACTTTTGCAGTAACCAAGTAATGATCAAACAAAATCACTTGATATTCCGTCGAATCAAAACTCTGGGATTTTCTCATCGTGCCTTGCTTAATGATACATCGGTGACTTTCATTTAAGCGTAAGTCAATAGCATCCTTCTTGTACTTGAAACTCAAATGATTTCCAATCAATTCTAAGTCGAACCTGTTCTTGGCCACACCCGCTGCCGTGTTGACTTTTTGTAAAACGTGTTTAATCGAATTAATAATGTACGGCAAATTTTCCTTGTCCGGATGATTTGGCGTTGTACGATCATGAATCTTGTCCAATAACAAGGTATACCTTCCTAGGCGTGTTGTGGGTTTTGTCAAGTAACCGTTTAATTCTAATTTTCGTGAAGAGGCATCGCGTTCCGTCTTTTCTGCAAACAGGGCAAAGCGTGGATTATTATAACGTTCATACTCAAACACATGTTTGGCGCGATGTTGACGTGCACCGTAATAGATAAAGGGATCCACTTCAGATACAAATTGCTCCATGATATCACTGATTTGAGACACGATGGGATGTTCTTGCTGTCGCAATCGTAAAGCAATGCTTAACTTCATACTGATATTGTGGATTTCAATCAAATTTGAAAATACTTTTTCTATAAAATCATGTTTTCTATGCTCTGGGATGATATCGCCTTGCTGCAAAGGTTCAATCCACATCTAGAAAAACAATGCTTTTCTTTAACATCGTGTGTACATATATATCCTACAGGGAAAATGCCCCTTGATAAACATACCTTGATCACGTAATCAAGATCATTCAAAAAATTCTCTTCTGTGTAGATCAATTCAAAGATGGTTTCTTGTCGTTTTCGTTCAATTGAAGGTGTAGAAAAAACAATATAATCATCAATGCTTTCGCTCCATAAGGGTTGATGCTTCTCGACTTCGTAGATGTAAGCTGTTACTCTCTTTTCTCGTGTGTCTACGCTATGCGGTCTTTTTCTCTAAATAGGAGGGAAGAGAAAAAGAAGCAGAGTAAAGGAGTGAGGAGGTTAAGAAGAGGGATGAGCTTTTTTTTTTTTTTTTTAAGAATATAAATAAGAAATACACAAAAAAAAATCGTTATTTTACCAATCTTTCTTTTTTAGGACATGTGTAACTGTAACACGGGTATAAATTATTACAAGTGGGAGAATAACAGTGGGTTAATTCAATATAAATACCATTTGGTAATAGTAATTCATCTTCTGGTTGTGTGGGTGTGGTAGTTGTGCTTTCGTTATCATCGTCATCATCGTAATAATCTGAAATCACGGTGGAAGTGGCAGAGAAGGATGCGCTGGAATTACTATTACTATAAGTACGAAACAAGAGTTCATTAAATTGATAGATTTCTATGATATCATCGACCAATCGATTTTCGTAATTCACATCATGGAAGAACCTTTGCGACTCTAATGCACGTCCCACTCTAAGAGCCACAGTGCGATCTGTAATGCCCAGCACTTCTTTTAATTTATCCTACAATATATAAAAATAATAAGAAAAAGCCGTTCTTATTTGGTCTTCACCTTGTCATTCTTGTTCCTAATTCTTTTTTTTTTTTTTACCACTGCCTCTTTGCCATCAAACACATTGTGATATTCAATATCATGTTTAATCCGGTCGGATAAAATAATTCGCCTTTTGAATTCATATGCAACGGCGGATAGGTAGGCTCGATAATAAACTGGTTCTTGACGGATGATTGTTTGAAATGTGGATTGGAGAGTGTTTTCTGGTATAGGAGATAGTGTTCTATTCACTGTATTATCACCATGATGTAATGTGCCTATTTTTTTTTTCTGAGTACACCTATTTTGTAATTTAGCAACTTTTTTTTCTTTCTCTTTTTTACCTCTTGTGTTCCCAGCAGCACTTGTAGTTGCACCTAACTCTGTCGAGAAAGGAGGAGGTGCTTTGTATTCTCTATGTTGCAATGGTGGGTTCATGGAATTAGACCGACTTGGAGAAGAAGAAGGAGAAGAAGAAAATGAGACGGAAAGTCTTGGTATTTGTGGCGAAGTCGATACTTTAGTCGTTAGTGACCTCTTTAACCCAAACTTGGATGCATGCTGCAATAGTTGGCTTGGATTTCGTGGCTTCTTATCCATTGATTTGATTAATTATCAACGGTCGTAAAAATAATAAAAAAAGCTCTTTTATGAAAAGAAGAAGAGAAAGAAGAAAAATAACAATAATTATATAAAAAAAAAAAAAAACTATTGTTTTGGGTTTAAAAAAAATAGTGTGTTTTTTTGTAAATACCGCAATCAATTATTATCCCACATGAAAGTTTAAAAATTTAAGCATTTTGGATACAAGTTGCAAATGATAATAAAAAATTCCCATTATTTTTGTTTTTTACATGTGCACTGGGCCCTGTTGTTATCAAGAGGGTTACGTATTTTCCTGAGTTTCCTTCATAAGGTCGTTAGACTCCATTTTCTCATCCATGTGACCCATATTTGTTTTGATAAGTATAATATCAAGAACCTGATCAAAGGTAGTTAAACTGTCTTAAAAATCATCATTCTCGGGAGGCTTTTTTTTTTCTTTTTTTTCTTCTTTGGTTGTGTCTGCTATTTCATCATGGATTTACTAAATGCCTTTTGCAGTGTTTTCTTGACCCTCTCTCTCTGGCTGATTTATAAGAAAATTGACAGCCAAATAAAGTGATTGTGTACAAACAACCTTGATTTTAACAGTGCCCATACAATCGATAGTTGTTCCGTACTACTGCATGGAGGTGAGGCCCTTTTACTTTTTGTGGATTTTAAATTTACCAATTTTTTTTTTAAAAAAAATGGCATAACAATAAAGTTCTTATCATTTTTGTACGCTCAATCAAAGTTTAAAACAACGCAGTTTAGACTCACATAGCAACAACAAAGTGCCACATTATTTTTTTAGCATTTATATTGGAACATATGCGAGGCTACTTTATATTATGCAGAAACTCGTGGTAGCCAATTATTATGTAATTTGAAGCAAAAAAAAAATCCTATCCTGTCCCCCATTTTTTTGGTATTTAATTCGTATTTATTTTTTAATCATCTTCATCGCCATACTCTTTTAATAACCTATCTACTTCCTCCAAGACATCCGGGCTTAAATCTCCTTCATCATCATCATCTTCGTCATCGTCGTCCTCAGAAACATCACCCAAGACATGTTCTTTCTTGGGAGCGACAACAACTGGATCCTCTGCCTTCAATTTCTCTTCCAATTTCGTCTCTTGAATAGCATCAATGGTAGCTTCAAGATCGGTGGTAGAAATGGAAACATCGGTGGATCTAGTACTCTTTAATTGAGGTCGCACACCTGTACTAGTAGCCAATTTGGTACCGGTTGCTAACAAATTATCAAAGATCTCTCTACCAAGACTTCTCTGTTGCTCGGCTGCTTTTTCCGTCAATTTAAAAGAACTAGCAAACTCGTGATCGAAAAATGTCTCCAATGACTCATCTGCCAATACAATCATTCTATAATTTACATTAATGTCTGCTTCTATAGACTCCACATATAAAAAGAGACGGCTTACCTTAGCGAGGCTAACGACAAGAACTGATCTTCACCTCTTTTCTCTGAATACTCAAAAGCATGGTGAATAAAAGTCGAAACTGAATTCAAATGTTCTTCATCCGATGTATTTCTGAATATCCAAAGTAAAGTTTCCGATAATTGTAAAATTTCTTCTCGGTTCAAGTAATCGTCTTTATCTACATCATGCAATTGAAAGAACAATTTAATCTGTGAATTCAAATCTCCCTTATAAATCGATCCAACGCCAATAATCACATCCTAAAGTTTTTTTAGTCAGAAAAAAAGTTAAATAAGGATTCATCTCTTTTTTGCATAATAAACCCTTTTTTGTTTTTACCTGGAGACACAGGCTTTGTGTTTGATTGATATCAAAAACCTTGAACAATTGTTGGAAAAAGTTTTGTGCCACCTTCAATTGTCGTTCTCCATCATTATCATCCGTCATCTTGGCCCAAGTGGCCAAAGAACCCAAAAACAATTGAAAGGATTTTTGATCCATACGCGAATCATTTCTTTCCGTCGATTTCTGTTGCTTGTAATACAAAACATTGTAGAATTTATCATACACAATACCCAATTCAGATTTGTCTAACCCCGCTGTATTCTCAATATTACGCACGGCCGAACGTTTCGTAAAAGATTCAATTCCAGCCACAACCTTAAGTTGATGTGTCTGTCTCAATTCTCGCACAAGCTCGTCTGTCACACTGCTAAATTCACGATACGCAACTAGTAACAATTCATTGAATTTCTATGTATACCCATGTGTTAGCAATTTTTTTTCTGTATATAGTAGGTGTATAGTATATCCTACTGTTAAATTCTTGGCTTTGGGATTATCGGAATTAGGGTATAACGGCTTATCAAGATTGCTGAAGTATCCTTTTAAGATATCCATAAATACTCCATCATCCGTTGCCTCCAAAAGTGCATCCCCGTTGATTTTGAGAATAGCTATATATTAAAAGAGAGAGCGAAGAGAAAAATTAGACAAACTTATCCCCAGTGAAAAAAAAACTCCATCTTCTTACCAAGACTATAATAAGAGAAAGTTAATATAGCTCATAGTATAATATTAATAAAAAAATCAAACCAATTTACCCAATTTGAAACAAGACTTTGGGACCCTCCATAAAAAAACAATCCAAGACTCTAAATGCAAACAATAAAGGCATGGAGTTGATATAGAGACTCAGGAACCAAGGTAAACACGCCACTGAAAGTTGAATATCCGTTTCTTTGAAATGTGCATGAAGCTTGGGCATAGTTCTTTCCAGCAAATGCTCAAAAATAATTTGATCCAAGAGAGCACCGTACATGGAAGTACTGTAGTATCCCGGTAATAAATCGTCACACAAAATACTCAATGTAAAGAAGGCCTGTTCCTCACTCATATAGCTAGTAGATTGGATAATACTTAGTAACACATGATAATGGGAAATATTTTCTTTCTTACATGAGAATAGCAGAGGTCACGATATTCATGGCCTGACAATATCCCAACTCGGGGTCCTTCCAAGAATAAGCACTGAGTACTCTTCTTAAACTATCAATGCCTTCTTCTTGTTGATACGCTTTATACTCGGGTAAAGAACGGTTCAGATCCTTTTCAATCTCTTCTAAACTAAGTGAATTCCGATCCTTGTTTTCCTCTAAGATACGAGCATACAACCCTTGGTTCATGAATCGCTCAAAAATAGCACCAGAGCAAATTTCCCAAACCTCGCCACGCAATCGATTGGGTAGTCCCACCCGAATGAGTTTAGCAAACCGAGGTGTTTTAGAGATTGTCAAGTTTCTTCCGTACTCTTTCCATAAAATTTAGTAATCTTTTGTTTTCTAACCCCCACAATTTTTTTTTATTTGTTTTACCATCAAAGTACTTTTTCCATAGCTTCATTTTGCTCTTTTCTTTTAACTTTTTGGGATCTCCGGGGTATTCAAAAGTTAAACCCAATCCACCGGGGATACTGTCCATCTCAGCTAATGTCTTTCCAGCCACAACGGCTTCCGAAGGACATGAAGTCAAGAATTGTTTCATCATCTTCATGTGCTTAATCTGATTACGTAAACTGTTGGTGAGCGTGGAAGAAAAGTTTTCGTATTCCTTTTCATTGCTATCCTCAAAAAAAAAAGATATTAGATAAAAGTAGTGGTGAGATGGGTAGGATGACTTACACGTTCAAGTAATAAATAGACTCGGCTTGATGCCAGTTTACAATCTTTATAGGAAAAGCATGTGCCTTATCTGTTAATTTTTCAACACGACGTATCGTATAAAGTGGCATCACCACTTCGAAATATCGGCCCTGTTCAGTCGAGTTAAAAGTAAGGTAAGCTTCTGATAAACTAAGAATACCGGAATAATCGGACACTTTGTTATCTTCCTCTTCCATGACTGGGTGCACTGCACCAAAAGAATGTGTCAAATGTTCTGTCAGGGGTAATCGGAATCGTGCTCGAAATCGCTCATCTCGTTTCTGGGCGGCTAAATTCGTCTTTAAAGGTTGCATTAGTTTACGAATTTCAGAGGCAGGTAAAGACGACATTTTGTTGGAGGCGGTTTCGTTATCTTTGATCGCATCAATGTCGCTGTCCTTGATATCGATCGAAACATCGCTGCCCGGTGCATGTTCTAAGGCGGTACTCTTTAGCACTCTTTGCATAGCGAGCCCTGTTAATTGAACCAATATATCGGATACTTCATCACGTTTGAACAGGTTGGAAAAGAAGTGCTTTATGTATCCGTTAGTCCCTACTGAGCTATAAAAATAAGCAGACCATAGTTTACCTCGCTTTTATCCTTCATGGAAATCTTGATGGCATCAGAAAAGACACCTCGTTTGGATCGCTCCTTCTTAATATCTTGAATATCTTTTAACTCGATCAATAATTTCGTTTCGTATCCAAGTAAAAAAGAGTAAAAAGCGAGATAATTTTCACTGATGTAAAGCCAACCTTGGCTCGTAAATCGATTTGTATGATACGCACTGGAATAATCTAATCGTATCATTAGTCTATGTCTTTTTCTCTCCTTCTTATCAACAAAATAAAAAAAAAACCTACAATTCACAAGTCGCTCTGAAGGCGATACATCGAACGTCTGTCTGAAACTTCTGGATGCCTTTCTCACCTTTTCATCTGTTGATATTTCATCCGTGCCAGAATCTAAAACATAGAATGTAAGTCGAGAAACATTAACCAACTTTTTTTTTTAATGTAACCTCTTCGTGTAACAATCGAATTAATTTTGGTAACAACAAAAGGCTCTCTTTCTTCGTTATCCAAACTATCCAGCAAAGATAATAAATTGTCTAATCACCACCCTAGGTCAGTCCCTGTCTCATGATAAAAGTCTCGTTTTATCTCCTCACTTACTTTCGATCCAAGCCCAGGCCACTTCTGCCTTTTTTTCTGTCTCTGCTACAGCCACTTGTAAGAAACTAGCACCGTTCGCACGTCGAAATAAGATACGATAAGGTGATTGCTTTGTATCCAAGCTAGAAGGAGACAGCCGTATCGGGGTTTTTTTTAGTACAATCGAAATGTGAATTGAAAAAAAAAGGAAACCTTACACGTTCTGTAATGTGCCCAGCACACTTCTCATAAGTCCACTCTTTTGAGTTTTCGCTTGTTGTAAAATAAAAAAGTTGTTCTCTTTTAAACTTGTCCAAAAAGCTCCATTATCCACTTGTGTCGGTAACGTAAATAGTTCAAATGCCAGGTTAGATGGAGTCATTAAATAATTAAAAAGTGAAAAAGAGAGAACAAATAGGGGTTTTAAAAAATCGCTGTACTTTTGCTTTGCACGACTGTAGTTTTTTTTTTTTTTTTTTTTTTTTTTTCAGACGAATCAAAATTTACCTTTTAAAAAAATAAAGACGTGTGTGGGTTAAGCATCCCACAATATTAAGTTGTCGGATAAACCGAGAATTCCAATGTCGCATTGATACTACTGTGACAATTTGAGTAAAATTCTACATTTCTTTACATTTACTTGTTCGTATGATGGTATACCTCGTCGAAAAGGTGGAGGCAGCAATAATTTATCAGAAAGAAGATAATAAGAGCGTTATTTGTACCTCAATTGTATTATTGTATAGTTATTTATTTAAAATTTTTTGGTTAGATGTTGATGCTGTGCACGGCTCAGCTTATAACTTTTAAAATTCGTTAATGCTTACAAAAAGTGAGCATGGTTTTACACAATCAATTGCTGTGCCTTAGCTATGCACTCGTTTTATCCGGTATTCGACGTAAATATATCGATATAAATAGCCACTTCATATTCTTTGTTTTATTGAGAGCATAAAGTTTACATTGCAGGACTTCAATAACATGATATGTTGCACAAGCATGTGGATAAAACTGGTTTCATCATCAGACAAATCGCTAGCAAATAAAGTTTCAACGACGGTGAGCTAAGCAGCAAGTTTGGATTTACAGAAGAGATCAAGATAATTCTGGGGATCGATATGCTTCTTGTAAAGGTTGGAACTTTTTTTTAATTAGCATTCATAAAAAGCGCACAGATTCTAATTTCATACACAGAGAGGGTAGGGATTTACAGCCCCTCCCAATTTACTCAGTGCTAATACACATTTTGTTCACTCAATGATTTACATATATACTTTCTTGGTCGGGACTTAGAATCCTTCCCAATTCACTAAATGATTAATATATTCATATATATACATGTCTCTTGCTGCGACCAGCGCTTCGCTAAGCTACGTAAAAAATAAATAAAAAAAGAACAGTCCAAATAACCATGTATGATGTTTAGGACGAAGTCTAATTAATCAGTTTAATATTTATTATCATCATAAACAGTATTATCATTGATAGTATCATCCGATTTCAGCAGAAAGTTCTCTATTGAGCTTTTGAGTTTGTGTGATTCGGGTTCTCTTTTTCAATTGCCTTTCTTCCTTTGCGAGCATTCTGTCTAAAACAGCGACTTCAATGTGATCGTTATATTTATTACGGGTGGTCTCCAACTCCTAACACTTAACCAAAAGTTGGGTATAACGAACTAAGGCATATTGCCGAGTGAAGAGCTTACTGATAGTCTTGAAAGTAGCTTTGTACTTGTCGTATGTCTTGACATCATCTTTTGGATTGTTGTCTAAGACGTTTTTAGCAAGTTCAAAGGTCGAACTCCATTTAGAAACTGGTATGCCAGTAATTGCCTTATACATTATATGCTTTTTGGCTTCACTTTCACTGATTTTGAAGCTTGGGTTAACGATCTGATCGTAAAACTAGATTCCCTACGTTACTTTGTAAATTTTGGGTAGTAATAAAAAATAGGTATATTCAGCCTACCGGTAACCATCGTCGTCTCCTGTGTAATAACATGAAGTCTACTGGGTCTATTGACCTCCGTCCTCTTCTTGAGACTTAGATGTCCATCTGCATTTTAGCATTCGATAAACCAAAACAATTGAGAGTTCTTTTGCTTGAATCCTTGTTCCCTCCAAAACCCGCAACCACGTTTAGCATAGGAAAATGGAAATTTTTTGGGATCTACCTATTTCTCCAAGCATTCTTACATTATGGTATCGGTCGATTCACCACAAGTTGCCTAACAAAAGCCTCTTGCACGATATCATCCCCGGTTCTTTCCCTTCTGCTGCTTGAATCAATTATCCACAATCCGAAGATACATTAAATCACTTTCTGTATGATTGCCGCATTAAACAGTCTTTATGGATCCAGTTTTATCAACCTTCTTTCTAGACGTCTTTTAATTGAATATGATAGAATACTGTCTACACTCCTTTCACTTGATTATATTGGCTTACAACACAAAAAAAATTACTGTCGCCACTTCTTTAGGTGTTCTTCAGACTGCGTTTTTTTTTTTTTTTTTAGCAATCAAAGGTAGCACCTTTACTATAGATTCAGAAATTTTCTGGGCCTAAAGGGCCTTTAGTAGACCAAGGAAGCACACTGAACGGATCTTTAGAGAAATATGTATGGTTCCGATCGGGACCTTCGGCCGTAAATGTTTAGACCTCCGTATTTTTTTTTAAAACGTATTTTTTTTTATACCACTTACAGGAATTCTGGCCAAGACCAGCCAGTATGATTACAACTATTTACAGTCCAATTCCAGCTATTCACAGTTCATGAGTTCCAAAAACTCAAGAACCCTGCCTAGGAGGTCGTCCTCCTATAGCAAAGACTAGCCGCAGCAATATATCTTTTTCGATTTAGTGTCTTTTAAAAGAAACAAGAGTCATTACTAACTAACCTTTTTATGTTATCGGTTATTTTCATACGATAGAAGTATGTCGAGGGAAAAGAAAAGGGGAAGAATAAAGTGTGTGAACCAGCTTTATTTGTAGGCTGATAAACAAGAGCTTATGTCAGAATGATTAAAATTGTTTGTTTCATCATCCATAATTTTTGGGCCTTTACTTAAAATAGAAACATTTGCATAAACCTCCCTAACAAGTCAAAACTTGGTAGTTGTCTATCTGCGTTCCAGTAGTAGCTTGTAATGACAGTGAAGCAGATTTTATAAAAAAACAGAAATAGATCATCCTATGAACTTTAGACAATATGACATGTCAATCAACGTAAAGACTTATGTGTAGACCATCATGTGATTCTAAAAAATACGTTTGAAGAACTACAAAAACAAAAACAAAAAAATCAACCGAAATCATAAAAATTGTTCTAATAGAATAATAAAAAGAGTGTCCTTTATTAATAAAACTTTACATTGGTTAAACTGAACGATGTGCCTCGTTTCTGGGCGTAGTGAAGTATACGGATGGTGTTGGGGCGAGCTTTCTTTCCGGGGAAATGTCCTCAGATCGATAAATCGAACGTTGTGTATGCTTCAATTCTTTTTGAACTTTGATTGCAATACGCTCCACATCTTCTTTGAACTTGAATAACAATTCCAGGCTATCCTTTAAATCTTCAATCTCGCTTATACAAGTAGGAAAAATGAACGTAAATTGATAGACGTTGACATATACTTGACGCTCATCATCATATAAGACCTTGGAAAAAATAGCTGTCGACCCACTAACTCTGATAATCCATGTGTATACGTAATCATGGCGCAGCAGATGGTGTATGGTTTCCGTACTAATCGCAGACTCGCGCAACAACTTGGACTCATCATGACAGACTTTGGCATCATCCGGGAAGGGGTGGGAAATCTCTATGCTTGCCAGGTCAATCTCCAAGTCTTCGTGATCGTGGATTAGTCTTATGTCAATTTTGAAGCCAATAATATTCTTGTCGCTTCCATATTGTTGAGCCTTTTTCTTGCTTGATTCTTCTGGTACTGACTCGCCTGATTTGATTCGTACCAAAGGAATTTTCTTTATACTAAACAGCTTAGCGAAGAGAGGAACCCAGATTGTTGATTCGTAATCGCGCTCAGTTAGTTTCGCAGGCTTAGCGGGATTCAGAATATACTGCTTGTTATCAAAGGTGTCAAGAATATAATCGATGATTTGGAGCTGCTTGAATGCATATTCATTGATATCATCATCACTAGACATACGATTAAGAGTCTTCCTGGCATGAAATATATTCGTACCAAAGATATTTTTTAAATGCTGAATAACTTGGTATAGCCGGTGACGACCTTACTCCTGTTGAAAGGAAGCGCATGTGTGCCGGTCTTTCTGGGGTGATTGATATAAGTGATAATTCATACCAAGGTCATCGATCTCTTTTTAGCATCAATCAATGGAAGAATATCAACGAATGTTACGCGCAGTTTAAACAGTCATTCTTGCAAACAAAACTCGATTCTGATCTCGCTTTAGTGTTTAGCGTATGGAACATTATTTACACAACACTTACCAAGGATCACAACATATTTCATGCCAGGAAGACTTTTAATCGTATGTGTAGTGATGATGATGTCAATGAATATGCATTCAAGCAGCTCCAAATCATCGATTATATTCTTGACACCTTTGATAACAAGCAGTATATTCTGAATCCCGCTAAGCCTGCGAAACTAACTGAGCGCGATTACGAATCAACAATCTGGGTTCCTCTCTTCGCTAAGCTGTTTAGTATAAAGAAAATTCCTTTGGTATGAATCAAATCAGGCGAGTCAGTACCAGAAGAATCAAGCAAGAAAAAGGCTCAACAATATGGAAGCGACAAGAATATTATTGGCTTCAAAATTGACATAAGACTAATCCACGATCACGAAGACTTGGAGATTGACCTGGCAAGCATAGAGATTTCCCACCCCTTCCCGGATGATGCCAAAGTCTGTCATGATGAGTCCAAGTTGTTGCGCGAGTCTGCGATTAGTACGGAGACCATACACCATCTGCTGCGCCATGATTACGTATACACATGGATTATCAGAGTTAGTGAGTCGACAGCTATTTTTTCCAAGGTCTTATATGATGATGAGCGTCAAGTATATGTCAACGTCTATCGATTTACGTTCATTTTTCCTACTTGTATAAGCGAGCTTGAAGATTTAAAGGATAGCCTGGAATTGTTGTTCAAGTTCAAAGAAGACATAAAGCGAATTGCAAACAAAGTCCAGAAAGCATTGAAGCACACACAACGTAGCAATCATCGATCTGAAGAGAGAACCCCACGTACTGATTCGTCGTCGCGTTCAGTTGATTTTAGCGGCTTATTGGGATTCAGAATATATTGCTTGCTGTCAAAGGTGTCAAGAATATAGCCAATGATTCGGAGCTGTTTAAACGTATATTCATCAACATCGTTTTCACTGGACAGACGATCAAACTTCTTCCGGGCATGAAAGATATTATGATCCATGGTCAGCGTCTTGTAAATATTGTCCCATACGATAAACACTGAATCAAGATCGGAGTCGAGTTCTGCTTGAAAAAATGACTGTTGGAACTGGGCGTAACATTTGCTTATATTCTTCCATTGACTAACGCTAAACAGATATTGCCGGCCATGGTATGAATTATCACTGATATCAATTACTCCAGACAGACCAGCACACATGCGCTTTCTTTCTTCAGGAGTTAGGTTATCACTGGCTTTATATCTTTGATAGAGCTTCACGACATCATTATAGATTTTTTTATATACGAAGTCTGCTTCCTCCTCCTGTTCCCCAGTGATATATGTCGAATCACTATCTTCCTGAGCTGACGTTGAAGAGCAACCAATCTTGACGGAAAGTTCTTCGTTAAGCTTCTGGGTCTAAACAGTTTTGATTTTTTTTCGACAACGTGTTTCTTCCCTTGTCAGCATAATGTCATCAAAATGATCTTCGTACTCTTTTCTGGTACTTTCCAAATTCATGTACTGAACCAAAGTTTTTGTGAAGCGAACTAAAGAAGGTTGCTTAATGAATTCCTTGTTAATAATATTGAACGTGGCCTTGTATCTGTCGTAAGTCTTGACATCATCTTTTGGATTGTTGTCTAATGCGTTTTAAGTAAGTGCAGAGGCCGAGTTCCATTTAGAGACCAGTATCTATGGTAGTAATTACTTTGTACAGTTTATAATTACTGGACTCGTTGATTTTAAAACTAGGTTTAACACCATGAAAGAATGACGGAAGATAAGGAGACAGCGTCTACACCTACGCCTTTTTCGAGATATTACACGCCTCTTTTAGAGTCACATAGAAATTATATGACTCAAAGCAATACCGGCCAAACCTGGAGAACCTAACCTGGGGAATCGCTATCATGTAGCAAAGACTAGCCGTAATCATAATATCGCAAAAATTGCAATATATCTTTTTCATTTCAAAAAAGAAAGAGATAATAATTTAGCGTTTCTTGAAAAAACAAAAGTCATAATAATTAACTAACCTTTTTACAATAACTATTGATTACTTTCATACAAAAGGGAAAATATTCAAATGAGAACTTTGAAGGCTGAAGTGAAAAAAGGTTCCAGGAGAACATTATTTGGCCCAGGGCTGGTCGATCCTAAGAGGTAGGGAAGCCGGTTAATATTCCGGTACTAAGATGAGGATTTTCTGCGGTAACGCAAATGAACTTGAAGACATCAGCGTGGGTCCCGGAAAGAGTTATCTTTTCTTTTTAACGATTTTGTTGTAGGCCTTGAAATCTGTTTAACGGGAGAAAAGGTTTACCGATTGGTGGAGCACAGTAGTCTTTGCTTTGTCTGGTGCATTCACGACGATCCTTGAGAATCCAAGGGAAAGAATAATCTTCTCACCTAGTCGTACTCATAACCGCAGCAGGTCTCCAAGGCGAAAAGCCTCTAGTCAATAGAGCAATGTAGATAAGGGAAGTCGACAAAATAGATTCGTAACTTCAGGATAAGGATTGGCTCTAAGGGTCGGGAAAGAAAAGTATGTTAAGTTAAAAGAAAAGGGGAAGAAAAAAGTGTATGAGCAATTATTTATACGATTTAGTTAATCAAAATAGTGTGTGAACAAGGCTTATTTGTAAGCAGATAAACAAGGGCTGGATTATGTCAGAATGATTTATTTGTTCATTTAATTATGCATCATGTTTGAGCCTTTACTTATAATGGAAACATCTAAAAATGTCCCCAGGCTTTTACATAAGTAGCTCTAAACTGGGTTGTCTATCAGCGTTTCAGAAGTAGCATGTACCGATGGTGAAGCGTACTTTATACATGAAAAAAAAAAGACCAATCATTCTATGAAGTTCATAAAAAAATTAAGATATAGAAAATTGAAAAGACGTAGGTGTAGACATTGTCCATAATGAAGCAAGTTGAAAATGTTTCATGTTTTTGCGTTTTGGAGGTACCATAAAGTGGGTTATTATTTTGTGTGACCAGAATAAGTCGCCAAAATTGAACGAATGACTGATCACAAACGGTCATTTGCTTAAAGTTCAATGGATAACTGTTTATTTGCAGCTGTCTGTTGATCCCGTTTGAATATTCTCAGTTTTGGTAGCCAATTTAAGACTGGATAAAATGTAAAAAAGATGCTTAAATTCACTTAATTTTGTTGACAAAAGATTCGAGTGTCGATATGTGACGTTTTGGTGCAGATTGTGCTAACGTTTGGGTATCTTTTCCTTTTGTAATGTTTAATTATTCTCCACAAAAGGGTTTTTATTGGAGGCAAAAGGCTTTTCCTGACGCTGGGGTTGGTACCAGTCTTCACTATCTTCAATCACTAAGAATGTCGTCTAGCATTTGGTTTGTGTTACGAACGATGTTTTATATAAGTGCGGGTAAGATATGTTTACAAAAGTTATTTTGGTTGATTCAATCTTACAATGACTTGTATTCTCGTATAATAGTACGCTATTACGAGGATTTGCTTATTGAAACTGTTCTCCCCTCCCAGTTTCAAGTGGGTGAGATAAATCTGATTAATTGGTATGTGATTTAAGGTTTTTGTATTATTATGATTATTATTTCTGTATATATTCACTCAAACTTAACGTATCTATTACAGCTGCAACAAGTGCTTTGATATTACTGCTAATTCAAGACATCTTTAGGTGGCACCTTTACAAGTAAATCGCCTACCTCGAAAATCTGACGTCACTAAATTAAGTCAATTTAAGGAGATGCGAGAGCAAGTGACTGTCTCCTTCCCAAGACAAATGTCTCCCCGCACACCTATTTTTTTTTTCTTTTTTCTTTTTTCTTCCTTGTACTTTCTTTCTTTTCAGTAAACCCTTTTAAAAAAAAAGAGTAAGTTGTTTGTAATATGGAGAGAAAGAAAGAAAAACTAAACCAATATTTTTTAATCTCAATAGATTTCTCTTTCCTTTGAGCAGATTGATTCTTGATTTAATTTTGTTAGAAAGGAAAATAAAAATATATATAATACATTTGCATCTTTTCCATCTTTTTTTTTATAAATAAATGTCATTAAATACAATGAATAGTGGTCAACAACATCAACAGCAACAGAATGGTAGTAGCAGGGATTTTGAAACGGTTCGTCGTAACTATCGATCAGCATTGTCCGAGCTTACTTTCAATAGTAAACCTATTATTACCAATCTGACTATTATGGCTCAAGAAAATCAAGGTGCTGCAAGTCTTATTGTAAGGGAAATTGAAAACCAATTGAGAAATGTAAGTTGATAATATTACCCCCTTTTTATTATTATTGTTATTATTATTATCATAATATATCTATGAATTTGATATACATATATATATATATATAAAAAAAAAAAAAATGCCCATATATATATATATATGAATATATAATCTTTTTTACATCAAAAGTGTTGTGATAATAATATGAATTCCAATATTTTAGAATGCTCCCGGTCAAAAACTACCAGTGCTTTATTTGATTGATTCTATCTGCAAAAATGTCGGTGGGTCTTATATTACTAATTTTGCAAGAAACATGGTGAACGTATTCTTGGACGCGTATACTTTGACGGATAGCACGGTCAAGAAAAGTTTCGAAAGACTGCTCCAGACCTGGAAAAATGGAATGCCCGGTGGCCATCCCGTTTTCCCTCGTCATATTATTGAATCCATCGAAAGATCAATTGTTTATATTCGTGAAAAGGCTTCTCCTCATCCAAGATATCCTCATAATAATACTAGTTCACCTTCATTATCACACAATAATAATAATAATAGTAATAATAATAATAATCCTAATTCCGCTGCTATTCATGTTAATCCAAATTTTGTAAACAAGGTAAACTCACAACAGCGACAATTGTACATTCTTTTATATAATAATACTTTAAACATAGGAGCCAAGAATTAGTGCTAGAGATCCTCGTAACAGAAGTCCTCAAATTATCCCATCAGATAAGGCACCTTCTACCTCTTCTTCTTTACTCTCTCAGTTACAGTCCATGCTTCCTTCTCCTCAAACAACCTCGCTTTCTACCACGGATCCCATCTCACAAATCATTGATCAAGTAAGTACACACACACAATAACAGCAACAATAATAATAATAAAAAAAATAAACACTAAATTTTTTTTAATTAAAGATCAAGGCTATATTACCTACATTACCTCCGACCCAGGCTTCATCTATTGAACAATACCTTTCCCAAATCGCTTCCCCTTCATTAGCCCCTGCCGTTGTCACACCTTCACCTACCCTTTCATATGCCAGTACAATTTTACCTGCTCAAAAAGCTGCTCCTGCTAAAGTTGATACAGCTGATTTGTTAAAAAGTTTGACTTCGATGGGCTATTTATCGCCTTCTCCTGTTCCTGCTGCTATTGCTGTAATGAAACCCATTGTACCAACTGAGAACACAACCTCACTTAACAACAATCTGGGTCTCTTTTTATTAGACTCCAAAGATCTGCAGATTGCTAGACCTGGAGCGATCGAGTTACTGTACTCGGCCAAACCTTTACAATGTAAGCAGTGTGGATTCAGATATCCCAAAACCGACAAAGGCCAAGCCAAAATGGATGCTCATTTGGATGCTCATTTTAGACAGAATCGAAAGATGAAGGAAAGAGTGAAGCGTGGACTCTCTCGTTCGTGGTTTGTTACAGTGGAAGAGTGGATTAATGGTGAAGGAGGGGAATCTACTAGCCAACAAGGTTAGAACATGAAACACACTTTTCATATCGATGTGCTAATTATTTTGTTTAGCTCCCGCATTTTTACATGATGGTATGGGACACGTGAATAGCAAGTCTACCGAAAAATCTGCTCAGCCTAGCGAAGAAACTATCAACCCAGATCATTACACAGTTATTATGCCTAATGATGATAGCCGAAAGCCTTGTGCTATTTGTGGAGAAAGATTTATTGACTTTTGGAATGATGATGAAGAGGAGTGGATGTACAAGAACGCAATCATGATTGAAGACAAGGTAATACTCTATTAAATTTCTGGAGTGGCTATGATGAAGTAATTGACATAAACATCCTTAGATTTATCATGCTACCTGTCATGCAGATGCAATTAAAAGTGGCAACTTGGCAGACGATACCGAGATGCGTGATGTAAATAATAAACGTAAAATGGAAGAGCAAATTGGTCAGGTAATATAGTCACAAAAAAAAAAAAAAAAGGTAATACGAGTTATTGATTTCATCTTTTAGGTGTCAAAACATGCACGTACATTATAAATAAATTAAGAAAAAAAAATAATAAAAAAATATATATATATATTAAAGATAAATTCGTCTCAAATCAGAGGGAGTGGTAATTTTTTGACATTGTGGACATAGTTTTTTAGAACCTAGGGTTTGCAACCAACATTGTTCACAGTGCACATGCCAGCAAACGATGGATGTAAGCGGTGTCTTGTAAGATTCAAGACAAATTAGACAACGTGGTGTGGATCTGGAAGCATTTTCTAATTGATGAATACGAGATTTTAGAGAGTCAATGATTAATTTTGAATGTCCTTCACCGGTAGAATGATGAGCTTCTTTTTTCAGGTGATGATTCCAACCAGATACAGATACGGTTTCCTCAAATCCTTGTCTTTCACCCTCTGTCTCTGAAGTAGGAGTACGCATAGTACCACCTGATACCATCTCTCGTAAAGCAGAGGCGTCTTCAGTATCATCATCCATGTTTACCACAATATCTCGTTCTGTATATTGACTTTGACCAAATTGAGCAGCATCATCATCTTCCACATCTAGGTCCTCCTCATCTTCATCTTCATCTCGTTTACTGGATGTGGCGAAACCAGCGCCTCCATAACCACCTTCCATCATGGCACTAGCTCTTACACGCACCTGGCCTGCCCATTCATATTCCTCCCAGCTATTTGTTGCTGATCCTGCTCCTACTGCTTGTTGTTGTTGTTGTAGCCTAGGTGTAGTTTCATTATCTGAATCCACATCCTCCTCTTCTGTCTCATCCAATTCTGTCTCTTCTTCTACATCTGGTGTAGGATTTGTTAAACAATTGTCAATATGAAGGTTAACAGCTTCCAAATCGCCGTATAAACGTTGATTACAGATAAAGCAGGTTTGAACATCCACATCATCCAACATAACTTGTAAGGCAATATCAGAATCATTGGGTTGTGACGGTGTTGGTGGTAGTGTATCGTGCTTGATCATGCTGGTACCATCCAGTTGCCTTAAACGATCTGTGCGTTTAAGTCTATTCTTTTGTATCTTTTCCAATGTCTCCTCGTAGACTGATGACACTTTTTTCTTGCCTTTAGAGCCTTCCAGCTGTCTTTTGGCCACGACAGCAGCGCCGCGTTTTCCTTTGCTGTAATAAAAGTTTATTTAGTAAATGCATAAAAAGAACGGAGAATTAATTACTGGACACATACTTTTTATTTAGAGGATCTGTGTATGCTTCTGAGGTGGGTTCAGATAGTCGAGCTAGTTCGTATTGATAATGGTCTTGCCAATACATGGGCTCTATACGATATTCACAAATGGGACATTTGGGTAAGTCACGTCTTGCTAAGAAGAGGAAGAAATTGACATTAGCATGAGAAAACATTTATTAAAAAAAAAAAAAAAAGTACCTCGACCACTATTATTATCGTTCAGGGTATCTAACTCTCTTCTCGACCGTTTCTTTTTTCTATGTAAACAAGTCAGAAATAAAAAAAAAGTTTAAAAACGAGACAGAGAGAGAAAAATAAAAAATCCGGGGCTCTTTCTCCCAACTGGCTTTTATTTTTATTTTATTTTTATTTTTTGGTTACTTTACAATGGTTGTCCATTAGACTTATTCTTATATTCAAAGTTATCGTCGGAGGAAGCCATATCTAGATTCGTTTGCTCTTTACGGTTTTAAGAAAAGGGTTGTTCTACCAAAAACCCTTTTGAAAAAAAAAATTGTATTAAATGGATGCAGATTGAACAATCCATTGATTTGATTGGTGGGAATTTGGGTTGCCATGACACCCCGCGCGCTATAGTTTCCCTCTTGCCCTCCCACCTCCCCCCAAAAATGTTGTCTTTCGTTCGTCATTGCATAGTTAAATGGACATTGTGGCTCTTATAAGTTAATCTTGATTCGCTATTTACAATTTTGACCATGATGCCAAATGCACGCACACAGGCATACAAAATGCTACGCGGATAAACAAAAGAACCGACATTGTGGCTTATTTGGGGGGAGTAGTGGGGGAGACAATATTTTTCTGACATTTTTTTTTTTTTTTTTTTTGATTTGTTCATTAATTCCACTACATACATCACTAAAAATGAGACTCATTACACACAACATGTTACAGTGTCACGTTAAGAACTGTAACAATAACAACTTCCCTCTTCGTTTTGAAGATGTTCAAGTTGAATTAATCGAAGCCGACTTCAACCCCGAATTTTTATCCAACATGTTGAACAAGATTGATTGGGATGCTTTAACCAGTACCGCCGTTCAGGTAAGACAAATAACAAGAGATTTTGACCTGTGATGGCTTATCTGTAAATGTGTTTATAGCTCGGAATCAATACCCTTCCTGCTCAAATGCCTGAAGATGCCGAAGAAAACGAGGAATTTTTAAAGCTTGTTCATAATGTTTTATTAGAGGTAAGAGAAGGCTTCGGTTTCGAGTGTAACAAAATTACTTATCGTTTTGTATTGTAGACCCATGTTCAACAAGGTCAAATGGTTTGTCCCAACTGTGCTCATGTTTACAAGATTAGAGACGGAATTCCCAATATGTTATTGGCCGAGCACGAAATCTAAAAGAGAGAAAATAAAAAAATAAAGTGGAAGATCACGCTCGATTTTTTTTTTGTGTGTGCGTGTGTGCTCTTCCTCGCAGATACAACAACATAGTTTTTGGATTCAATATTAGTTTTGCTTAGATATCAGTTTTTGGTAGATGTGAGATATCAATGGGTCTGGCTATGACTGTGCAGTGATAAAGTAGACTTGTCTTTGTATTTAAAAAAAAACAGAAGCGGACAAATGTAAAATAGGGACACTAGCTGTCAATCTGAAGTAATTACTGCATATTTCAAATAGAAATAGTTTAAATTTCAATAACCGCTTCCAGCGTTTGAGGGTAAATCGGAATGCCTTGTTATCTATCTCGAATTTGTAGTGTTTAGCCAAAATAACTGAACCAAACAGATCAGTAGCAGATACTAACAAAGGAAAGGCAGGGATCAAAAGGACAGGACGTCCTCAGTCGACACGATCTAGACATATCTGCCGTTTGGGCATTTGAAAGAACCCTGATAACTTATTAACGCCCATGCAAATTTCCAAGTAGTTAAACACTCTTCAGGCAACTATCGGTTGTATTATCAAAATATTAGATGAAGGTAGCTAATGTGGTGACTTGAGAAGTTTTCTTATGGACAGATCATAAGGAACTCATTGTTGAGACAGTAGATGATAATAATAGCATGTGTTTTTATTTTATTTACTTTTAAAAAAAAGCTATCTTTTTGTAAAATAATAAAAAGAGAATATAATGACTACTGGATGCGCATGTTGTTGTATCTTTCCGCTCGTGAATACGCTGCTCTCATGGAGCTTGAATTTTTGTAAACACTGAAGTACCCTTTCCTCTTGCCAATTTTGTACAGGTTTTCCCATTTGTTTTTGTCTGGATTCCCAAATTTAGCCTTGAAGGCCCTTACGAAATTCCAACTTTCTTCACGTGTATGAACAACTGGAGCAAGTATGGGTACTGATAATTCTTCAATAGGTTCATTTGCTGTTGGTGCTGCCGTTTCCTTAATAGGGTGGATGACTAATGGTGTTGATACGTTTTTAATAAGACTGCTGTCAATCGATGGTGTTAAATTGTTATTCAGTACGTCTCCCTCCGCAGTAGATAATGTTGAACCTGGTGTCCTGTATTTATTTTGGCATACGTCCATGATCGAGATAGCTTCTTTAATTTGCCTTTGAACAATATTCTTGGTAATGATATCCAATTCATTTCGGTTAAGCAAAGCGATGACCATTTTTAAATTCTGTGTGGTTCTTTTGTAATCAAGCATGATATCTTCCGCTTGGCGTTGGGTAGCTTGGTCTTGCAATGTTTGCTTCATCAAGGCATAAAGCTGCTTTACTGTGGGATCAAGGTGAAATGGTGGACTGCTCACATTAAATACACATACAGATAATGCAACAAATGGATTCAATGGACTCTCTGCCAAATTGGAATGGATAGATTCAGCCGTTACGAAGTAGCAAGCGTCTGCCCAAGGATGACAATGTAGGATTTTCCACAAGAAAGGCATCATTGTTTGTTCAGTTACGTATTTACTTACTTCATAGTGGATGAGAGAGGTGGCAAAGACGATGATGATAGGTGGTCTACGGTGTTTTTGAGCAACAGCTACAGCTTCCGAAACGACGTTTAAATAAAAATCGTTATCCACAGTGTGCTGGACTACAATCATTATAGGTGGTAAACTGTCATTCTCTGAAAGATAAAGAGTTTGGAATATGTTTTCCTCTGACAACTGATCTAAATAGTAACAATGCTTTGCTTCAAAGCCTACAAGAAAACATTCATCAGATGGATTAAGAACAACAACAACGACCTATTTTTTTCTCTTCGAAAACTAGTGTATTTTTCTTTTTTTTTTCACCCACGGAAATGTCGCTTACCGATGATAGTTCCAACCACAATGTCCATGACATTTTTAGAGGAGAATAGGAAGCTAGACATTTAATCGGTATCTGGATAAAATTGAAAAGATTTTACGAAAGAAAGATGTAAAATGTTCTGAAGTTCAAAGTCTTTATTTTATACCTTCGAATTGTTTATGCCATGACAGTCCAATCAAATCTATGTCAGGTGGCTTACCATAACGCCACTTCATGCCAGTCAAAAAGAAAGAGTATTATCCAGCGTTTACTTTCGAACATAATATTAGTTAGATTCATGAAAACAAAACGTTATGCTGGTGATCATAATTTTCTAGACCACACTTAGGCACTAATAAATAATTTTGGGAGTCTTTGAAGGTGGCAGTGCCATTAGTGCCTGTTTATTCAAAGACTCGATTAATTTGATTACAAATAATATAAACAAATAATTATCTCATCCAGACAAAAATTAGTTCTCGTTTATAGTTTTTATTACTGCTGAACTCTCTCACACTTTCACTTGTTCAGTATTATATATTTCTTGTTTTAAAAAAGTTCAAATATTCCAATACGCTTGGAGGCATCCTACACAGCCTATGTACTCCCCGCACCAAACATAATTAAGATGAAGCAAGAAGAAATGATTATTATCTGCAAAAAAAAGCATAGATCAATCAAGCATTAACTGACACAATCGAAGTTCGCCCAATGGTTTTAATCACTCTGAATGACATGTGTCTTTAACATTATGTAAGTTGCATCAAAATTTGAGGTTTTGTTACACCATCTCTATGTACTTCCAAAGTTTTTTTGTAACAATATGCGCTAAACAGTTTGCACAATCACACAATAAGTTTCTTGCCAATCTAGGTCGTGATGCTACTTTTTACCTGAGCAACAAGCGCTGTAAGCTCACATTGTCCAATTAAGTTTACTTCAGTGCTTTCCAAATCAGGGCCAATAGGATGATCGATAGTGCTCTCCCCCAGCCTGTCAAGCCCAATTTTTTTTTAGAAAAGCTTTGTCTGTCTAATACTCTCTTGGTTTTTTATTTTTGGCATGGAGAAATTGGAGAGAGAGAACGCACTTCTTCGTCAACGCATTGCAGAACTAGAGGCAGCCGCAGCTGCAGCAGAAGCGCCCTTGCCTGCAGCATTGACGGAAACCGATGTGACCAGTCCATTTGAACGTGTCAGTTCATTAACCAACGCAGAAATCTTTCGTTTTGGACGTCAATTAGTTGTTCCCGGTTTCGGCTTAGAATGTGAGTTTCTTTTTCTTGTTTACATGCATTGACTTTACTGAGCTTTCCCAATTCAGCACAAATAAAATTACGTAGCAAGTCCTTCTTGATTGTGGGAGCGGGTGGTTTAGGATCCCCCGCCGCACTTTATTTAGGTGCAGGTGGTGTAGGTCGTTTAGGTATTGTGGATCATGATACAGTGGATACGAATAATTTGCATCGTCAAGTGATTCATACTGAAGCACGATGTGGTGTAAATAAAGCCGTATCTGCTGCCATTGCCATTCAAGCGTAAGTCTGTCTTTTGGTTGTTCCTTATCACGTTGGATAACTAAAAACTCTTTTTCTGTGAGAACAGGATTTATCCCGATGCCGATGTTGTTCCTTATGCTTATACACTGGATAGAACCAATGCGCTCCAACTCATCCAACAATACGATATCGTACTTGATTGTACAGACAATATTGCCACACGTTACTTGCTGAGTGATGCTTGTGTTTTAGCAGGAAAACCCATCGTATCCGGAAGTGCACTTAGAAACGATGGACAGGTAAATCATTTTATACCTTCTTTTATTCTACTTCTTAACCGTTTGTTTTTGTTTTTGTTTTAGCTTACGATTTATAATTATAACAATGGACCTTGTTTTCGTTGTCTTCATCCCGTCCCTCCTCCCGCTTCCACCGTAGGACGTTGTGTGGATAGTGGTGTTCTTGGTGTAGGTAAAGAGATTTTATGTATTTCCTACAAGCAGCCTTTTTATATATAACCAAATTCTAATAGTGCCCGGCGTGATTGGTATTTTACAAGCGTTGGAAGCCATCAAGGTAGCCATTGACTCACCATGTAAGTGAAATGTGTGATATAATAAGAGACAGCATGGTGACACGCATATAGCATTGAAGGAACCTAGTTTCTTAATTTTTAGCGCCATGAGCAACCCCATGTTTCGAACTATGCGACTTCGTCATAAAAAGAAGGATTGTGCCATATGTGGAGATACACCTACAATGACAGAATTGATTGATTATGTCCAATTTTGCGATGGATCTGCTGATGATAAGACAGTAGATGAGACGATTTTGAAGCGAGAGGAGAGAGTCGATGTTCATGAATATAATAAGGTTGTGGAGGAAGGAGTGGATCATGTGCTGATTGATGTTCGACCTGCGATTCAATATGGGATCTGTCGTTTGCCCAATAGTATTCATATCCCGATAGACGAACTGGATAAAAAGATGACACTTGTGAAGGACATGATGGTAGAAAAGAATGTGGATAGTGAACACGGTAAGAAAAAAAAAATAGGCAGACTTTTTTTGATATGTAATTTATTAATGGAAGGAGGGTAATTTCCATGATAGTATTTGTTATTTGTAGGTTAGGTAATGATTCACAGATTGCAGTTCGCATGATGCAAAAAGAAGGAATTGATAAACCGCGCGATATTATAGGAGGGTTATTAAGCTGGTCAACCAAAGTAGATGCATCATTTCCTATCTATTAAATTTCTAAAAGAAAAATAAACTCTTTTTTTTTTTTTTTACTTCTTTCTGTTCTTGCAACAGCCGCCGACAGCATCCCAGCCCAACATGATGATGTAGAGAACAAAGGAAACAAAGCCGAAAAAGATGGAGGTATTATAAAAGTTACACCAACCATCCTGGGAACCTATTTTACAGGTGAATTTGGCAATTTCGACAATGATGCCGATTCCCCATAACAGTGTCATGAGCAAATCACATAGAATTAAAATTGTTCGCTTCATTTTCTCGGCTTTTCCAAATCTTCGAAAGAAGAAGAAGAAAATGTGATAGATGGAATAAATGATGGATAGAATCGCCTTTAAAAAATTATGATGTGTTAAATATGTTTTTGTGAGTTTATCTTTAAAAATCCAACTTACGACGGCAAATAGGTAATAGAAGCAGGCTTTAGAATCAAATGGCACCTCCACATTTGAATACTAGCGTTTATGTAATAAAAATTAGTTCCCCACTAGTCAAAATCCTTTTATAAATGACTTACAGGAGACGCACCAGCCGCAAAACCAAGATGTCCAATACCCGCAATCAGTAAAGCAATACGAATATAGAATCTTATTTTGGAATACAAACTTGTGTGTTTATTATTATAGGTTGCCTCATTATCCGATACTGCCATAGGAGTTTCAATTTTATGACTTTGTTCATTGATGGTTGCAGCAGCAGGCTGAGGGGAATAGACGTTTTCTGAACCAGTGGCGGTATTGCCATAGGCAGTGCCTGTGTATTGATAGGCGTTTTGATGTGGCGTAGGGCTGGAGGACCAGGCGTTTCTATCTTCATCTAAGGTCTTGTTGGATTCTTGCCAAGCATTTGTTGTAGGGAGGCTAGTTTGATGATAGTCTGAAGGAGAAGGCATACGTTGTGTTCCATAAGGTGAACCACCCACTACAGGTGCTACTGCTGGTACTGGTGGCTTGGTTCGAGGTGGAAGTGCAGGTGAACCAAAGGTAGCTGGAGGTGGTGAGACCACGGGTGTATTATCATAGGCATTTCCATAACGTGGACCGTGTGTATCTTCTTCAAAAGGGTTGCTCATATTTAAAATGTATAAAGAAGTAAAAGAAAGAAGAAACTAAAGAAAAAGCCTTTTTTTTTTTGTGATAATTATTTTTGGAGGGCGCGTGTGGTATTCCGCTTTAATACAAGCCCATTTTTTATTTATTTAAAACGTCGTGTGTGTAACAATTGTTTAGTACGTCATTATGCTTTTTTGATGTGAAATATACAATCAATAAGCGTATACTTTTTTATTTTTAGTCACTTGTGCAACTCTCGATTAATGCAAAGGGGGATGTAGTTGTCTTGATAGTATAACACTGTAACAAGCATTTCTTTTTGATGATCCAAATAGTACAGAAAGGAATTTCTCGAGACAGTGTAGAGTGTTGCCAAGAGTTGTGTCATGCATTTACTGGATTGATGACGCAATGTACAAGTGTGGGGAGCACAAAAAGGGCTGGCCCTTCTTTTTTATTTTATTTTTTTCTTCTTTTTTTTTCTTCTTTACATTATAAACATGGTTGTAAACGCTTTTACCCTTCAACGCAAATACCCTCAACTTCAGGTCAATGACATTAACAAACTGATTGACCAGTTCGCGTAAGTATCTCTTTCTTTCTGTCCCTTTGACAAGAAACTAAATACCGGGAAAAATTTATATATATTAGTGAAATAGACTTGGACGGAGATGGTTATCTCGACCAAAAAGAAATTCAAAAGGCTTGTAAAGAAACTGGTTACAGTGACAATTATGATGAAATTCGTGCTACTCTTAAAGACGTCAGTACCAATGCCGCTGGTAAAATTGATGTGGAAGAATTTATCGAGGTAAGCGTCTGTGCGGTGAAAGGGGGTGAGGCTGAAAGGGAAACGCGAGTTTTTTTTTTCTTTCTTGTGGCGGACATTCAAACGGGAACAATGACGATATTTAACTTACCTTTTTGTTTTTTCTTGGCAAGCTTAGCTCGCAGCAAAGTTAAAGGATGGTCGTAACAAGGGTGCTTTTGATGTTCATCAAAACAAGATCAAGGTCCATGGTACCAATGCTAATGTAACACATACAATTAATGAGGATGAACGTTCTGAATTTACCCGACACATCAATGGTGTGCTTGCTGGTGATGTACATATTGGCAACCGTTTCCCCATTCCCACCAACACAATGCAATTATTTGACGAGTGCAAAGGTAAATAGGACAATGAGGGATTAAAATAAAGTCATTGTGTGTATGGAGTGACTGATTTTGTTTGTGTAATAGACGGTCTTATTCTTTGTAAGTTGATTAACGATGCTGTACCTGACACCATTGATGAACGTGTTTTGAATGCTGGTAAAAAGATCAACAATTTCCAAATGGTGGAAAACAACAATATTGTAATCAATTCAGCCAAAGCCATTGGTTGCTCTGTGGTTAACATTGGTTCAACTGATTTAATTGAAGGACGTGAGCATTTGATTCTGGGTTTAATCTGGCAAATCATTAAACGCGGACTTTTAAGCAAGATTGATATCAAGCAACATCCCGAATTATACAGACTCTTGGAAGATGGTGAAACATTGGAAGACTTCTTAAAGTTACCTCCTGATCAAATCTTATTAAGATGGTTCAATTATCATTTGAAGGCAGCTGGTTGGGAAAGACGTGTAAAGAATTTCTCCAAGGATGTGGCCGATGGTGAAAATTATACCGTCCTTTTGAACCAACTCAAGCCAGAATCCTGTTCTCGTGCCCCACTTAGCGAACGCGATCTTTTACGTAGAGCAGAAATGATCTTGTCCAACGCTGAAAAGATTGGTTGCCGTAAATACTTGACTCCTACTGCTTTAATCGCCGGTAATCCTAAATTGAATTTGGCCTTTGTCGCTCATCTCTTCAACACCCACCCTGGATTGGAACCTTTGTCCGAAGAAGAAGCTCCCGAGATTGAAGAATTTGATGCCGAAGGCGAGCGTGAAGCCAGAAGTAAGCATCTTTTTTTTTACATGTTTCTATATTCTGTTTCTAACTTCTTCACTTAGTGTTCACACTTTGGCTTAATAGTTTGAACGTGGATCCCGGTGTCTACAACTTGTTTGAGGATTTACAGGATGGTTTAGTCTTATTACAAGCATTTGAAAAGGTTGTTCCCGGTAGTGTCAATTGGCGCATGGTGGGTAAGAAGCAACCTCTTTCCCGATTCAAGCAAATTGAAAATTGTAATTATGCCGTCAGTCTTGGTCAAGAACTCCGATTCTCACTCGTGGGTATTCAAGGAGCTGATATTGTGGATGGACAAAAGACCTTGACCTTGGGTTTAACATGGCAATTGATGCGAGAGAATATCATTCATACCTTGCAATCACTCACAAAGGGTGGTCGCTCTATTTCCGACAGTGATTTGGTGCGTTGGGCTAACGAGACAGTGCAACGTGGAGGTAAATCTAGTAAGATGACATCCTTCAAGGATCGCACACTTTCTACGGGTATCTTTTTCTTGGATGTGCTGAATGGTATTAAGCCTGGATACGTGGATTATAACTTGGTGACAAGCGGAAGAACTGAAGAAGATGCATTTAACAATGCTAAACTTGCTATTTCCATTGCTCGTAAATTGGGCTCCACTATTTTCCTTGTGCCCGAGGATATTGTTGAAGTCAGAGCAAAGATGGTAAAGTAGAACATGTATTCACTCCCTTGTTGATGACTAACGCTTCATTATTATGTAGAACTTGACTTTTATTGGTAGCTTAATGCAAGTAGATAGAGAAATCAATCATTAAGCCCAAACTCTATCCATTGTGATTGACTGTACTAATAGGCTGCATATGCCACCACTCCTTTTATTTTAATAAACAAAAAAGAAAGATCAATTAACGATTAATTCTACAAAGGCGTCGTGTGTGCATGTCACAGTGAGCATTTATAGCATGTGTTTACCCCTTATTTCCCACATTTACTTTATTGTATGTGTGTTACCAAGGTCACTGTCTCAAATGATGTAGTCATGTGGCTCCCACACTAAGGGGGCGCTGCTGTTGTTGTTGACAAAATAGAAATATGCGCACTCAAGATCTACAAAAAAAAAAAACTTATTTGTGTGGCTCGTTTTTATTTTCTATATAAGTTTGCATCGATTTTTCTAAATAAACTAGCGTGTGACTCTTTCCCCTTTTTTCTTTTTTTTTTTTCTTTCTCTTAGAAAATGGTTTCTGCTATACATAATCATCAAGATTGGCAATGCAAAGCAGAATATGAATTATATACACATGCGTTAGAAAAGCCAGCTAATGACGAGCGTGAATATCGGTTAATCAAACTTGCTAATCAACTCGAAGTGCTGCTTATTAGTGATCCGGAAACGGATCGTGCTAGTGCTGCACTTGATGTTCATGTCGGCAGTCTCAGTGATCCGGTAAGAGAAAGGATAAATATAGTTTGATGTGATATGGTCTGACTTATGCTGTTATAGGAAAACTTGCAAGGTTTAGCTCATTTTTGTGAACATTTACTGTTTATGGGTACCAAGAAATACCCCAAAGAAAACGATTATTACAGCTATCTTTCTGAGCATTCTGGTAAAAGCAAGGAACAATAAATGAAAGCAAGGAAATCTGACACTATAAAAAAAAATAGGTCATGCAAATGCGTTTACCGGAACTGAAAATACAAATTATTTTTTCGAAGTCGGTCATCAATTTCTGGAAGGAGCATTGGATCGTTTTTCTCATTTTTTTATTGACCCGTTGTTTTCAGAGAGTTGTACAGAGAGAGAGTTAAGAGCAGTAGATTCCGAGCATAAAAAGAACTTGCAGTCGGATTGTTGGCGCGTTGCCCAAGTCGAGAAATGTCTTTCCAACCCGGATCATCCTTGGCATTTATTCGAAACCGGTAACTTGGAAACACTCATGGAAAATCCCAAAAAGCTGGGTCTCGATATTCGTACAGAGTTACTCAAATTTCACGATAACAATTACTCTGCCAACATTATGAAATTGACCGTTATTGGCCAAGGTAATCCTAAAAAAAAATTAGTGCTGCATATACACATATCCTTACCTGTATACCCTCAATTAGAATCGTTGGACCAATTGACCCATTGGGTTGTTGAAAAATTCTCAAGTGTGACCAATAAGAATATTCCTGTGCCTTCTTTTAAAGGTCATCCTCTTACAAAAGATCAAGTCATGAAGCAAATCTTTATCAAATCCGTTAAAAAGACACGTACGCTGGACATTACCTTTCCTTTCCCGGATCAATCTGCCTTTTACGAGAGTCAGGTAAAAAAAGAAAATAAATGGAATAGACGGGAATGCATACTAACATTTTGGAACCGTGCGATAGCCCGCTCATTATATATCTCATTTAACAGGCCATGAAGGGCCTGGTTCAGTCTTGTCCTTCCTCAAAAAGAAGAACTGGGCCACCTATTTAAGCTCGGGTATGTGCTTTGGTGGCATTGGCTTCGGCTTTTTCCATATCAGTGTGGATTTAACCGAACAGGGAATCGGTAAGAAAAAAACAACTTCACTATAATCACTCTCTACAGATACACAATGGCTAGGTACTGACATTATTTCATTTATAAAGCTCATTATCAAGATGTAGTGGTTGCCATTTTCCAATATATCGAAATGATCAAGGCAACAGGTGTCAAAAAATGGATTTACGATGAAATCAAATCCTTGGCAGAAATTGAATTTAAATTCTCAGAGAAATGTACACCTTCGCAATACACGTCCTTCTTATCACAACAGATGCAAGAAAATTTACCTCCACAAATGACCATCAGTGGTAGTCAATTACTCCGCAATTATGACCCCAAATTAATCAATCAGCATTTGGATTTGTTAAGACCGGATAATTTTAGATTGACTTTGGCTGCACAAGAGTTCCCCAACGGTGTTCAGTGCACCAAGGTCGAAAAATGGTACTCCACTGAATATGAAGATATGCCTCTTGAACCTGAATTCATTTCCGTAAGTCATCCTTTATTGGTATCATCAAACATGTTAACTCATCCAAAAAAAAAAAAAAAAAAAAAAAAAAATAGAGATTGTCGGATATCACACTCAACGAGGAGTTCACTTTACCTGCCATTAATGAATTCTTACCTTCTAAACTCGATGTGAATAAATTCCATGTGGATACAAAGAAAACTGAACCTGAATTAATCAAAGATACAGAACTTTCCCGTGTTTGGTACAAGCAAGATGATACCTTTTGGGTGCCCAAGACCAACCTGTGGGTCCTCTTTAAAAACCCATTGCTTCATGCTACACCTCGTAACGGAGTCATGTTAGAGTAAGTGATAAAAATAAATTAATGTGGGAGGCTTCGTTATTGATATTTGTATATTATATTTAGGTTATATATGAGTTTGTTAACAGATTCTCTTTCCGAGTACTCGTATAATGCTGAAGTAGCGGGTCTGAACTATTATTTAAATCAAGACACCAAAGGAATCACTGTAAGTCTATGTTTAATTCATTTCATTCTTGGAACTCACAACGAGAAACTAGTTACATGTGGGCGGCTACAGCGATAAATTACCTTTATTACTGGAAAAGGTCATTGATAAAATGAAGCACTTGCGTATTGAACAAAGTCGATTCGATATATTCAAGGATGAATTGACACGAAGTTATGAAAATTTCTTTTTGGAAGCTCCCTATCAACATTCCGCCTATTACCTGAACGATATTATGTGTGAAAAACGATGGAACTGTGATGATTATCTTTTGGAGATTAAGGATATGACGATGGAAGAAGTACAAGCATTTATTCCTATTGCTATCAGTAGTTTACATATTGAAGGTTTCGTGCATGGTGCTTTAGAAAAGAGTTCGGTCCTCGAGATGTTTAGCATGGTTGAAACCATCTTACAACCACGTCCACTTCAACCCAGTCAGTTCATTGGTGAACGGTCCTTTATTTTACCCACTGGCAAGAAATTCATCTATCAGTTGCCTGTACGCGATGCCGACGATGTCAACTCTGCCATCAATTACAATACTCATGTATGCCACGTCAAAGATTTGGGCCTTCGAAATCGATTATCCATGGTGGCCCAAATTGCACAAGAACCTTGTTTCAACCAACTTCGGACAAGAGAGCAACTGGGCTATTTGGTATTTAGTGGTGTTCGTGGTCAGTTAGGTCAGTTGTCATTCAGACTCATTGTACAAAGTGAACGTGATCCTACCTATTTGGAAAATCGTGTATTGGAATTCCTTGAATCCTTGAGAGAGATTTTAGCCGAGATGACTGAAAAGGAATATCAAGCGCAGGTGGATTCTTTGATTGCAGATACATTGGAAAAATACAAGAATTTGTATGAGGAGAGCTCAAAGTATTGGGCTGATATTGAATCTGGATATTATGAATTTGATGATAATGTCAAAGATGTGGAAGAGGTAAAGACTATTACCAAGGAATCCTTGTTGGCGTTCTATGATGCGCTCATTATGCCGAATTCTCCTCAAGCAAGTACTATTTCAGTCCATGTCCAATCTCAAAAGAAGCCCTCCACTAACAAGGAAGAGAAAGTCAGCAGAAACATCAATGATGATGACGATGATGATGAAGAGGAAGAGGAGGAAGAAGACCGTTACACTGTAGACCAATTGTATCCTGTCTTGACGTACCTTAAATTGATTGAGAAGAAGACCTTTTCAGAAGATGATTTGAAGGAAAAGATTACAGAAAATGGTGGTGATTCCAGTGTGCAGACGGAAGCAGGACTTGTAGAATTCCTCTTGAAAAAAATCAAGTTGGATCAAAAGGATGCGGAACAAGTCGTGGTTAAGATGAATCAAGGACCTAGTGGACTTTCCAGTCGTGATCATACACAACTTCCTGAGAACTGCATCGTCATCAAAGATTTATTTAAATTTAAGCGCAGAATGACTTTATCTGTTGCTGCTGTACCATTTTACTCATTTTAATCTTCTTTTCCTTCATTGTACATAATAAAGTTATTTCTTTTTTATAAAGTATTGTCTTAAAACATTCAGCAACTATGTGTCTGAATTTGAATTTCTAAAAACAAACAAAATAGAGCGCGCGCGCGCCTTCATTTAAAAATAAAAAAACCTTTTATTGTTTTAACCCTTTAAAAACCAGTGATGAATTTTGGAGCGAATTCACCAACATTGGATCCCAGGTATACAGATTAACGAATGAAAAACTTTTGTGGTTTCTTGACTAACACAGAAAACACGCAGATCCTTTGACGATCCCATGTCGCCCACCACCATGAAATACAACGAAGCTGAACAGTAAGTTTCTGTTCGCAAGACATGTTTTTTTTTACCACTAAACAAAGAATCGATAGATTTTGTTCCCTCGATTCACTTGAGGCTTCTTCCAATTATATCAACATTCTTTTAACGACCTACAATTACCCCGTACCCCTTGTGTTTAATTCACGTTCTCCAGACGACCAATGTAAAATCGTCAACTGTCTCTATGCATTATTACAAGATCGCAAAGTAAAACACCATCGCACACACACGACAAACGATATTTCTTTTATACATCCTTTAACCCTTTCTCTTTTACTGTTAGAACGATGCTTTAGAACGACAGGAATTCATCAACACAATAAACGATTTAAAGAAACAACAAGGAGGACTTGAATCCACCTTGGTCAACTTAAAACGTGACAATAATACCAAGGATCAACTTAACAAAGAATTACGATCGAAATTAGAGTAAGGAAGAGAGAGAAAAGAGGAGGAGGAGGAGGGGGGGAACGCAAACGATGACTGTCTTGACTTACTGGAAGATTTAGAACTAATGAGTTAAGGATGAAAAAAAACTCGATACAAAATACTCGTTTGAAAGAAGAGATATCCAAATTAAAGAATAACATGCAATACATGAAGACACAATACGCCGTAAGTACATTATTATTATTATTATTATTTTGGGGGGAAAACCCGCCTCTTATCAAAAGTAATAGAATGAAACAAGTAGACACGAACAAGAATTAGCAAAAGCACAGGATAGAATTGTTAAATGCATGAATCACCACTACAAGGCAAAACAAGCCATGATGGAAACCAACTCCTATTTAGCTGCTAATATGCATGAAGACAGCAATAAAGTGGACCAAGTAACTACGAGAGATATTGCATGTAGGATGGGAAAAAAAAAGACTTATTTTTATATTACAGGAACACAAAAAATATGCACAAGTAATACAACAAGCAAATGATAGAGAAGAGGATTTGAAATTAGAGACAGAGGATTTAAGGACGAGTTTAATTACTTTATATACGGATGTACATCGACTATTAGAGACACAAATCATCCGGTTTGATCAACATCCTGAAGCAAAACCTCGCGATGTCTATCCAGAGACGGCCAGACTACGTCTACCCAAGAACTGTGGCGGTAAAGAGGCAATACACATGATACAAGATCTGCTGGCCAGATTGAAACAAGAATGGGATCATCAATTAGATCAAACACCGCAACTTTACTCGCACACTGACATTGCGGAAAGAGATGAGCTCATACAGTGTTTACAGGAGGAATTAACAGACTTGACAGAGAATTTTGTGCGTGCAAGGGAAGAGCATGGTCAGGAAGTCGAAATGTATAAGCGCTTTGAGCAAGGTGGCTTCTTTGACACCCTCTATCCAACACCCAAAGACGCTTATATTTCAGAGTAAGATACACATATACAGTATACGTTTTCTTTTCATTTTTTGACACCTCACGTAGTTCAGAGGACGAATCAAAGTACGACCAGCTGAAGAAAAAGGCTATGCGCGATCAAAAGAAGCTGACACAATCAGCCTTGGAATTGGGTAAACGACGATCAGAGCTAGAGGCTGAACGTTGGGCATTTGAAGAAATGAAACGAGCCATTCAGTTACAAGACATTCTACAAGAAAGGTTTGCATGTCTTTTATTTAGTTCTTCTTTATTCGTACACTAACACTTTCTAACCCATAGTTCCTCTTCAACAACAACACCACCACCACCGCCACCACCTTCTGCTAAACAGACATTTACCTTTGAACCTTCCGATAGACCACGTAAAAGAAAAAGTGGGTGGCTAGGTGCTGCTCCCTCCAATAATTGATACATGAGAATAATAAATAAATACGTATATATAATATATATATAAAAAAAAGAGGTTATTTTTTATTTTGTTAAAAAACATGTATAGAATCGACGTTTATAAGAGAAGATGCTGTCATTGGCTGGCGATTCCACAAAATGATAATTTTAAAAAAAAGTTTCTTAACGGAGACGACGAGCTTCACGTTCGGATTCCAAGAGACAGAGGATATCGTTCTCACGAACAGGACCCTTGACGTTACGGATAATGGAACGGTTGGTATCGTCCATGAATTCAACACGGACTTGGGTGACACCACCACGAGAACCGGTACGGCCGAGAACCTTTGTAACTCTAGCGAGCTTGACGGGGGTCTTTGAAGAAGAAGAATCCTAAAAGCATGAACCCGTTAATTTCACTTCATTAACACAACACATAACGATCCCACACAAGCAGAAGAAAAAAAAATATCACATCCAATCCTGAAAAACAAAAGATCGTTCATCTATTATTCCATCTATCCCCTCTTGGTTTTTTTGTTGCATTCATCCATGTGCGTATCTTTTTTTTTTCTTTCTACTGTGTGTTGTCTCGTATTTTCTCATGGCTTACCATGTCTACAATCTATACGAAAAGGGAGGATTTGTTGCTCTACACACCTGTCCATTCCTTTTGCCCCTAATCCATCCCCACTTGTTCAACCGCCGTAGAAAATTTAACTCAAAATCCGGTCCGAACACTCCTCTCCCGGCTCCTCTTTTTTTCTGACCAATCAAATTCGAAAGCAGTTCGAACTCAATTTGGTAAACATTTTTTTTAGTGATTCCAAGGTTGATCATTGCTAGGTTCCAGTGTGAGCGTTTTAAACTCCCAAAGATAACTACGCTTTTTACGCTTTCCCAAAAAATTTCTCAGGCACTTGCAGTACAGTTTTTCTAGACTAAACCTTACTGCACTTATTATTCTTGACGTACAAAGGTCTGTCTTTCAGGTCTGAGTATTTCTAGTCAGTTTATTTAGAATGTAATTATCGCCTTCAATCTCAAAGTCCACTTTACAATATTCCCGGGGCCTTCTTCGCGTAAAAAATGCTCAGAATTAATTTCAATTTTAATTTCAAAGAAAGTGCTATCAAGTTTGATTAAATTTCTCAAAGCATTACAATTTATAATAAGTATATTAATTCTTTGACAGAGAGGCTCATTTGGCAGAGCAGATACAAAGAAAAACCGATATTTCTTATTCTTTATTGTCGCGTGTTAATAGTATATTACGGGTTAGAGGGCTATCCAAAAGAAGTCGCTGATACAACTATTAGCACTCTGAAAGAATCCACGGTCCCTTATGGAGGTCGTAATCTGCCCGGCACCATGTTAGTAATTTTGAGTTGACAGTTTTAATTTATATTGACGATTGCTCCCTGTCATTGTTTCTCTCCCCTCTAACTACAAAAGGGAGTCTTTTTTCTTTTAAGCATTGATATCGAAGTAAGTGATATATATTACTGTTCAAGAATTTAATCTGATTTTATGTATGTTTTGTATATATGTTTGATCATAGACGTATTAAAAATGTAATTTGCGAATGGTTTTCTCAACTATAAAAACATTAAATCTGTTTCAACACCAGTCGTAGAAAGAATGCATCATTAATAACAAGTATGTATTTTTTTAAAAAAGCCTGATATATACTTAACTATGGAAATAAATAATTACCGCAGAAGCCTTTCTGAGCATTTCTACACGGTTTTTTCTCGCAAAACAGTGAACAGGCTAAAGATATTAAACTCTAATTTCTCTCTTTATCTCTCAATGTCATTGAATCTTATTTTGTATTGTTTTAAACAGTCAATGAACTGTTAGTAAAGATATTGTAATTTAACTATTTATTAATTAAAAAAAAAAAAAAAAAAAAAAAAAAAAAAAAAAATAGGAAGGATAAATGAAGGACGTTTGTATTAAATAAGTTATTTGTGACATATATTTTTGCATAGTTTAACATAGAGTGGGTGTTTTACTTTTTTCTGATGCCTCTGTTTTTACAGGTACATATCAGTTTACTCCATCGTTTACTGATAGAACGAAATAAGTTTTTTGTTACGGGTGGTGTTGGTTGATTTAATAAATCCGAATCTGATCTCCTTCGCTGTATGGTTCGTGCGGGTTGTGAGGAAGCGGTCAGCTTTAATAAAGGAAGGGATAATCGTTGCAGCGTTTTTCGTCGAGTATTAGTTGTATGTGAGGTGTCTGTATCTGTTCCTGCATATGTGGGTAGGGGTTCTACAGGTGAATACTTTAATGGCTTGGGTGGATACTGAGTGATTACAGGTGGCTGTATCACGCTGGCCGCTGGTTGATGATTGACTGGGTTCATATGAATCGTAGTATGGATGGCAATTTTCGAAAGTGGTTCATCTTCTGACTGATTGAATGTGATATCTTGTGTAGGTACATGGTGGAATTTCTTCTTTCGTTTAAGGGTCCAGCTATTAAAAAGCGTTGATGCACGAGGTTGCTCTATTTGTTGCTCTGTTTGTGGATGATGGTGAAACCCATCATTAAATTTATTCCTTAAATGTACAGATGATTTTCTTTGTAAATCTCTCGGTTTCTCTGATTGTTTGCTTGCTGTATCATCGCTTGCTACTGCTTGTATCGACGATGTGGATGATGCACGAGATTCAACTATAGGCAACGACGCGACAATAATGCTATGTTCTACAGACTTTTTTTTTTTTTAGCATTTGAAGTACGTGATCTATAAAAAGAATTAAAGTACCTTTGGTATCGATATAACGTCATCATTATCGTCTATAAGCGACCTTCGTCTATTATCAAATTGTTTTAATAAGTCGTCCGTAAAAGAATGTCCTGTCAGTGAAATGCCGCTAGGCATCGGTAACCACTCAAAAGGTGTGGCGCTAGAGGTTAAACTCATTTATATAAATAAACAAAAAAAGAAAAAGATAAAAAAGCAAAAAGCAAACTAAAGATAAACTGGTAAATAAATAGAAAAACCAGTTAAAACAATAAAGGGGCCAAAACCTTATTTAGTCGTGCTTGCACGTGGGAGGCAGATTTTTTATTATTATGAATGAAAATGTGATTAATTATTTTTTTTAGAAGCCTAAGCGATGGATAGTGTTATCAGCTTCAACGCTCTCAATGGTATCGAGTTGAGCCCACCACTTGAATAAGAATGAGTTACAGATAAGCTTGAACCAAGGTGTCATGGGAACATCTAAATGAAACAAATGAATACAGAAATCACAGAATTGTCATTAAAAAGAAGCACTTACTAGGATCTGCAAACATTGCCTTGAGTTCTTCAGGTGTGACATACTTGATGTCACGAATTTCATTGGGACTGACATCCAAAGTGACATTTGCCTTGATAAAAAGGATATAATCCACTACAACAATTCATGTAAATAAACTTTACTCAGATCCACTATTTCTAAATTACCTTCATGTTCTCCCCATTGTCCATCACTAGGAGCCAAATAATGGATTCTTGTTAAATATTTAAACTTGTCAAGGGGCACTTGTTCAGCCTTAATACCAAGTTCATGATCCAACTTGCGTTGAGCAGCATTACGAACACCTGAATTATAAGGGAGGTTTAACAAATGTATACACCGAGATGTATTTCTTTATATATTTACCGAGTTGATCTTCCTCAATGATTTCGGAAGCCATATTCAAAGGGTGAGAACAACAAGTGTTGGTCCACATATCGGGAAAAGTGATCTTCTCAGAGGCACGTTGTTGGAGCAAAAGTCTGTTTTGTTCATCAAACAAAAAGACACTGAAGGCACGATGTAAAAGATTAGTAGCTTCAATGTTGCTCATGAGATGACCTGTTTACATTCATACATAACATTAGCGTTTTATTCATGAAACAGGTACACATTACAACTTACAGGTCTTCTTGGAATCAGCTCCAATACGTTTATCGTTCTCATCTACAACGATACACATTTCTTCCATGAGACGGACTTGCTCTTCATCATATTCTTTCAAATCAGGTGCCATTGTTAATTTTTATTATTATTATTGTAAGACCTAGGAGTAAGAAGAGAAATACAGTGCAAGAAGTTTTTTTTTTTTTAAATAGAGTTTTTTTTTTTTACCCGGAGATGTTTCCAATTAAAGAGATGTCATTTTTAACTTCAGCCGATTTCATTCTTATGTTTAGTCTTCTTGAACTGGCAAAAAAGAGGTTCTAAAAAGGACCGTATTGAGAAAATATAACTGCTGATATTATACGGTACCACATATTTGTTATTAGAGAAATAAACACTGTTCAAGTTCCCTGCAGGCTGAAATAGATGATATAAATCCTGTTAGTTTCCATAACAATGAATATCCATGTAATGCATTGCTAATAATTTAACCTGAATAAAACTAACTGCTGTGGTAAGGCGATATTTCAGAGTACGAACCACTATAGCGCCTCAATAGCCCTCTGTGACCGTGTTTTGATGTAAAGCTTATGAAATGATACGAAGGGATTATATCTTGTGGTAGCCTGAGTAGTACTATGTACTACGCGGTGATATTATAAAGTCGTGGTTTTTCGTAATTCAATAAAACAGTAGTCCTTTTACATCCCTAATTTTACGAAATAGTACATTATCCTAACGTGCGTGGATTTTTGTATTATAGTCAAGAAAGTCTGCGAGTATAAAGTTTTATTAAGTCAACAGGTAAATCAGATCCCGATACAACATTTGGTGGAGTAGCTGGGCGTTACTTAATAGAACAAAGCAAGTCGAACGAATACTGAAGAACAACAGTTTTAAATATTATAGGTAATTACAAATCCTGGGAAGGCTATTTACCACTGGGTCCTAATTACAAATAATATCGTAGTCAAGAACAAAAATCGCTAAGAAATAGACCATAACATGTCTGTCTTAATCATTGATAAAGAAACCAATAAACAAATCACGGTGGCAACTGGGGAGACTAATACTCGGTCCCCACCCATGTTCTCTGGTACGGGTAGAACACAAGACCCCTTACGTTTCTTAGAAGACTTTGAGAAAGTATCTAAGTGGAACAATTGGCGAACGGACGAGAGGAAGAAAGAGACTTTCCTTCTATGTTTAACTGGTCACGCTGAAAGGTGGATGAAAAACCATCTAATGAATGATATGAAAACATTCGAAACCTTACTTTACGATGATGGTACTGAGAATTGCATTTTGTCCAAGTTCAAAGAAAATTATATCACGGAGGAGTGGTATGAGTTGTATACCAAGCATTACGAAGAACGAACCCAAACCAATGAAGAGACACCTTTGGAATTCATGGAGATTAAACGTTATCTTATGCAACGTGCTGGCCCTGATTGTATTGACCGTACTGAAAAACAAAAGGTTCGAGATATCATGAAAGGTTTACTACCTCAAGTCCGTATATTCTGTGAGAAGAAGCTCAAAGATCCTTTTAATAAAGAGGCAAAGAAGACACTTGATGGGTTAGATGGTTTGGAGAAGTTGTTGCGTTGGGCGGAGAGCTGCTTATACGAAGATCGTAAGGTGTTGAATGTTACGTCGGACGAAGAAAACATCGTGGGTAGTACATCCGTAAATGCTGTGCGCAGATTTGAGCGTAACAATAGTCGCACAGACCATTCAAGTGGTACAGCAAATAACAATAAGGCGAATATGACTGACTTTGAACGACTCGTATTAGCCAAGTTGGAGAAGCTGGATCTCATTGAGAATGAATTAGCCATGGTCAAGGATCGTGTTGACATGATGGAAAAGAACAATGCTGCTCAAGTAGGCCAATCTAGTTATCCGAGCCATAATGGTAACCATGGTACAGGTGGAAATAAGTTAAGGTGCTACAATTGTGATGGTGTAGGACATTTCGCTAGAAACTGTAACTCAATGTGTAATACTTGTGAACGTGCAAATCATTCGTCTTTTAATTGTCCTAAACGTAACCAGGAGAACGGTGGTGAAGGGCAAACGAATAATTCCCTCCAAGAGTCGAAGGATTTTCAGAACGGTCCCCTACATGCTTAGGAGTAGAGGGACCTTCTATTACAAACAATCCTAAAGCAAATAGTTCCTCAATACATGTTATCACGCACGGAGCCAAAACAGAAGAACACAAGGTCTATGCTACTGGTGCTACGAAGAAGACGCCAGAAGAGTTGAAAGCGGTTCGGTTACAAAATCTGGAAAAGGCTAGAAAGGCAAAGGCAGAGTATAAGAAATTGGATGTTGAAGCCAAACAACGTGGTGAGATACCACCCTCTATTGCGAGAAAACTGGAGCGGGAGTTTCCTATTATGTTAGATGACGAGAAAAAGGTGAAGCACCTAGATCTGAAGAAACAATTATGGGATACCCAAATACACGTAGCCCTACCTCAATTATTATACTATGCTCCTGAACTATGGTATCAATATCTCAACTTATTAGGTGGTCAACCCTCAACGAATAGAACAAAATCGATGGTTAAAGGTATGGCCGAGTCCATGGAAATTGACAAGGATGAGCTGCCAGCGGTAAATATGATCAATTTGGACACGACAAGTTTGGTACCGGATCGAACTAGTCTTCAATCTGTATTGGCCATTGTGGAAGACCAACGAAATTGTGAATTTCTGATTGATGGTGGTGCTGTAGTATCAATAGTCCATTGGGATCTGGTCAAACAATTGGGAAAGGAATCGTCAGTGTTACCTACGGATAAGGTGTTGAGGTTCGCTGGTGGGGAGATTGATATCCCGGTTGGTGTGGTTAAGCTAAAGTTACAATTTTCAGCTGAAGTTACAATTCATCATTCATTCTGTGTAAGCCAGAACCCGTTGACCCCAACATTGATTGGCATGGATTTTATCTTGGCGACTAAGGTAGCGACGAATCCCCATCTGAACAATTTGGTGTTTACCTCGGAGGAGACCAACAAGTTATATGAAATCCCTACTCACCCTGCAGGTGAAGGTTTCGACTTGGCAGTAGAGAATGATAACAACGCTATGGCTGTATCTGCGACCGTATCTGATAACAAAAGAAACCGAGAACTGAAAGACGTATTAATAGATTACGAATGGGTTTTTGAACCTGGGGAGAGTCAGCTATTATGGGTAAAGTTATCTGAACCCTCAACCAATTGGAAAGAGGATAAGGTCTTACAACCCTCTGGTGATATTTACAACAAGTACGGGTTGTATATCATGCCAACGGTGATGGAAAGGTCAGAAGTAGATAAACCTTATTGTATGGTGGTGGCCAATATGACGGTGAATGTCGTAAAGCTCAAGAAGGATACCATATTAGGACAATTGTTGAATAAAAGTACAGTACCTGTAGGAGTGCAGTACATGCAACAAATTGAGGAAATCATGGACATCATCACAGACATGTACATCAACCATCATGATAGTGATCAGGCAATCTATGCACCATCCATCCTAGAAGGGCCAATCTTCGAACCAACGAAGGAAGAATTAGAAACATTAGGTATTTCCAATATTTTGGTAGAAGTCAGGGCAAAACAGGCGAAGTCAAGTGTATATCATATCACTTATGGGTCGAAAGATAATGTGGAAAAGGCATCGGTATGTGCGGTGGGTGAAGATGACACGCCTAATTGGGATATCAACCCAAGCCTGACTCCGAGTCAAAGAGAGAAATTGGTCACGGTATTGAAGAAACATAAGTCGGTTTTTGCTACTTCCCTAAAAGAAATAAAATCCTTAAAAGTTGAACCATACACCATAAAAGTTAAACATGATGTTAAACCAGTGAAAGTCGCACCAAGGATGTTACCTATTGCCGCTAATGAATGGTTGAAAGGGTATCTAAAACAATTAACCGAATTGGACATGATTGAACCTTGTTCTGGTCCTTGGGCTGCAGCAGTGGTATTAGTACCGAATAACAAGGAGCAGCGAGCACCAAGAAGGAGGTTTAAGAAAATTCAGAAAGTACCGAAATTGATCTCCTCGCCTGGTAGAAAAGAACCAAAAGCAGTATGGTCCATATCTATCAATAATATAAATGAAACGAACGAAGTAGAGGAGAACGAGGTTGATGATATCAGTTCAATGGAAAGATTACAGTATGCAAGTAATGGAGTTCCTGATTCTGGATTAACGAGTGGTGTTCCGACTCAGCTGGCAGGACAAAAAGATCCATATCGATTATGTCTCAATTACAAACCAATCAACCTAGCAGTTCGAGATACAGGATATCCCATACCCAACATTAATTTCCTATTCACGTTATTGGCGAAGGCAGAGTACTATTCGGTATTTGACTGTTTAAAGGGTTTTTGGCAACTCGAAATTGATGAAGAGAGCCGGGATTATACTGGATTCGCAACAACGTTTGGTCAATATCGTTGGAAACGATTACCGATGGGATTAAAAGTTAGTCCGCAAGCATGGCAATCATGTGTAGACTCGATATTTTTCGAAGAATTGTATAAGTTCTTTCTTATATATATCGATGATGGATTAGTATTTTCCAAATCGTTTGATGAACATGTGAAGCAATTGGATATTATACTAGCAAAGGCCAAAGCTGCAAATCTATCACTATCGATTTCAAAATGTAAGTTCGGTTACCAAGAGGTGAAATTACTGGGACATCTGGTAGGAAGAGAAGGTTTCAAAATGGATCCAGCCAAGATAGATAAAATCGTAAAATGGCCAAGACCAAGAACTGTCACAGAAATAAGTCAGTTTGTAGGCATGATACAATATTATCGGCGTTATCTGAGGGATCTATCAGGTTTGATATCACCTATGAATAAGCTGAAACGGAAAAATGTTCCGTTTGTTTGGGGACATGAGCAAGAAGAAGCATTTCAAAGCTGTAAGGAGTTATTGACGGGCGATCAAGTATTAATTCATCCGGATTTTACAAGACCATTCATATTATTTACGGATGCATCAAATACGGGTATTGGGGGCGTGTTATCACAAGCGGAAGCGGGTAATGAAGACTTCATACGACCGGTATACTATGGTAGTAAAGCATTAACGGAGGCAGAAAAGCGTACTAGTATCTACGAAAAAGAATTCCTAGCCATCGTGTACTTTATTCATTTCTTTAAAGCATATTTGTTGGGTCATAAATTTGTGGTGTACACGGATCAGAAAAGCTTACAGTATTTAATCAAGTTCAATGAAGAAGCATCGGCGAAAGTAGTACGTTGGCAAGCTTCGTTGTTAGCTTATGATTTTGATATAATCTATCGTCCGGGAAAATTAAATGCAAATGCAGATGCTCTGTCCAGGTTACAAGCCGCATACTCAATAGGTCCAGAACTAGATGAAATTATCGAAGACTATTATCTCCCACTCAATGGTATCAAACATGGTCATGAAGAAGATGAATCAAAAATTAGTAAGAAAGCGAAGGGGCTAGGAGAAGAAAATATCTTTTCGAATGAAGATGGTATGGATCGACAGGAGTATGCTGATTTATGTGGATATCTGATCGCCTGGACCTTTAGAGAGGGGTTAAGTGAGTCGAAGCGGAAAGCCATTAAGAATAAAGCTAGACAATATGAAGTAAGACAGGGGACTCTGTTCAAGCGTGAATCAAGTACATTTCCACGAAGAAAGGTGTTACAAACTCATGAGGTCCTAGCGGTGCTGAAACAGAATCATGATCATTTATTGGCTGGACATATGGGTATATCGAGAACTTTTGACAAGATCAAGGAGATTTATTACTGGCCTGGCTATTACGATACTGTTAGACGTTACGTATCCTCGTGTCAATTATGTCAAGGTTTTGGTCCTCGAAATCCACCAGTCCCATTATCACTAGATGTAAAATCCTTCCGTTATGAACCGTTTTCCAATATCAGTATGGATTATATATCATTACCTCTTACGGCTCAGGGGAATAATGCTGCGTTGGTGATTATAGACAAGTTAACTGGGTGGGTTGAATGTAAGCCGACCGCATCACAAAGTAGTGCCTTTACATGCATGTCACTGTTCGAATGGGTATGTCAGTATGGAAAACCGAATCAGATTCATCTAGATAATGGGGTACATTTCCAAGCAGAAGAGGTTAAGGTCATGATGATGAGATCATATGGAATTCAAATCCGATTTGGAGTGCCTTACCATCCACAGGGACAAGGCAAGGTCGAGAGAGCAAACGGGACACTCAAAGCGATCATAAAGAAATTATCCTGGACATACACCAACGATTGGGATATGTGGGTGTCAGCCGCCGTATATGTAATGCGAACGTCGACTAAAAGAGACCATGGATATTCGGCGTTTCAACTGGTATATGGTCGTCAACCCCGAGAGTTGTTAGAGGCGGATCATGAGTATGAAAATGACACAGAGGATGATCAAGCCATTTGGGAACGTATAACGGAGATTATCAAACTTAATATAAATATCCTGCCAAAGGCCAAACAGAATATCCACAAGTACAAGTTAAATATGATCGAAAGATACAACAGGAATACTAAGATAGTCAAGTATTATGTCAATGATCTCGTAATGGTACATGAAAGAAGTCCTGCCGATAATAGGGTAACTTTGCTGGTACGGTGGTTAGGTCCCTTTCGTGTTGCTGAGGTCGTAGGGACGAATGTGTACGTGGTTAAAGACGAAGAAATGCGGTTGCCATTAACTTATCATGCAAACCAAATGAAGTTATACAAGACACGTCCTAGATTGGCAGTGCCGTTAAGTTATTATACCAAATAGAAATATGGGATAAGAGGGGTTGTAATGTGGTAAGGCGATATTTCAGAGTACGAACCACTATAGCGCCTCAATAGCCCTCTGTGACCGTGTTTTGATGTAAAGCTTATGAAATGATACGAAGGGATTATATCTTGTGGTAGCCTGAGTAGTACTATGTACTACGCGGTGATATTATAAAGTCGTGGTTTTTCGTAATTCAATAAAACAGTAGTCCTTTTACATCCCTAATTTTACGAAATAGTACATTATCCTAACGTGCGTGGATTTTTGTATTATAGTCAAGAAAGTCTGCGAGTATAAAGTTTTATTAAGTCAACAGGTAAATCAGATCCCGATACAACACTGCATCAGTTTTATTCAAAAATTGTGGTTTCTGTAAATCATCAGTCTTTTTTGGTAGTACTGGATAAGTAGTTTTTTCAGCGTTGTCGCACCAATTATCATTTGTTGTATACGTTACAAAATGTGGGAACACAGGGGTGGGTATATTCAAACCACTGACGTTTGGGTTCATGCAAAGTTGCTATAGCCCATGTTAGTTAGTTACAAAGGTACGTACAACCTTTTTATTATAAGGACGGAAAATATGATAAATCATGTAATAATAAATTTCCACTGAGAAAATAATTAAGCTAAATGTTACGCCTTCGCGGACTATTATGTAACTTGCCTAATTGTTTCTTACGTGTCTGTTTTGACCATATTTAATAGCGATTAAGCGCTATTGGGAATCCGATCAAATTCTCTCTTTTTAACACTGACTAAACAATTACTTCACCTAGCTGCGGAATATACCATGCCCTTATTCGTAAATTCATATTTTAAACGAGCATTTGTCTACATGTAATTCACATCGATGAAGAAAAACACGGACATACTCACTCCGAAAATGCAGTCACATGAAAGCATTTTAAGACATGTATTAAGGCACGTTTGCCTTATATTAAAAGGAACCTGGAAAAGTAAAAAAAAAAAAAAAAAAAAAAAAAACGAATCCTAATACACGTTGTTTGGTTTCTTCTCTCTTTGTTTCCGCAATATTTTTTAACTTGGCTTAATAATAGTTTTGATAGAATGAGCATGCCAAAAAAAGCTTTAATATTTTACTGCCCATGTGGGCCTAATGAACCCATTCCTAATGTCGACATGTTAACGACAAAGGGTTGCTCCGGTCAGCTAATTTTAGAAGCTACTGGTATGACACACTTAAATTTAAGCTTTTTAAATACGCTGCTAATCAAAAACACTTCCATATAAAAAAGATGATACAATGGTTGCACAGTTATTAGGTTTGGATACGCATCAAATCAAATCAACCTTTCAGCAAAGGTAAACAAAAAAGAATCTAATTGAAATCCCTATTTAAAATCCTCATCCCCGCGCCCTAAGATTCCATGACCTGTCATTGGCCATTCTTTCCAATGATACTAAAACAATAGACATTGGACACCAATTAAATTGTTTACGTCTACCTTTGAATTCCACAGATCAAATCATTCAATTGCTGTCATCCACAGAAATCGATGTTTTCTTTGTGGACTTTACAGACCAAAAGAATCCATGGCATATCATCAATAAGTTGCTAGTTCTGGAAAATAAGGACCTCATTCAATGCGTTGTTTCTCCGTTTACATTGCCAGAGCAAGTAACCTCTCCCATTATGCCCCGTCAAAGCTACCAAATGAAGAACGGATTAGAAGTCAATACCAATGACCAGACTGCACTTATGTATTCTTACTTTCATTCTGGTTCTGCACGCACAGATACCACTACACAGTACACCCTTCAGAATATACAATCACATGGTGGAAACAACAAAATTCTTGCATGGCATTTTTTAGCAGAAATAGCTCACAAGTTAGGTTTCGTGTCAAAATACGGTGCATAATATAAGAAAAAATTAAAATAAAAAAAAAACAATTTCTACTTTCGCTTTCGCTCCCTCTCTTTAATGTTGTTATCCCAAGAAAATTTACATGTCCCTTCCAATACGCAGCACGATATGGAAAAGCAGAAACATGCAAGAATTATGGCCTTTATCCTTGATCAAAGGAACCGTCTTTCAGGTTATAAATCACCAAACCATTATTCTCAAAGCGAACTAGATAATCTTCCTTTAGCAGAGGAAGGAGGAGGGGATAATCTCAGTTTATTATCCGCTTCTGTAAGTCAAATCATACCCCGTCGTAGAAAACCCAATCTAGCACCATCCAATAGATCCAAAAGGTCACCTTCTGTCAAATCAGATCGTCGAAAGCGAAAGAACGAGGAAAGCCATATGAAAGAGAATACGCATCTTCCTCAAAGTAATTCTCACGCGTTTCATTTGTTGCAGGTAAATAATGTGTTTCACAATCGCATCTTTTTATAAAATAAAATGACGCGCACTTCCTTTGATAGAAGTTTGTTTCTCCAAACTTGGAAATAAATAGGATTACGGTAAGAATAGAGTAAAAAAAAAGTGGATAGTGAGTTTCCAACAACATAATAGATTCAACCCAATAAAAAGCGCCCCAAACTGGGGCTATTTAACAAGGGAAAGTCGTCTGCTAAAGCAACAAGGGCAGGTACTATATCTTTCTATCATTCTAATCACAAAAAATCACATGAATTGCATACTAAAGATAAAGTATATAGTTCCAGATCTGGTCTTTTCAGAAGCAAATTTTTTGAAGCCGGATATTCAAGCAAGTCCAACCTCGTCCAAAGCCAGTCTTCGGCAGCCTTCCATTTCCAGATTCTTTCAAAAACCCGTTACAGCTACTAATACTACTGCTCAAAAGCAGGCAGTAATCTCCAACAAATCTTCCAAGATCCCCTCGACACTTGCTTCTCATCAAACACGACAACGTGCAAGTACAGCAAAGAAGTCAATTTCAGTGATTAAATCATCTTCCTCCAACGCAAGTATTGAACGGTTACTAAAGGAATGTCAAGAAGCGCCTCAAGTGATAATTAAAAGTAACGGCCAACCATCACACGACTCTTATGATGAATATAATTATTATTGCACTCCTCCACAACTACCAACCTACCCTCGCGTAAAGACACCGACTTATCCTCGTGTAAGGACACCAACCAATCAGCATCCTTATGAAGAACAACCACAGTTTACACCGATTTTAATTGAAAGTGATTCCGAAACTAATTCGTATCGTCATCCTCATCTAAAAAGTGAATCCGTACATACAGATAATTCTTTATACATGTTTTACAAGGATCAATTGAACCCTGAACACGTATCCGAAATTGCGCGTAAGGAATGGGATTATGAAGATCTGGGAGACTGGCAAATTGAATCTGTAGCATCTTTCAACAGTTCAATCACGAATTACTGTGACGATGACAATATCATGAATTTCTGGCAGCATCAATTTAAACGAACATTATAAAAAAAATCCTTTTATTATTATTATTAAAGATTATTTAAGTTCACTACTGCAGTACTACTATAACTTGGCGTATATTTGCGAATGATTTTCCTCAGTGCATTGGGTAATGTTTTCCAAGAAAAGACCTTGACATCTTTTTCAATGTTACGTGGTTTAGGATGTGGGAAACTCATGATCAATTTAAAAAAATCCGCACATTCGGGTTTGCATTTACTGACTGTCAACGGTCTGAAACCCTCCAAGTTACGTCGAATTCGATTCTTTTCTTCAACGGTAAACTGCACACCAATTAATCCTTCCAACAAATAAATACAATCCACCGACGTAATAAAATAATCATTACGTTCTTGCCAATATATACATGACACGACCAGCGGGTTAGACCGTTTTTTGATGGATGAATCCTTTTGTGCTGCCAAATTTTCCCGGATCCTTTGCTGTTGATATAACTCTTGTTCAATGGGCTTGAACCCACACTCGACTTCACTAATCGTTTCATCATCACTTTGACTCAGCTTATCGTCCCCACCTTGTCTTCGCCAAAATTCAACAAGTCTTCGTCCGTTAGTCCATTCATCTTGCGTCCATGTATATGTCATTTCCATTAAATCTCCCGTGATATTTAGGTTCGCTTTACTTAAAACACCTGCAAAAGGATGGCCATTCATATTACTCTGGTTATGGTGACTCATCATCACCTGCTGTTGTGAGCTCAGCATGTTGCCATGAGCTTGCATATTCCCATACCCTGTATACATGGACCCAGCCCCACTTAAATTGTAATTACTGCTGCCATTGTTTGCATATCCTGGATGATACGGCATCGTGCTGTTATAAGATGCAGAATTGGCATAGCCAACATGAGTATTACTGGATGGATTAGGCTGAATATTTACAAGCATCGATGCATGCTGCTGCTGGTGCTGCTGTGGGGCTGGGGGAGCGGTTGGTTGACTATAATCATTAAACCCGTAATAACCTCCTCCTTCTGTAGGTGTTGGTGGATAAGGTTGCTGGTTTGAAGTAATTTGACTTAATATGGATATGGGATTTGACGGCTGAGGGGCCAACAGGGTCTGGGGTCGAGATTCTACACCATTGTTGTTTGTGTTTTTTCCTGGTGAGTCATCAAAAGGGGCTAACAGTTGATTAAATAGTTGGTCATCATCTAACGAAGCACTTGTATGGATGCGTTTAGAAGATGGGTAGTCATTTAATGCATCTGTTGCACTTCTTTTGTTACTATTATTTTCTTGCTTAACTAGATATTTATATCAGACATGTTAAAAAAATAATAATAATCATAAATAGATAAACTAATACAAACCTTCTGCCGCGCCCTTCTTATATGTAAACACGCCAAAATTCCAATGATCAATGGCAGTATCTGTATTCGTATTTTCGTAAACACATATGGAAAGCGGGACTTGTTGATGGATATTTTCGACCAAGGTATCCGAGAATCTGGGTACATGAGCTACCAATGTAATCCAGATCAAATTTGCATTATTTTGACTAGAGATAGGAGAGGCTGTAGGTGCTCGTTGTTGCTGTTGGTTGGTCTCGACTACTAACTGGCCAAAGACGATCTTCATCGGTCGAATTTCTTGATGAGGATCCGAAATGGCTTGCTCTAGAACAACAGATATAGTTGATTGGTCTGTACCCATATGTGGATCCCATTGAATCACCCTAGGTCTATTTAACGATGCGTCGTGACCCACTGGTGTGGATGACAAGTAGTCTTTAGCTGATTTTAAATATCCTACATATATATAAAAAAAAAGGGTTAACAAGTACAAAAAAAAAAAAAAAAATAACAAAAAAAAAAGCTTATTTTAATTTAGGTTGGTTGATATATAAACAAAGCATTTCCCCTTACCATTGTCTAGTGTAACACCATGATTGATATGGGCCGTGTTTTCCATCATGTAGACAACAAGAAGAAAGAAAGGGAAAAAAAGAGAGAGAAAGGTAACTTTGTTTAAACTTGACGGGATTAAACATATCTCTTTATTCGATAGTTTTGTATTATTCTACGAGCAAACAACGTACAGAATAAGCTTGTTTGCAACCTTATTTTATTTACAACGAACCCTTTTTCGATTATCGGGGCTAGCAGATTTTTAGTGAAAAAAAAGTATTTGTCTCTATTTAGGTTACTTATTGTTTAGACACTGTCTTTTTTCTTCTTTTTCTCTCACCAAGATATAGATAAATAATAATAACAATTAGAAAAAAAAAATACAGATACTATCTAAAAAAAAAAAAAAAAAAAAAAAAAAAAAAGTATATCTCCACATTATCGGAAAAAATCTGGCCTAATCGGAGCATTTAACATGTACAAACATATAATAAAATCCATGCTGACAGATTGAGCATGACATACACCCTGATTTCCCGTTGTACCATAATATATTGAAAGGGGGTTTTATGACAAATAATACAACTTTTTGACAAAAATAGTTTTTTGTTTATTTTTAGCGGTTCAAAAAAAGGGTTTTTTTTTTTTACATAAATGTGTTGTTTAATAATGCGGTTGAAAGAGAAATTATCGTTTAATGGGTGTGTACATATAAATTTGTTGTGTGGTATAATAAAAATGCATAAAAAAAAAAAAAAAAAAAAAAAAAAAAAAAAATAGAGAGAGAGAGAATAAATATGGCATATAAGAATTTTTTTTTTGGGTGTAGTCTTAAAAAAGGATCTGATCCACTTTCTATAGATCAGACGATACATGACCACTGGTCGATTTTGGGTTTGTTCAAGCATCCGTAGTTGTAATTATGCCTGTAGATAATCCAGAGATTTGGGTATTATGGTGGTGAAAAGCAGGTGGTGTAGATATCCATTTTTCAGGTACAACAGACGAACATGGTGATGCTAATTTTAAATCATCTTCATTACTATTATTATGATTAAATAAGAAATCAAATCCTCCACTGCTACTTTGAAGTACCCTAGCGCTAGCAGGTGACGACGACGATGTTTGCTGTTGTACAAAAGCGTCAGTATGCTGTTGCTGCTGCTGTTGTTGTTGTTGGGGATGCGGGTATATTGGCGTAGTAGGCGCGGTTGAGTGGTGCTGTAATATACTGTTATTATAATCTGCAGATGTCGCGGGGAAGTAATTGTTTGCATTATTAGTATCAATAAATGGTGTTGACTGTCTAATCCTCATCTGTTGCTGTTGATGATGATTATTTCGTAATGTGTTTTCTAAAAATTCTATGCGCGATTTCTGAACATCTATCAAATTGAATGCCTTATTGACTTCGCCAGTCAGCATCTTGTACATTCTGAAATAGCCTCTTCGCAGCTGCACGATTTGAGATCGGAGTTGCTCTTCGTCCTGCGTCATTGTTTGCTGCATCAAAAACAAATCATGCGGATCATTATTTATCTCATTATTATTACTATTGGAGAAATGACAATATTGAGGTGAAGAGGAAGATGAAGACGACGATTGCTGTTGTGCTACTTGCAAATACGCATCAGTCGAATTGGTGTGATTAAGGTCCATTTCTTGAGGACTTTCAAATATCATATGCAATTGTCGGGGCTTATACTCCGTTGTGATATTGTTGTTGTTACCATGATGATGATGTTGATGCAGGGTGATGGAAGAGGAGGCAGAGGAGGCAGACCTACGTCTCTCATCAAGGCTGCTACTGTGTGTATCTTCATCTTCTATAACATTATTTTCTGATTCATCATCCCCTGAGCCGATATTAAGGATTGTTTCTGGATCTTCTTCTTCAGTCTTTGGTCTCTTTCGGCGTGAATAACGGGGTGTTTTTCTGCGTATCAAATGAAATAAATCACGGCGACCTGGTCGAAAGTGCATATGGTGCCAACGACAGGTCTCTTTGTCTTTACTATCTTTGGATTTGCGAGCATCTGTATCTCTTTGGAAGCCGTATATCTAAATAATATATGAGTTTACATTGAACAAAAAAAAAGTAGTGTAGATTTTACATTTAATTGTCTAACAAATGATGCAAATTTACAGTGTTTGAATAATCTAGGCAAAACAATTTCTGTAAATTCTATACATGTCAATTTTGGGTTAGTTGTTTATATTAATGTACGATGATATGTATGGTTACTAACTTGGTATACAATCTATAATAAACATGTCTATTCCATTGTGTCTACACCAACGTGCGTATTTATGCCCATCGTCAGGTGCTTCTAAGCATCTATATTAAAGGAGTTAATATGTGTATGTGTGTTATTCGATACATGTATAAAAAAAATATAATGGGTAGGAGGTGTTGTATGTGTTAGGGGTTGTAGGGTGTGTAGATATATATAAAGTAGGAGTTATAAAGAGGAGGGAAAAAAAAAGATTACTTACTGATAAAGTTTGGATACAAAGCCAGCAATTCCACGTTCTGGTTGATTCAATTCCTCGTTATTATTACTGCCGCAATCCATAATCTCAGAAGGCGATAAAATATTATTATGCGTATTCCATTGTTGTTGTGGTCTGTTAAATATATCATCGGTGGGCGAAGACAATAATTGAAGTGTGTCCGGTGGCCTATGGAATTGATTGCTATTATAACCGAACGAATGCTGCTGCTGTTGTTGCTGCTGCTGCTGGTGATGGTGATGATGGTGAAAAGGTAATAATGATGTATCTACCGTTGTGTTACTATTATCATTATTGTAATGGTAATCCATTGTGAAGGGAAAAACAAGTAAATAATGAATATATATATATATATAGAAAAAAAAAAAAAAAAAAAAAAAAAAGGAAAAAGAAAAGATTGATTTTTTGTATAAAATTTTAGCTTTTTCAAAGTTTTATTCTCTATTTAAGCTTTTTTTTCGCGTTATTTTTCTACTCCTCATTTGCGTCACCTTTTTTTTTTTTTTTATTATTTCAACCCCTTTGTACACAAATATGTATAATTTTTATTATTATTGTTTATGAAATACCCATTTCGTCCATTACTCTTCTATATGTTTTTCCGTGTAATTTACTTGAATCGCTAACTAAATTGTAATTGCCTTTTCTGGATCTGTACTTATTCAAAATGACAGAAATCATATCCGAAACGTGATTAAACACATACTTTTCACACAATAAACTAACCGCCAAATTCATGGCCGCTAACATCAGTATAAACCATCTGAAGCCCATTGGTAAGTTCTCCAATTCCAAAAGCTCAGATACAAATTGTGGCGGCGCTAAAACACACCATGTCGTGAGCCCAATCAACATAGAAAGTGTCAAAACAAGTCGGCCGTTTGTCCATAATGGTTTACGGTAAGGAGGTCCTACACTAAACACCACAGCAATAAGCATGTACTGGTAACTAGAAATGAGAAACAGTACAGTGTTTTCTAGACACATGATATTTTCTCCATCTGGATCAAAGGTAGGTGCTTTGTACCTAATTCCCAAAAAAAAGTAAGGATCGGCATATGTATGTTTACAAGTATAAATATTGATATCTTACCATGATTGTTGATGCACAGCCCAATAAGAAATTAATTGAAAGCTTGAATTGATTATAATCTGTCCAATCAGAGATGTCAACACTTTTTTAGACACCAAGCTTGCTGTAGGTCTCTTTCTATATAACTGTGGCCAAGCCTCAGTATGCCCCACTAATTAAAAAAAAAGGGTATCAATAAATGCATCATGCATAAAAACAATTGCTACTCACTGTATACGGCGATGGGTAAGATCAAGAATAAATCGATATATAAGAATTGGAAATCCCCCAAGTTACTGCCAAATGCATACAATAAGGTGACAGAAGTAAATTGGATTAGACTGTAAAGTGCCATGTATTTAAAGCAACTAAAACTTGTCACTAACGCAGCTCTACCCTCCCTAAAAAAAAAAAAAAAAAAAAAAAAAAATTAGGTTTTGTTTGCCTTTTTTAAAAAATGACAAATACAAACGGCGCTCTTACTTTATCACATCAATTACACATTCAATATCCATTGTATTACTTGTGAATGGAGCAGCAACAGAAGCCTCTGCCTCAGAAAGAGAAATACCAATATCTCCTGCTTTCAATGCACCACAATCATTTGCACCATCACCACAAAATCCGACACAGTAACCAATACCTTGAAGTTCGACCACAAGTTCTTGCTTTTCATCAGGCGACATTCGGGCGTAGATGGCACCTTTGACGAGCATACGTCGAAGTGATTCGATGGGGGCGTGATCCACCATCCAGCGGAATGCTTCTCCTGTTATAGCAAGGTGATATTCTTGAAGACCATAAGGTGCATAGTTACCATTATTGTTTATTATACTACGGGGCTTTTTAAGGTGTTAAAAAAGGAGTTAAGACGCATGTAAATCTATATAAATAAAGTTTTTTTTTTTTTTTTTTTTTTTTACCTGTAATGTATCAGTAGATAATTCATCGCCTTCCTGCATAACACTTTCCCAACATAACTCAGAATCAGGATCTGTAGAAGACCCTTTCAGAAATCTTGGTATATAAATTTCAGCCGATTGATCGATCAACCCACATTCTCTAGCCACGCTAACAGCTGTAAGCACATTATCGCCTGTGACAAAAAGAAAAAAAGTAGTGTGAATAACATAATATTTTATCGTGACATTAAACGAAATTCTTATTTACCGGTACACATGATTTGTCTAATGTTTGCATTACGTAATGTAGTGATTGCAGATACAGTTCGAGGCTTTAATTTGTTTTCAAAAACAATAAATCCCAAAAATGTCAATCCCGTCTCGACTTCATTTCTAATAAGGAATGTTAATATTCCATTTAATAATATGTAAATAATCGTCGAAGATATGTATAACCTTTTCAACTTGTGAAGTTTATGCCATTTGACTCCTGCGAGTTGTCTAGAAGCACATGCAATAACACGATATCCACGATGTGTATACTTGTATAATCTTTCTTGATAATCCTCGGGCACTAGTGATTAATGCACATTAATGACTGTGTATTAATATTATGGGATTTTAGGGTCCTCTCTTACTTGATTCAGGTGTACATATGTCTTTCATCACCTCAGGCGCGCCTTTAACAAACACTTCCATTGTCGGACTAGCCAATTTTCGAACAATTACACTCATTCTTCTAAGGGATGACACGAATTCAAATGTGTGAATGATTCCAAATTCGATAGGTGGCGCTCCAGACGTTTTCTAGAAAAACGTATTTGTGTGAGCGGAAATATGTGATGCATTATAGCGGGTTAAAAAAATTACCATCGGGTGCTGTTCTTGCAGATTGATGTCCTGTCGAACTCCAGGTGGTCTTACCACAGTAGGCATAATACCAACCTTGGCACTCTTTTTAGCTTGCAATGCAGCCAATTCACTTCTAGGCTTCAAGCCATTCGAAGACGCTCCCCCACTCTCCTCCAATTCCCAACGTGTAAACTCAAACATTTTAAGGTCGAGAGGATCACCTAATAATTCTCCACTCACGATTTTCAAGGAGTGGCATGTAGTCATTGTTCGCAATATCCGAGCTTGAGTGGATTGGTTGTCATCATTGTATGGATCGACATTGGCAACGGATTTACATTCGTGGTCGAATAATTTTCTCCCGTCCTCTGTTGTCATCACTGCACGGATACCATGTATATCCAAACCATCTTCTGTCAGGGTGCCTGTTTTGTCAAAGCACATGCAATCGATTTTACCTCCAATATTAACTCGTGGTGGTGAAATACAAAATATACCCAACTTTTTCAATCGACTGATTGCAAAACTTGTGCCAATTGACAGGGTTGCTGGTAATGCAGGTGGTACGACGATAGTAATCAAATCTAGGGCACGAAGTATCATGGTTGTGGTATCAATTCCAAGTCGAATAAAATTGACTGACGATATTAAGAAACCAACGAATGCTTCAAAATGTAATATGTAGATAAATTAGCTTAAAAAACAATTAATAATCTTTTTCTTTTTTCCCTTGGGGTTCATACCTATGACAGATAGCACACCAATGAACCTGAACGAGTCTCTATAGAATTTAAAACTATTTGGTTTGGGAAACAACATACTTCTAACAAGTGCACCCTTAGCAGAGCTAAAACCTGTTCGAACAACAATGGCAGTGGCTGCCGAGACATTATCTCCTCCTCTTACTCGAACCATTTTGGTACCCATGAATAGAAAGTGCTTGGAAATCTCTGCTGGTATACCTGACGATGATAAGTTCATTTTGCGAAGTGTTAAATCATTAATAGGTGCCTTGGATACAGGAACAGACTCTCCTGTCAGCATAGATTCGTTCAATATGCAGTCTCCTGATACAAGCATAGCATCACACGGAACCGTGTGCACATTGGCAATATCAATTAGATCACCAGGAACTAATTCAACTGAACTAACGTTTCGCCCTAGTCAAGTATAAACTACTTAGTAAAAAAAAAGCATGCTGTCATGTAGCTTCTTACATGATCCGTTACGAAACACTCTCACTGAACATTCAAAAAATGACATGTCTTTCATTCTTTTCATTGTCTATTACGTAATCAAAGGTTATTTACATTTTTCATGTTACATGCTTTCTTTTTTTACCTCTTTTGTTTCGATTAATGTTGAAATAATGCTAAAGGCACTGATAATAAAGATACAGAACGCATAGTAATAATAATCATCCATACACCAAAGCAAAATACTACCAATTTGGAACACATAAAATGGATTCAAAACTTCATCTGTGAGTAATTTCGACGTTGGTTTTTCACGAATATTAATCAAATTGGGGCCAAATACGGCTAATCGAGAGAGATATTTTTCAGAGGACAATCCTAACTTGAAGTTCTTGGAACTATTCCATGATTGATCCTTCCAGAAGCTATATTTGGAATGAATAATACATAAGCCGCGCACAGTAAAATAAAAATAAACTCTTACCCGACAATAAGAAACTTGTGTAATATAGGATGGAATGCCAGACGGATATATCGATATTCCAGTAGCATTAACTGATTAACTTTTTGATCCATATCAAGTATATTCCGGGCTTCGTCAATGTTGTTGATGCTATATTGAAGTATTTCTTGCTTGACTTGATCGTAGGAAAAAATGCTACCGAGTGTTCCACCATACAATTCACGAAAAGGTCTAATAATTTCAATTTCATTGTATGGACTCTATAAAGTCATATGAGTAAAAAAAAAAAGATAAGAGATTTTTTTAATAATTACCGTAAATACAAGCCATTCAGCATTTTTCAATGGAACTTTTTCACCAACCCAAGATATATACCAGCGTGGTACCCATCTGCAGATCAACCACACTAAACCAAAGGATATAACTGAAAATAATCTATACAAAAACAAATTTGTACTAATGTACTTGTATCCTTGAATATGTATTTGGACATCCTCTTCTTCCAATATTAAGATTTGTTGGTCTTTTGTATCATGAGGGATTTCATTTAATCCACTAATTCTAATATCATCAGTGGTACTTGTTAAATGGTTGTTAATTGTAATATCATCATTATCGCTACTTTGAGAGTCACTATCGTCACTTTCATCTTCCTCAGATTCAAAGTCGCTTTGCTCTTCGTCACTGGTGTTAAGTTCAACATTAGTCTCCTCTTCTTCTTCCTCTGATTCGTTGGAAGAGGAACTTTCACTATTTCTTCTACGCCGTAAAGCGGTACGTAAAGGACCTCCGTGATGACGTGCATAGGAACCGGATACGCCAACTGCGTCATTACGGTATGAAGGTCTAGCTATTCCAGCATCAAGTGGATCTTCACCTTGTCCTAACGGGATCGGTGGTGTGTGAACAAGAGGCGCAGTTGAATCTCTTCTCGTAGGTATGCGTTTGCTTTTAGAGGTATCTAAGGTATCTACTAAAGAAGTACCATACACAGCACGTGTTCGGCTCGAAGGGTTCGTCGACATTCACTTTCTATTCTGTCTTGGAGAAAACGGTTGTACGTAAAATCAAGCAATTGACATAAATGAAGGTCAAAGAAGAAAAAAAAAATCATAATTCAAAAGCGACATGACGATCAAAACCGTGTCGGGGTTTGCATCGTCTTTTTGCAATATTGCTATTGGTCAATTAAGAAAAAATCATCCGCTGCCCTACATAATTTTAGTTGCCGTAGCCTTTCCCTCTTTCCCTAAATCAACGCTAAAATAAGCCCAATGCGTATAGTGTAACTTTTTTTTTAAAAAATCAAAATAAAAAAAGAGAGAATGTGTTTCTACCGAATTTATTGTTTAAAGATGGTTTTTACTACTGGTATCGCAAACCAGGAACAAAATAGTCATCCGTCGCAGACAGCTGACATAGTAACAAGACAACGGTAGGACAAGATTTCCACTTTCACATTATGTGATACGAGCAGATTTCATCTGGTTTTACTCATGCAACCACTTAAACATTTCAAGCATATTTCTCTACTGTAAGTAACACCCTAAATATATGTAGTTTAAGAATTCCCGCATGGTATATGCATCTCTTTTTAAAATTACAACAAAAGAGTATCCAATGGTCAAGAGTATAGATTCCGCCTCTCAGCTTTCATACCAGCTCTAGTGCAGTCTAATTCTCAAGTTGGAACTATGTGACGCAAACTCTTTTCCTCTGCCATACAATCTTCTTAGAAGTATATGATTTAATGATTTAAAATACTACACTTGTAACCTTTTTATCACTAATTATCTAAGCAATTTATGCCAATTGTGACAATTGGAAAGCCTTGGGCAAAAATACTGTACAAGCAGATTTCATCTGCTTTTTTATTATTACTATTACTAACTTAAGAGTACCAATCCAAAAACAATAGTACAAAACTGGCACCGATCAAGAATATCAACATAAACTTTCTGCTGCTCCTATTTCTCTCTCTTGCTGTCATCAGCTGCATATTACCTTGTCCAACTTTATCTGTTGTGGCAATGGCATCGGCATATAGCTTATCGGTTTGCACTGTTTGGACAGCCAGATGATTTGTTAACTGTGTTTGTAATGTCGAGATTTCGAGTAACGCCTTTTCTGCACTTTTGACTTGATTCAGCGTATTGTTCAAATCTTCCAGCATAATAGAATTTTCTTTTTCCAACATTTGCACTTGTTCTTGTGAAAGTTGCTGTTCAAACGGATTCTCTGGTTCTTGTTCGGGCTGGTAAGATTCGACTGTCGGCGGAACAAATGATTTGGTATCGTTAAACGTGGATTTTGAAAGCTGGTTTTCACTCTTTTCAATTTCACGCATAAGTCTTATTTCTTGTTGATCTTTTTGTATTTGTGATACTTTCATCAGCTGTTGATTCAATAGCCAAGTGATGCTACTACGATGGACAGACAGCACATCTTCGGTATTGGGTGGCAGCACTGCACTAAGAAATTGTGCTAATAAATGCGTTGGTTTGGCTGCTTCTTGCTGCTGCCTTAACTTTTCAGAAGTCTCTAATTCCTTTATTCTATCGATACAACGACGAATAATTAGCTTTGCTTGGAAATCGATTTCATCGCGTTCACGATCAGTCAAGTTATGAATGTTGCCTGCAAATAACGCAAACAAGGAATCACCATTACTTGCTTCGGGTGCTGTTAGTTCTGTTTTACGTACAGTGGTTCGAGATGACCGGTTATTCGTACTGAGATATGCGGGACGAATGGTCAAAAGGAAACGTTTGAGACTGTCGATATGTTGATATATACGATACGCCTCCTTGGTGAAAAGGTCGTAAGACTCGTCCGTGTTTTTTTCTCGACGTTTTGTGTTTGGCTTACGAGGTGTTGTGAGAGCTTTGGACTCGACTAGATGTCGAAATTCAAGTGTTATATTAGGCATCTTGGTTCAAAATGTTTTTAACAAAAATGCATCACTGGGAATCCATATACTGACACGTCACATTCGACCCGAAATTAACTCCGCCGTTTCATTCAAAAAATGGGTATTCGTAGCGAGGGGGAGTTGCATGAATTGAGGTCGCCAAAAAGCGCGGTCTTATCGACTTATTCTTAAAAGATCCCGTTTATTGATACAAGGAGGTCATTACATGAATTTATCATTTTTTAATAAACATTACCAAGTTTTAAACAGGTAGAAATTACACTCCTGCTTTCAATACTATGTATTATACAATAAATTCTTTACAGCAAACAAAACAAACATTCGACATAATATATCAAGAAACACAGAAAAAATAATTTGTGATGTACTCTGTCAACCCTTTTTTACTTTTGTTGAGTTTGGTAGAATAATACAAGTCAGAAAAATAAATATAGCATTAGGTAATCCTCCCTGAGATAGAAACAATTAAAATACGAGTTTAAAAACGCCATTTTCAGACATGTTGCATCAGCGATTTTTAAGTTACAGTGTAACGTGAGCGATATTGCTGCTTTAAAATGATAGGTAAATAAACCTGACAATGCAATTGCAAGCTACATTATTATACCCAAGTTGCGCCCTTTAATAGATCCTTTTTCTAAAGAGTAAATCTCATCAAGATATGACAAGTCAATTGGGGTTACACTGTCACTACCGAATAAAAAAAGCTTACAAATAACCCCACCACCCACGTTAAACAAAAAAAAAATATTGATTGATGGGCGCGGGTATTTAAATAGTAATTTGGCAAATATATCTTCACTTCTATCTCTCTCTTTCCAAACATAAAATCATGGGTCCATATCGCTTTGATCAATTAGAGCCTGAGCTTCAGACCATAGCTTTGGACGACTTTACATTTCAAAACTGGGCTAAGACATTTAACTGTAAACCTGAACTATTATTTACACCTACAAATGAATCACAAGTTCAAAAAGTAAAATCATTTTAACTCTATTTGTTATTTTTTTTAAACTTTTTTTTATCATTGTTATTTTAGGTTATCTTGTTAGCTAAAAGCTTAAATAAGCCTCTTAAAGCTTTTGGTAGTGGACACTCACCTTCTGACTTGGCATGCTCACCGGGCTTCATGATCAATATTGACAAGATGGACAGACTCTTGAGTGTTGATGTCAAAAAATGCACTGCTACCGTAGAGGCCGGAATGTCACTTCATAAGTTGCACAAGGTTTTGAGAGAGAATGGTCTTGCTCTTAGCAACTTAGGATCCATTTCCGATCAGTCCATTGCTGGTGTCATGGCTACTGCTACTCATGGTACAGGTGCTCATTTCGGATGTCTCCCAACCATGGTAAGCACGGAATAGTAACTTTCTTGACAGTGGCTACACGCACTAAATTGTTTTTTTTTCTCTGCATCACCGATTTAATTAGATTCTCGATTTGACATTGATTACTGCAGACGGTAGTGTTCTTTATTGTTCTCCTTCAGAAAATACAGAAATTTTTGAAGCAGCACGTTGCAGTTTAGGTGCATTGGGTATTATTACACGAATGACATTACAAGCCGAACCAGACTTTAGATTAGAAGCGATTCAGAAGCCATACAAGTTCTCAGATATTTTAAATGATTGGGATACCGTGATTCATTCAGCTGAACATGCACGTGTTTGGTGGTATCCTCATACTGATGATTGTGTTGTCTGGAGAGCAAACCGTACAACTAAGCCAGTGTTACGAGAAGGCCCAAGTTTTTTTATGGAGAATTGGTATGGTTTCCATGCCTATCAAGCCATGTTGAATGTCACACGATACAGCACCTATTTAATTCCTTACTTGACAAAAATGATGTTCAAAACTTTACACTCTGCACCTGTTCATGTGGTGGATGAATCAAACAAGGTTTTCAATTTTGATTGTCTCTTTCCTCAGTATGTAAACGAATGGGCTGTCGATTGGAATGAAGCACCTACTGTGCTCCGTAAATTGGATAAATTTATCAATGAAAACGACCTGAAGGTTCATTTCCCCGTCGAAATTCGATTTGTGGATGAAGATGATGTGTGGCTAAGTCCTGCTTACGGAAGAAAAACATGTTATATTGGTGTCATTATGTACAGACCCTATGGTAAACCAGTCCCATATAAAAAGTACTGGAAGGCGTATGAGGATATCATGCGTGAGCATAATGGCCGTCCCCATTGGGCTAAAGCTCATGGTCAAACTAGAAAGGACCTGGAGGCATCCTATGAGAAATTCGGTGATTATTTAAAAGTTCGTCAACAATTGGATCCTGAAGGCATGTTCTTAAATGACTATTTGAAGCGTCATGTTGTTGGTACCAAACAAGTTGCTAAACTTTAGCTTTATTTGTTAAATAAAATTTCGTTGTATTATTATTATTTTTATTATTAATTTCTATGATCTTCCTTTTCGGGTCTTTGGTTGGGGAAGCTACCTAAAACAATAACATCCAAGCAAAATTTATCAAGCTCCTTAAGTGCTTGCTTAACATCTTCGTTCTCAAGATGGCCAGAGCATTCAACAAAGAATACATAATGCCATGGACGCTGACCGCTAGGACGCGAATCAATCTTGAATAAGTTTAACCCAAAGTCTTTGAATACCTTCAATCCATCGCATAAAGCACCAGGTTGACGATGGTCAACAGTGAATGTAATGAGAGTATGGTCGTCACTCGTGGGTGAATCACTAGCAGCCCCAATAATGAGGAAACGAGTTGTGTTGGCTGCAAGGTCTTCAATATTAGCCTCAACTACTTCCAATCCATATAATTCAGCACAAATCTCACTACAAACAGCTGCTGCACCTGTTTCTAAAGCTGCCTTTTCTGCGGCTTCAGCAGTGGACTTGACAGAAATTCGTTTTGCGTTTGGGATATGTACCGACAGCCATTTTTGGGTTTGACCTAAACCTTGAGGATGACTATATACTTTAGTAATCTTATCCAGCTTACTGTTCGAAAGCAAACATTGGTGAACGGTCAAGTAGGTTTCGGCACGAACACGTACGCCAGTATGAATAAAATAATCCAATGTTTCTACAACAGATCCAAATGTTGAGTTCTCATAAGGAACAATACCATATGTTGTTTGACCTCTTTCAACAGCGACAAATACATCTATGCGTAAGGTTCTTTAATAATTATACCCAACCCGACCTTTTTTAGGACTTACCATCAATCTGCTTTTGAGGAACATATGCTACACTATCGCCTAAACGTTCATATGCAGCTTGATGTGAAAAGGTACCTGGGGGACCAAGGTATGCGATAGAGACATCCTTTTGTAAAGCAATTGAAGCTGACATAATCTTTTTTCATCACATAATAATTAGTCACTTATTCTCTGCTTGTTGCTGTCACTATTTACCTCTCTAAAAATAGCGTGTAATGAATCGTCGTTCAAAGGTCCAGGGTTGAGACGTGCCAACTATTAACAAGAGGTTTTAGACACTGACAAAGGTTCTGACACCTCTTTATTGTATATACCTTTTTATAAATCTCTTTTTCTCGTCCAGGTCTATACACTTGCACGTCGGCATCGGCCACGTCTTCTTCTTTACTATAACGGAGGGTGAATACACTGCACAACAGGAATTCTGACAAAAAACTTACATGTCTCTTTTTTTGGCAGCACCAATATCAAGAGAGACGCGAGCGCGTTCGTTTAAGATGCTGACAAGTGTGTGATCGAGAGAATCAATTTTTTGTCTAAGGGAAGGTAAATCGCTCATTGAGTAGTCGTGTTTGTGTAAAGCAAAAGTAGACGAACGAAAAACTGGCCCCTTTATATTAAAACCCCCCTTTCGCACATCAGGATGTAAGATTCATATATTTGAGGATGCGAACAAATCTCAGCCAATGAGGCATTATGATTCACAGCATAAATTCTTGTCAAAAACTACATTTCCCTGTCAAACAGCAGCGGTGTGCCATTTTGGTTGTTGGTGGAAGATGAATTAAGAGCCAATTTTGATAGCCGAAATTACAGGTGATGGGTCACGCATATGACGATTGTTAATTTTCTTTCAATAGCTTTTGTGGTTTCGTTCCAAGAGCCAGAGACAAGCTTTGAAGTGATCGGCGAGTGAAACGGGGATTAACCTTTTCTACATAGTCTTGACGTTTTGATTCGCTGACAATACGACTTCTTTAAACGTCTTGATAAAATCATCAATAGACTTAAAAACTCTCATGAAACTGTATATGAGTCTTTGTAATTTTGTGTTTGTTATAACTGCTTAATTTCCTTCTGCAAATCAGCATTTTTTTTTTTTTTGGCTGTTCCATTTTGTATTCAACAACCCTTGCCTATCCCGGAAAGATAATCTCGAAACAAGATACCTTCGTCCAGTATGGAATCATTTGTTAGTATCATGTTTCTTAGTTATCATAAGACCCTGCAATCTCTGAACAGGGCCGAGTTGGTTACAATGTTGGAACGGGATTCAAATTGAACAACAGCAAGGGAACGTCTATCTGAAATCACCGCCCAAAGCAACGACTTCGCCACAGGAGGAGTAGCTGTCAATAATTACTTGCAAAAGCCTATAACATACTCCAACATCGTCTTGTCATAATTAGAGCTTCATCACTAAATAATACGTTTAGCATATATACAGTCACACGCAAGTGAGTAGGGAAAAACATGATGATGATATAGTTCTCGATCAAATTTGAATGAATCAATGTCAAACTTTAAACTGTAATAGATAAACATAAGAGGCATACGAAAATAAAATATTTGGTGGGGCCCCCTAGAGCATCAATCACGGCCTGACATCGACTCGTCATACTTTCAACTAAACGATGGACAAGCGAAATATGTATTTGCTCTCATTCTTCCTCTATCACAGCTCTCAAATCTTTCACGTTCTTTACTTTGGATCTTCTTTCGGCAATCCGACGTTCTAAGGCCCACGAGAGATGCTCCATTGGGTTTAAGTCTGTACTTTAAGCAGACCAGTACTCAAACCCCACAATCTGATGGGTCTGTTTCCACCACCGTGCGTAGGCCCCAGTATGGCATGAAGCCCCGTCTTCTTGTAGGATGAAGTCTTTATCCTCCTTTTCTGGCAATTCCTTGAGCCAGGCATGGAACATATCAGCCAAAATATTTATATATTCCTCTTGATTTACCGTGCTATCAATTACGGTTAAAGGGCCGAATCAAAGCACCCCCATTTTATTTTTAGAAGTTAAACCCGACTCCTTAGGATGTGTGTTAGTTGAATTTGTTAATGTCATGGTGATCTTTATTTTGTAATTAAGAAGAGACATAGCGTTTTTAATAAAAGGTATGCATGAAAAATCGACAAAATTTGGCGTTTCCCGAACTCAATTTTGTGTGACTGAACGTAATCTTGTTTTTTATGAGATGGTGGATGATTTTTGTGTTAACGACGGACTCTCTCAAAAACTTTGATCTATCATGGTATGTCTTGACTTTATCACGAAACAGGAGGGAAATGTATGTGCTTGCCAAGTTTATTTCTAAGTCTTCGTGGTTGTGAACCAATAATATGTTTGTCACTTCCATATTGTTCAGCCTTTTTCTTGGTATAGCCATGACCATACACTGATCAATTCCTTAGACAACGATTCGAAAGTGACCTCCGAAAGATGCTGTGGTTACAGACTAAGCAGTTCAATGTGGTGTTTATACGGATCCCTAGATATGACGTAGCAGCACATAATCCATAAGACGACAATCAAAGCTCTTGTTAAATCCGGATGATATTCAGGGAACCACACCCCATACCGCACAAGCTTGATAGCATATATCGCACAAGTGCTTAGAATAACACCACTCGGTTAACCATGACCACACATTGACATTTCGCTTAGACACCGATTCGAATATGACTTCAAAAAGATGTTGTGGTTACCAGCTAAGCAGTTCAATGTGGTGTTTATACGGATCCCTAGATTTAACGTAGCAGCAGCACATAATCCATAAGACGACAATCAAAGCTCTTGTTAAATCCGGATGATATTCAGGGAACCACACCCCATACCGCACAAGCTTGATAGTATATATCGCACAAGTGCTTAGAATAACACCACTCGGTTAACCATGACCACACATTGACATTTCGCTTAGACACCGATTCGAATATGACTTCAAAAAGATGTTGTGGTTACCAGCTAAGCAGTTCAATGTGGTGTTTATACGGATCCCTAGATTTAACGTAGCAGCAGCAGCATAACCCATAAGACGACAATCAAAGCTCTTGTTAAATCCGGATGATATTCAGGGAACCACACCCCATACCGCACAAGCTTGATAGTATATATCGCACAAGTGCTTAGAATAACACCACTCGGTTAACCATGACCACACATTGACATTTCGCTTAGACACCGATTCAAATATGACTTCAAAAAGATGTTGTGGTTACCAGCTAAGCAGTTCAATGTGGTGTTTATACGGATCCCTAGATTTAACAAGGTCAAGAAAAGTTTAACAATTACAAATGGTTGAGGGACTAAAAAATAGAAAAAAATGTGACGTCGACTTATTCCGACTGCAAAGCTATCGTTTTGTACTACACAAAAATTTCTCTAGTAGCAGCACATGTCCTTCAAACAATGTCGTTACCAGAGTGTGCTTTGAAAGCAAGGTGTTGTATAAAAATGTTTTTTCAGTATTTCCTAAATTATCGACAAAGAAAGGGTACTTCTATCTGACATTGTCAGTGAGAAATTACCTTCGTAATATATCCTTGAAACAATCTCGTGGTAAATGACAAGTTGCTTTGATTAAAAACGACCATCCTCTTAGCTTTCGTAGACGACAACATGAATTACTAAATCATCAACATCATATCGACCGATTTCGTGATCATGCCAAATTCGTAGTATGCATAACAATAAATGCCATATCTTGCCCATTTAGGTCAATTTGACAACCTTGGGAGTCAAGATGATAACGTTGCATAAGCAATAATTTAAATGCCTTATTCAGATGTTAAATAACTAAAACGAGTTTTTTTTTTTGTATTGCATATGTCTATGGAATGCGATATACATGGTTTATTAACAATTTTTTTTTCGAATGGTTTATAGTTGTGTGTAATAATGTGAGATTGCGAATTTATATAAAAAAAATAGAGAGAATGAATAATTAAAAATGAAAGTTTTTTAAGCTTCAGAGGTAAGGGGTTGGAGGACATCGAAAGAACCGGTACCACCTTCGACGACACGACCGACGACAATACGTGATGAAGGAGAGTCTAAAGTATCATAATCACCGTGAAGAGTTGCTTCAGTCAAAAATTTACAAGTGGACTCGAAACTCATTTTGAGGAAAGGAGCGACGTTAGATCCAATACCGATACGGGAGAAAGGCTTGTATCCACCTTCGAAAGTCATGTAATCGGCAATCACGGTCAAATGACGACGATCAACCTTAATACCATAAACACCAAAGACGGCACCCACTTCCTTGATAATGGCGTTTCTGGCGGCTTCGACACCATATGTGTTTAAAATTGCACCAATGTCATTAGTATCAATATAGTTGACATCAATTAAATCAGCGAAAGGCCACATGCCTCTTAAGTTGACACCCTCGGTTTGAAGACGCTTAGAGGTATCGTTTTCTGTGGGGTTGACATACTCGAAACAGGTTTGGATACCCTTGATTTCATGAACGACAGTACGAGCACAAGACTCCTCGATTAAACCAACCAATAAGATCTTCTTGGTATTAGAGGGGAAGACCAAATCGATTTGACACCAAGAACCATTGTTATCATCAAAGACAAAGTTCTTACAGTATTTGCTTCTATCGACAGCGTTTTGTTCAACAGTTCCACTTCTGGTAGAGACTCTCTTAGGAGCATCCTCGTCATCATCCTCACCAGCCAAAACAGATTCTTCGAATTCAGCTTCTTCGTCCTCCAAAGATTTATCGACCTCATCAGCAACAACTTCCTCATCATCTTCTTCATAAGTAGCTTGTTGTTTATTTTGAGCAGATGTACGAGCAGCCTTGGCATCACCATCATTGGCAGCGTCAGAATCATAACCGTCCTTGGCAGCGGCGTCACCAAGGTTCTCGTTAGCATCATCATCCATCACTTCAGAAATCTTGTGACCCTTTCCAATATCCTCGACCTTCTTGGTGTCCTTGATATCCTTACGAATCAATTCTTCCAAATCCTTCAAGAAAGTAGTAGCTAAAACCTCCTTGACTCTCTTGGCAGAAACACGATATTCTTCATTGTACTCGTCCTCATTGAAGAGATTGAGACGGATAGAGTAAGTCTTAGATCTCAAATAGTTGGTTTCAGCGCTCTTGGCGGTGATCTTTTCATTGACAGAAACATCATCGACAAGTTGAGCTAAAGTCAATTTACCAGCAGACTTACAGAATTGAGAAGCCTTTTTGGCGCTGGTTTCAGCACGAAGAGGTAACAACATGGTAGGTGTCTTAATCTTCTTGGCAGCAGTCATAATAATTTCACGAAGACGAGGGATACCCAATGTGACGTTAGCAGCACCATAACCAGCAAAATGGAAAGTGTTCAATGTCATTTGAGTAGAAGGTTCACCCACAGATTGAGCAGCCAAGAGACCAACAGCCTCACCAGCTTCAACCAAACTATGGAGATATTTAAGGTTCATTAAAGCCTTGAACTTGCTCTTGGTCAAACCAGCGTAACGAGCAGTGTTCTTGGGAACTTCACCGTCCTTTTCGAAAGGCATGTCATCAGGGTTCTTTTCCATGTATTCCTTCATGGCGATTGCGAAACGCTCGGAAACAACACCAAGATGAGTACCAGGGTTATAAACAGATAATGCAGGATCATACTTGTTGGGCTTCTTCAAGGCCTTCTTGGCGTAATCTTCACCCTTCTTGGTCTCGAGGGATTCTAAAGCAGCCTTGGGGTTATATTTTTGAGAAAGGGCTTCAAAGTTATGGGCAGAGAAACTGAATTGGTTAATATGCTTAGCCTTGATAACATCCAAGGAATCTTCACCATAATGGAATTGTAAAACGGAACCATCGGAATCACGAACAGTGTGATCATAATGGACACGCAAACCTTCAAGATGTTTAATCAAACAACGTTGCAAGTAACCAGAACGAGATGTCTTGACAGCGGTATCAATCAAACCTTCACGACCAGCCATACAATGGAAATAGTATTCTTGGGGACGAATACCAGTCAAGAAACGACCGGTAATGAAACCACCAGCACGAGCAGAGGTATCGAAGGGACGGAAAGAAGGCAAAGATCTACCTGAAACCATCAAAGGTACACGACGACCTTCCAACTCTTGTTGACCCAATAAACATGAAATTTGGTTAGCATTGACGTTGGAACCCTTGGCACCGGAAACAGTCATCATTTGCATGTCATTCTTGGGGAAAGGACGAACAAGACCATTAGGCAAACAAGTAGAGTTAATAGCAGAAGTCAATTTGTTGACCTTGGCCTTCATGGCATTATCCAAACCAGCAAGCTTGTTATCATCACGAATGACTTCATTCATACGAAGGCTGAATTCCTTAGCCAAATCATCCTTAGTGGCAGTCTTGGCAGTTTCAGCTAAACCGAGGAACTCCAAATGGGCTTCAGTACCTAATTCGGTACCACCGTTAAGCAAATCACGACGCCATTTGTTACCCTCCTTGGTCAAAATCAAATCATCCATACGACAAGTGAAACCATGATGTTGGATAAATTTGATGAAAAGACGACATAAAATACTCAAAAGCATACCAGCAGATTCAGGGCCGTAAATTTCATAAACGTTGTGAACCAAACCGAAAGATGAAGCACCGAATTGAGATTTATCTAAAATACCGTGCATCAAATCACCTTCAACAAAAAGAACCTTTCCTTCGTCTTCGGCGTTGGGACCCCAGTAATGATGGGGAACCTTGGACTTGGAAGTCATGTTGAGTTGAGCTTTACCCCAAGTCAAATTCTTGAGAATGGTAGAAACAACTTGCTTACCAGTCCACAGAGGTTGAGGCTTGAAAATAGTAGGAGGCAAAGTTCGGATCTTACCGCCACCAGTGTTATCGATTTCGGGGCGAAGAGAACCGTATAAAAGTTGATGATATTCATCCTTAGTGAAGAAGGTATCACGAGCAGTCATCCATACACCGGAATCAACACTATCTTGAATAAGACCACGAAGAGGATCACCAGAGGTAGGGACCAAGTATTGGTTGTCGGTGTTGGCAATCAAAGCAGCTTCAGCACGAGCAATTTCGTTTTGAGGGAAATGGATATTCATCTCATCACCATCGAAATCAGCGTTATAGGTGTTACAGTTTGCATAATGCATACGAATGGTCTTTTCTCCGGGTAAAATACGAGCTTTATGAGCCATAATGGAAGGCTTATGAAGAGTAGGTTGACGATTCAATAAGAGCATATCACCATTACGGAGATGTCTCAAGACCTTCTTGTTAATAGTTTGTGTACGGGTGGGGTAAGGGTTGTTACCGGTTTGAGCAGTGTGAGAAGATTGAGGAGCTAAAAGAGAGTTAGCAAGAGCAATACGGGACTCAATACTGAGATCAGCCAAAACATCAATCGATTGATCTTCGTTTTGAACATGAGTGGCACCGGGCCACTTGTTGGGACCGTTAATAACAGCTTGTCTCATTTCCTTGATGTTATGAGCAGTGACAGGTTCAGGATAGGTCAACTTGGTAGCAAAGACGGGAGGAATACCGATTTCAGAAGTTTCAATGAATGGATCAGGAGAAATAACGGAACGAGCAGCGTAATTGACACGCTTACCCATCATATGCTTTCTGAATAAACCTTCCTTCTTTTCCAAGGCTTGACGGATACCAGGAGGTACAGTCTTACCTTGGGCAACTTGTGTGGGATTTTTAGTAGAATCGATGAAGGAGTTGACAGCATGTTGAAGGTTGATGATAGATTCAACAAACATATTACGGGTACGATCAACCTTTGTCTTATCGACACCTTCTTCGATTTCGATCTTTTGAAGTTCCTCGGAGAAGTCACGAACACTATGACTACCCTTCAAGATGGCAGATAAAAGTTCATTTTGAGGGGATTCAAAGATCTTATCACCCATAACAGAAGGAGGACGGAAACGGGTGGGGGCAACAGCAAGTGTTTCAACAAAGAACATATGATAAGAAGCCTTCTTGATGAAAGAAGGGGTGCGAGGATCACGAGCACCATAAAGCAAAGTAGTAGCCTCGCCTTCCTTTTCAAACAATTCACGGATATGATCACGGACTTCATAAGGAGTCATGTAACGTTGACCACCTGAATTGAAACCCTTAATTTCATTCACAGTGCCAATATTATCTCTCATACGATCCATTTGAGCTTGTTCCTTCTTTGAAAGAGCAAGTTGAAATAACTTTGCAGCACCATCGCGACGCACAGGAGGAGAAATGCCTTGACAGTTCATACATTTCTTGGTGTGGACACATAATTTCATGAATTCACCCATCACTTTTTTACGTACATCATTAATGACAGTGACCTTATAATCCTTTGCAGCGTATTTACGGCTTTCTTCATCGGCCAAAGAAGTCTTTACAAAATTGTCGATATATTCAATATATTCCTCTGCACTGGCTAAAATAAGACTGGTCTCTTCCATCTTATCCTCCAAGTTCTCTTCGTCCTTCTTGCCACCTTTTTTGCCGTTGAAATAGACTTCATCCAATGCTTGCGATTCACGAATCAAACCGTGTTGTAACAATTTCATTTGTGCTGTAAGTTTCTTCATCTGTAATTTTTAAGGAAAATCACTGTTATTTATATTGTTGTGATATATCCATGATGCAAAAATAAAAATAATTATTACCACAGCTCTGGAAATACGGAAATGGTGACAGTAGACACACTTGGAACGTAAGATAGCATAAAGGTTGTCAAAAAACATGGGGTTGTAAGCAGGAATAGGAACCTCAATATGACCGAAATGACCTGGACAGTTGAAATGGTTTTGAGAACATGTTGCACAACTACGAATAAATGATAGAGTAAGTACAATTCTTCTCGTGTATATGTCAAGGCAATTTACATTTGGGACTTTTGGTAGGGACCAAGTGCGGGATCATAAAGACCGCCTTTGGTAGGGTGACCTAAAGTGTCAAAAAGAACAGGATTCACAACTTGTTTGACGGAAATCTTTCTAATTTCACTAGGCTCATAAAATGAGAAAGAGACAGAGTCAACCTCTGTACCAATAGGAACCGAAATGTTCATATTAGAATAAAGGTCAGTAAATTCAAAGACTAGAGTGTGAAGAAAAAAAAAAGTTGTTTTTTGTCTTTCTTTGAATGACAGTTTATTCAACTCAGTTTCAAAAAAAAAGATAGACAGTCATTTTTTAAAAGCCACTTTGTGGCTCCATACAAAATGTAACATTAAGGGTGCTCACGGACATTTTGAGTCATATCCAGAAAACAATTCTGCTGAAACGTGCACAAAGGTGTCCGACATTTCAGTTTTTATAATAAATTAAATTTGAATAAAAAAAAAAAAAAAAAAAAGAAAAAAAAATGATATCATTGAAGTCAGCGCATGAACAAACAAGCGAACCGGCAGATATTTACATTTCATACGTTTTATAGAAACGCTAGTGAAAAGAAACTACATCATAATTTAATAATAGATAGGCTAAATGAAGTCGCGCAAGTTCGGGTTGTTAATTAGACCTGTGAGATCATGCAAACTCACACAAAAAAAAGAGACCTATAAATAACGCTTGCTTTTACCCCTTTTCTTCCTTACCTCTTTCTATATCTAATCTAATGTCTGAAACTAAAGCTATCCCTCTCTACTCCACAAATTACTTTTTAGCATGCACTGTTGGTGGTGTTCTTGCTTGCGGGTATGATGATAATTTTCATTTTAATTATTCTTATCACAATGCGTCATTCTAAATTTATATCTCTTTAGTCCAACTCATTCTCTCGTGACACCATTGGATTTGGTCAAATGCCGTTCTCAGGTAAACAAAGGATTATGATTGTGTATGTGAGTGTTTACTGAATATGTGTGTACAGGTACAACCTGGATTATATAAGGGTGTATTTGACGGTTGGAAGACCATTACTAAGGCAGAAGGTTTCCGTGGCGTATTTACCGGTATTGGACCTACTGCTATTGGCTACTCTCTTCAAGGAGCAGGAAAATACGGTCTCTACGAGGTCTTCAAGTACAAATATGCCAACTTGGTAGGTGAGGATGTAGCACACAACCACCGTACCATTCTTTATCTTGGTGCATCTGCCTCCGCCGAACTGTTTGCTGATGTATTGCTCTGCCCTATGGAAGCTCTCAAAGTAAGAATGCAGACTTCTATTCCTCCCTTTGCAAAGACAACTGGCGAAGGTTTTAAGAAGATTATGGCAACGGAAGGCATCAACGGTTTTTATAAGGGTTTAGTACCTCTTTGGTGTCGTCAGGTAAAGATGATGCTGGAATAAGACTGCTGGAAGTTTTTCTAATAATCGTAAAAATAGGTCCCATACACCATGGTAAAGTTTGCGTCATTTGAAAAGACAGTCGAGATACTTTACAAGACATTTATGCCTAAACCTAAAAGTGAGTACAACAAGGTCCAACAGTTGGGTGTTAGTTTTGCTGGTGGTTATATTGCTGGTGTGTTCTGTGCCGTTGTATCACATCCTGCTGATGTTCTGGTGTCTAAATTAAACAACCAAAAGAAGGCTGTTGCTGGTGAACATCAAGCTTCCGCCATGGAAGTTATCAAAAAGTTGGGTTTGCGTGGTCTTTGGACTGGTTTAGGTCCTCGTATTTTCATGATTGGTACTTTGACTGCACTCCAATGGTTGGTTTATGATTCATTCAAGGTAGCAGTTGGTCTTCCTACCAGCGGTGCTGCTGACCCAGCCCCTGCTGAAGAGAAAGTTAAGATCGAATAACTTTTCGATATGTAACTGAAATATACCTCTACAATATTTAAATAAAAATGAAATAAAAAACTTGATTTTTAAATCGTTTCGCACATGAAGTCTTTTCTGTTTAGATTGCTTTAACCAATATCCTTACACTTCTTGATACAGCAAAAATTATCGTACGTTTAAACGAAGCTTATCCCAGAGTTGGTCTCGAAATAAATGTAATCTTTTTTTCAGAAAATGTTTCTTATATACAACTCCGCACATAAAATATTCGACACTTCCGTTTTGAGCCAAAAAAATAAATAAACCTACTCTTTCTTCGTTCAACGATTCTTTCATATTTTATTACACAATTTATCATGCCACTTACTGACATTACTAACAAAGTCTCTAGAAAAAGCAAGGAACTTTCAGATTTCGATCGTGGAGTCATTTGCGGTTTGGCAGAGCATGCCAAATGGACAGGTACCCAAATCAGCAAAGAATTGGGCGTTCCTAGAACAACCGTTGTTACGATTATAAAAAAGTATCGAACTGAAGGGATCACGACTGTCCAACCTCGTCCAGGAAGACCAGCAAAGCTGACAGCAAGAGCTGAGCATCACCTGACGCTTTTAGTTCGAAGGGACTCCTTTGAACCTTTAAGTGTTCATATGCAAAATCTTGCGAAGGCTACCGATCCAATCAGCCTGACGACATTGAGGAATGCACTTCGCAAAAACGGTTTTTATTCTTGCAGACCTTCCAAAAAACCGTTTTTGAGTCTTAGACATAAAAAAACGCGAAGAGAATGGGTCGACGACAAGATGAATTGGACATTAGATGACTGGAAGAAGGTAATCTGGTCCGATGAGTCGCGATTCGCACTCAGGCACAACGACGGTGGTGTGAGAGTTATTAGAAAGAAGGGTGAAAGGTATATGGATAGATTTGTTTTACCAACATTTAAATTTGGTAAGGGATCAGTGATGGTATGGGGATGTTTTTGGGCAGGCGGTTTGGGCCCTTTGGTGACACTAAAAGGGTCTGTCGATCAAGAAAAATATGTCAATTGTTTAAGTCAAAACTTTCTCCCTTGGCTTGAACAATTGACAGAGAAATATGGTCATGACTTTATTTTCCAAGAAGACGGTGCCCCATGCCATACAGGAGGATATACGAGGTGGTGGAAAGAGAAGGCTGGGATTGCAGGCTTTGAGCGATGGCCCGCTCAAAGTCCCGATTTGAATCCGATTGAGAACCTTTGGCGCCTCCTGGGACAAAGGATTGCTAAAAGAAGAGCCCAGCTTCAAAATCTTAATGAATTGGAGGTTGCACTTCATCAGGAATGGAAGTTGTTGGGGGATGAAGTGTGTCATAAGCTTGTAGAAAGTATGCCCGATAGATGCCGGGCAGTAAAAAAAGCTCGTGGCTCAAATACCACTTATTAACGTAAATAAAAAAGTTTCTTTTTACAAAATATATATATATATTGCTATTTTGTCAAGTTTGGTAGAATTTGAGATACCTTTTATTAACAAGTTTTTGGTTTTAAAAAAATGCATGACTAAAGGAACTCAAATTTTTGTGAAAAGTGTCGAATATTTTCGGTGCGGAGTTGTATATCATGCGAAATTCGTGAAAGAGAATTTCCCCAAGTTAAAGTATACCATGCTGCTTACTTATAAAATTGTCTTTGCTCTTCTTCCATTGTAGAGGAGGGTGTAGTAGCTAACTAACGTTGGAAGGAGCTATGAAATATTGATATATATTCAATTAAAAGTTGTTACCTCAAGAACACACACTCTGTCATGATTGAGACAACCACACCGACGAAGTGTCTCTTTGGTTATAGCTTAGCACCATTCGGCTTTCCGGATAGTCTTTTTGCCCAAGAAGTAAGTTCTATAACACTATATGCTGATGCCGTCTATATATGGAATATAAGGAGGCGCCAACTCGCCTGTTTATATTATCTGTAATAAAAAAAAAAGATGGCTTTTCTTGTTTGTATGATTTAACAAAAGCGATTAATTTTTCTTTCCCCTCTTTTTTTTTTTCTCTTTCTCTTTCTCATAAAAAATGGGATATATCTGTACAATTTGTACTGATTTTATAGAGATACCAGGAGAGAAACCAGTCTCTACGTCTTGTGGACATACTTTTCATGACAAGTGGTACGTAAAATAACATGAAACAAAAAGTCCTGTTTCACTCACCGCGCGAACTTTCTTGTTTTCTAGTATAAGGGAATGGTTAGGAAGCGCTTTAAAGTGTCCTTTATGCAACAGACATACCACAGTGAACAACATTCACTCTCTTTACTTGTCGAGCGAAAACAACCAGTCAACCGCGAACAGATCACGTCTACAAAACAATTTGAAATCCGCTGCCATTAACCTAAGACAAGCAAAAGAAGAATTAGTAAAAGCCAAAGAAACCTTGAAGGCTGCTGAGCTAAAGGCTAGCGATGCCCTTGCCGTTAACAGGTACTTGGAGTCTGAAAATAACCGAAAGGCGCCATTTGAGCACCAGCTGAAATATGTGAAAGAGTAAAAAAAAAAAAAAAAAGTTACTGGCAACATTTTCCTAAACTAATGACGTGCTTTAGAGAATGCGAAAAGTTAAAATCCGAGAAAGTGGCTTTGGAAAGAACAAAATATAGCTTGGCTGTGAGTATTACTGAGAAAAATGCAATTATTTCGCAAAAAGACAAATCGATTGAAGCATTGGAAGCTCAAATAAGAAAACAAAAGTCGTTTGTATCATGTTAAGCAGTAGTTTGTAGATTTGCTAACTGAGATTCTGTGTCAACTAGTGAAATAGCTCAACACCAAAGTGTAATAAATAGTAAGGAATCTCTTCACCAACACGCTCTAAATAGACAAGCATGTCTTCATCGGAACTCATTTGATATACAAGATGATCTATATCAGGAAATATTGAAAGACAAGGAATATAGAATTGCTTTGCTTCAGAGGTAAATGTAGCATAATACTAATTTTTAAGTGACTTCACTCACGGATAAAAAAAGGGAGAGAGATGTAGTTGTTGAAAAAATTGCTGTGGACTATTATGATATGAAAGAGATTCAGAATGATATAAAAGACTTAACAAGCATCAATCCTGATTTTACTGTGGGTCAAGTCTTACAAGAAACGCATCAAGCCAACAGAAAAACAGATTTTTTCTCATTTCTTTACGAATAAATTCTCACATGATGTTTAAGTGGCGCCATCTAGTGATTTGCGCATAAATTAATAGAGTAACACAAAAGATCACACCTGAGCGACACAAGATAGATCTAAGCCGCTCTGTTATTCTGAATTAATGTCTTTATAAGATCTTGTTTTTGCTTCATCCTTCTTTTGCATCTATTACTGTGCAATAAAATATGAGTAGTAACTGTCCGGTATGCAACCATTCTGTAGGTTCTGATGATGAACGTGTTTCGCTTCATTGCGGTCATATTTTTCACAATAATTGGTATACACTCATATTTTAATCGCTGCTCAACTAGATAGCTACTAATTAGTCGTATTATAGTTTTGGAAATGACTACATGAATACATTAACAGGATGCAACGAGTGTATCACTCAAAATTGGAAAGTATATAAGAATATGAGGAGCCATACTCCTATGGTACATAGCAGATCAGACACCAATCTTCAAGCTCTTGGAAACCTCCACCTTAAGCAAGATAACAGAGAAGTCATTCAAGTATTGGAATCAGCAAACCGACAGTTCATGAGTGACATCAGAGTTTACAAGAACATGGCAAATGATTCGCGTAACTTGGCAGCTAAAGAGGCTATAAAACTCGAAAATTTGAATAAAAAATACGAAAGTCTTCAAAGGTAAAAATACTATTATATACTACAGGCAAATAATAATAAAAACGGCTATTATAAGGGAGCATTCGGATACAAAAAGAAGAGAAGAAGAAGAGCGGGCCCGTGTCAAGAGAAGAGACAACAGCATTAGAACAAAAGAGAGGTTAGTGGCTTTTGTCCAAATCGTTGCCACATTCTTTTATTAACAAAAAAAAATATAGGGAGCTGATTCTTTTAAAGGAAAAGAATGCTACCTTGAATAATCAGTGTATTGCTCACCAAGCGAAGATTGTTACCTTAGGTCGTGAGATTCAAAGGCTAACTAAAAAATCGGCTGTAGCTAAATTCTTTGGCCATTTGGGATTCTCGGGTCGGGGTCAATAACGAAAGTACGCTGATGCCAAACCTTTTTAAATATTTACTAGTTATCCAAATCTTAATATCTCTTTATTATAATAAATTGTATTTTTTAAGTTTTGATTTGATGAACAATCAAATTATAATTATAAAACGCCACAGTGACACAATCTCTCACGCGACGTTTGAAAGCCGCTTCCCGAAATTCTTATTGTTTTTTTTTATCTTCATTTCTTTAAACATGGAATACATTTGTTCCATATGTACCAATGCACTAGACGTGATAACCGAAACACCTGCTTTCCTTCCTTGCGGGCACACATTCCATAAATCTTGGTAATGTCAGTTACTTTTTTACCGTGCATAATTACTTAATCTTGTCTTAGTGCCAGAACATGGATTGAAATGGCGAGAAAATGTCCGTTCTGCCAAAAGAGTACAGAAAAAAGTGACGTCCGGTCTTTGTTCTTGTCGGGAGAGCCAGCTACAAACTGTGGTTTCGATTTGAAGAATATTATCCTTCATACCAAATTGAAACTCCAGGAGGCCGAAGAAGATATAAAACAATACAAAGAAGAAAATAGATATTTGGGGGCAATTGTTGATGTTTACAAAATAGTGGCAACTAGATTGACAAAAGAAGAAAAACTACAAGGGTAATATATCAACTGTATGTATTTATCACAAATTGATGCTAAAAGGAACGGAATAGGAGACACAGTGAAGTTAGAAAAAAGCTGGAATTGGAATTGGAGACGTCTCAAAAGAAAAATGTAAAGCAGGCAGAACTCATTAAAATATTGCATCATCAAGTGGGCACAGCACAGAAAAAAGAACGCGAACTATTGACCTTTGTCAACGAGTTAACCAGTTATAAATCGTTTGTATTGAGCACTTTCGTTGTTCAGCACATCATTATAGCTACTTGCATAGGAATGCAGTTACTCCCTCTATTGGTCGATAATTTTAGAAAGCAATTTATTAAACAAATCTTTAATATTGTGCGATGACAAATAAACTTTTTTTCTGCGTAAAAGAAGACAAGTTCAAATCTTCTACTGCAGTATGTACTTCTCCCGTGAGTAATGTTTGCCTGGAATATAAATACTGGATCAAGCTGAAAGGTAGCTTGTCTCTAGAAATAAATACTGTGTAGACTTTTGAGTATGAAATAAAACAGTGAAAAGTGAGAACATCCGTATACCACCAAAATTAAAAGAGTTCATGCAAAAAAGTTACAGCATTTACTGCCGACGTTTTGTACGACAGCAATCCGGTAATTTAGACCCAGCTGGTCATTAATATTTGTATTAATTTGTTCAAGAAAGCCTTGCCGAGTTTCCAGTAGTGGCAAAACGCATGTATTTACATTTCAAAAGATATAGCGTAAATAAAATGCCCAAATAAGACGTTGTGTATAATTGTACATGTACCCCAACCTCTACTTTCATTCCGGAACCTCGTACAGAGTATTGTTACACTGTTTTCAGCAAATGATCAAAAGATGATCCAAATTGAATGAGTTCCTTTCTTTTTTTTCTTTTTTTTTTCATATTTACTTTTTAAAAAATAATCATAAAAAAATTATGGATAGAATATGTTCAGTATGCCATCTTTACATAAATACAGCTAAGGAGAGACCTATTGTTCCTCTTTGCGACCATGCTTTCCACAAAAAATGGTAGATATTTATACCTAATTAACTGGTTGACTAACCGCTTATTTTTTTATACTGTAGTTTTGGGACCAAACTTATTGATTTGTCAAGAGAATGTAGTATATGCGATAATGAAAACAGGAAAAGATATATGCAAACCTCTCCCTTCATTGTCCGACAGAATAGGTCTACATCGGATCTTCATGATCTAGAGAAAGTAGAAGAAGATTTGAAAACGTCGAAATTGGCTAACCGGCAGTTAATGAGAGACATTGAAACTTCTAAAAATGAGGCCGAAAAAGCGAAAGTAGTTTCTCAAAACTTTCAAGTTGATATTTACAAATTGACTACTCGTTTGACAAATACTGAAAAGTACAATCAACATATTCACTGAAGATTTTAAATACTAACTTCATAGACGTACTGTAGGGAACTCAAAGATACGCACACAAATCTCAATCAACAAATTAAATCAGCAAAACTACGTGAGAATGAATTATTGGCAACATTGAAACAAAAGGAGAACGAACTAGAGGATCGTATCAAAAGAAGGGATGACACAATTGAATATCTAAATAGGTTCGTGACATTGTTATATGTGGGTTCCACTTTATGTTTTCTAACTATTCATTATTTATAGCACATTGCGTGCCAGAGATAAGTAAGTATACTAAACCATGCTATTTAAAATAGAAAATAATGTTTCCATAGCGATATAACTATAGCTTATGCGAAAAATAATGAAAATATCTCGCAGTTAGCATTTTCAAATCAGAGAATCTTGACCGATGAGCGCTCGTCCAGAAAACTCAAAGAAAGCTTAGATTTGATGACGCAGGAAAGAGATCAATTAAAAGCAGATAACAATATGCTGACTGCTCAAGTCCAAGAACTAAACAACAGACCATTCTGGGCTAAGTCTGGAATTCTAAGCGGAAAAAAATGAAAGGGGAGAGTTTTACATGCTAGTTAAAACAATAATTTGTCCATGACAATCTACTTTCTGATTCTTTTACTATAATGGGAACTGTAATAAATTAATAATATCTTGAGATGGTGACTAAATCTTACCTTCGCGAAATGTTGCAAGCAGGCAATCAAACTAAAAAAAATTACTGGGTTGATTAGTTCTTTCTACCTGACATGACTAGTATTTTGTGTCTAAAAATTAATTTTATCCAAATACTGACTCACATTTATCCAGTAATTTTGATAGGATTCTGATGATGATGTGTTCAACAGTTTTAATAAAACCAAATACTCAAATTAGTACTACAATCCCCACGCACATGATGTCACTTACATGGTTCCAAAGCTTTATAAAAATAGTTGGGGTTCATCAGGCAACGAAAATACCATATCATTACCTCCGATAAGGTTACATAAAAGCTTGATGAGTTTGCATTTTGTTATTGTTTGTATATTATGAATCATAACTTTTTTAATTGGATAAACTTGATAAACGCCACAGTAACGCCTTTTACCACCAAATTATAAAAAGGCTTGGGGTAACTTTCATTTTTTTATTCTGTTCTTCATATTTTTTATATCTTTTTTTTTATATATATATAAACACAAAAAATATGGTCTACATTTGTTCTATTTGCACAGATTCATTGGATTCACCCGATCAATATCCTGTGACTCTTCCTTGCAGGCACATATTTCATAATGACTGGTAATATGCCCAAACACCATACACAATTTTTAAAAAGTTCTAAATCTTTTTACAGTGTTGGAGCTTGGATTGAACAGCAAAAGAAGTGCCCTTTCTGTAAAATGCACACAAAAACAGAAGACATCAAGACTCTATACTTCTCTAGCGAAGAAGATGGTCCACGCAATGATTCTGACTGGAAGAACGCTGCTGCCAAATATAGGGTATATTTTAAGAAGGCTGCCGAAGACTTGAAGATAAGCAGAGCAGCCAATATTTACTTGGAGAGAAGAATTGATGCGTATAAGAAGATTGCAAGGGATTTAGTGAAAGAAGAAGAACTTCAATGGTAAGTGTTACTAAAAAAAATAATAACACTTTTAGTACAGACATAATTTACTAAAAAAAATGACGGCGATCAGGAGACTAAGTGACAATAAAAAAAGATTGGAGCTCGAATTGGAAACCGCTCAAAAGAAAATTATACAACAGGAAGAACTTATAAAACAGCTGGATCGTGACCTTGTTAACAGTGCAAAAAATCTCAGCTATCAAGTCGAAACAGCCAAAGAAAAGGAAAATGAACTGAAAAGAAAGGACAGTGAGATGTGGGACAAGTACCTATTTAAGGAAGCAGAGCTCAGCAGTTGCAAATCGTTTGTATCAAGTTCCCCATTTACCTGTTTGCCTCTTTTTAATTTAGCTATTTCTTACAGGGATCTGGCGAGACAGACCGAAAATCTAAGAAAACAATTATCATTTTTTACAGACCATCATGTACAATGCATAAATAGTGCAATTGTAAGTGGCAATAATTATGGTAATATAACCTGTGAATGTAACTTTACCAAAAAATAGCCTCTAAAAATATTCTCTATTTATTTTTTAACGATATAGCCTCATTAAATCATCAATATATGTGTGCTACACAAGCATACTCTCAGATTGCACAAGAAAAGACGGCTTTGATAAATGAAAAATTCGCACTCCTAGACTTGATTCGGCAAATGAAAGAAAACAACCAGAAAGAGGGAAATGCCAAGGATCAGGCCCGTTTAGATTGGCATGGTCACCAGAACAATGATATATAACTCTTTTCTATCTACTTTTTTTACTAATTTTTTAAGCAAATAATAATAAAAATCTATAAATATGTAATAATCCGAACAAAATCGATAAAAAGACAAACAAAGACAACTTCATTGTATAAATTAGTATGGAGGGAATAGATTATTAGATGATGACTCATTGTCCACTTTGATAAATGCGTTTTACATTTCATCACTTTTGTTTTTTGGGATTTTTATACCTTAATATGTCTGTAAGGCTGGTTTGTCCTTTGCGTGTATAATCACTATGTCAAGGTCTTTATTAGTATACAGACCTTCATAATAAACGATTCGATATTATACAAATACCAGAACAATTAATGTATTAAACAAATGATGATCTTATATTTGATTGAATTTGTTGTCTTACGGACATCAAATATCGATTTTTATCAATCTTCTCTATATTGGCTGTTTTGAGTTTCATATTTACCCTATGTAACCTGGAATCAATGAGCCAAAGGCTCTTTCACTTGCTCCCATTAAGCATTTATGTTACTTTGCAAACTCTTTCATATCATTTTCTTTGAATCGTCTTTGTCTGCTATTTTTATCATACTTTACCATATTGTCGAAAAGTGTTTAGAGATGCGTCTGTCAGAATTAAAAAAACTCTATTAGAAGCTTCTATTGTCGTAGAAATCTGCATGAGTTACACAATAGTATAAAGAGACCAACTGTGGCTTGCCATATTTTGTTGTATTTAAAGATGAGGTTTCTGATTTTGTGGTACCTTATACATCTTAAATATTATAAACAATAAAATATGGATTACATTTGCACAATCTGTACAGATTCTTTGGAAGGAACAGACGATAAAGCCGCAGTCCTCCGCTGTGGACATACTTTCCACCGACTGTGGTAGAAAAAAATCTGCTTATTTATCATTTTTTTTCACTAAAATATTTTCTGTTAGTATTACCACTTGCGTTGATATTTTTAAAAAGTGCCCTCTCTGTAACCTCCCATCAATAAAAACACATGTGAAAGATATATTTTTAAACTCCAACACTGCGTTTGAAGCAGCAGAAGACATAGAAGCCAAGCATGCGTTGAAGGAATCACGATTTGCAAATAAATACTTGATGGCTAAAGTCTGTGTTCAACAAAAACAAGTGAAAGAGTTGACAGTAGCAAAGTATAACGCTGAATTGGATGCAGAAACGGCACAAAGAAGAGAGACCCAACTCGGCGAACGAGCGGAAGAATTTGAGCGGTAAATATATCATATTGCAGTGCCGTAAGACGAATGATTATATTAATATAAATGTACCAAAGAAAAAACTTTGCTATTAAGAAAATGCAAGCCAATCAAACCAAAGTTTTGAGTGAAAAAGTAGAAAAACTAAAGATTAATGTAAAGCAGAATGAAAAGGAATGGTTGTTACGTATCAAGAAACGAGAGACCGAGATAGCTGCTTTAAATAAGTTAGTATTCACAATAACTATAAGCTTGGTTTGATTCCGCTAATTAAAACAACTTTTATTATTATTAGTGAGTTAGCGAATTTACAAGAAGCTTTGGATGTGCAGGAGGTTAAAACAGAAATATGTAAAAAGTAGGTGTTTTAAGACCATCCATGTAAAATCAAGGTTGTAATGACATTTCCTTTTATAGAAAAATTGAAATTGCTGAAGCGAGCCTCAGCGCAAAGGATCGTGATGCTCTACATCTGACATACCAGATCAAGCTTTTGAACGATAATAAAGACTTCATAGCTAATAAAGCAACTAGTACACGCTCATAAGAGAAGTAAGAATTAGATATACAACTTGAATATCTTTACTAAAATGATATCCCTCATTTTGTTGTTGCTAGCAAGTGTTGCTTTATAATCATTATGTACTTAATAAAGCTGTCTTTTGTTCTAATAGTCTATTTTAACAATCGGGTTTGAACAAAGGCTAAAGTTTCCATTACTAATAATAATAATTGGCACTGAAAATGATCAGTATAACTGTCGTGGAGGCTACTCTGGCTGCACGAGATTCCCCTAAACTCCATATCGCCGCGTTATTTACGGTTTCTATTTACAAGGGACTTATGGACAGGTAGAGTGTACTTACGTTCCTCCTCAAAGGTTATACACTATTTATGAAAGTAGTCTGTGAGCTCACTGCTCTAAACCCCGCCCGTAATTTAATTCATGCTGTTTGCTTTGGCATCAGTTACACGAGATATCAAACGACGTGACCTTTTTTTGCTTCAGCTTATTTTTCCATTTCTCTTTCTCTCTCTATCTATTTCACATACATCTAAACAAGTACAGATATGAAAGCTTATTGTTCAATCTGTTCCGACCCATTAGATTCGCCAAAACATACACCTGTATTTCTCCCTTGTGGACATACTTATCACGGATCTTGGTAAGCTAATGGTTCGGCAATGAGTTGATTTACTTCTTTTACTTATAAAGTACAGTTGTAATACTTGGCTTGAATTATCTCAGAAATGTCCACTTTGTCTCCGTTATACAACCAAGCTGAATGTTCACACGTTATATATCTCAACTGAATCAAGTCCCAAGTTAGATAACACGGATTTAAAGAAAGTTGTTGAACTTTTCAAAGCAAAGCAAAGCGAATACAAGAAATTATTAAAGGAAGCCAAAGTGACTAACAAGCAACTGGTGTCTGAAATCAAAGCACATAAACGTCGAACTTCGCGATCCAGTAGATTGTTGCAACATGTTGTCGAGTACGTTTTTATTTTATTTTATTATAATTTATACATGTATTGTATCTCTACCAGGAAATATAAACTGACAAAAATTTAAATAGGGCACATGATAAAAGTCTTACAGAGATTGGGGTCAAAGTTAGGGACTTAAACCAGCAAAAGGCACTTTTAGACAGGAAGAAAGCAAAGATCATTAGAAAATCCAAGAAGCGAGAGATAATGTTTTCCGAATACAATAAGCAACAAGACATTATTATTGATAAATTTCGATTGTAAGTCTTCTATATTTTTGTAGTCAATTCAAATTAATTCAATATATTATGTGTCTGTTTGTTAGGGAGTTGGAAAAGACACGAGAGAAACTTAAAGAAAAAAGAAAGAGGTAAGTATAGTTCATCCCATATCATATATCCCACTTAATAAACATAATACTTATCAGGTCCTTTCGAGTTGATTCAAATTTAAAAGTTACTCTCAAACACGGATTTACCTTTTTCGGACAAAGTGAATAAAAATTTAGACTAAGAGATTAGTTTTCCAACAGTTTGATAAGCTAATAAAATTTTACTTGTAAAATCTTTAAGCCTCCACCTCACTAAATTGAGGCGAAGAGCCACATTAGAGGTGGCGTTAAGGCTTTAAAGACATTTGACCGTCCTTAGACATCCCTTATGAACCGAGAAATAGCAAACATATTCTTCGCAGTCATCACATCACGATTCCAAAAACTATTGTATCGTTTGCAAAGCAGTATCTGATGGATGTATAGTGATTTTTGTCAGTAACGCAGTTTAAACCCATTAAATTATTATGAAGACAAGAATTGCATGTCTACAAAAGTATTGCTTAAGTCGAAAATATAAAAATACGATGTTTGATTAGGGTTTACTAAATCGGATCTGCAGTCTTATATCATTTTTTCCCAAAGAATTGATGATATTGTTAGATCCGTAGGAAGAGATTATGTAAATAAGTTTTGGGAAGATGAAGATGGGAGAATTACCAAAGATTAACTTGTAAATTCACCTACCAAACTCACTCACACATAAGTACATTCCAACCATTATTAGCTTTCAGACATACAGAAAATCGTTGTACACTTATTCGCTTTGATACTTATACCGACCCATGAATTCACACTTTTTTTTATTTGGCGATATTTGCACATATAATTATTGTAATAGATCCTGAGATGTGGTCATTGAGAATTTATCCTCGGTTGAATCATCCGCTTTTCCATTTTGGTGGGAAACAATCCAGTCATCTACTAATTGTACTGCGCTTTCCGGCTGTTGTTTATGACCCATCAAGAAACCTTGTAAATGGGCCATACTGAAAGTCTCCTCTGGTATCTTACTTGCAAACATGGAAGGTAATTCCGACTTTACAGGTAAACCTGGGTAAAATTTGTGAAATAACTCTTGTGCTTGTCTCTTTGTTGCATTTCCAAAATGAACTCGAACGTCTATACGACCGGGGCGAATAAGAGCATCGTCCAACCTATCAATATGACTAAATCATAGGTTAGTACCATGATGGCATATGTGCCTTGATTCTATGTACTTTGTGGTCATGCAAAGAATACGGCCCTCTTGTGCTGCAACACCATCAATCGCATTGAGTAGGCCAGAAAACGTAATGTTGTTGGCACTAGTTGTATCACCCTTAACTCTTTGGTTAAAAGCTGCATCAATATCTTCCAACAACAAGATACATCTGTGAGAAATAAAATACACTATAGTTTAATACAAAGAAGGCTGCAGCTCGTGAAATTTGATCGCATGATACCTGCTGGGTGTATCTGATACTAGCTCGCTTAATGTATCATCAGTCAGACTCTTATTACTCAAGTTGACGACATAGATGTTCAAACCAAGCTCACCCTGTGATGAATGGGCGGGGAAATTGTTAATTCTTTTATCATTGATTATGCGACGCATATGATACTCACAGCTAAAGAATAAACAAAACTGGTTTTGCCTGAACCTGGGGTTCCATACAACAGATACCCTCTACGGTAAGGAATACCTCTGTCACTGTACCACTGTTCTGATCGAAAGAAATCTTGAGCATCATCTACCAATTTTCTCTTGACATTAGTTGGGATGACAATGGTTGATAAAGGTCTCTTGGGTCTGGATCGTGTTCTTCTCCAAGCACCGTATTGGTCCGCCGCAAATACTACGGTTCGACTTTTATCACGATCTATAAACTGTTTTTGCGCTTCAAAAACGAGGCTTTGTAAGAGTTCTCTGGATTGTCCAAAGGTACTAATTTGAATACGTTCAAGTAAAGCGCTGGAATTTGTTACGGCTGCAGCTGGAGAAGATGTACCGGGACGCTCTCGGGATAACCAAACTAACCTATTCTTATAAGTGAAGAAATGCATGCCTTTCGATTAGGAGTTAATTGACTGTAGAAATCAAAAATCAATGTGTAGGATGATACCTGGAGCAGGTAAGAAATAAACAGGAGGCAACATAGCGTCTAAACCTTCGCCCGGTAATCTCTGTCCAGCCCGAAGAATACTAGTGGAGACCGAGAAGCGGGATGTGTTTTTACTGTAAGGTTGCTCACTAAGCCAGTTCAAAATCCAACTTTTCGTGTATGCATAATAAAATATAATGAGTGATTTGACAGAAATAAACATGTAACATGTAGTTTACCTGTAGGATTCATCTCTACTATCAAAGTCTGCAGTAACAATCGTCTTCTTTTTAACAAATTCAAAGACATATCCGCCAAAGTATCTAAATCCCGCAACCGCACCTATCAAATTAAAACTTGTTATTTACATTTATTCTCTATAGGATTCTGTTCCGTAAGGTATATCCTAATTCAATTTACCACCAATTACAGCTAATTGAAGACCGCCCGTAGCCAGCCTAAAGGGTAAGAGTTAGAATATACGGAAAACGTTAAGCCTAAACGTTTTGTTTACGTACTCTCCTATGCCCAACTTCTCCGCAACATTGACAACAATACTTCCTAAACTTCCTGGTTCATTAGGAGTCATGGTAGACATGACTCTTGTTGCCTCACCCGGTGCACTTTTTGTAAAATAGGATGTGAATGGTATGGCTAGAAATGACGAGCGTGTTAATGAGCGATTCATGACGCGTGTAATTTTTAAAGACGAAAAAGGGCACACAGATATTTTTTTTTTTTGTTTGCTTTGTTTGTTTATTCGGAGTCCCAGCGTAATGTACGACACACAAAAGAAGCGGATAAATCCTTTAGCGTAATCGGATTTTCCCTTACCATATATGTCTTGTCGTAGCAACAAGCCAAGACATGGTGATACAGAAAAGACAAAAAGAAAGCTGATCCCAACAAATCGTATTAGTAAGACGATAAGTTCATTATTAATGGAGCATGTATTATGTAATAATTAGAAAAGTGTACATTCATCGAATGACAAAATCAGCTGTAATCATCTGAAAGAAAAGAGTAATCAAAGTAAGGTCATCTTACGCAAAAGGATAGAAGAGAAAAAATAGGGGAATACATGATTTCTTACAGATGAATGGAATATGCAATATGCATGCGCCACAACTTGTTCCACATGTAGCAAATAAAAGATCAGTTGGAATTTAATGGACGCAGCAAAAATAAAATACACTGTACGACTTTACTATAGGTTGCGCAAAGACTTAAGGTTGTGATTTTTTTAGACAAAGATGTTTTTTATTATGACATGGTATTTATAAGATAGAGAAAGGGAGAAAAGTGGCGAATGTGTACAACTATAAAAAAGTGTGTATAACATATATAGATATTGGTATATGAAAACAAAGATTTGGAAAATAAATCAAGGATCCGACATGTGGACTTGGCGACGAGCAATGGTATAAGAATAACCTTCGTACATGAGAAGCATTTGATTGGTATCAACATAGACAGGTCCAGAAAAGGCGTCGCTTAGAATCCAATTGGCTTGGTCCATACTCCAAAGCTTTTCAATCTGTGATTGTGCTTGCTTATCGAGACTGAGCCATGATTGACCGGAAGAATAAACCCATTGAATAACTGCCATCGCGTTCTAAAATTTTAAAAGATAATAAGAAAAAACCAAAAGAAATTAAAATTTGCTTTGCATTTATATATTCGGTTTCAGCAATTTTTCCCTTGGTGATACAATTAAGGTTACACCCACAGCTTTTCATTCGTTCTTCTCGGTTTAGTCATTAAAACAAGAATACGGCCGTTATTTATGTCATTCCTAAATAATGTATCCATGGTTAAACCATCTCGTCTCCATGGAGAATCTGGCTGAATACAAATTTACATTTGTAGATATGGCTTTTTTACTCTTTTTTTTTTTTTTTTTTTTTTTTTTACTATAGCTACAGCTGATTAAGGTTCATCGACTTCGCCACCGCAATATTACAATGGCGTGTACTGATATTTTCAACTCTTGTGACAGCCAGACTAGGCCACATTTTTGTCTACTTTAGGTAAGATAAAGTTTGACGAATACTTAAGTGCCTTTGCCTCTTTATAAAAAGTGCCACTTTCCATCTTGTTATTTCTTTCTCTTTCTTTCTCTTAATGTGGATGGCCGAACCATTCAAGATCTAAAATGGTATTTGGAGTAACCCAAAAAAATATATATATAATGGGTGATATAAAAATGGTTTATTATGCATATGATAAAAAGAAAAGTTGGATTGCGTGTGAACAAGGTTTTTAAAAGAAGAGATCAAGAATTTGGATAAGAGCTAATTGAAAAGTGATGTTGAATATTTCGTGTTTTTCTTACATGTATTTCCAATGTACTTACCACCACCAAACAAGGCAAATGCAATCAAGCCCATAGCCCAGTAAGGATATTGTGTCTTGACTACAACCTTAGTTTTCTAGAAAGAAAAGTTGAGTGTTAGTTTCATTCCTTTATTTGGGTATGCTTAGTTCTTTTTTTTTTTTTTTTTTTTTTTTTTTCGTACCTCTGAAGCCTTGGCACCAACTAGGCCTTTTGCTGATCTATTCTTGTAAAGCTCGTTTTTTTGACGGAGAGTAGGAGTAGAAGCCTAAAATAGCTCTGGCTAAGTAACAATACACACGAGTTCAAGGTTTTATTCTACTTACCATGTTTGAAATTTGAAAATGAAGGTATAAGATGATTAAGAGAAATAAAAATGAATTCGTGTAAAAATAGTTTATTTAAGGCACTGCTGAGTTTAACAAACAAAAGAAAACCAAACATGGCGAGACGTGATTGGATAATATCGCATTAAGACATTATTATTTTTACTCACGAAACAGTTGTCTTCTGTTGACACAACACTTGACGAGACAATTCCTTTTTATTTATGACGGTGCATCATCTTTATTTTTTAATAAAGACAAGGCTAAGGGACTTATGTGGCATGAAAAGATACTCATGCATTAGCGGAGGTGTTACATGCGTACAATGGGAAATCTCTCACTGCACGAACCATAGCCAATGGTTCACAAAACATATTTACATTCAGGAAAAAAAAGAGGCTAAATTTTATCAGTGGCATAATAAATGGTTTTCTGGTAGATAATACTTGGCTTATCTTTGACTAAAGATGAATCAATTTATTAATAAATTAAGTACCGTACAATTTTACCGCAAAACCTATATTTGCATTGAAGGACAAATTGATCATGCTTGATTTAAGCATTTTTCAGGGGTACAAAATACTCAGGAGTTACTTTTATCAAGCCTACTTTGAGATAGTATGTGTTTTCCACTACAAAAAATTAGGGGAATTTTTTGATCTCTCTCGTTATCATCGTCGTTGTGATAACGAGATTATGCGATATCTACCTTCCCCAAATGATTAATGTTTACGATGAGACGGGGTAAAGCATGGAAATGTCTACACTAAATAATAAAGATTAAACTCGTTGTTCTATTTACGTTAGAACTGATAAATCGGTATATATATTTTTGGTGCAAATATACCAGATCTATAATTGCCTTTATGTTATCATGAGATTGTCAATTGTTCCCACGGGTCATTCAACAAAACCCAAATAGACATCAGATAAGGTTCATTGGCCGCAACCTATATAAAAACGCAAAAGTTTTTTTTTTTTGGTGTTAAGCTTACTTTTTATTCTATTATTTTTTTAATTTATTAACAATGGCTGCCATTACTCAAGAAACCTACCAAGCCAGTGCCGATTACCTCAGGTCTAATTTGCCTGAGCATTTTAAAACGGTTGAACTTGGTGTCATTTGTGGTTCTGGATTAGGTGGTTTAGTCGAGACGATTGACCAAACTACCAAGGTCGAGTTTTCTTACAAGGACATTCCCGGTTTTGTTTCCAGCACAGGTAAACGAAACACACGAGTGAAAATATAACTATGTAAAATATATTTAATGGTATATTTAGTTGCTGGACACGCTGGTAAGCTTGTATTTGGTCATTTAGGTGAGTCACGTACCCCTACTGTATTTATGGTGGGACGTTTCCATTGCTATGAAGGACACACCATGTTACAATGTACTTTACCCGTGCGTGTGATGGTTTTGTTGGGCATCAAGGCTCTTATTGTGACCAATGCATGCGGTGGATTGAAAGACGTACACAAGGTAGGCGATTTGATGATCATCAATGACCACTTGTCTCTTCCCGGTATGGTGGGCAACAACGCTTTGATGGGCCCTAATATTGAATCCTTCGGACCCCGATTCCCAGCTGTTTCCGATGCATACACATATGCACTCCGTAAGTTGGCTTTTAAGGCCGCCTTCGAAGTAGGTATTAGTGAAAAGGATATTCGTGAGGGAGTGTACGCTATGGTCACTGGCCCCAGTTTTGAGACCAGAGTGGAAGCACGTTATTTAGCCTCCATTGGTGCTGATGCTGTAGGCATGTCCACCGTACCCGAAGTCGTGGTTGCTCGTCATGCCGGTGTCAAAGTATTGGGCATCAGTTTGATCACCAATGATGTGGTGAGAGCAAGAGGAAAAGATGCTAAACTAGAGGTCATGCGAGAATTGGGCTTAACCCAACAAGTCGATACTGAAGAAGATACCGAAAAAACTTTTGCAAACCACGCTGAGGTATTGGAAACAAGTGCTATGCGATCCAATGACATGCAACGTATGGTCATTCGTTTCGCTGATCTTTTAGCTGCCTCTCCCGTTATTTAAATTGTTATTTATTTTTTATTTTAATTTATACATATAAAAAAACACGTCTTCTTTCCCAATGGTTGGCATGAATTATTTCCGAATATGGTACATTTCGGACCTTGAAATGCGCTAACCAGCCGCTGCTGTTGCAACAAGCTGTTTTTTGGTCAATTCAATTAGTTTCTAAACACACGCATGTATCGTAAAATTATTTACGATTACTTCTTCTTATTTAAAGCGTAATACAATTACGAAAGAGTTATTTTAAAATGGGTGTTCAAATATGAAAATAGCACTCTCATCAATGATTCGTCTATCAGACGCTTAGTTTTTTTTAATGCGTAGATCAATTTACTAAATCACTGTTGTTCCAACCTTAATGTGCAAGTAAACTCTGGCTTCGAATATTGAAATTGGTAGATTTATTGAAAGTGCCAGGTCCTTCCATGCACACTCTGGAGGAATCTAAATTGTATATTAAGAGAAGTGAGCCCGTGCAATATTTCCAAACTGTTGGTATTTATTATCCTACTTAGATTAATCGTTCGATTTGTTATGTTTTAGGTAAGATTATAATTATTCAAAGTAACGTTCATAAACAAAAAATCAAATAATAGAAAAGCTCAAGGCATGCAACTTTCCCACTTGAAGTACAAGCGGCTATTCGTGGCACCTTGGATCCACCCTGCGGAGACAAGCCTCGCATAGAACCTTCTGGAGTCTACGTGCGTAAAAAGAAAAATCAAAGTTGATGAAGTGTTTTTTTAATCAATGTAAACGACTAGACACTCACAAACAAATGGAAAAAAAATACTACAAGATAAAGGATCCTTCGCTTTTGTGGCCTACAATGTAAAGTCTGTTCTAATTGTTAAATCTTATGCTCAATTGACTGCGGATTCGTTTGTTCTATGAAATGTTTCTTTTAAAGCACGCTATTATTTGCGAACGCTAGAATAGTGGTAGAATTTACGTTACATACTGGTAATTTAGTTTCCTTGCTCTATCTTTTACAAGCAATAGGTGTCCTTAATCCGACCATCAGCTAGGCTCTAAAAGGATGTCTTTGTCGTTGTCAAAAGATTAAAAACATGCCGTGATAAATAGGTAGAAATATTTGATTGGTTGATGTGATCGCGGAGAAAAGTGGAATACATCGTTCTGCAAACTTCTAAATCGAACATTTTTTGAGTTCAGTGGAAATTTGTTTAAGCTGTTTTGGAGTGTCGAGCAATCGTTTGTACGAGCATTACAGTTCAAGTTGATTCCGCCTTACTTTATTCTTCACTATTACCCGAAATGCCTAATCAAATTCATTTATGGAGACTTTTAGGAGAAAAAACACGCATTCACAGCCGTTGTTTCCATATTCTACCATCTGGCTTACTTCGCTCGATGAATAATAGGGGCAATATCCGTAATTGAGTAAAGCTGTCCATCTCCATATTATTGTCAAAACCTTGGTTTTGGGGGGGGGGGTTTGGTATTCTTATTATTTTAGAAGGCAAAGGCTCTGATACTTACATTAGGTATAATTGCTTATGCACTCTTTCTACTGTGTTTCATATTGTCAAAGTCAGGAACTTTAATAGATACAAGGTTTACTTGGATTGCGAAATTGGCTTTCAAACTCGAACACCCTGGTAATGAGACCAGAAAAAAAAAAAGAATAACTACGAAAGAGCCAAATACAAAGTTTCGAACTGAAGTTTAATTGGATGGATGTTCCATTCAAAAAATGCACCACTGAGTTCAGCGTACGTAAACTAAAAAGGAAAAGCACTAAAAAATTGTGACTGGGGGAAAGATAACTTATTACTTTTTAAAGTTATTTTTTTTTTTGATCGAAAACGAAAGAACGAATTTTTGAAGTCCACCCCGGCCAAAGATTTTATTTCGTAAGGTACCTGGCATATATAAAGTGCCATCTTTTTTTTCTTTTTTTTTCTTTTTTTTCTGTTTTACCCACTTTTTATACAAACTACAAAAATGTACAACTTATCAAAGGTTGCCCACCAACGTCTTTTCCCTACCTTGGCACGTAACGTAAGTTAAATACATTATCCGACAGTTGAAGATTTTTTTGTTAATCACGCTTTTCTTCTCGTTCTTTAGACTGGCGTTCTTTCTACCGCCAACCGTGCTTACAGCCAAGCCGTCAATGGTCCTGTCATTGGTATTGATTTGGGTACTACTAACTCTTGTGTCTCCGTTATGGAAGGCAAGAACCCTAGAGTTATTGAAAACGCTGAAGGTGCTCGTACTACTCCTTCCGTTGTTGCTTTCACCAAGGATGGTGAATTATTGGTTGGTCAAGCCGCTAAGCGTCAGGTAAATATCTTTTTTTTGAATTATGAGTCATTTTTCTCGGGATGTATCGTTAAGTGTCGTTTGCTGACATACGGATATTTAATTTTTTAGGCTGTTGTCAACTCTCAAAACACCGTTTATGCTACCAAGCGTTTAATCGGTCGTCAATTCAAGGATCCCGCTGTTCAAGCTGATATTCCTGCTGTTTCATACAAGATTATTGCTCACAACAATGGTGATGCTTGGGTTGAAGCCAACGGTAAGAAGTACTCTCCTTCTCAAATGGGTGCCTTTGTTTTGGGTAAGATGAAGGAAACTGCTGAAGGTTATCTTAGCAAGAAGGTTAAGCATGCCGTTATCACTGTTCCTGCTTATTTCAACGATGCTCAACGTCAAGCTACCAAGGATGCCGGTAAGATTGCTGGTCTTGATGTCATGCGTGTCATCAACGAGCCTACTGCCGCTGCTTTGGCTTACGGTCTTGATAAGACTGGTGATTCTACCATTGCTGTTTACGATTTGGGAGGTGGTACCTTTGATATCTCTATCCTCGAAATCCAAAACGGTGTCTTCGAAGTCAAGTCTACCAACGGTGATACCGCTCTCGGTGGTGAAGATTTCGATTCTCACCTCGTCCGTCATGTCCTCAAGGAGTTCAAGACCGAGTCTGGTATTGATCTTGCTGGTGACCGTATGGCCATTCAACGTATTCGTGAAGCTTGTGAAAAGGCCAAGATCGAATTATCTTCCACTGTCCAAACTGACATTAACTTGCCTTATATTACCGCTGATGCTTCCGGCCCCAAGCATATCAACACCAAGTTGACTCGTGCCAAGTATGAAATCCTCGTCGGTGATCTTATCTCCCGTACCGTTCCCCCTTGTGAGAGAGCCATGAAGGATGCTGGTATTGCCAACAAGGACGTCAACGATGTCATTCTCGTCGGTGGTATGTCTCGTATGCCCAAGGTTGTCGAGACTGTCAAGTCCGTCTTCGGTAAAGAACCTTCCAAGTCTGTCAACCCTGATGAGGCTGTTGCCATTGGTGCCGCAATTCAAGGTGGTGTCCTCGCCGGTTCCGTCACTGATATCTTGTTGCTCGATGTCACTCCCCTTTCTTTAGGTATTGAGACCCTCGGTGGTGTCTTCACCCGTTTGATCAACCGTAACACTACTATCCCTACCAAGAAGGCTCAAGTCTTCTCTACTGCTGCTGATGGTCAAACTCAAGTTTCCGTCCGTGTCTTCCAAGGTGAACGTGAACTCTGTCGCGATAACAAGCTCTTAGGTGACTTCAACTTGGTATGTATATTTAGTTAAGGTTAATTGAGAGGGCAAGGACTAACATATTCTTTATATAGACTGGTATCCCTCCTGCTCCCAAGGGTATTCCTCAAATTCAAGTTGAGTTTGATATTGATGCTGATGGTATTGTCAACGTCAGTGCCAAGGATAAGGCCACCAACCGTGATCAATCTTGTAAGTATACATAGTAAAAGGGCTAAAGGGAAATAGTTATTGACTCACTTTATAAAAATTAGTGACCATTGCCGCTTCTTCTGGTTTAAGCAGTGACGAAATCGAGAACATGATCCAACAAGCTGAGGCCAATGCTGAAGCTGATCGTGCTCGTCGTGATACCATTGAGATGGCTAACCGTGCCGACTCTGTTATGAGCGAAACCGAAAAGGCCATGGATGATTTCAAGGAACAACTCGATAAGGCCGAAGCCGATGCCCTTAAGGAAAAGATCACTGCTCTCCGTGGTGAAGCCTTAAAGGCTCAAGCTGGTGAAGCCAACATCAACCCTGAAGACCTTAAGGCTAAGATTGACGATCTCCAATCTAGCTCTCTTAAGCTTTTCGAGATGGTTTACAAGAACCGTGCCGCTCAAAACGATACTGGTTCCGCCACCGACAACAACAACAACACCACTGGTTCCAACCCCCAATAAATTACTAAATATTAAATATCCCCTCCCCTTTCCGAACCCTTTTCATACATACACCCCTTCTCCTTTTTAGCTATGAACTTGTAGATTATCTATAGAACAAAATCTTTCTATACTCAAAAACTTAAAAAAATAAAATTGTAGACACTATTATTATTAATGCGCATTGTCCCTCTCTGTCATACACAAATGAACTTTTCTGATTGGTCCCGCATTCACCTTTTTACTGCTCTGCAAAACCCATAAACTCGGTATCACATCTTAATATTAAATTAAAAAATCATGGTCTATTATTTATTCCTCTTCATCCAATTCTTTCAAGTAGGCTAGTAATCTTCTTTTATGAATGATACCAAGGTATCTGCCATTTGTGTGTGTGACACAGACATATCTTGCTCCGAGTTTAGTAAACATGTCCATAAGCAACGTCATTGACGCATTTTGGTTGATTGTTAAGGGTGCCTATAAGCTATTAATACCAGCAAAAAAAAGAAATGATAGAACAAATACTTACATGATCAATATACTGCGAAAAGTCATTCATAGATTGTTTTGGTAGGGTAGCTTCCAAATTATCATGACCGTGTGCCAACAAGTTTCGTACGGGTGTCTTCAAATCATGATTTACTGGAGAATGATCTAAATTTGTCACACGGTTAAAGTAACATGGTACTTTCTCTATTTCTGCTTCAGTCATCGCGGAACTGGTAAGTGTTAATTCCAATTGTTCTATACAGTGAACAATTTCTGAGGTGGCGATGTAACCTTCCAAGATATTGCCATCACTTAAAATGGGGAATCCGCCATCTTCAGAATAACCCATGGCACCAAGGATGGATAATTTATGCTTGATTTTACCTATAGAAATGGGCTCATCTGCATCGATGGTGGAAAGGTATTCTGTGATTTCCATAATTGTCATGGTATGAACGTATTCTCTTCTGGATTCCAAATATGGATACCCCTTTAAATCGATTAACAGATCATAGATTCCCTCTACAAACATTGCATCAGCAACCCATTTGGCAACCTAAAAATTAACATGTCATTAAGCATAAAAACAAGGTTTTTTTTTGTGTGTGTGTACCATAACAGAAATCATGATTGGCTAATTTTAAATAAAAGGTCAGGTGATATTAAAATCAAATGGTTTTAGATCGATTCACTTACTAATGCATATGTCAAGGAATAAGTCAGCTCAAACATGATGACCACCAAAGAAACTTAAAATAAACATGATGGTTGATATAAAGTTTTTTTTTTTTACACATGATACTTACTTGTTGTTCTGGTAACACCAGCAAGCCCAGCTGCAGCTCCCACAATTGCATACACGCCTGGAATAACACATTCACCACGCGTAGCAAGATCCAATTCACAAGCAGTAAAAGGCCATGCACCAGGGTAGGTCAGTGTGAGATATTGCATAATGAGACCAATTATTCTTCCAGTGATCGCACCAATGATAAGGCTAGGTAAGAAAATTCCACCGGGTACAGCACATCCAAATGTGATCATAGTCAGCCCCATTTTAATGATCAATGTCGTAATCAGTAAATAAAGAAGGTTTGGGATTTCTGCAACTGTACGTCTGCATAATTAAAAAAATGTGGAATTGATTATTATTTTTTTAGATAAAAGTGTAAGGTATACATGCAAATAATGAATAACTTACGCGCAGAGACCGCCGTTATCATTGGTAGGTGTACACTCTGAAAACAAATTTGCTGCAAATGCACTAAGTCCCATTCTAAAATATGAAAACGTTTTTTTTTAGTAAATTCAAATTTGAAAAAAACGTTAAATAAAAAAGCGGTTATTCTCACCTTGAGAATGGATTCCAATAACTCACAAGAGCAGTAACAAGCATGATGCATAATACTTCAGTAATTGGATACTTACCAACAACAGATGACTTTCTAAAGTGTTGATATTTTATGTTAAAGTAGGTCACAAATGCACCAAAAAACCCCTAATGATATACACCTTGATTTTAGTAATGGCATTGTCAAATAAATATGGTCTAACCCATTGCTTTGGCAACCGGTTTTCCTATGTTTGTGTTTATGTGAAGAGACTTACTGCGAATGCGCCGCATAGAATCAAAGGAACCATTTCAAATAAGTGATATTCTTTATCATAGGAGACTTGGAATAAAACAATCTTTCCAGTTCCAAAAGGGTCTGAGATCTAAAAGGATTATGTTAGTCGTTTTATCATGAATATTTTGCTAATTTAATATCTAAATTACCTTGAGTACAATAGCAGCAACCATGGCACAGCAGTAGCTTCGAATCATGGTCTTCATTGGAAAGTAATAACTGACTTCTTCCAAACTAAATAAGACGCCTCCAATAGGTGCACCAAAGGCAACAGCAACACCAGCTGAAGCTGCGGCTGATAATATTTCTCTCCTTTTACCTAAAATGATTAAGGGAATTGTTAGAAAAAAATTACAATGAATTCAGTCTAATCTATTTTACTCTCGTTCTTATTAAATTTAGGAAACAATCTGCAGGCGATATTTCCGGCTGAGCACGCCAAGTGAACAAACGGTCCCTCTTTGCCGGTATTGAGACCGGCTGATGTGGAGAAAATCTGCAGGCGTGTTAGTAATAATCTAATTTACTGCATTTGTTTATTACCATTCCTATACTCTTGACAATAAGAGTTTTAATTCCCAAGAACCCCTTAATCACAAATCCACCTAGGATGACTTTGACTTCGGGAATACCGGAACCTGCACTGTAGTACGCATACTTTGTTTCATACTGGGGTGGTTCCAATTTTTCATATGAAGCAGCGGCAGTAGTAGATGGATCTCCTCGGATGCTGGTAAAGGAGAGTGAATCAAAAGGAATCGATGCCATAGAAGGAGATTTTGAAAAGGGAATGGGTCTAGAGGGTTTACGCACTGTAACCTTCTCTGCTGTAAATTTTACCATGGCAGCAGCAATTAATGAAAATGTCAGCTAGAATGTAGAAAAGGTTAAAACTATAGCCATGTAATATAAGGAGAATTGTCATCGGAACTTACACCAAGCACAGTATACATGATCATTGCAGTATGATATGTTTTTCCTTCCCCTTGAACATCAAAAGCCTGAGGCCACGTCCTCCATGCATCACATACTCCTTCTTATAATAAACAATTAGTACCGGTTTGGGCAATCGTATAAAATTTTAAAATAGTCACCTTCGCTTTCCCAACAACAAAATTTGCTGTTTAGTCTCCAGTTTGTTGTACAGTAGCCTTGTTTAAGGTCAGACATCCATTCTTGAACAACATCAATAAACCAAGAGATGGCAGCAACCACGGTTCCAATTAATATAACGAGTATCCATGCCTGCGATGCATCGCTTGCTTTTAATAGCTCGCCTCTCACACCTGGCACATCTTGAAGTCTCCGCTTTCGGACACCTTCCTTAATTCGATCATGAATCCAATCTAGTCATTATATAAGAAACCAATATATTGCCGAAATGAAAAAAAAAACCTTACCTATGCTTGAATAGGATTCACTCCAAACTCTAATACCGGTACTCTCTTTAACCAAACCTTGTCTGTCTTCGTCATAAGACCCTGTGCGCGTAATAAACCATTTAAATTTTTTGTGTAATCCATTATCATTGGATGTTGCGGCTGAGGTGGGAAATACGAGAGGATCATGTTCTTGATAGGGAGATGGCAATGGTATAGACAATACTGGGGTATCTTCTGTGTTATAATTCTTTGCCAATTTAGAAGATCTACGGCGATCTAATAATGAGGTTCTTTCTGATGTGTCACTCATTCTCAAGAGCCTGTATAAAATATTTTTATTTTTTTTAAAAAAAACAGGATTAAAGGGAAAGGTTAATTAATTATTTCTCTCTATTTATAAACATTTTCTTCTCTGTCTCCATTGTTCAAATGATCATCACGGGTCCAAAAGAAATGATGAAATCAGAGCTGATAGAGATTGAAACACAGCATTTGATTACACCCAAATTAATTTGACATTTGTGCAACAAATATCTTAGTTGCATTGCCCTTCAATAATCTTTTGTCTCATGTTTTTCTACTGATAAAAACAAATCGTCATTTATTATGCATGATTGTGAAATAAAGGAAAGAAGTGTTTGAGGTTTGGTAAAAAAAAAAATTAAAGTTTTTTTTTTCTTAGTATTATTCTTGGTACCACCGTGATTTGGACAGCCCAATTGGTTCAAGAAACATAAAGTTCTAACATTATTCACATATACAAATAAAACTGGAGGAAGCAAGTATCCGTCTGTATAGAATTTTGCTTAATTTAGATAATAAGTTTGTCTACTTCTATGACGGGAAATTACGGCAATTTGTAATATGTGATACTTGTCAAAATTTATTATTTCAAAAAAAAAAGGCCGTTCCGTGAGCTCTTCCCAATTTTTACTTGACATTCTTATCTGAGAAAGAAATTTATTTTGTATTACATGAGTTTGTTTCTTGAAAGCAGTACTTTTTGGTACCTGAGAAAGTCCAAATGTTGTACTATATTTAAGCGTAATGAAAGAAATGGATTTGGTAGAAATCTGTTTTATTGAAAGAATATTTATTTAAATTCAGGATTTAATTTCATCGTCCATCGACTTTGCTTTATAAATGAGTGTATCAATAACGGGACGAGGTTCTGAGATAGCGAACAGGCTCTGATTTCAATAATATGGGATCACATGGTCTTGAAACAGACATCAGGGGACAGGCATTACGTTCATTTACGGAAGGGCAATTTATTTAAGAAACTTATTGTAGACAAGATATTGGGGTTGGCATTAATTTCTAAACCACGAAATCTTTGAGAATTTGATAATTGATTCACAGTACTTTTAATATGTATAACTAAGCTAACAGGCTGCACTAAACTATTCAAATACCTTCAATTTATTGATAAAACAATGTTTTATATACAGGGGACTGTTACGATTTCAATCCTTGTAATATGTCGTGTCTCTTTCTTATTAAGTATGTATCAAATGAATCGTCGAAAGGCTAACGCCAAGTTCTTATTTTTGAATGTTCCAAAAATCACTCTAGAATTTTCTTTTTCGGTTGAAATGTTAAGAAGCCAGCATGCATCTGTTTAAATTCAAGTGACGATAAAAAAAAATCTCCACATTACAGTATCATAACTTTGAATTAGATGATCTTAGTTTTTATTTCTAGACAAGCTAAAACTCATTTTTAGATATGTTCTCCATATTTTTAGGCAAGGAGAATATATAGTTTAAACAAAAAAGAGTCCGATTAAATTGTCTTTTTTTTTTAAAAAAAAAATTGTAATTATCTTTGAATATAATTGTTTGTTAAGTCTAAGGACAGGTAGAATTCCGACACAACAACAGGATATTATTTGACATAGTGCACGACTATATAAACTATTCATCATTGTAAGGTCCGGTAGTTGGATTACTGGATCTATCATAAATGGTGCCATAAAATACCACATTCAATATAATTAATGGAGACAAGTATAAAGAACTTGATCCCCAGGTAGAAGATTATGCGAACGTACTGTGTCTATAATACAGAGAGTAGGGCTTTTACATTATAGAATCAGCATTATATTATGTGAAATATATTATACATAAAAACACATAAAATAGTGATTATATTCGAGGAGTCAAATACGAGACAGCTTACGTTCGGCGGGATTCCAATGCTAGTAATAACACAAATAGGATTTTCTCGTCTATGGAATCGTGATATGACTGCTTGTTTAAACATGGTTGATATTGTTCGTTTAGTATCCCCTTAAAATTTAGACCCGGAGAAGCTCCTCAGGAACAACGGAGAAGCTCCTCAGGAACAACGAAGAGCAAGGACCCAAAATGACCAAGAAAACATCAGAAATGTTCGTCAACGTCGCAATTAAAACTTTCTAGATCTGTTATCGCAGGTCAAACATAAAGTGGTAAGCTCAATTTTTTTTTACAGTCTTTGAACCAATCTTTTTTCGTATTTTTTTTTTTTATGTTGTGAACGATGTTTTTATTTTTACACTTTGATCTCGTATTTTTGAAAATAGTTTATTGAACAAATATGCAATTGTAATACCCACCTATCATTTAGTCTCAGTCGAAAAAGTCGAGAGTTGACTTTGAAAGTTTTGTAATCCAGGACTTTAATTTTAACCAATTGATATTTTGCCCAAGTTTCCTGATACTTTTTGGCAAAATACCCCTAACTAATTCCTTTTTTCCCCAAACATATTTTAAAACATAAAACCCATTCCTTCGTAGTTCAAGTCCCATGTCCGGGTAAAATAAGACTTAGCAGTAACAGAAAGTAACATAGTTCTCGCCACTCACTGATATTAGAAACCGTCCAGCATTTCTTATCTAAGATTAGATGATCGTAAATATTTCGGATCAAAGGAATAGCCAATCATTTCCCGCATATGTCATAATTGAAACACACTTATAAAGAGTTAGTTGTTTGTTTTTATCGCAACATTATATTGCCCTACAGCTCCATAAACAGCAGCCAATTTAGATAATATCATACGATCACTCTTGTATATTAGGATCCCTTTCTGTTAGGACTGGCTTTATTATATTTGTATTGTTGATCGTCCTTGAGCTCCAATGTGACCAATGTATTTAATTGGATTTCGAAAAGATTTTATTAAAAGCGCCGGGGTTCTTTTTTTTTTACCTAAATATAAGCAGCAGTTTAAAATATGTTTTTTAATGAGTAAAAAAATGTATGATCTCCAAAGCACAAAATGTGTATTTGTGGGAAACCAAACTAATGTTTGCGTAACAGCAATTTGGATATTAAACTTTATGATGACGTAATGCTGCGCAATCCAGATGAATACTCCGGAGGTGATAGATCATGATCATATGCTGGTAGTTGCTCCTCAGGTAGTGTTGCCTTTATGAACCTTGGCTTTGTACTTAATGTTGTGTCCTGGATAACCTGAGGATCTCTATAGGATAACAAATTTGGGGGCAGTGGCTCACCAGAGGCCACAGTACCAAAATGCAGCGGTATAGCAAATAGCTCACGTTTTGATGATATTAACCCCGTTTTAATTTTCGCAGTAATGTGCAATTTATAGTCCATTTTTACATGGCGAGAGAAATCAAAACTGGGTGTCATACCAAAAACACTAAAGTTTTTGAGAATGGTTGGATTATTATGTTTACTGATTTCAGTCGGGATAGGTAATCGTATGTAGTAAGTACAGCCGTTTTCACTCTTTCTCTCAACACCGAAGCTGGATTGTTCTACATGACTCATGACCATACTATCCGATCTTTGATACGCTCCAAAACTCACCTGTATATTTCTTTTTATGAACACTTCAATGTGACTAAACAATTCAATTGGTCGTGTAACAAATAGCTGTAACTTGATTAAATCGGAATTTCTATCTAGTAAATTAAAAGAGCAACCTTTGGACAAAGTCACCAGGACTTTATGATTGTTGATGAGTGCTTCTTGCTGGTATATGTTTGGTAGTATATTAGTTGTAGACACAATGTATGGTTCATAACGAATTGTAGTTGGGACTGTTTGAAATGGTCGAATACCAGGTCTATCGAGACAAGCCATTAATTCGAAAACACATGATGCCAAATGGTTTCTGTACGTAGGCGGATAATTCACCATTGGGATTTCACACATAAAAGGAAATTGGTGTTCACCAGATTCGATGAGTGGCCATTGCTCTTCATTGCGTCTAGCTGTTGAACCCCATAATACTGTCTTTATCGCAAACAATCTTTCTCCTCTCTTCCGAGTATGTGCCTCATGATGAATACGTTCTATAAATGAAGTGTTTATAAAGATTGGAATCACGCTATCTAACTTTCATCTTTTTTACCTGATGCCTTAAATACCAGTCTAAGGTGTTCCGCTGCTAACGGTGTATCTAACTTCATATGAACCATCCCTTCAAAAATAGATCCGGGGTGACAAGTTGTTTTGTTAGTATTACCATCAATGCTAGTGATAGATATAGAGAATTGTAATGGTGGTTTCCGGTATTTTCTATTGGAGCAATCCACATATCGATATCCGTCTACGTGATCCACAGTTGACGACCGTCTAGTAGATAATGAGGGGGTATCTCTTACGTCTTGCCAAGATAACGTTCGTTCGAGTAGTGGATCTTGATAATTATCAGTCGACATACATGAATTTACGTTTTTTTTTAAAAAAAATAGAAGGGAAAAGAAGGGAGGAAAAAAGTAAAGACGAATGACGGTAGAAATGTGTATCCGGGGAAAATATTTGAAACTCCAAAAATATCGGTTGACATATAATGCCGACTCCATTTCATGACTCATTATGGTATTTTGTTGCGTAACGGTGTCCCCTCATTATCCAGGTCCCAAAATGAATCAAGCAAAAAATACTAAAACAAGAACTTCACACATCTTCTATTTTTACCTGTTGCTTCCCAAAAAAAAAAAAAAAAAATCTACACTGATCCATGGATGAACTTCACCCAAATGTTATTATTAACAGTTCAAAGAATTGGAGCTGATTTATTCAATGAACTTAAATCAAAATACGAAGGAATTTATGGATCTAAACCTAATTTTGTTGAATTGATTGAAGAAATTGGCCTTAACTTTTTCAACATTGCGAAGCCAAGAAAGCAGGGTAATATGATGGCAGATATGATGGCCAATCTATTTGGCGGAGGAAGTGGTAGTGGTGCTAATCCTTTGCCCCAATTGGGCGCTGGCAATGCAAAATCCTCTGGTGAGGATCTGGATTAAAATGTCTTTTTTCACCTTTTGTACATATTTTTTTGAGCCTAAGCTTTTTTATTTATGATTTATGGGTCGGACTTTGAAGAAATCTTTTTTTTTTTAATGAGCTTAATTTTTTTTCGAAAAGTGCGCCAACAATTTCGGGAAATAGTGAACATTTTATACTTGTCGCGCACTTTGATACGATATTCGGTAGCTTCTTTATCAGCCATCATAATCGGTTTATGTATACGATCACCATCTTTATTAAGCTCAGTAGCTTCCTCGGGTAGAGCGTTCACAACATTTTCCGCTAAAGTATCATCCTTGTGTGGAACGCCATGGGTAATTTCTTCTGTTGCAGTATTTTCCTCTATTTTTGTATCAACACTTTCTTCAGGTGATATATCATTACGTTGAGAACCTGTTTTTCCTATGCGCAAATCATCTTTTGGACGTTGAAAATCCATACTTTTGTCAAGTAAAGCATTTTTCTCCTGTTTAGTATCGATACTCTCTTCAGATAAACGACCTTCCTTTTTATCATCCGTTTCCAACTGGTTATTTTGCTCAGATAAAGGGATATTGTCTTTATGCGACATAATAGTCTCTTTTGGCTGTATGCGTTCTTTCGCCTGACTAGCTTCTTGTTGTGAGGAAGTTTCTTCCTGTAGAGAGGCTTCTTGTTGGGCAGCTTCTTGTTGGGCAGCTTCTTGTTGGGCAGCTTCTTGTTGGGCAGCTTCTTGTTGGGCAGCTTCTTGTTGGACAGCTTCTTGTTGGGCAGCTTCTTGTTGGGCAGCTTCTTGTTGGACAGCTTCTTGTTGGGCAGCTTCTTGTTGGGCGGCTTCTTGTTGGGCGGCTTCTTGTTGGGCGGCTTCTTGTTGGACAGCTTCTTGTTGGGCAGCTTCTTGTTGGGCGGCTTCTTGTTGGGCGGCTTCTTGTTGGGCGGCTTCTTGTTGGGCGGCTTCTTTTTGTAAAAGAGTTTCGTTTTGAGGAGCAGTTTCGTTTTGGGGAGGAACAACCTTTTTATATCGCCTAATTTTTTTGGGAGGTTTATGCCTTAAAAGCGATTTATTTTCTTGCGGCATGTGTATATATTTGACTTGCTTATTTTTCAATATACCATTGTATTTATCTAAAGCCTTTAAAAGTTGATTGATCTTGAAAAGCAAAAAAATGATAGCGAAAAGATACAAGACTACAAAAAGACCTTATAGAAGACTGTGTTAATGTTTTTTTTTACAAAGATAGAATAAAGCTTGTTTTAACTACGTTACATAGAGTACTGGAATAGTCTTTTTGGTTGGCAGAGCCAATATCGATGCATCTGATCTCTTCTATTCTTTTGCTTTCCGCTTTCAGATGTAACAGCCTGGCTAACTTATCAAGAAAAAAATCAGACTGATCAGGCATAGAGGTATGTTGGTAGCATACGATATTTTTGTGAGGGAACCAGTACCCAAGACATGTTTCAATAGCATTGTCTATAGTATGATAAATAGGAAGCCATATTGATTCATTAAAGCTGTACCATCATTTTTAGAAACGTTTCTTTTGCTAGCTTATTGTGTGCGTAATATAGATAAATTGTAAACTTACATATCAAACAAGTCGAAAGCGGCCAAGTATAAACTGCCGAGCTTTTTAGTAAACATGTGTGCAACAATAGCGAGAAAATCTTCAGTCGATTCATCGTCAAAATTGAGATGTTTGTAAAGACCAAGTATAGCAGTTATATAAGTAAGTAAAAGCGATATGGCTCTATTTGATAGAAAAAAGGTTAATATATTCTAGAGGGAGGGATAGCAGGAAATGGAGATGAACCTGCAAATGATGAGGGCACTTTTATTTGGGATAAGAGTGTCATAAAAGCCCTCTAATACAGTATCACAGTAACTCCACCAATAACAAAGGGAAGCCTGCGATCTCTTTAAGAATCCCATATTTTTGTGTACTTCTTTTCTGTCCATGAAAATACAAAGAGAAAGATGTTCTATTTTTTTTTTTTTTTTTTTTTTTGAAATATAAATAAAACATTTACGACCAATATACCAATATTACTGAGCAGCGCACAATTTTTTGCGGCATCATTGTTCTTTTACAGATATTTTAAATGATATATGGATGACTTAGTTAATCAGAGGCAATAGTTAGCACATAAGAGGTAATAATTGGTGTTTAATTTTTGAGGGAGGTAAAGATAAACCTGTAGAAGATAGGGCTTTTTTATGAAGTACGATCGTACATGTCTTATTAACTTAAATATGTACTGTTCTGTAAAATTCTTTTACGCTGTTTTAGAAGTTTTATTGGTTGGATTTGGCCCCATCAAAAGTGTATAGTCCTATTGTTGTAAACATCCACATACTGAGAATAGAAAGAGATTATTCAACAATACAACTGTCAAGTATTGTGAAACCAACATGTCAGTAAGTGCACATATTATGTATATACTTTTAGGTTTTCAATACGCAGAGAAAAGCATTTATTGCAAAGACCTGATATATTCATATATATAAAAAAAAAAAATAAGATCGTTCCGATTATATAGCCCTGCTGCCACTCAGCTTGTGACTTGATTCAGCATCCCTCTGCCATTTTAAAGCTCTTGCTAAACATCATACGTCGGATATGCTCTTGTTTTTTTCCAGTGAGCGATATGTTTTTTTAATATACAATTATTCTTCTTTTAACAGCTGTAGTATCTTCAGAAAATGTATTTTATTTATCAAAACGCTTCATTGCGGCGTTTACGTTTAATTATTTCAACTGCATCTACATCAGCACCAAACTTTCTTTTAATTTTTAAAGGCATTTCAGAGCCGAAAAATTAAAGATCCTCCATCTTTCTTACACGGGACATTGCAACATAGAGCTGACCAAGCGAGAGCATGTTATCCAAATGAATACCAACACAGTCAATTGTAGCACTTTGAGTCTTGTGTATGGTTGTGGCAAAGGCCGGTACAATTGGAAACTGCGTACTGCAATAGCTAGTGTTAGGAACTTGACGGCTGATGCGTTGAATCCAATAAATTACATCGTTTCCATTTGGCAATCGCTTTCGTAGACAGATATTCTCTTCCTATATGTACTCAATTGGAGCAATTGTACCGTTAACCCATCTAGTAGGTACGTGCAGGTTATGTATCAGCATAACGGGTATTTGAGGCTTGAGCATCAATATCTCCAACAGCCTTGTTTCTCGTAACGCCATTCTCGCTGTTCCTTTATTGCCAACATGAGTATCTTCGGACCGGTATTCTTGGCCCTCACCAGGAAAACTCGCGAAGTTTTTTTCGTTGGCACTTGCTACACGTTTACGAGTAGTATACAGGCGCAGGCAGGAAAGGGGAAGCTGGGACTTGTGGACGGTTCTTTTGTTTATGAACTCGATCACTGACTCATCGAACTGATAATCTCAAACCTTGTTGAGAATTCCAATGAAATATTCATCTTGTTGTCGAACAGGATCATGAAGAGAATAACGAGGTACAATATTAAAAAATTTCAGACTCCCAGATTTTACCCTCTTTTGTTTGAATGGGAAGCAATTGCGCAACATCACCAAAAAGAATAGTTTTGACACCGCCCATAATTGTGGCTCTTTGCGTAGTCTTGACCAAGGCATCGTTGATTGCTTCGAGCAGTTTTGAGCTGATCATTGAGTAAATGCTCGTAGAAGTCTACGTAATTGTATTATTAGTCAAAGTTTCACTTTTTTTATTATGATCTCATTATTTACCTTTATATGTACCAAAAGGCCGCATTTTGTCTTCGTATGTTGTACCAATTATCGGAAGCTTCAAAACAATTTGCTGATAATAAAAAGTCTCTCCATTTGTCTCGCTTTGGTTATACGTTCTCCAAAAAGAAATTTTATCTTTAACGATTTTGTAAATTAAACGTCGAAAACACACTACATATTCAGGCAAAGGGTCTGGGTGGAAGGGACGTGTTACCATTCCTCTAGGAACAGTTCTCATTTGTTTGTAGACTCTCTTGTAAAAACTAAAAAACTGGGGCATGGTAAGATTTTCAGCACCATTCCGTTTCTCGTACAATTCTAGGAGAAAAAAAAGTTAGCTTTATAAATAAAAGACTACAAGTTATTACTTACCAACAGGAGTCATGGAGTAAATTTGTTCGTCTTCAGGTTCCAAATCCTTCACATCGTCCCGCAAGCGCCTAGTGTCCTGACCCATGAGGTTTGTACTTAGGAATAGCACGTTTCTGGAATTGCTGTGCTTTCTCCAACCCATCAGATCATATGTTGCCTCGACAGCTCCTACAATTCTTGTGGAATAGTGCTCACGTTCGGAAACGTATGTTGTCCTTTTGTAATAGCCTTGGTTTTGAACTTGAATATTTTTTAAAATAATCTTTGCTTCATAATCGTCTTTGGCTAAATACTTGGCAAGGTACCGAACTGCTTGAGGTCCATCGTTGTACTGAATGTCCATCGATGTTTTAAAGACTGCCAAAAGATAAGGGTTATAATTGTTGACATATGTATCGCCCACATCGCGCTTGTAAGTACAGCTATGTTCTGAGTCAAGAACAGTAGCAGGAGAATAAGGTTTAGGGTACCCAAAACGACACTTCTTGTTGGGATCACCTCTCTTACAATACCTGTAATGAGAATTAAATATTTAGCAAATAATTTTATTGTGAGTTAATTCAACTAGTTAATCTTACCTATCATTACACTTATGAAGTTGCAGCTTGTTAACTAAATCATACATAAGAGGATCAGCCGAGCGTGGATGTGGAAACCAGGTATGAACAACATTCATATCAATTAGCTCTTGAACAGACTTGTTGGTCCAAAGTACTAAATGGATATGTGGGCTTCCCCGGTCTTGAATCTCCATAACCCAACTATGCTCCTTGATGCCTCCGATTTGCCTAGCAAAGTGCTTGCAGATGTATATCGTAAAAAATTCAAGCCATTTTCTTTTAAAGTGCTGATAAAATAATACAGGATCATCCCACGCGAATTGAGAACCATCATGAAGAATACCTTTGAAATCTTCGCTTTTGTCATCGCAAGTAAATGTAAGGAAAAGCTGAGGGGCACCAAGATTATTAAATATACATTGGAGATCCAAAAAGTTTTTTCTTTTGTATGCATAAGATGAACGTATTTGAGAAGGTACAGTAGACACAATATTTTTGTTTAATTTTCCAGTTGAAGGGTTCACTACATCCGCTTGCTTCAAGTTGCTTCTACCCTTAGTAGACACGACGAATCTATTTGCTGATGCAATGTTCTTCTTTTCGATCAAGTCTAGCATGAAAAAAAGAAAGGATGGATCCCTTGCAAATCTTCTGTCTTGAATCAATAATCTTTTTTTAGTGTAACTTGTAATACTTTCAGACATCATAGTAGCTACAGAAACACCCCCTTGGTTTTCAGGAAGACCATAAAAGAGGAAGAGGGCGACCTAAACTTTCACAGAAAGAAAAAGAAAGAAGAGCTCGAGAAGCCCCACAGACAAAGAAGCCTCGAGGTCGACCACGCAAATCTAGAGATGTCTCTACTCCTATTAGAATGGGCGGTATATACTCATTTTTGGCGTATTAGACGTAGTTTACGTAGTCAAGTAGCCTGAGAACTGGATAAAAATCATCAAAAAGTTACCATATACGGAATAAAAAATCACCATATATGGAACACATATAGAGTAACTGAAAACCCTTCATTTTGACCTCTCTTAAATAAAACAAGTACCAAAATATGCCAAAAGATAAATTGACAAAGAGAGACAAAGGAAAACAGAAAGATCTGCGAAGGATTTCAACTTCTGAAAGAAATGAGAATGACAAACCAGTCAATTGCAAAAAACTTTTCATCAGATTAAGAAGACCAACAGAATCTATTGAAGAAGGTGAATCCTCAAACAACAGAGAAATTCATAACAAAGACAACGATTTTGAGCAATCTAATGAGACTAGCAGCGTTTCAAATAAGCTCATTTTAAGATTGCCCAGACATGTTACGGAAACTAGCAGCATTTCAAATAAGCTCATTATTAGATTGCCCAGACAAGTTAAGGAAACTAGCAGCATTTCAAATAAGCTCATTATTAGATTGCCCAGAGTTCCTTTGAGAGCCGAAGCCGAGATCAATACAAAACTTGGTGAATCTTCAAAGATTAGTGAAGACATTGTGCCTGCGTCTGCTGAACATACAAGTACCTCAAACAATCTTACCATAAGATTACCCAGAGATGTTTTTGAAGTGATTGCCGAGATCAATAGAAAAAGGCCACGTCCTAGAATGAATGATCTCGAATCGTCTGAAGATGAACAACCAACCGAGAATAGTAATGAAGGTATGGGAAGGTTTAGACTGGACACCGAGGAATCTCCGAGAAGACGAGAAAGCCAGCATACAAACAGTGAAACAATTAGACCAGAAAATGATCGTCCCGAAACACGACGTGAGTATCAGCGCAACTATCAACGACAAAGGCGTCAAGCACCTATTGTAAGCAGAAATGAAACACAATCAATACTGGATACTGCATTTAACTCTGAAGCAATTATTTAATAGGTTTCATCATGGGAGGATACTAGACGAAAGTATGAAAAAAGCATAAAGGAGGGACCAACTTTAGTTTGCGTATGTTGCGGAGGATTGTTTTTTCTCAAAAATGTATCCCTGGTTGATAAGGAGACAATGCTATCGAAATGGAAATGCGAAAGTGACGTTGTAGAGGTAGCATTTTGGGCCGTTGATAATCATAAATTCGAGGATTTAAACAACGTTACGATTATGAAAGATGGCAACCCAGAGAAGAATTATTTCTGTTCAACCTGTAAAGCTTCTATCAAAAAAAGCAGAGTACCAACAATCGCTTTAAAAAATGGTTTTCATTTTCCGGATAAAGTAGCATGTATCGATTCGTTAACAAGACTTGAAGAGCGTTTGGTATCC